TAATGAAAATTCCAGAGGATCAACATCCATCGACGTCATCATGAACGCACAACCGCGCAGCTCAAGCAGCTTACGGTATGGACATCGGCGCACGACCTGGCCGCTACCCAGAAACACACCAATGGATATCGACATTTGCAGCTGTCCCGGTGCAGACTTTGACCCTGAACCCGATCCACGGCTGGTCCATGATCAGTTTATTACCACCAACACAACCAGATAGCGAGCGCCTCTACACTCTTGATCTTCTCTCCTCCGATTACCCTTGCCTCGACAAACTCTGTATATATTCCTCTTCTTTATTTATTTGCTATGTAATTTCTCGGTCTCTTGTACCCTCGCTTCCTCTTCCATTAAAATCAGTCTGAGGGTTTTCTCGGTCTTTTTTTTTCGTATCCTGCCTTATATCATCTTATACAGTATTCACATTACCATCAAAAAACAATGGCCGGCAAATTGCCTGAATGATGTTGCCACTTATATGTTTCTCACCGATGATGGAGTGAAAAACTGTTTGAACCATGTATGATGGAATAAATGCTCGATCACGAATCAGCTATGATAATCTGTCTGGTTCTTTTATATAATGTCAGTAATTCTCAGTAATTAAACGTTCATTCGTACATGATAACTTTGCCTAATCATCCTCTCCTGATGTTCTTAGTCGTACCCTTCGCCTTTCCCATTATATCGTTCGTTTTAAAGAAAATAGTAGTCATGAGGTGGTCTTTGTAATTTTTTCTTAGTGTGATTGATGCTCTTGCTGTTCTGAAGTAACCAGGTCTAATTATAAAATACAAGATGAAACTTACAATACTATTTCATTCCAGTCCCTCTTCTTTTTTTTAACGAAGTACTACATATTACTATGTTGTTAGTCACTACCGGTCAACGTTAAACGCGCGAACGACAGCGTTCTGTGACCGAATATGCGAGTTCGATGTATGTGTCCGTTCTGTTTATTGATTATTTTAAAAATGACAACAAGTGCAGGGCATATTTTGGATCTACGCAATAGTACAGCAAAAGAAGAGAGAAAGTCATTAGAAACACTTGATAACGGAAATCAAAGAACTATACACTTCTTCATGTATGTATATATATATATACATGCGCATATTAAAAATGATAGCTATCATATATCCATATATTTTAGTCCAAGGTGTTTTTACATATATATATATACGTTGGCAAGAATATGTTGTCACAAATGAGAGTATCCATACATATCTGGCATAGTGCGTTTTCTCAGCCAAATGATCTTTCAAATACAACTGTTTAGCTTTCATATAACCGGTGGACTAGTGACACTTTATTCGTTTGGTCCTTTTGAGTGTGTTAATTATTCTGCATGAATCAATATGTTATGACTGTGATTAAGCTGAAATAATTCGGTTGACTGTGACCGCGTCACTCGCGCGCTGGTATGGGCAGGAGTGCCGTTATTGTTGCTATTTCCTGCTGTTGTTTCTGTATATGTAATAATTGTATAAGCACCTCATTGTTGCAAATTTGGAACTTGCAGGATAGCGACTTGTGTTATGTATGTTTGATCTACAGTACAGTAGTTAATCACCATTCTCCAAGTGTTGATTCCCACCAGATATGTAATTACGCTTCTACGATAATTTGAGTACACCACACTGTATGGGACTTGAATCCCACTATATGGAGCTATGTCTGGTTTTTGTAACCCGTGTAAAGAAATAAGCAATGGTGTACAGTAATTTGAGGAAAATGGGAAGACAGCAAGAACCATGAATATTATTACAGTTGAAAAAGAATTAAGCACAAGATATTGCCGAGATAATATATATGATATGTTCCTCTTGCTTTATAACACATTTGAAATGCCAGTCTGTCGACTCACTGTGATTTTGGGAAGAAGAAGGATTATTATCAGACCTCGTCGCTTATATATTATGCATATACTGCGTGTGTGATATAAGGTTATGTTGGCGGCCCATTGAATGAATCGTATGATCACGCACCTGCCATCTTGGTCCTACATGTTGTACATACGTTTTTCACTTACTTTTTGCGCATGACAAGAAATACACCTTGCACATGAAACTTTTGACCGTTTACAATATCTCAATCATCGGCATGGAAGTGTAGTATACAGACATCAACTTTGACTCGCGAAATACCCTCACAATATATGATGAGGGCATTACCTTTGAGTCTCACTTATAAATCGGTTATTTTATATTTTTTAAAAGTATCACACTGAAATCGAGTAAAAAAAACTAGCGTAAATTCTATATTTTTGTCCATCGATTCTTGTACAAAGCTCTGATGAATGTCATACAATGTTTCCTTGAAGAAAACGTCGATCTATGTTCACTGTACGGGTTAGGGGATAACAGCAAGATGTGTGATAGAGCGAGGATCCCGTGAATGGATGTTCCAATTTGAAGACTTACAGGAATTTACATCAGGTAGTGGACGTTTGGATTTATGAATATCACGTGGGATTTACAAAATGGCCAGAAGCTTGTTCTTGACGACGCCGCTACTTTGTGCTGGATTGTTTGAAACAATAAGGCCACGTTTGAGTCATCGAGCACTATACACCATTGAGCATCACTCTCGACGATCCTTTTGTCGTTTTTGTCGTTTGCTCATCAAATCATTGCGGAAAGGAGTGAAAGAGAGAATGATCAAAAAGGGAGGAGTGGGGGTGCAAGGTTTGACTCCTTGGGTTTTTTTTACGTTTGAGGTGAACCACTACCTCCTATAGACAATCAAAAGAATGATCTAAATGGGATATTGGGCGTTTTCAAGTTGTGACTATTTCGGTTCAGCTGCAAGATTGCTCAGCGTAAACGGATGCTAAGGAATTCAGTAGGTTGGCTACTTACCAACTGAACGCCTTTGAAAAAGAGCCTTGCAAGACAGTCTTTATCATGAGTTTGAAGGTTGGAAACTTGGTGTCAAGTTCTGTTTACAGCTTCCAAAATGGCCCAAGATCAAACACTTCTAACTTTTCATCAATTCTTCTCTAGGTGGAGCCGGTTATCGTTGCCGCTGAAGGAACGTTCCCCTGGGTGTCAGTTCCTATTGTTTCAAATGCAGCAAATTGAAACTACTCCCTTTTGACTACTTGCAGAATTCTCTGATTTACTTCCTCGACCACTGTCAATTTTTGTGTATTTCATACAAAACAATATAATTCCTGCATCAATGCAACATCGCAACTTAGAACCATATTCTTTATTATGTGGGTATAAAGATGAAGAGACCCTGATAAGCATACTGTAATCCATGACGCATGCGATCATAACCTCATAAAAGTCCTTTAAGGATTCTGCAAATATTGTGACTCTTAAGCCTAATGATTGTTCGAATAGAAGACCAATTCAATGAAATGCGTATTGTTCATTTTGGCAAAAAGATAAAACAGTAGTTGGCAGAATTTTATTTGGGAATATGAGCAATAGTTGGCCTGCAAGACATGTCTGGGCTTAATAACAGTAATTTTGAATAGAAAAGTAACAACCCATAAAAATACCCAAGAGTACTTACGGCTTTCTACATACACTGCTGACAGGGTACGTCATCCTCACTATACGGTAATACATAAAGGTCAGGGGGATGTTAGTCGTTGATAAGAAATTGTCGTCGTGCCAGGTGCACTTATCTAGGTGAAGGCGCCGCCGGGCAACGCAGGACTCAACCAGAGCCCTGCTCTTCAATAGTGGGCTATGCAACCGATTATAATAACGAAGAAATTTATCAGAGCTGGTAATTCTCACACGAATGACAACTTCTCACACAGCTTCACAGCATAAAAGCACAACTCACATGACGCTACCCTGTGCAGGTCAGTGTCAGAGAGAAAGAGAGAGCGAGAGACAGAGAGAGACAAAACTTTAAAGAAAAAATCGAACAGAATGTTAGACCAGGTTGCAAATAAAGAATCACTCATCGTGACGATCAAACAGCAACTGCAATGACAGAATGTTAATGAATGCATACGTACAAAAGGCCAAAAAAAAAGAAATGATGCGGGGCTAGCGCAAAGAAAAGCAGGAAGAAAATCCAACGTCTTGATGAGTCGTGCAGTATGCTACTTTTATAAGCTTTTTGATCATATCAATCACATGGTTTCACTAGTGTCGTCAGCAGTGTTATGAACATTCCTCGACCTCTACTAAGTGATCACCCTCAACCGCGATGATCACTTATTAAATCCCCAAGTAGCAATATCATCCATCATCATCGTCCGAATTATCAACCCTAATACCAATCTTTCCGTTTATTCGCATTATTAAATTCCATAGTAAAAGATATATAAACACCATAGTCTTTGAATAATGAAACATCAGTCAGATATCTTGTTCCTCGTCTCTTCTCTCATCATCTGATCTCCTACCCTTGGGTCTCGTTCTTGTCTTGTCTTGTTATTGCTGAAAGCACCTACTGTAACACATTATCGTCCGGTCTTTCTGTTCTTGTCTTTTCTTGTTCCTGTCCGCACCTTACGAGCAGCTTGTTTCATCAATGACCACTGGTAAATAGAGAATGGACTCCTTTTTATCACACACAAAGGGATCCCTTTATCTTTAACGCTGCTTCTTTTGATAGAGCATACAACTACTTAATCTACCATACAAACATTCTATCAGTGATCAAACAAAAGGTAAGTGATAAATTGTGTATCATTTATGCGCAAACTCATTACGCATTTTAAAAGGACCCTGTATTAAAAATGATATCGCATAAAAGTTATGTCCTTGCACCTGTAACCCCTGCAATATTGTCGTTGATATTATGCATTTTGGTTCTTTCAAGTAGAGACACTACTATGGCATATGATGGTGATACGACGCGAACATTACTCGATCAAGTTAAAATTACAGCAATGTCATGCACCAGTATTTTGAAGTGTTACACGTAAAAACTTATCCAGAGCTGTCATTGGCTGCTTTAAGGATTCTTATATAGCCTTCTGATTGGCCAAAATGAAAGCCCAGGAACTTCCGCTGTGAGCAATAGTTTCTCCACGCATGCGCAAAAAATAAGTAATATATCACAAACTGCGGAGTACGTGAAAACGAGCTGCTTGATTGAAGTGTGCTTGGTTCGCATAAAATACGTTCCTTCCACTGCTCTAATGGATTCAGCAAATCACAACGTTCTGCAATTTATATCCGCAGCGGCTCAAGCTGTAAGTAAATCGCTGTTTTTCTTTTTAATAATCGATCAGAAAACTCTCATTCCCTAATGTCTTGCCATCTCTTTTTCTCGCCACACTCTCTCCATCTTTAGTTAGAGACTCAGGAAAGTCTTGATCCCGTCAGTGGTAGGGTTTCCTCTTTTACTTTCTTTTCTTGTTTGGGGAGTCTACCAGTGGTGGTAGTGGATGGCTCTAAAAGCAGCGTTTTGACGCTTAGTAGTAGTAAAACTTATTGTTATTGTTTTATTTGTCTTACAAACCATAAGGCTCCCAAAGCGGTAAAATCCTGGCGGAAAAAGCTCTCAAAGAAGTGTCTTGCTCATGGTCAAATCACTCAGTTCACGATCCCGACCACGGGAAGCCCAATGCAATAAAAAAATTACTTGCCGAAGCCACAGGCAATGAACTTAACGATGGAGACAGTGACAGCCTTAGCGAAGAAAGGGATCAGTCTCTACCTGCGAGTGCTTTATTAAAAGAACAGACCACTGCAGAGAAACTCCAGATAATATTCCAGCTGCCGACGGTAGAAGAAGTCCTCGATGGTACGTCTTATTTTTCTTTCGTTCGTTTGCTCTTGTTTCTCTATCCTCGCTTTTATTTTTAATGGCATAATGTCAAGTGACAATCTGTGGTGCCTTGAAAAATATCGCATATTCTTATACGATGGTAACATAGAATGGCCATGTTGTATTGTTCGTTCGGCGATTGTTCCTGGATATCTCTATTTGACGGAAAATCATGTCTGCTTCTTTGCTTCGTTGCCGCAAAACATGGTATAATCGTGATTTTAATAGTACAAATCTATCGCTGCGTGATCAGACCACGAGCACCCCGTATCTATCGCTACTGATACTAACACGCGCACAATTGTGGGTCACCTGGCCCGTGTAGCATAGTTATCGGAAGGCAGGTTATATGCTGATCAAACATACTGGCAAGATGGGAACTGGATTCGAACGCTGTTATTTCGAGCTTAAGGAGGACATGTTAGCATGGTTTGAAAGCGCAACGGATATGTATTCCCCCAAGGGCAAAGTGGATCTCAAGGATGCCTTAGCTGTGCGCACATCCAAAAAACGAGAGCATGGCTTTAAGATTATCACAATGAACAGAACATGGCATTTTCAAGCTGATACACATGCAGCCATGCTTGAATGGTAAGTATAAAAATAAGAAAGAGAAATAGGTTACAATGTAGAAACGAATGGTTAATATACTAATGCACAAACGGGAATGTTTTGTGGATATAATTAGGATCAATATGCTTCAAAAGGCGATTTTCAAGGCCAAGAATACCGGAAACAGCGTCAAGATATCTCTACCTTTCGAAAACATACTAGACATCGAGCAAACAGAAGCGTTCGAGTTTCAACAATTTATCCAAATCCGCGCTGTGGGCATTGACGACAGTTTTGTCATGGATGAGGTATGTGGGTTTCCAAATCTCGTTTTCTTTTTAGAGGTGTACGTGTGGTCTTGTTCTTTTTCTTCGGGATTTCTGGTTTACCGAAGCTTTATAGTACTATTTCGCCTATTTCGCAGATGCCAAAGGGACTTTTCAGCAAATAAAAACTGCATGGGATCGATCACAACAACATAAAGCGCTATCCGAGAGCAATCATTCGAATAATCCATTAAGCGCCTCGGCAACAGACTCTGTGTCACCATCACTTTCCATCACTGATCTGTACGATGCGAACTGCCAGCCCATCACGATACAAGCTCTTGGGGGAAATAAAAAGCAGCCTACAGCTCCACCCTCAACGTCGGTCCCAGCATCCATGAGCGGGGCTGTTTCAAGTGCCTTATCTGTTCCAACTGCGCTCAAGGACCTACTTTACAGCTCGTCGGATCATACTTCGTCCACACCTTCACCGCCAAATAATGCATCATCACCTCTTCACCATCAGACACCGGATCCAAGTACTGCAGATATACAGGATTCATCCAGCTCTGAGAACGAAGATCAAGCAGTAGCTGGATGGTGGGATGGGAAACGGCGATCTGGAATGAAGCTTGTGTACGGACTATTAGGCGGTGGTGGAAGTACCGGCAGCACAGCGACTGTATACCACTCTCCAGATGATGAGGACGGAGATGAGGACGATGATAATGATATAGACCTATATACGAAAACTAACGAGCGAAAAACAGATGGCGGAACTCTGTTTCCTTGCGAAGAGCCTATTGAAGATCGCACTCGGTCCAACTTTCGAAAATATTTTGTTTTGCCCGAATCTGAGAAGTTGGAAGCAGGTAAATATCAATCGCAAAAGCTGAAGTCTCTTATTTCATGAGCTTTAACATCTTATACTATTTCTTTACCTATTTAGTATACCGCTGCTCGTTGATGAAGACCTTGCCATGCTATGGAAAACTGTACATATCCTCACATCATGTGTCATTTAATTCGAAAGGAATTGCAACTAAAGCTAAGGTATGATTATGGCAGACTTCACGTATTTTGATCAGGGATTGTTGACACGGACTTTATCAATGTAGATGATAATTCCGTTCAGTGATATTTTGCGAATACAGAAGATTCGCAGCCGCGGTTATATATTCCATGCCTTGAGTGTTCTTACACAAAACAAAAAAGAGGTAAAGGCTCGATAGAGGGTGTAGCCCTGACTGTATATTGTATATCACAAATGCTTATTAGCTCTATAGATTTTCATAGAGTTCACTTCTGCTGCAAGGCGAAACAATTGCTTTGCCAGATTATTTCTCCAGCACAAAGGTGTTTTTGAACACAAGTCATCGGCAGAACAGGCACAAAGGTTTGTATCTCAAAGAAAAACGGGGCGAGACCATAGTGTTCATTCATCTTTTGTATTTAACGCTAAATCGGTCCCATTATACAGGGATATTCGCGAATGGACTGCCAAATTGTTAGAGGAAGAACAGACCGAGAGCTACGACCATGTCATTCCTCCTTTTAAAACAGGTATTACTTCAATCTTGAAGCTTCATGGGGCATAATGTGAAATCAGGTTTTGAACACTCCTAAATACTTTCTGTTTCTCTTATAGGTCTACCTGTACTATCACATACTGCTGATGAGCCTCTGATGTATCAAAAACCCGACAAACCACTCCATTTTACATGTATCACAATCGGCACTAGAGGCGATGTGCAACCATATATTGCATTGTGCAAGGGGCTCATGGCGGAAGGACACAAGTGTCGTATAGCCACACACGATGAGTTTAAGGATTGGATCGAAGAGCATAATATAGAGTATCGCTCAATAGGTGGCGACCCGAGCGAGCTAATGGTATGTAGTGAGCAACTATCTCAGCTACCAACATTTATTTCGTTAAGCTTTTATTGATTACCATTTGCTTTTGCAGCGCATCTGTGTCGAGAATAATTTTTTCAGTGTACACTTTGTCATGGAAGGTCTTCGATTAGTAAGTCTAGGACAAAATGTATTCTCCTGATTGAACATTCTTCGAGTTTGATTAGATTGACTTCTGTATAGTTCAAAGGATGGATAGATGAGCTGCTGGAACTGACGTGGAAGGCTTGCGATGGTACGGATGTGATTCTTGAAAGTCCCAGTGCCATGATTGGCGTACATATGGCAGAGAAGCTGAGTAAGTAATTGAAAAGGTTATGCTCGATACTTGAAATTTATTACATCGTTCTCTCACACATACATACTATCTGCATTATTTCCAAAGGGGTTCCTTATTTCAGATCATTTCCTATGCCAATGACAAGAACCAGATCATTTCCCCATCCGTTTGCCACACCCAATAACCCAAAGGGAAGGCTTTACAATGATATGACCTATGTATTATTTGACCATGCTATATGGCGGGCTATCGCAACAAGAACCAATGACTTTAGGCGGGATGTCCTCAGTCTGCCACCTACAAATTACGAGAAACTGGAAATCTGGAAGGTCCCATATCTATACTGCTTCAGCCAGAGCATTGTACCAAATCCGCTGGACTGGATGGATTGGATTCATTGTACAGGTTATTGGTTCTTGGATAACGCACAGGTACGTAAAATCCATTCTGCTCTTAACGCCACAACAGCAGGGAACTAACAGCATCGTTCTTCAAAAGACTGGTTGGGAGCCAAGTCCTGACTTACAGGAATTTCTGCAAGCGCGAGACTCACGACCCATTGTATATATCGGTTTTGGCTCTATCATTGTTTCTGATCCTGATGAGATCACTCGAATTATCGTGGAAGCGACCCTGTTGTCCAATGTGAGAGCCATTATTTCAAGAGGCTGGTCGTCAAGGCTACAAGAAAATTCCACAGGGGCAAGCAATGACTTGCTGCATAAATACCGAGGTACTATTTTGAGCGTCCAGGCTGTTCCACATGACTGGCTCTTTCCACAGGTTCGAGCAGTGGTGCATCATGGCGGTGCGGGTACTACAGCGGCAGGCCTACGTGCAGGTCGACCCACCATTGTGAAGCCATTTTTCGCTGATCAATTCTTCTGGGGGGATCGAGTAGCGGAAATGGGTATTGGCCGCTGTATCAAGGATCTGACGGTTGAGAGCCTTTCAGCTGCGTTACGTGTAGTATCTACCGACGAAAGCATGTTGCGAACAGCGAATATTGTAGGACAAAATATCCGAGAGGTATTTGGGCTAGAAAACTGGTTTCTTTCTATGATTTGGTTATTTCCAGAGAGACAAAGGAATCTAAGATGGTCAATAGGAAAACGGTGTTGAGACGGCGATACAATGTATTTATCGTGACATGGAGTTAGCAAGAGAACGCACACTGTCCTCGGCGAAACGCACGTGCTCGGATGATGGAGCAGAATCTGACGCCCTGTTAGAAAATAGCCTTGTGGATGATGATCAGGAATGGACATTGATTGAGGCTACAGCTTCAGGATCGGTATCACCGGGTTCATGGCGACCTCGTGCCAGTTGATGTGATGTACCCTTCACCGTCCCCCGATATGAATTGATATATTTCCGCCAAGTAATAATACCATGTTTTAAGAGAGAAAAGTGATGATATAATTTTTCACAACAATATTTACAAGTATAGTTTGTGTAATGAAAAAAAATGCGTATTTATGAAATTTCTTGCATTCGTTGGCTGGCTTCTGCCGTTATGCTATCGATTACTTCGACTTTCAAGAGCTCTTTGACCGTGTAAGAAAGAGACGCTAATCATGAGGAGAAACATAGTTAAAGAATAAATCTGAGTATGGCCGAGTCGCCCTTATAAAATGCAAATTGGTTACCTTCGTATGTATAAATGATAACTGTATCGTTGATGTGCATGTATTGTTTGGCTAATGCCGTTATACAGTTGCACACGCGTGCGATGTTATCACGTTCTTCTGGTGTTATTTCCTAGACACACAAAATATACTTGGTAAATATGACAGTAAACGGTTGATAATAGATGTACGCGCAAAAAAAGAAATGAACATACATCGTTTATACTAGAGTACATGATTGTGGTATCCACTTCATCCATGCTATTTTCTGGCAATCCCTGAGGCTTCTTGTTCACCCAGATGTATCCGTTCAGACCCAAAATGACATCCACGCCACAGGGCAGAGAATGAAATTGTGATTTGCACCGCTGGACAAGTACGGGTGGAACGTTCACAAAAGAACCATTTCGAAGCTTGCAGAACTTAAATCCTCGAGTATGTAAGCCCATAGCGCCATCCATATAGAAGCTTTGAACTTCGGCCTATTTTTGTTGTTTAGCTTCCAACTCTTTGAATGATACCATAAAACAACAACAGTAATGACAGGTTGACGGATCTTACCGCAACAATATCGCCTTCAGCAAAGAATTGACGCATATGGAGTTCATCGGATTCATTTTTACGGCGCTGTTTTTACCAAATACAAAATATAGAAATGTGAGGGCTGTGTTTCTTGCTTTACCATTTCTCACTATGCATTAATATAAAACTCCTTACCTGTACACCGCCGGGCAAGTTGACTGAGCTCAATAACAAAACGGCGTCTTGCTTTCCATTGACATCCACTTTCCATCGCTTGGTTACAACTTCCGTTACCCGTCCAACAACAATGTCACCGATTTCCGGCGTGTAGCGCGTTTTCAACGGTCGAACCGAGAGCAGTTTGTTGACACGTTCAACAGCACCTGCGACTGCAGACACCACAACGTTTTCACCGTCAGTATATGTGCCATGACCTCTATAGACAGAAAGTTAGCAACAAATCGCAATCACGTAGTCGACTGGCTCCCGAACACACACACACACACACGCCAAACAAAAAGAACTACGCTCGATCATTCTCCTAGTCGAACCTCATAAATTGTTGATCTGTCGTGATCGTCTCGCCGGGAGTGACCATATGGGACGAAAGCTCTTCACCATCAAGGTCCATTCGTTTCCGATCATGTTTTTTGACTGCAGCGGGCGATACTGGAGACAGGATTCGTAATTCCACCATTGTCAAACGTGTTAAAAAAGAAAGAAGACGGCATGTAAAAATCCAGACATAAGCCTGAAAATTGCTGTACTTGAAAATCTACTTAAGACCAAATTTCCAAAGTTTGGGCGATGACTAAAAGACACATATTATAAGCTTCTGCTTGTACACAAATAGCGTAATATCATAGGCATATCTTTGTTGAATTTAAGCATATAACTTTCGGGACACCGTTACCGTGCTGGTGGCCTCTTCAGAAGTATAGCCAAACACCAGCTTCTCTCAAAAATTAAGGCTGGAAAAGAGGAGCATGGCTACGTCAGGTTCATCGTAGCCGTCGCTGACATGGATATCAACTCGATCCTGCTACGATGTATTCAGAAATAAATAATCTCAAAAGAGAAGGCACCTCGGGACCAATGCTGGACAGCTCAACAGCAGAAGGGTCTAAGTTGGCTTGCAATTGTTTTTAGGTGCATATAAAGATAGTACCCAAAACGAGGCGATCTTCTCTTTTTTTTTTCACTCCCTTAAATATGAGATTGCTTGTTTGTTATGCATGAAAGTACCAATCAATCTGTCAGGGGAGGTTTCTTATGATGTTATACTGTGCTGCCACTTTAGCATCTGCTAAAAGTACTGATATGTGTAACGTATTCAAAGCAAGGTAGAAAGTGGGGACTTAACGTTGATCATGTGCGAATACTTTCCTGATTGAGTTTAAGGGTATGGTGTACTGTGGCAAGATTGATTCCAGAAAAAGTTGGAGCTTTGCTATTCCCACCACGACTCAATGTATACGCAGAGTTGCCTGATGCTTCTTATTACAAGCTAAGAAATACCCTTTTAGACGAGCCTCCAGGAGCATGTTACCATTAGCTAACTACAGGGATGTACACCTCAACATTTGAACTCTTGGGAAACTCTTTCGTTATAGTTTGTGCATATAGTACTCCTAGCTTCTTGTGTAAAAAAAAACAGGTCCCACATCGTATTGTATGACGCCATTATTCTAATGAAGGATCGTGTGCCTTGGCCCCATGACACCAGCGACTTTAGATTTATTCCGGTTTACCGATAGTTCAACATACTTGTTGAGTATGAAGACTCATGAAAAGGGTTCACGTCTGATGCTGTTCAGTCTGTTGTCGCAAAAAGAAGTAATCATATATACGTCATGCATAGTAATATTAGTTGTATGCAACGGGTCATCAACCAACATGCCGACTGATAAGATATCTTTGCATTAGGCACACATCAATAGTAATTTTATGCCTCAGTCTTTGGAGCTATGACACGTTTTAGTGTATGGCCGGAGAATACCACTGATACTAGAAAACTTATTGTCACACACGCACAGAGAAAGAGTAAAAGAGAGTGTGTGATGCAAACAAGGTCGCCGTCTCGTCACACGCATTTAAAATACTGTGAGAGTAAGAGGAAAACGTAATCTTCTTTCTTTTATATATATTTCTGGGTCACCATGCCGGATCAGGTCCATGCTGCCGTATTACAATTTCTCCTCCGTAATGGATACAAGGAAACGCAAGACGCGTTTGTGCGAGAAGCCGGTGACAAGATCGACTTTGACATTGTCGAAGATGCTCCTCCCGTAGAACGCCTGCTAGGCGAACAGCCCACACCCGATCCTGTCAATCAAGTGGCCAATCGTCTGGCCGACATTCAACTGGAGCGGTATACTTTTGTTTTTCTTCTTTTTCTTCGTTTACTGCGTACGTCCATGCTGTACCCAATCTGCAAAGAAGGGTATTAAGGAGTAGCAAAATCTATGGGTGGGTAGGTTCTGATCGCATTTCTTATATATTCTATTCAATCGCCAAATGAAGAACACAAGAACTAGACGATGGTGATGACGATTATTATACGACCCTGATTGACACCTTGTCCAATATCCATGAGACCAACATTCTATCAGTGGCTGTTGAACCTCGCACTGGCATGATTGCAACGAGCTCAACGGACCGAACAGTCAAGTTGACGGCACAAGGTAATACAGAACGCGTGTATCACCATCACCAAGGGCCTGTGCTCAGTATCGATTTCCATCCACAAACGCCGCACCTCATGATAACGACGTCAATGGACGGCTCAAGTGCACTTGTCGATACACGCAAAAGCGAAGAAGACAACGGTGTCTTGCAGCGATTCAACAACCATAAAAAGTATGTTGTCCGTGGTCTGTTTTCACCCATCGATGGCCGGTTCCTAGCTACAGCTTCATACGATCGCATGATCAGCATTTATGAACAAAAGGAAGAAAATGGCGAATATAAGCTACTCAAGCAGCTGGGCCCATTTATCGGCAATGTCGAGACGATCTGCTTCCTTCCTAACGAAAATGTATTAGTAGCTGGTGTCAATGGTGACAACTATCTCCACTACATCCACTTGGACGACCAGTTCCGCCGCGAGAAGTACAACATGAACGCCAACGATGATGACTGGGTATCCTTTTCGCCTGCATGGATTTCGCCTTCACCAGACGGCCGTCATATCCTAGTATCGACAGATCATAGCACCGGTCGATTGATCCTATTCGCTGCTAACCAGTCGACGCAGGTCCAAAACTACTACGATATTCCAAGTGATAACCAGTTTGCTACACGTCGTCATTGCTGGCACCCGAGCGGCCGTTACTTTTATGTGAGCGGTGGCGACGACTACTGCATCCGAGTAATCGAAACCAAGACCGGTAGACTCACAGCAGAGCTGGAAGGAGGTCATACGGCGATGGTGCGTGCAATGGCATTGGATCCGCAAGTTGGCCTGGTTACAGGTGGCTTCGATCATCTCGTAAATGTGTGGGCCAAACCCCCGGCTCCCATGATTCGATAAAAGCAAAATATAGAAAAAAAAACGTGTGCTTGTGATTTACTATATGAGAAGGAATAAATATATTATGAATACAGATGAATGCAAAACAAAAAGAAACAAGGAAGAGATATATTATTGCTGAAAATGATGCACTTTTGTGCTATGTACACTGTTTAGTCTAAGCTAAACCAGCAGCGGCAGCGGTGGCAGCGCACAGTTTTTCAATTTCATTGATAGCTTCTTGGAGCTTGGAGTGATGCACCAGCATCAGTCTCCGGGCAGGAGCAATACCGAAATCCGAAAAGGCGCGTTTGGCATCCGATGAAGCTTCCTTTTCCCGATTTGTAAACTTAAAATCCACCTTGTATTCTGCATACTGGTCAATCACTTCATCCTCTGGCTGGAAGTAAAATACTTCTGCTGTATCTTGTGCTGCTGCTGCTGCCTTCTTTTTGCCCTTTTTCTTTGGCTGTGGCTTTGCCTGCGGCATCTCCTCGTCGCCTTCTTCATCCACGGTGGGCGACACCTCCTTGTACGTCTTTGAGATGAACATGTACCATTCGAACTGGTACGGCTCGCCATTTTCTACAGCCTGCTTGGTTTCCTCCTGCATCATATTGTACATGGGCGGCATGATTTCCATGGGCATATTAACAAACCGTTCAGAAACAACCCATCCGACTGCCTTGTCCGCCAAAATACTTTTGACACCCTGATCCTTGATTTTGCCCAAAAGGTACGATATTAATGATTGAACACCAGCATTGTTCTTGTTTTGCTGCGTGCTGATAACGCTCAGGATTGCGTATGGATCGGATTCTTGACCGTCGACTTTAACGGTTGTGCCAACGTGATTCTCTTCTAGAAGGATATCCACGATATCGCCCAGTTGAATAAGCTCTGCATCGGACGAGAATAGTTGACCTAGTAACCGCTTCAATGCTTGGTAGTCAACTTGTTCTGGATTGTAAAAGTCAAAATCGACGTCGACAATGTCCTTTTTTGCATGACAGGGAGCTATTAGTTACGGTTGCTATACGTGTGTTCCCATGAACAATAGTGTGGTAAGAATGAGCAAAAATAGACCGTACAGGCCGTTATATTTACCTGAGGGCCTTCATCGCCACTGCTTTCGTTATCAGAGGTATTGTTAGTGTCGTCTTGTTCAGATGCCTTTCTTTTCATTATTGCGCGATCAAGGTTTTCTTTTTGGTTTATGCAAAAAAAGTTGTAATAAATTTCGGCCTTCCAATACTCACAGAAAAGCCACCTTGTTAACCATTATCTATTGTTAATACGATTGTCAATGATGGTTGCCGATAAAAGAGATTCTTGGTGTTTTAGAAACTGCTCCTTTCAGTTATATGGAACACGCTTACATCATCCTCTTTTCTCTATACTAGTCGACCTGCCAATCACTTTCTTTTATCGTATCAAATAATGGGCAAAAGATAGATAAGAAACATTTGACAATGATACTCGTGTCCCGAGCAGATACATGATGGATTGTGACCCATAATGAGAAGCACTATATACGATTTACTTTTTCTCAACGGCATTTACGATAATCGCGATTGTCATGCAACAAGTTTCTATTGAACTGAGATATTATACATTATAAAAACCGATTTTTGTGCGCTATACTATTATCTAGCTAGTGTCCGTCAATCATCATCCTTAATCTCGACTTGTTGCGATCATTATCAACCTGATACTTAATATTAGCCTGTTTTATGTTGTAGTTTTCGAACCTGATCTATGTAGTACTCTTAATAGCACTTTTAACGACAAAATTTCGGCCATAATATTTATTTTTGAGCAAAGGATTCGCTGTAGATGTATATAATAACTTTGCTCGTAGCATTGACTACTGCCCAGCCAAAAAAGAGCTTTACATATTGTGGCTATCGTATCTTTAACACTGACAACAATACATAGCAAAATACTTTGTCAGGAATACTGCCCGAGAATTCAACAGTTTCCCGTATGGCGGATTTTCTGGTTCTTAGGTGTCCCGGGATTTATACGACGCGTTTTACGCAGTGTACCGGAGGCGATGCAACATCAATTTGCACAATTTACGATTTCTCTGGCAAACCATCGTCATCAGCTGTTCCGCACGGGAAGATGCCGCCGAGATTCTTTGGGCGCTTCCGCATATACTGCCGCATGTCGTTGAGCTGAACGTCGATTTTCAGGGTTTACGCATCCTCGATGGAATTATTGGACTACACAATGCATTAATACCACACCAAGACCACGTTATCGTGGAATCACTATACTTCCACCTTCCGCCGGTTCATGGTAAGTTGTCATAAGAATAGCAGTAATAATGTTTTCTTCGCATCTTAATGTACTTTCGTCTTCTAACTCTGACAATAATACATTTATCCCTTTTTCTCACAGTTTCTCTTAGGCTCGTCACTGAGCCTTTGTATGCGATATTGGCTACCATGACCAACACCTTGACCAGCTTTGAAATTCGATCAGACGGTGCTTATGATTTCTCGTTGCCTCTTCTACTACAGAACAGTCCACAACTACAATCCCTCTGCATTTCATCTGACTCAGTGCTGCAGCAATATGACTTACTGTCGCCACTTCGGTATCTCAGGTTTTTCTATTTGGGCTTGCATTCTCAACAAGAATTTTATGAAGGCATTGACGGTCTCCGTCGCTTATTTCAAAGTCTGCCCTATGTTCAACATGTCACGCTTGCAAACGTTATTCATAATGTCGACATCCTGCCAGCTTTCGCGCCTGTCCTTGACGGCCTTATCTCATTAACAACGATGAGAGCGAGTATCCACAATTGCGAATCCCTCAAAGCAGACAAGATACACAACTCGTATTGGGTGATTTAGTGCACCTCTGGCTGCAAAAAGAAGAAAGTGTCGAAAACTTGGAGCCTGTACTGCAAGCGAACAGTGCATCTCTATTGCATTTGGCGGTAACGCTACGTCATCAGCAGAATTTCGCACCGCTTACCAACCACCCATTTCCGAACCTTACATATTTACACATCGACACCGATCAATTCTTCCTATTCAGCGAGCAGCTATCAGAACTGTGTTTCCAACGACAAGTTCCAGCCTTGAACACGCTTTCGCTCCGGGCTACCTCAAATCGTTACCGAAATAATCAATTACCGGGAGAAATAGCTCAGCTGGAAGGACGACTCGCAAATCTTTACACAGCTATTGGTACCTTAGGGCATCTACATACTTTACGACTCGTGAATATGGATTTTTCGCGCCCCATCTACCGCAACGCTGCCGTCGCCATGCTTAACGCTTTATCGGCTTACGGTCACTTAGGAAGTCTTTACCTGTACTCGTGCAACTCGGTGGATTGAGAAATTATTGCAACCATTACCGGGCTTGCTTCATTACAAAGTCTTGCCATTTACGGTAGAGTTGCTCGCGGTTTTACTGCCAATATGTTTGCTGATCAATTTACTGGTGACGACCGCTTCGCCGCCTTGAGGTATTTGAGCCTCGGCTTTGTGACCTTGACCCGCAACTTCGCCCGAGTACTTGCTCAGAAACACCTTGAAATACTGTTTCTTTACAAAGTCAGTGGTGCTGTTAATCAAAATATTGTCAATATTCTAGAAGCGGGGAATATCGCTCAAGTGGTGATATCTTTCGATCGAGTTCACCCTGATTAAAAATACCGTTTATTCATTTGCAGTAGAAAACATAAAAACTGTGGCATTGTGTGGAGGAAAATATGTTTTATGTTTGATACGTTTCCACCATTTTTGATTACATTTTTCTCTTTTTAACACATTATGTATGGAGCTCCCTAATATGAAATATCCTTATCATAAGAAAATTAGCACACTCATCACTGATGTTATCTGTCTCCACCTTTCTCCCGTTATCATTATATCACTCAACACCATTTCTTTTTGGTTGTTATTATGAGCGTATTTAGAATTAAGGTTAATTCAAGGAAAATCAGACCTTGAGCTATAAAACAGATTTATACGCATTACAGTATATACAGTACATGGTGAAGCAGACAAAAAAACATTATGACCCCTTAGTGTGGGTGCATATACAGACAGGAGAAACGTGTTACCGATGTGAATCGAGCCGTGTTTTGGCGAGGTATAATAGTTGTTGTTGTTTTCTCCTTTAGTAGTGGCGACAGGGTTATCGTCACTGGACATGGTAGCATGGTCCTCCAAAGTCCAAGCATCTTCTTGAATAGGTGGTAAGCTTCACTTATAAAAATCATCACGATCCCCACGTTTCATAAAAGAGATTGTCAAACCGTTATAAATTGCGCTGATGAAATTGGCAGCGGCCGTTTCTTGATCGTCAGCTAAGAAAAGAAGGTCATATCGAGTATCAATAGTATTGCTGGGTACGCTTCACATATAAAAAATCATCATGATCCCCAGGTTTCATACTCTTTTTATATCGCCGGTTCTTTGTTCCATTAAAGCGCACAGACCCGTCGCCGACAATTGTTGGATCAGAGCGGAGCACGACAAGCGGAGCCGCATAGTGAAACAAACATATACGCACCATAAGAAAAAGACACTAGCATGACAGTCGTCAGACTACAACGATAATTATCATCAAGGCACTTCTTCACATTGCTGCAGTTCACTGGCTCCTTAGGGCAGTAGTGACAACAAAATTTCTAAGCTCCGTCATTTTGTTTATCGGGCTCATGAAAAAAAAGAATCGACTGCGCGTTTTGCCCTTTATTCTTTTCTTTAGTCTTCATATTCATCTTTTGTACATTTGCAGTGTTTCTTTCATTATCACTTTTTACCTTTCTTTTTTTTTTCATCCCGCTCGAGTGTCCCTGTGGGTGTGCATAGTTGAAGGGAGCTAGTCGTGCACGACTGGCTCTTGCTCATCTTTTGTACATTAGCAGTGTTTCTTTCATTATCACTTTTTACCTTTCTTTCATTTTTCATCCCGCTCGAGTGTCCCTGTGGGTGTGCATAGTTGAAGGGAGCTAGTCGTGCACGACTGGCTCTTGCTCATCTTTTGTACATTTGCAAAGTTCTTTGTTCATCTTGGTTTTTGATCTTCCTCAAAAACTGAAAGCGAGAGTGTGTGCAAAGAGGTACGTATATGTTCGCCGCTGACAGACCTTTGTGCTATCATATTTCTTTTATTTGTAGGAACTGTGGAGGAGTAGGTTCTGTCGGGAACTGAGGCTTGTGGACAAGAAAGGGAAAGGTGTAGGTTCTGCCGGGAACTGAGGCTTGCGGAAAACAAGGGAGGGCAACCTCCCTTGTGGGTACGTATATGTTCGCCGCTGACAGACCTTTGTGCTATCATATTTCTTTTATTTGTAGGAACTGTGGAGGAGTAGGTTCTGTCGGGAACTGAGGCTTGTGGACAAGAAAGGGAGAGGTGTAGGTTCTGCCGGGAACTGAGGCTTGCGGGGAACAAGGGAGGGCAACCTCCCTTGAGGAACGAAGGATTCATAAAAGTCGGTCGACTTGTCAGGCAACATCAAATAAACTTGGTTTCTTATTGTACTTTCTTAAATAATGTAATTGTAACTATTGGGCAGATCGAGTGACGATTGTAATAAACGCGATCTTTATTTTTACATCTTCCTACTGCCATTGCGCTTGGTACTTGTTGGTGCTTTCTCTGGAGCAGTTATGTAGTTGCAAATGAGCCTTTTTGTGCTTGAGTCGTCGAGAAAACCGTAGGCTGTGCATTCGCATGTGTGCTCTCAAAAACAATACAGCTGGTTTACCTTCACGACTATACCAACAATGATTGCAAATTGCTGGTGGCAAAATAAATAACCGTATCGCAAAGCAAACAGACCATCCCCATATTCACATATACACGAACCAGATCGCCAACCCAAACTAAATGATGTTTGCCTTGATTTCTTTGCAGTATAAAAGGCCCAGTACATAAGCTCATTAGGGAAGTTACATAATCCAACTTGTTGGGTCTTGCCACCAATCTCTCATGCTACTGTCTCTCAACATTACTGCTACTGATACACGTATACTAGTAATACTCATAGATAGATTGAATATGGAATGTATCATCACTGCTTAAGATTATAACAAGTTATCCCGTCAAGTTATTGATGTTTCTTATCTACAATAGCTTTCAACGGCGCCAAACTTGCCAAGTTTTTAGAAGCGCATTGTTTTGTGCTGCTATTGATGAGTCAAAATAATAATGTTGTGCTTAACTTTTATCTATTACATTTCAAGTAAAAGCCATTTCAGTTTACCCCCTTCCCTTCTTTTGTCTTTCAATGATCGCTGGCGGTACTACTATATCAAACTACACCAATATCCGTATCCGGCAAGCCAGTATTCTAAAAGACATCCAGAAATGTGTTGACGTCCATATAATTTTTTTGTGAGCGTCCAAGCCTCGAGTACATAAATACATTACATGGAGCTATACTACTGAGATTCTTCATGCAATCTAACGAAGCCACTTTGAAATATTTGATTTGCTTGACGCTACTTTTGATATCAACACTAGCGAAAGTATCAAATGTAGGGGATGATGATAAGGGAAACCCGATCGGATATATACGTTAACAGTAGTTTGATCCAAAGATGATAGTAGTGTGGACACACTCAGTCGATTACCAAGTAAGTCTATCACAAGCTCGGTGCAACGGCGTTTGGTCGCAAGTTTGTGCAGGCACTCGAAGCAGCTGCAAAGACGGAGGGGCATCACGCTCTGAAAAAAAACGTCGATATTATGACTCACTAGGCTATGTATTACAAGATCCCACTTATTAAACGCGCGTTCAAAGTCCTCATCAGCAACTATGGAAGAGGGGACTTCTAACAGATGCAATTCCTGATATTGTTGTACATATTGCGTTAATTTCAGGTTCGAAATTGTGTCTACCTTTTTTACAATACAAAACTTATGACTGCAATTTCCATTGATCGGCGAGAAGCATCACAAGAATATATATATATATATATATATATTCATGTAAACCGGTGACGTATGCCAAAATATAATAAAAAAGAAGGGCCTGCTTCTACACGATAAAAATATTGCTACAAATCAAAAGACCAGTGCATAGAAAAACTTTGTCTACGTATAAAATTAAATTTGGCTCGTGTTATTGCGATGGACACGTTATGGATGAGGCTGTTGCTGCATTTCAATTAACCAAAAACTGTATGGCATCAACAACCCAGCGTACCCTTTGAATCGTGCAGTCATCCACTATATCCAAGCTTCTAACAAAAAATGATTTGAAAAATTGTTCATAAGGTCAAGACTGCGGCACGATTGTGTGCCCATCGCGTGTCGACAAATTACTCCACAGTACTGTACAGGCCATTTGTATACGAGTGAGCGCCGAGTCTTATACACTATGGTGATTCAAATACAGTCTCAAGAACGACTGTACTTGACTCCAAGTGGAAGCAATGAATATTAAATTTTGGTCAGTCAGAGGCAGTTGTGAATAATGTGGAAAGAAAACGCTCGTACAAGAGAAGAGAGAGGGAGAATCGGGTTGTGTTTAAATTTGAAACAGGCGAAGGTGAACAAAAGATGTCAAGGTAAAACTATTCATTCCTCTTAGGCACTACTACTGTACAGATTCTCATGCAATCTGTCGAGTAAGAGCTCTTTCAATGGAAATATGTTTTCCATTCTCAGACTTCTTGCTGTATAGGAAACGTTAGGTATAAGAGTCAGAGCATTCGCAGCGGCAACTGTAAACCTACCGATCCGCTTAATTTGTGAAAGATATTTGTCCCAGCGGCGAGTCTATCGTAAACTGTATAATTGAGGTTCCTGGAACTATATTTGTGCATGTATATTTTGATAAGGAATAGCCGATGATGGTTCAATGGATGAGACATCAAAAACTTGTATAGAACAAATATGTACACGAAAATATGTAAGCTATACTATATAGCAATCTATGGCTCAATACAAAATCTGTGGCGAAACACGGCACCCAAATGATATATGAACAGTTGATGACTGGCGCATAATCTATTTGTAGAACAGAGATCATCATCGATTTTTTATTGTATAGATCAGTCTTTACATAATCAAAATAAATATTAGGGTGAACAAAAACAAGCTTTCAAGTCACCTTGTATGTAAATGTACTTTGCTATACTACTTGTTGATGAAAAAGATACAAAAGCACATATATGATATCCTTTCTATTTCTGGACGCATCAGACTGGTCTTTTAGCAGTAATATTTTGTGCGGTACATCCTCAGTAGCTTTTGATGTAACTCTATGGCGCTGCAACGACGTTTATTGTTAAATCGGATCTCTTACCAAAACTATGAGACATTTTTTCATCAATTCTTTCCTTACAAGCGTAGTTAAGTTAGATAGACTAGTGACACAATCACAGCAACATTGCAACCTCCATGTGGTAGATTACAAGCACACTATTAACTGATACGTACAGATTTTCGATATGCTGCAATTGTGCCGTCGTACGATTTCGATTGAAAACGTCTCTGTAGTAAGAGTTATTAGTTCCAGATACAGGGCATGCATGCGTTCTTCATGTAACAAATAGACAGGCAGAAGTAGGGTGGGGGAGGTGGAGTTTGGATGGATGGTGGGAACGGATGGGTTATGCATTGTGATACAGAATGTTACAAATTTTCAGATCCGATTTAGCGTGGAAACGAAGACCATTAAATCATGGCCGCAAACACCGGGTAATGCAAATTCTATTCTGAAACAATAAAGAGAGAAACACGCCCACCGACCTTGTTAATAAGTTTGTTGTTGTGTGAGTACTAAGGTTTGTTTATTACCTAGTAGATAATGATAGTAGTAACAGCAGCAGCAGCAGCAGCAGCAGCAGCATTCTATATGCACTCCTGCTTACTCAACGGCAGGAGGGAATGCTCTGGATCAGCTCACAACGTCATCTTGCAGCAGCAAGTGATGAACTGACGATTCAAGCTATAAGCTATCACATACACAGCAACATACACAGCACGACAAAGTAGAATGTTCTTCGTCATTCTACTCTCTACAAAAGGCTTCTTCCGGAAGACGAGCGATCTAAAGAAGAGCACAAGATTAGGAAATGTTGAACACGCGCACGGCTGCCTGTTACATTCTGATTATCCAATCTATGCTGGATGAAGCGAACAACAAATAAATAAACAAAGTGTCTGCATATTGGAAAATGTATGTCGCTGTTGCTGGGTTGTTGCTGCTTTTAGACCTAAACGAACGGGGGGGGGAGCACAGAAGGGGGGAGGCCCTTTAAAATAATTTTCTGCCTTGTCAGACTATCTCTCTTTTCTTTTTCTTTCTTTATAATGCTTCGTCATGCAACGACCTGCATCGCAAACAGAGCCCATCCCTGACGAGACCATTGCAAACATTGTGCAACAGCATCTGGTCACTGATTCCCCTCATGAGCCATCCTCTCCTGATCTGGGATCCCCAAGCAACACTAGCACAAGCCCTACTACTGTAGAGAATTCTGGGCGACCCACCGAGGAAATTCCTATACCTTATTATTTGCCGGGTACAGCTATTACGCACGATATTTATTCGCATGCCAATTCGCTCCTTTCGAATGGATCCCCGCTTCAGCGGTCAAAATCAAGCAACGATATCCGGTTCAAAGCAGGCAAGGTCGTGCACAGCGACGATGAAGACGTCGATCCAGTGATGGAAAACTTGGACAAGCCGGGCGGATTTAGACGCTTCCACATGCAGCAACAACGCATGCTTGCCAATATCAATGACGCTGATGGCTCTGTAAGATCTGCTAGCAATCACAGTGATGCAGCAGCAACACCCTTATTCCGACCCGCCTCGTCGGCATCTACTGTAGATACTACCGATTATTCGGGCCTATTCCAGTCCGATTCATTACGCTCCAACACGATCCATTCAATGCGCGGTGTACCTACCCGCCATTTCTTGGAGTACCTGGCCATCACATCCGTCCTGGACCACTTTGCAGGCGAGAACCTGTCGGATTCAGAAGACGACGAATACACCTCTGATAGCGAGGAAGCACCGTTGCTACAGCAACAGATTCTCCGTCGTAGACAGCCATGGCGTTACCAACAGCTTGCTAACAACAAACGTCATCAACGCAACCAAGTTACCGACGTCGAGGACTCCAGGCCAAAGCATAAGGCGAGTATAATGAAAACCGTCTTGTTGCTTTTTAAGGCGTTCATCAGCAGTGGGATTCTGTTTTTGCCCAAGGGCTTCTCCAACGGTGGCCTGGGGTTCTCAATCGCCGTACTCTATTTTATGGGCGTTGTGTCATTGTATTGCTTTTTGCTCCTATTAGACTGCAAGCAACACTACTCGGGCAGTTATGGTGATATCGGTGGTGCCTTGTATGGACCGTGGATGCGGCGAATTGTCTTATTTTCGATTGGTATATCTCAGGTAATGTGTAACATATTGCTAGAAAGCAAGGTTTGGACGGGATTTAGGAGTGTGTGGACGAAATTAGGATGACATAGACATCTTTATCAATTTGACATTTACGTTTATCGATAACTTAGTTGGGATTCACATGTGGTGGTACAATCTTCATTGTGGAGAACGTTATTCAAGCAGTGCGATCGTTATCGCATTACACAATTGAATTATCAAACTCTTCAGTGCTTGTTATGGTGGCGGTCTTACTGGCGCCGATGGTGCTGATACGCAACATTGCTAAATTATCGCCGGCAGCCCTCTTTGCTGACGTTCTGATCGTTAGCGGTCTCTTGATCCTTCTGGCGTGTGACATTTACCAAATCTTTTATGGTACCGGGGGTGGTCCTACTCCCGGACCGGGTGTGCAATGGTGGTTTAATCCAAGTGCCTATCCAGTATTTATTGGCACGGCAGTGTATTCTTTTGAAGGAATAGGTAAAGAAATATTAAGAATACTCAGAAGAAAACCTTAAAAGAGACTAACATCTTGTTTTTCTAGGATTAATTATTCCCATCCGCGATGCGATGGAGAAACCGGAAAAGTTCCCGATGGTACTGACGCTGGTCATGATCCTTGTGGCCACAGCATTGTGTTCTGTTGGGTCACTGGGCTATGTTGCATTTGGAACTGACGTCAAGACCGTGGCCTTGTTAAACTTACCTGATGGTCCCCTCGGAAGTACGGTCCAACTTGGCTATGCACTTGCCGTGCATATGACCAATCCATTGGCTCTGTTCCCTACGGTGCGCATTGTCGAGCATGCGTTGTTTGGTGAGCGGACGGGTAAACACAACTTGCATATCAAATGGCAGAAGAACTGCCTGCGGTTTGCTATCGTGGTCACATGTGGCGTGATTGCCTGGGCAGGAGCAAATGATTTGGATAAGTTTATTAGTTTGATCGGATCCATCTGTTGCTGTAAGTTGGTTTGCGTGTATATACGTTGGGTCGAGTCGGGTCGTGTTTGTGTTGATGGTACTTAGCTTAAGGGCGGTGACAGCAGCATTATTTATGTTTGATATACTTACAATTCACGGTTTTTGCGATGTTTGCATATTAGGTCCTTTGAGTTTAATCTTTCCGCCCTTATTCCATTTATCTTTGGATAAAACAAGAGGGTTCCAGCGTGTGATGGACATGATACTGATTACTTTTGGTGTCGGCGTCATGGTGTTCACTCTGTACAATACATCGAAAGAATGGGGCTCTTCTAAGTAGATCTATCCGAAGCTTACATCTTTGGCCTCCCATCATCCATCATCCTTCTCTTAACTCCTACCCTTTCACATCTTTCAACTACACACCACGAAGTCGTGTACTCGTTGATCATATATTTACACGTTTTCCAGCACTATCTTTTTCATCAGGCATTACAAGCATACATACTACACTCCAGCTTATATTCCATCATTCCTCCCACCCTTCTATTAATTTAGGCTAGAGTGCGGGAGAAAAAATACAAAAAACACGTTTAACAGTGGCGTGTGAAAACTTTCCTCATTTTACATCAGGGAAGTTACTATTCGGACTAACTGAAGGAAGATCTAGATAATGCGATGCTAGCTAGCTTGTTTAAGTCCAAGGGGACATTGATGGTGAGTATATCTAATACAGGAATTACATGTATGTATGCAGTAATACTTTAAGTTGCTTGATCACCGAGACATGACTGATTGTGCGTGTTCCAATAATGTAATATGAGTATAATAATTTAGTAAATGATGGATGAGTTGTGTTAAATGTATATCATAGTGATTTTTCTAATGATTGAGTGGGTGTGTGGAGTGTGTGGAGTGTGAGTGTTGATTGAGAGAAAGAGAGAGAGGAAAGGGAAGAGAGATATGGAATGCATGTGTATAAAGAGTATAAATATTATTAGTACATGGATTGATAACATTTAGTAAGGACTATGAACCAAGGGAACATATTCAGGCGAGAACATAGAGCCACGGACGACATCAGCAAGTAGTTCACCTTCCTTCAACTTGGCCGTTGCGACGCCTTCGTCATAGGCAACCTCACAAATCCGGGTGCCCACGGCCAAAGCTACACTGCGCAAATCCTGAACACCAGGGAAGAGAATGCCTTCCTTGAGCTGGCTGGGCGAAGCCAGATTAGCAATGACACGTGCCGTTTCCAAGAACATATTGGGTGTCACACGCGAAGCACGCGACACCGTAACACCCAGGCCAAGGCCAGGGAAACTGTACGAGTTGTTGCACTGGTTGGTACGGCCTAGACGACCATTGGGTAAGGGCACATCCTTGAACGGACTACCTGAAGCAAAGATGGCACGGCTGTCAGTCCAACGGAAGGCTTCTTCCGCGGAACACTCAGCATGGGTGTCGGGGTTGCTGAGCGGAAACACGACGGGTCGCTCATGGTGTTTTGCCATGGTGCGGATAGCTTTTTCGGTAAACACACCGCGGATACCTGTCAGGCCCAGAATAACACTAGGTTTAACCCGTTCAACAACATCATCAAGTGGCAAGCAGTCAGGAAGATCTGACTTGGCGTAACAGGATTGACGTTCGTCGAGCTCATTCAAGCGTTTGCCTTGTGGTTGTGCGTCGTCGACAAGCTCGGGGTTACCGAGGAGACCACGATGATCGACCATCCAAATGCGCTTGTAGGCTTCTTCGCGGGTCTTGACACGACCCTGAGCTACCATACAGTCGATGATACCTTCACATACACCTACACCAGCAGAACCAGCACCAACGCATACAATACGTTCCTCGGCCAAGTCTTCTTGGGAACGACCACGGGCCTTTAGAGAAGCAAGAATACCGGCAAGAGTGATAGCGGATGTGGATTGAATGTCATCGTTGAAGCACGTTATCTGGTCACGATCTATAATAGACAAACTTTGGATGAGCGTCTTCCTTATGATATACTACGCACTTCAACTTGCTTACATTTGTTTAGCAGATTGTAGGCATGGGGATATTTGAAATCTTCAAACTGAATAAGAGCATCTAGAGTAACTGTGTTTAGCATTGCTGATTAATTACAAACTCCTCTCCTCCTATTAAACTTACTTGGCCATCGAGAAGTAACAGCAGTAATCCATTCGTCAACGAACGAGTAATACTCTTCACCATCGAGACGAGGATGGTCCATACCAAGGTAGAGTGGGTCATTCAAGAGACTTTCATTGTTGGTGCCTACATCCAGAACCACGGGAAGCACAGCACGGGGACGAATACCGCCTGCAGCAACGTACTATACATATAATTTGTCCAAATTAATAATCTATCGCGGGCCTTCCCGACAATTCCTTCAATTTACCAAGCTCAATTTTCCGATGGGAATCTGAATTAAAAGTTTTTAAAGGTTCAGGTGAGTAATAGAGTTTGTGGTAGAATATCTTGTTTCTTTTGAGACCGGTGTTCTTACCTGCATGCCTATTCATCATTTATCATAAGAAGAAGAGTATAAGAAACGAAGTTTAGTGACTATGGGAACGAAGAATGGTAATTAAATGTTATATTTCTATTTTTACCGTTTGCGCCAAGATCACCCTATTTTTATATCAAATCTGTTAGTATCTGGTAGTAATGATACACTTGTGGTAAGTAAACAGTATACATACCAAGCCGAGCACGCGCGAACCATCCGTAACGACAATGACATCGACTTCATCATGGGGCCAGTTGTAGACCATGGCAGACATGGCACCACGGTCCTGGGAGGAAAAGTACATACCCCTGGATCGGCGGTATATACTGTGCGACTTTTGGCTTGCCAAACCGACTATATTCGTGTGCAACTTTTCTTTTTAGTATGTCTGTTGTCTGTGTATGGAAAATAATTGGAAATACCCGGCAGATCGCGGGAAATAATCGGGTTGTCGTGATTGTCGTACCTGTAGGAGTGTAAATGACACCAGACAGTTCTTCCAAGTGCTGAATCAACAGCTTGTAAAATAATGTCTCGTTACGATCTTGGAGGGCCGACAAGAACACAAACTTGGCCAAGGGCGATTCACAAGCGTCGAGATTGCGCTTGACTCGCAACAGTTGCTTATTCATTTCTTGCTGACGAGGTGGGACCAGTCCTCGAATGGACAATCGTTCTCGTTCATTAATGCTAAATGCCGTACCTAGGATGGGCAAAGTGTTAGAAACACTGGCAACGAGGGTCATAAGGCTTTTCAGCCCGGGAAAAAAAGAGAGTACTTACCTTTAGACAACAGGGGATCGTGGATCACATTGACGCCTCTTGAGTGCGTGACTTGGACAGTCTTGTCTCGGCGAGGATCTAATGCTTGGATGGCAGGTGGCGCACCATAGCAACGACGGCTCAGGGCGCGCAGGCAGGATACCTTGGAAGCAGGCGAAAGACGACAACTGGTTGAAAGCATGTTAACGAAAAACAAAGAGTAGAAAAAAAGGAAGATGCGTGTGTTGTACAAGGTCAGGTATTTTGGCCATTTTATTTTAAAGCACAGTCCATCAAATTCGGATTCCTCGCACAAGTTAAAGTATACCCGATGAAGTTTCCTTTTGAATGGGAACGTAAGTATACCTCGCGCATTTCGGGAAGTCGCTCTGGACAAATACCCCACACTTCCCAGACACCCAAGAATACCCCTGATTTAATAACACACACGCATACACACCTCTTCCCTGTGTGTACACAGCCATCAATAAATTACGTAATATCGACTTTTTTTTTATTTACAAAATGTACGTAGAGAAGAGTGTATAACCCAAAGAACGTCGTTCTATTGTTTTGTCTCTATGATACAGCGTTGTTTCTCCGAGCCTCTTCTTCGGTGAGCAGCGGCCTTTCGTCCTCGTCTTCCTGCTCTTCTGAGTGCCGCAATACTTGGAATTCATAGCCAGTTGGGCGTCCGCCTTCAGGAGCGTTCTCGGTCGATGGAACCACAGGTGATCGCCAACCCTTTCGTTTCTGGACGTACATGCCTGCTGCCAACGTTACGATGGCTCCACTTCCTACCAACGCGTATACAATTGTACTTGTGCCTCCACTCTTCCCCTCTAACTCCGAGTCTCCGTCTTCTTGGGCATCGCTGCTGGCCTGTGCAGCGGGTGATACAGATCCATCACTGTTCGTTTGCTCGGCCTTGTTATCATCATCATCACCATCACTGGCACTCGTGGTTGGTATGGATTCTTCGGACGTGCTGGGCTTCAATCTGGTAGGTCGAGCAGGCACTACTTCGTCGCCAGTGGTAGACGCTGTTGATAAGGGCGTGGTAATTGTGGCGATAGGCGTGTCTGTGTGGTCCTCGATAGGCTCAGCTGTGGTTTTGTTGCTTTTTCCTGCCAACGGCGTATAGACCGGTTCGCCAGTGAAATTGGGATCCAACTCGCCAAACAATGTCAATGTCCAATTGAAAAGGTTGCCCTTGCTGTCAGGATGACTCACGTCATATACAAGTAACGACCATTCGCCAATTGGGTCTTCTTCCCTATTAACCGTTTCATACCGTTAACATGCTTCTTGTGGTGTGTTTGGGATACTTGACTCTTTCACCTTACCAATGCTTGACAGTCATAAACTTCCAGTTGACTATACCATCAGCACTCCTGTCTGCAGGACGCATCGTAGCAAGCTCCGACTCAACCTTGTTTGGACTTAGAAGGTTAATGACAAGATCGCCACGCCGTTCATGCTCAATGTTGACTGTCGCAGTGATGTGTTCCAAACGAAGCAGGCCAGCTGCTTTGACCATATCCTTTGTCACTTCAACTTTGCTTTCCAACGCTTGTCGTTGTTCCTTTTTATGGTTCGATGAATCCGGGATGGCGAGTTTGGGTTTGTCGATATTGACTGGCAACTCCAAATGTGTCTGTTTGTTGACCAACTCAAAGGTTTTGGCAGCTTCGACAATCGCATACGCGTCCAGTTTACCATAGCCGTATTTGTGGTTATACATCCTGCCAGATGGCAGCTTCTTCCAATCTTCATCATCTGAGCTGATCGGAACCGCTGTCTGTACGCACAAGTGTTGCAAGTCGCGCCACGTCAATTCAGGACGCACTGATAATACCAATGCAAACACACCAGCAGCTGTTGGTGCAGCTGCCGAAGTGCCGCCATGATGGTCTGAGCACACACTTTTGCCCACGTTCGTCGTATAGATGTACTGCCCTCCGCCGCTTGAATACGTTACGACCATCTGTGCTGAGCAACTTTCCGAGTAAGGAGGATGTGCATTGTTGTGATCGATAGCACCTACGGTGATGGTGTAAATACTATTGGTGTAGCCGTCAAAATTGCAATTGTCGCCAGAAATAGCACCGTTGCCCGTTGCAAAGACGTAGATTGAACCTTTGCCGTCACGACCGTTCTCGATACCGTTGACAAACGCATCAGCCAAGATACCATCTGGAGCTTCCATCGTTTCACCGTTGTCAGGCGGTCCCCAAGAACACGAAAAGATATCATTTTCCTGATACTTGTAATTCAATGCCGCAGCTTCGTCTGCATCCGTAATCTCACCAGAAAGGATACGCACACCTTTAATTTTGTACGGATTAAAAACGACGTTATTCATCTCTCTATTCTCAGTTAGCGGAAAATATATTCTTTTACCTGCCACACGCGCATTATATGCAATGCCGATGCCACACACGTCGTTTTTCTGCGCAGCAATTTGGCCAGCGCAACGTGTACCGTGTGTGTCGTCAAATAATTTAGGTTTCGGCAGATCTTCATGGTCGTTGAAATCGTACGAGCCTGCAGCATACTAATTTATTATTCAATAAAGCTTGCCTTTTATTCAATCACAGGATTTCCCTCCTTTCCAAACCTTACAAAGTTCTCTGCAAGGTCTTCGCTTTCATAGTCCAATCCGTCATCCAAAATAGCGACAATGACGCCATTTCCGGTGGTGCCTAACATCAGTGCAAACAAAAGTTATAAGCAGGAGATCGAATGCTTCTACCTTTGATAACTACACATACCTTGCTTCCACACCTCAGTTACGTTGATGTCGTTACCGAAAATTTCTTGGTTTACCTACAACCCGCATAAATGTGCATATTTAGGCTAAATATCTTTCTTAACTGGTAGTCCGCAACTTCACACATACCAAATGCCATTGTCTCGAAAACCCTGGATCTTTGATATCAAGCACACGTTGAGCATCTTCTAAAATGGCTTGGCCCTGGGTTATTTCTGTAAACGGCGGTTCTCTAGGCAATGCTGCACGTTTCGATCGTCGCCTAGGTACCTGCGGATCGATTCGTTGCACACGATCCCAGTGACGCTGATCTTCATCTCGTTTGCTCAGCTGCTTCCGCGCCTGGAATGCCGCCACTATTGGATCCTCATCGTATATGGATCGTTTATGCAGGTTGCTTTTGGGAACACTAATCATGTAATAGGATTCAAGTTCACCAACCATGCCTTCAAACTGTGCACCAAGGCTTCTGGCAACGTGATGTGCTGCTTCATGCGAAGCATCATGGTCGACTTGAGGCACATGCAGAGTGTAGTAGTCCCGATCCTGTGATCGTCTAACAATGTTAGACGCACCGACCACTGTTGTGGCTATGGCCAACCATAGCCATACAAATGGCTTCATCTTTTGGGTTCAGTGTATTAGAAGCGGAAGGAAGGGGTATATGTAAATGGTAGTGTTGGAAAAGAACAAAGAGAGGGCTTGATAGCGAGCCAAGACAGTTATGTCGCATTTCCTATTGCGTTCTTTCAATCTTTGGATGAAAACGGCTAGTCTGACTCTGCAAGATGAAAGATGATACGCCCTGTGTCTGGTTGGACCTGATATTATTTGCCCTGTCAATCCCCTTGTTCCTAACCTCTTTCTTTGTGATTCACATAGTTACCATGACAAATACCGATATTAAGTTCCAACGCTGCCATTTCGCTTTACGAACAATACTCTTTCCAATCTCTTGTATAGTATAATTCTTTTCTGAGTTTTATATCTTAACGCAGCAGCATGATTTGTTCTGGAACTTATTTTACATAGCTATGAAGAACAGGAGGCTAAACTCGCATGAAACGTATACATACTAATATGGCTCGCATATAAGGAACTGATATGAATAACACAGTATTTGAATTGAGAGCGCGTAGTGATAACAGCCATTATAATCAACGACTGATATTCCAGGTTTCTTCTCTTTCCGCCTCCTTCTTTCAATGCGTTAAAGCAAGTTATAATCCACTAAATATACGTAGCGTAATAAGATACCTTCACTGCGGGGTAGTAGCGTATACTTCACCAAATGAGGGGATAACCCCTTGGAGTATTGCTCATTCGAGTTTTGCATGCTGTGATATTCTTACAAGTGATATCGAATTATAACCACGATGTCATAATACTCTTCATTGTATTATGGCGCTAGCACCGATCAAACGGTCATTATCATTGCGGTGAGTCACTGATATCCGACAGTAGATGCTTAAGCTACTTAAAGAAAATTGTCGTCGTTTTCGACAGATCTTTCATTGAAACGTATGGTCTATTTGGATCTTGGCTGGACCCTTCTGGTTACTATTTATCCAAGTCGTGTAAAGCAAATCGTCATGCTCAACAGGAGATCTTTTAATGACCCTTTCTTGGTGCGTCTTAGGTTGGATTGCGTGTCTAATTTACATAAGGTAAAAAATATAGTCACTTTTCTTAACTGGATATGTAAGCGATCCATACAGTATAAAAGAAATGTTGGACATCTAGCAAGGAGCGCTATTCGCGAAAAGAAAGAAGAGACCATAACATTGCAAATTGATCCATTTTATGCACGTACTGCATACAGTATATACACACTCTTGCGGTGAAGTATCTACTTCTTTGTTATGTGTACTGTATAATAGAACTTCTCAATCATAGCGGTGGTCTCAAACTGAGCTGAAACGGGAACGATAAAGGACTGTAACTGCTTTTTAATGTTACCGACAATTTTTATTTCCTCTGTTAGGTTTAAAGATTGTGTTTTGCTAATTACATAAGGCTAAATGGACCGGTGACTATGTGTATGCGGTCACTTCTTTGAGATACAGATGTAGAGAAAGAAATACTGGCTTGCTTTACGCTCATTGATGCAAAACTCGGTCAACCACAAAGGTTCTGAGTCACGTCTTATAATGGGTGAAGCCGTTCGCTCTTGCAATTTGTAATTGTTCAAGCGTAGAACCATGCTCTTTTTGGACAACACGGTGTGTTGTCTTATCGCTTTTGTCTACTTCTTATGGTCCCAAATTGGCAACTACTCAGAAATACTGTTTGCCAAAGGGATTTACACCGCACATGCCTATACTGTATGTAGCTAACAAAGTTATACGAAGCTTCGTATAATCCATTGAGGTCAATAACACCTTTTTCATCCGGGATCTCACAACCCGAGCCTTTTCCGCTTTCTTCTCGTCTTTTTGCAAACGGCTGAGTGAGAACCATCGGCGCCAATAAAGTACTTTCGGTTTACTTTTGTTTCTTAGCCTGTCACAGACAGTATGCTTAATAAGTATTGCTTCGACGCGGCCCTCGCCTTGTAAATTTTCGATCAGTTGAGTGTGCCAGGCAATACAATCCGAACCCACCAATCGACTCATTACCGTTTCTCTTATCTCTTGTGGAACACACATGTCATTTGAGAAAGCTCTTGTCACCGTTCACATCACATTGTGCCAGCCCGTATGTGAAAAGAGTCTGCACACGTTATTGCAGTTAGCAATTATTTGAGCAACCTTCGATCCTGTTGGTAATCTGCAAATAACACAATTGATACAACCATTCCAACAGCTCGACTTGAAGATTATTGTAGAAAGATTCTGAATTACTGTAGACAGAAATACAGATTCGTCCCCATACGCTCTGTTTTTTTCGCCTTACAATACAAATGTGAACACAAATTTTATTAAACTTGATCTGGTATTGTCCCACTCGAACAGTCGTATGTGGTGTTGGCTATTATTGAGTTTTTAGTTTCTATACACATTTGTTCGTTGCCTTTGTTGTCACCCCTTACTGCTGCTACCTGTGTCAGTGAACTCGCTGATACATCATTGGCTTGAGGTCTTTGTTTAGCTCCGTGCCACCACCACACAGAAGAGTTGGATTCGGATCACATTTACGCTAATTTGAAGTGCCCTTGTTGTCGCTCGCATTTGCTATTAACTAAGCAATGCTGTCAACTTCGTGTATCGTTTTGGCAGATATCGATTGTCGGCAATAGCAGTTCTTTGACAGTTGCTGTTGCTCAGGTTTGCTCCTTGACCTGTTTTTGCTGTCACCACGATAGAGATAGACGAGCTTCACCAATTTGATGTTGTCGCTTGGCGTTTTGTTGCTATACGTATATAGAGATACATATATCGGAGTCATTGTAGTGTCTCTGTTTACTCAGAAAGACGTACGTGTTGTGATCCGATGCCAATATCGTCGAACCTAATGATAGTGTCCCCTCATTATAATAATGGCTTGCTGTTTATCGCCTCTTCTTATATTTGGTTGTCACCACACTCGGAGCCACATATTAATTGAATGATAAACCTGTTTCTTCGTAGATTGAGAGCCGTTTGTCCATGGTTTTTTGCTCATCGCCATAACGGCGCACGCATATCATAAAGTTTGTTTTGCCAGTAAAATGGCGTTGACCAGCTTGTAATGTTGCTAGCTGTGCTATTATCAGCCTTCCAGATTTTCGACCCATCCCCGATTGCCACCATATTAAATCTTGCTTCCTTCTTTTTGAGCTGTGGTTGTCATGAGCCTTCGTTGTTCTGTTGTCATTGCATTAAATTGACTAGATGAAGAGTCGCTCAAAATGTTGTCATATGCCTGCAACTGCAATTATTGCCACCGTGTTCAAACGTCGTTGATGCCGATGCAATTCATTTTGTTGAATTGCCGTTGTCAAATGAGTAAACACTGTTTTGTAATTACAAGCAGTGTGAATACATCCACTCGATTTGACGTTGATTTATTTGAGCAGTTGCCGTTTGCACTGTTGCCAATTCTTCCCCGCTTACGTACGTTTCGCTTTGCTGTCTCCATATTGGAAGCTGCTAACGCTGACGTTGCCTTTAGCTATAGATATGTTGTTTTGTGCAGGCTTCTACTGCCTTGCGTAACTTGATGGTCTGATACATCACATTGGATCGTTATCCGCGTTGATATCTTGTCGTCGCTACAATATCCTGCTATTTGCTGTTACTACGATCTGCGATGATGATACTCGTTGATTTTATCATGATCTCCTGTTGAGACGCAACCTTTGATGTTGCACGTAGTTAATAGCCACAGTAAAGTTCGAAGACGACGACGGGTACTGTCCGCTTCTCGATAACTTGTAGGTGATCACACAAATTAAACCCGTGGAGATTCTTTGGTGGATATTGGTCCGTAGTTGTTTCGGTGTACAATAATTGGTACGACGTTGATACATATTGCTGTTTTGTCTGCTCGAATTAAGCAGTGCCAAAATCTAACCACCACAACTTGCGGTTGGTCGGTCAGTGATATGCGTGTGCCTCGAAGATAGATATCAGTGTAAGCTTGAAGAGATTCGTCGTCATATCGCCATAAATACAGTAGTAGCTAAATATGTGCCTTCTTGATTTATATAACAGACGTTCATGCTTGTAAACCAACGTCTTGGGAGCGCACATGGCTGTAGTTGTTTGAGACCGGCAACGTAAAGTGAAAAGTTCGCCCAACATTGACAGATAAGGGGTCCGTTTTGACAAGAGAGCGATCAAGCCAAAGACGGGATTCTGGCAATCCTCGAATCGAAACCAAGTACAGTACTCGTCTAGCTAAGATTTGACGCTATCGATAGCAGTATAACCGCCATAACTGCTTGTCATTCATAAAGACCACACGGAGCGACGTGATCAAGCCAAAGAGGGTATTCTCGCAAACCCGGATTTTTTACTCGGCTAGCCTGGAAAGCTGAAGCTTCCCCATCGCGGCGTACCACCACACCGCACGCCAGACACCCCGCCCGGACACCCCCTTCAGGAATCCCCAAGGCAAAGGTGAAGGATTGAGGTTGGACCAACATGGCAGCGACACTGACTACAACGGTGGGGAACCCAGGATATGAAAGGGCGAGGATAGCTCTGTTTGAGCTTTCGGTCGCGGGGATTGAGGGAACAACACTGCTCTGGTTGCAAGGGCTTCTGCAGATACACCATCCACATGAGCTGGAACTGACTGGTATGACAACGGAAAGGAATAAATTCCTAATAACTGGCCTCTCTTCGCCTTCTTCACATCCCATCCGAGGTGAATGCGATACGAAGAAGGTGATAAGGAAATGAAAAAGGATATATCAGTTAGTAAGCCTCTTCTTGTAAAGATCGTCGTAGGTATCAAAGAAAGCATAGTACGTGCCGTAATTATACAAGCTCGGCGTCTTGGGTTGTCATTTGCTGTCAAGAAGAACCGCCGCTGTACATGTGCCTCGATGGTATATTCCTGCTGCCTACACAACCAGAGCATTGCTCCCCTCCCCACCACCGGCTCTACCATCATCGCTATCCCCGTGTGTCCCCCAAACCCCTTCACCCCCGGTGGCTGTAGCCAGTGCCACCGCCAATGCCAGTGTCAACCCCAACCCTTACCTCCTTTACCTTGACGAAACCATCCACCGATATGTCCGGGCCGCACCCCATCGCCTGACGAAGGCGGAGACCGCCAGACACCCGCGAGCGCCGTGGCCGTACCACGTCTGTAGATGTTACTCGGTTTCATCAGTATATCATTTTTGGCGTGATAGCAGTATAATATCATTCTTTAATCACTTGCGGCAACCACAACCCAGCCAAGCCGCCGTTTGCAACGAGCGCGCACCCAAAATGCGCCCAAACAAGGCCCAAAGGGCCAACACACCACAAAGGAACACCGAGAAAACCGGAAGAGAAGGAACCAGAGGAGGGCGGAAAAAAAAAGCGGATACGGATGGGAGAGAAACGAGAACAGCGGAAAAGAAGACAGGAGGACCTATTCAAATCGACAGCAATGTTAATATTAGCCTTGTTTGTGTACACGTAAAAACAGCGCCCTCAGCTTACCAATAATCACAGAGATTTTTTTGTGGGCTATAAGTTCGAATGGGAGAAACTCTGTCAATGATCGCGTGCAAAAAAACAAGTGGCGCATATGAGATACTTACTTTTCAAAGAGATTTTTAACTTTTTTTTGGGTCTACAATAGAAGTTAAAATAGTAAAGTTAGCTTCTAATGGTCCCATGAGGAATAGCCGGTGGCCTGGTTGTAGCTGTTGCTTACAGAAGTCTTCGTAAAATAATACGGGATGGAAAGCAGGTAAAGAAAAAAAACGGAGGAAGAAGTTAAAAAAAATGGTATATATTGGATGAATTTCCTTTTCCGGGTTATCGACTTTTTGACCTTTCTTTTTGGAACCAACGATAGTGATGACGCTCTAAGCAACGCGTTAGATACAGTATCTAGGAGATAAAGTGGCCAGAAGGTCTCCGAGCTCTGCAACTCACACTAGTGACCTCCCTGTACCGGTACGACTTGATCGCTTCTCGCCACCCTCGACTTAAATACCGAGATGGCTGAGCCAAAACACTTTGGAAATAGCCACGCACAAAGACGAGATTAGTGTGTGCATTTAGCCTGGAACGTGCACATTGCAAAGGGAAATGTCAGGTTAAATGCCATTGCCTTGGTGAGATGAGCGACGCGTTTCTCCGCGTACCCAGTGTGCTTGTGTAAGATGGTAAGACCTGGGTGGGCACGTGATGCTGTCAACTCTTTATCTTTTTCCTTTTTTGGGGAATCGGCTGATCAACTATAGAATCACTGCAAAGTAATACTCTCTGCTCACTTATTCAGTCTTGGGAGCATAAAAGTAGTTACTACTCCCAACAGCGCAAACTAACAAAGATACGTGCTGGCCCTGTAACGAAAGTGACAACGACAAGCAAAGTGACAGACAGAGACGTGGTGAACAAGTCGAACAATAACAATAGATTGACCGTCTCCTGAGAGAGTGCGTGTGTAACCCGAATGGTTTTTGTGTAACCCCAGAAAGACATAAAAAGGCCCAAGTAACTTTTCCCTTTTTTTTCCCTCATTCCTTCTTTCGCTACATTCAAGATGAAATTCATTACAAAGGTCAGTGGAAACGAGTACATAAGCAAATTGATCACAAAGATCAAAATAGGCCGGGGCGGCCGTGTCAAGAAAGTGACAGTGACTGCGAAGAGTCGCCGCCGCCATCGCCGTAACGCAACCACCACCGCCACTAGCACCAACAGCACCGCCACTAGCACCAACAGCACCGTCACTAGCGCCAGCAGCAGCAGCAGCAGCAGTAGCAGCAGTAGCAGTAGCAAGAGCAGTAACAGTAGCAGTGCCAGTAGCTATAGCAAGAGCAGCAGCAACAGCGATGATGAAGAAGAACAAGAAGCAGCAGCAGCACCGGTGGACGTCTCTCAGGTGGAGAGAATGGAGAACGTTGGTGCCTGGCTTTCAGGCATCGTCGCGATGTAAGCTGCGTCTTTCCTGTCCCAAGTCTCCCTCTCCCCAACACTTTTCATACATAGTCTTTTCTTCCGCATCTCCCCTTTCCTAGTATTATAATAAATTACCATTCAAAAAAGCTCTCAGCTTTATGCTGTGAGAAAATTGAAAATCATCATCGTTTTAATTTGTTTTTACTGCACAAGCGTGTGTCTTGTGTGCACGTATCAGTAAATCATGCTGTTGTTGTTTGTTGATGGCGCACTATGCATTCTCAGTCATTGCAAAAAGAATCAAGTTATGTTCTTGCTGAACTTCCATGTAATGTCGCACTCTAGATGTCGTACAACGGAAGTCATGCTCGTTTGCAAACGTGTCTGTGTCATAAATGCGTGCCCTTGATGATGATGCTTACGATATGTGATATTAGGTAAGCTGATCCAATCAGGGCCTACATACCATATGTGGGATACATGCCACTGCATTTTTTGCTTCGAGAAAAGATTATGAATAAAGGAAGTATGAGCTAGCAGCAGCAAAAGCTTAAGATCTACTCGATTGATAATGACGTTGACAACCATCGCAAGAAGTGCTGACAGCAGAAAAACATAGTTCGCTTGGACGCTAGACATTAATACGTATTATGCAGCAGGAACACTTTCACCTTTCCCTTATTACTACAACCACAATGAGCTTGTCTATCTTCAGGCCTTCTCCAGCTGTTTGACGAAGCTTTCATGGCATGCTGAGGGCTTCTCCTACATATACTTTGCTGTTGATACTTTTTTATAGTAAAAGTGAATAGTCGTTGTTATAGCTGCCAACAGGAGGATGACTTAAGCAGTCCATCTCCCTGAGGATTCGGTTTAACGCCGTCTTCCCTTTATTAAAGAGCAGCACTTTGGGAGAATGATGATAAGATAAATTGAATAATCATGATAATACTAGATTGTGGCATTTTGCTTTTCGGTGTAAAGCTTAGAGTGTATACACAACCTATAGAAAAGTGACGAGTTAGCCTGCAGACCATAATAATTCGCGGTCAATCCACGTTGTTAAATATAAAGAGATGAAAAGGCCGCTTTCTTTTCGTGCTTAGAGTGCTTGCCCAAATGATTAACGACCACATGTCCGGGGGATTAATGTGCCGGTGGCTTCAATGTCATAAAGGGCGGGAAGCATAAAAGCTACATAGTAAATTACATGGTGATAAAGTTAAATTCTGATATGAGAATGGATAGCATGGATGGCGGCCTGAGATACCTATTTAGGGATGAAAGTGTGGGAGTTGGAAATATGTTCCCATTGGGGCACACTGGATGGCGAGTAGGATATGTATATGAAAGTTATGTGCCATGGAAGATGGGTTATACGGTTTAATACCAGTGGTAATGAAGGATAGTATTGCATCTAAATTGGGATCTGGTGCATAAAGTACTGACAGACGGTGATTCATATGGTGCACTGGTTTAACCAATGCGAAATATATTTGTCAATCCCTTAGCCTTGAATACTACAAAGCTGCGTACACGTCCAACCTCGCCACATATTGCTCCGCTCAATGCAGCAGCAATGGGTAACTTTATGAAGAAACAGAAGGAAGACGAAACAAACATTCATTAAAGATTGCCCGAAAATAGACCTATGCAAAGCGAGATATATACGTGCTATGCATCAATAGATGGCACATGTATGTAAAAGATGATACTTTGAATAAGATCCTCGCATTTGTTGAAAGAGTTATTTTCGTACAACATGTGATGAAGGTGTATAAGATGCATACCACTGAAAAAATGTGCATCCTTTAAATATGACATATATATTTAGTATCAGGTACAATTACAACATGGATGAACTAGCTATGAATATATGCATACAGTATAGCAATTCCCGACGAGCTACTCTAAGTGACACCGTCAGTACCTGAATCCGGGCTTTAGTCATGTTCTACGATCTTGCGGAATACCACCTGCCAACAGTTTAGTGATTACAAAACATAACGGAAGCCTGGGTGCTATAGATATAATTACAATCCAGTATAAAATTTAGTAAAGGGACATGTATGTTCAAAATCTAGTATGTCTTTTTTCTAAATACCTTTTCACCAAGCTCTGTTCCCTCACTAGCGATACGGTACTCTTCCGGTGTCATGTTGTCCCGTTTCTTATTTATGCGATAAAGAGTGAACTTCATCATTAAAGCTGTTACAGCACATCCAGCCATCAAAACCAAGCAAGCCGTGTGACCTTTGATATACAACGGTGCATCATATGCCCTATAAACTTGGCCACTTGTAGAATAGTAGTATAATACAATCGTCTCAGTGATATGAAAGAAAGGGGAGTTAGTGCACGATCCTTGATAGTATCACTTACGAGATGGCTCCGCTCGTGTTGCCGAAACTTGTAACCAATGCAACTGCCACGTTGCGTCTTGTGTGCCCGCCGAAATTGTTTGAAAACCACGATGTCATTGGAGGAATTATACCAAAGGCTCCCATAGTGCCTATGATTGCCCCAATATATAGCGCAACGGAGCTGGTGCTGTGTAGTGTAATCATAAGAACGTAGCCAATGAGTGAAAAAATCGCAGAGAACGCCATATGAAATCCACGTTCACCGCGACGGTCAGCATCATAAGCGTTCATGATACACCAAACAAATGCTATGATACACAATCATTAGAAGATATTGAATTGTTTTTTGAATCGAACGGTTGGAACTCCTCTCCGTCCGAGAAAAGGTTAATAGATGGCTCTTACCACAGGCATAAGGGGGAGATGACATTAATTGCGCTGTTAAATTCGTGTAGCCCATTCCATTCACGATGCTAGGCATAAACATGCTGAAGCTGTAAACAGGAATGGCTGCACACAAATAAATGACTGAATATGCGTAAATCTTCCAATCGATAAAAGTAGAGCCGACTTGATGCCACGAAAAATGTGTGTCTGTAGCCACACCAGCATCTCGCTTATTTCGCATCACAATAATTTCTCGCTCACGTTCGTTCAAGACTACAAGAGTATTAACAGATCATAATTTTTAGTCGGAAGAGGCTGATAGGTAAAAAAAGGGACGATTAACGGTAAATCACTTTTTCATCCTGTGTACACTTACACCTTGCTGACTCGGGATAGTCAGGTAGAACAAAATATGTGAGTACTCCAAGAAGCAAGGTCGGTATCGCTTCAATGATGAAAATCCACTGCCATCCCGAAAGACCTCGTAAACCTTCCATGTGCATGATACCGTAGGCCTCAAAATTTAAATAAAAAGGTCGTTCGCACAAGATATTAGACGTATAAGCATTATGACATTCGATAGAGTACTTCCAGTAACAGCATTACATACCAAAACGCCGCCGAATGCCTGATTGATTGCTTAGAGTTAATGATCGGTCCGAAAATTGTAAAATGTTCTTAATCTCATTTTCTGATAAAAAAAAACTTCGTGTACGAAAACAGGTACGTACCCCTGCAAGTGTTGAGCTTCCATAAAACAGTGCGATTCGCAATGCTTGCTGTCTTCTAGTGTACCACACCGAAAGGTAAAAAAGCACGCCCTTGAATTATTACCGACAGTAAATGATTTCACAAATTAGTATGTATGTATCATAGTTAATATGTTTATCGACAATATGCAATTCGCAAGAAATAATTACAGGATACAATGCTGACTCAGCTACTCCAAGAAAGAAACGAGCGACCATTAGTTCCGGACCATTCCTGCATGCAGCCATTGCAGCCATTATAGCGCCCCAAATTATCATCTAAACAAATAGTATACATATTTAGTTCCAGTAGCAGCTGTGAGTATCAAATCTTCTTCATTCTAAAGCAGTAACTTACAATAATTGAAATCCATATTCTGGGACCTAGAACTTTCAACATTAAATTTGAAGGGACTTCAAACAAAACCTACATAATGATAGAGAAGTGATCAAGTCTAGTGAGCACACATTACAATCCAGAGTCACTCTTACTTCGAGCACGCAACAACCAGAAAAAATATAGAGCACTTTAATAAGCAATGAGAATGAAACTTACATAGCCGATAAAGAAGATTGATAAGGCCCAGTTGTATTGCGACTCCGTAATGTCTATATCCTCCATTAAGCCGGCAATCTTCGCATTGCCTATTATCATTCAAAAACCATATGTTTTGAGTTAGAGACATATAGTGAGCTTCATATATGAATATGATCAGTACATGTCTTGACACTATATATATTGTGTTTACATACCGATGTTAACACGATCCAAGTAAGAGCACAAGTAAAGCAGGGAGATGTACGGGATAATCCGGCGATCAAGCTTCCACATTAATCGTCTAAGCTCCTTCTCATCTGGCTCGATGAAATTATCCGATTTCCCATCCGACGAGCTGTTGCTCTTGGCAATAGCAGCTTCAACGTTATCAGCATGCTCAATTTGAGTGCCACTTGCTAACGCAGTTTTCTTTTCGTCGCTATAGTTGGTATGTTCACCAGTGTCTTTCCGAAAACGCGAAAACATGTTTACAAAAGAAAAGTGTTGATGCGAGCATTAGCAGCTAAACGCTATGCAGCAGCCTTTTATACTGTATGGCACAGATGATTGATGAACACCCACGCGACCTATTTTCGTAAATGTAAAACGGGAGATGTTGGAAACAAGCGTGGAACTCAGGTACAGTGGAATCAACAAACAGTAGAATATACAGATACGCATCCATTATTCGCACGGCTGCTGTTGTGGGTACCAATACACAAACAAGCTAAAATCATGGCCCATAGTAGAATAATCATTATCAGCGGCATTGAGAATACAAGATGGTGGTGCTAACACTGAAAGAATTATGTTCCCATCGTGCTTGACATGTTACTTTTTCCGGAGACTTACTAGAGCAACCTTTCGGAGGAAAAAGCAAAGGATAGTATTTTGACGTAAACATGGTTGTAGGTGACATCTACCCTTAGGTATTGAGCTGTTATAGACATAAAATTTTTTAAAAAAAAAATAATAGTAAAAAGAGTACGCCATACGTCGAATTCCTATTTCATACATTCTTCCTCCCTTTCTCTATTTCATGCGTACCGGGGATACGGATATGATGAACGCAGTCCATAAAAAACCATTGACTCGAATTCTCACACTATTGATGTTGATACGCTCTCTCTGATCGATTGGGCTTTATTGGAATGAAAGGAATACCGATAATTCTCGGCTATGGAATCGTGTGAGAGCGGAATTATGTAAGGTGCGAACTGGGCTGCTTAGCAAACCTTTTCTAAAATATGACGGCTGAAAGTAGTTTATAGCAAGCAACGATATTGATCGTCAACTCCTAGATGTCTGGTTTTCTCGGTTGCAGATCTGCAGTGTGTAGTCACTCTATTATATACCAATTGGATCAGCCTTGAAGTTAGCAATTTTTTTATGATGAGTGATAAAAGTGTCCATCTCAAACCTTTTTACATTGCTACATATAACAGCAGAGGACTAAAGCGCTTAATTCCTAGTTTGCAATAGTTCTTTGTAATGAATTTTACGATAGAGAACACTGGAACCAATAACCTTCTTTTTGTCATACGTTACCCAAGTTTTTCAAGGAGTCTGTCTCTTTCTTTTTTAATAATGCTGTCATCATTTTCATACACAACACAGCGATATAATAAATGGATGCATCAATCATGCGTTTAACCACCAATATTTTTTTTAAAGAAATTAGAAAATGACACCAGCAACTGCATAGTAATAATATATGTATGTATATCCGGCATCTTTCAAGCACAAAACAGCTGCGTCAAAACGACTTTCAAGCGCAACACCAACAGCTCATTTCCTACGATCGTACTTATGATGCTGGCCGATCTATCATCTATGCAAGCTCGCATCCGAAACCTCCAGTTAAAAATTTGTCACCCGTCTATGATACACTCTCTGCCTGTACCCAGCATGGCTAGATCATTTAAACTCTCGCTGCTTTGGAGTACGGAAAGCGACGACTATTGGAGGAAAACAACTACCACCAATCCTCTGCACCGACGATATCAGAAGCTCAAGAACGAGAACAACACGCCGAACGACGCAGTAGAATTAGCGATCTCCCAGAAGCGGCGGGATGAAGAACTTTCCCGTCGGCGCAGCTCGTTCAAAACCATTCGATGCCTCCGGCCCTCCAGGAACGTTGACCCCATATGGTGCACACACCTTATAATCCACAATTTTGAAATTTGTTTCAATTTCGAGTTTTCAGATTCCGCTTCTATATATGGTAGTTTTTAATCATCAATGCTTACTTTCCGATGGGAGCTTGCAATTTTGGTTATGAATATCCTCACTTCTTCATCTTCTGCCCAGACATCCTCTCCCTTTACTTATATGCTTCTATATAATAAAACCATCTTTTGTAATATCTACGAATCTTTGTGGGGTTATTGGGGGAAAAGCTTAGTCTAAAGCAATAGGAAGGTGTTTCTGAAGGCCAGCAGAGGAGTTGTCGCACATTCCTCATATGCAGCTGCAATTGCTCCATTATAGTGACGAAGTTACCGATTTCTGTTCAATTGTGCTATTTAGCAGCTTTCTTTTAATCTTTAGGACGAGGTATAATGGAGAAATTGTGTGGAATACGCATGAGAAGGCAAAGCAAACATGAACCTAAGTTAGTAGCCAGTCGTAAGTGGCTTTGGACCGCTTAAATATTTTACCCATAAGGCTAAACTTGATTTCCGCTTGCATAAGTATAATCCTATATGTTTCAATTTGCTATCCCTCAGCCAAAAGTGACCAAGTTCAGAAGCCTATAACTTTTTTTAAAGAAGCAAGAACTCAAATCTAATCCACAAATATTATTTTTAAAGGTCTAAAAAACATAAGTAGCCGCTTCTTTTTTTATTTTAAGGTGACATTAAAAAGTAGTAGGGATTCAAAGATTACCTACAAATTTGCGGATTATAAGGTGCTTGCACCATACCCTATCTGGCCGCTTTCCCAAGAGACCGCCGTCGCCTCATCAGATGGAGAATGCACTGGCTGCCATTCTATCCACTCAAGGATTGTCGTTGCGGAGCACCACGCGCGAAACGGGAGCACTACACCAGCTGCCCATCCCTGACACCACTACTTCAGCAGTTGTACACGGCCTTCGGCACTACACCAACAATCACGTCAACGAGCTACATACCATCGACCATGTCATGAACAAACCACCACGTTCCAATATAGGATTGTCTCGCGGCAAATGAATAACGACCTGGCCGGCATTAATTCGCATGCTGCATAAAGTTGACAAGTTAAGCCACTCGGACACTGTCTACGACTCAAATGAACCGACACCCAAGGAAGCGCTAGACCTGGGCAATGTGGCATCATCATCATCCCTACATCCCTTACTACACTCATGGCGTCTATAAACAACTCTTTTCTTCCCCCTCTCACATCTGATCTTCACTCTTCCTTTTCTTATTTAGTTCTCCTCACCAAACGTCTCAATCCGGCTTGACTTTTCCCCTCATTAGAAGGGTTTTTTCAGTTAAAGCACCACCTCCTATGTATTTTGTTTCTTCTCAACCACCGCACAGCAAGGAAGAGACATGAATGCTATAAGCGTATCATCATTAGTCTTCCAATTAATATTAACTTTTAACTATATCCGTAATATAACTATGATCGTTTTAATATCACCTGTACCTTCAACAAGTATATGCTTTACAGTGTGGACACTCATCATGTACCGGAATTCAGAACTGAGGCATTTGTTCAGCTACATAGCTCTAGAAGACGCTGGTTTGTAGCCCAGGCTGCTGCTCTATATGGCAAGTGTGATACCTTCAAACAAATGAGAGGACATATAAAAAATGTATATGAAAAAGCAGAAAAAAAGTGGCGACTGTCACCCATGCAGCATCGCTGTGAACCTGCCAGTGGTTATTATGATATGTATGAAAGTGCTGTCACATTAAAAATGCTGTATCATCACCAGTGAACGTACCCTCCTAATTTGCATCAAAAAACAAGCTCAAGATCTATGTGCACATTTTACAATGACACTGTCATCCTTATCACTACGACACCTGTTCTTTATTGATACACACACTGATCCTATATCTATACAGATATGACAATCAAGCTTTAGCATATCTAACACAGATATTTTTTTGTTGAGCATAAGTCATCGCTTCCTGAGTAATCATTGGACACACTCGAACCGCGATATATTTCAAACTTGAGCTGTTGTTAGCGAGCGCCATAACACCGTCGTTGCTGACTTGGCGCAAAGCAAGCAGTTCTACCCGTTCCAGGCGTTTCAGATGCGACAAGTTAATCATAAACGTGTCGCTGCAGGCGCTTATCGTGATCAAACGCACTTCGACAAGATTGGTAAGCTGCCTCGCTACCACTTCCAGCGCGTCCCCGATAGCAAGGCTCCTGTTGCCAGATAATTGCAACTTTTCGATGCTTTGTATGTTAGCAAGTGCAGCAAGGCTGGCGTTGCTAATAAGATGGCTGCACAAATGGATGTCTTTGAGTGCTGGTGCGTGTTGTTGCTCTTTATTATCATTGTTATCACTTCCTGTTATTCCGCTTTGTGATGCGATGTTATTCAAGAAATACGTTAGACGGTCGGACGTTAATCGAGAGCATCCTCGAATGATCCGAAGCTGTTCCAGGTGCGCGAGATCCAACAGGGCATCAAAAAACGGGTCTTGTATGAGGGGCATCTGGTCGAGTGTGATTGCATGAAGTGACCGGCATTGGCGCAGCAGTGAGAGTATGGTGTTGGTATCGATTGCTAAACGCTTGAGCGTAAGTGCCCGCAGACAATCTCCATGCAAACTGGAAAACGCGTCCCAGCCACGGAATTCTTCAGGTTCAATGCCTAATGGCCCGTGTATTTCTACTGTTTCCAACGAGCTCCTACTATGCGCCAAGAATGAACAGATCTGATATCCCTGTGAGACGTCTCTAGCACCCAACAGCATTGATATCGTCCTCAACCGTTGACTCGTTGTTATTGTTAATGATGATGATCCCAGTTCTTCAGACGTCGATACTGCCGATCTGTCCCAACCTTTTGCCCCCAAAGGAAACTCCTTCCAAAAAAGATGCTGAAGTCTTGGTAAACGCTGCCGGAGTCGTTCGAGCAGCACTGTCGGACAAGGATATAAACCGTTTTCAAAATATTCCAGATTCGGACAAGCACGGAATATGCTATCGAGTTTGCGAGGCATATCTACCATTGCAGAAACCGATACATGCAATGATAGGTGGACGAGGTCTGATAAAACAGGCAGATTGTCGAAAGAATCTTCAATAGCTCGTATCTGATTGACGTACAGTGCTAGATGCGTAAGGTGGGTGCATATTGACCAAACGGGAACAAATATATCGTCGTTGACAGCCTGGATGTATAGCTGGAGACGTTTCAATGTAGGGCTGACCTTCCGCAGATTTTGAAGAAGCAAGCTGGATGATAATCTTGTAGATTTTATAACTATACCAGAACAACGCCATAATAATCAGAACAACAATATAGCTCTCCTTCCCACACCGTGTAAAGATTGAAAAGTACGTACGCAGGGTATGTAAAGTTTTACATTCGCTTATCAACTGGATCCACTGGTCTCCGGGGTCAGTAAGTTCTAACCGATGGATATGGCCTGCTGCTGCCTGCGTAACTTTAAAAAACATCGCATTGTTCAATGTGCCGCTGCTCGAAGACACCTCTACTTCGCGCCATGCTTCCCGACAATCCCCCACTAGAGTACGCCAGTTCTTGTTCACCAGCATGCACTCTACGAGCTGTAGGTTTGGCACATGAGCGAACACCCAGGACAAAAGTTCGATTGGTAGCGCAGCAATGAAATCGACGCCCTTGTCATGCTTCACTTCTTCTTCGACGGACATCACTGAGTGACGGGATTCGCCTTTTGAATCCTTTTGAGTAGCCACTACCTCGTCACTGGCAGAGTTGTTTATGCCAACTACACCGTTGCTGCTCATTGCTGTTGCTTTTTTTTAATTGGGCTGTCTTTGTGTTAAAAACGTTTTTAAAGGGGGTTTGATATGTTCCCCAGCTTATATGCGCGCAGTGATTATTGAGCTCTAAGGTTCTAGCCTTTTTTGTCAAACGGTTCTTAGTAAAGCACTGACATACACTCCAAGATTTGGTGCGACGTTTTATACAAACCGCATAGATTGAACTGCGCCGGCTTAGCATTATCGATAATCGCTGGTCCGTACCGGAGAGGATTGTACGAGACAAAACTTTTACGACCATATCATACCTTTCTATTCCTGGTGCATACATCAACAATTTCCTCCTTAGGAGGCGTGGCTGTGCACAACAGTAAAGCTGAAGGGCTTTGACCTGTACCTTTTCATACTGCTTGGAAAACTTTCACAGGCATACCGAATAGTGTAGACTGTGCAGTACTGTGCAATCGATAACCGTAAGACTGCGCCACCATCAACAGTTGATTTTATTCAGTGCAGTGCTGGTAACCTCCATGAAGTCTCTTCTGTTTGGTGTTGTACATTCATACCAAGCGCAGAAAGCCGATCATCATTCAAGCAGCGAGCCTCTCAGGTGATACAAACCTTGGATGACAAGCCACATTTTGTGTGCTACTCAATGCAAAAAAATCGAGGACTTGAATTTTGGACTTTTCATACCCTATCATTTTTTTGTGTGTGTGCTAAACCATGGCCAAAATTCAAAAGAAGGGAAAGAAAGGAAACGCTGCCAACTTTATTACGAGACAGCAAGCCTTGAAGAAGCTTCAGATCTCCCTAGCCGATTTCAGGTGAGTACTATATCTGAAAGATATTTTCGAGATCCAAAATGTCTCAAAAGATAGATCGATCTAACATGAATGAAACACCTGTGTAATAGACGTCTTTGCATCTTAAAAGGCATCTATCCTCGCGAACCACGCAACAAAAAGAAAGCCAACAAGGGTTCAACCGCACCTGCTACTTTCTACTACACCAAAGACATTCAATATCTTCTTCATGAACCTCTCCTGAACAAATTCCGTGAATACAAAACGTTTGCCCGAAAGCTTAACAAGGTTCTTCACAAGGGCGAATACAGCACAGCCAAGTCATTGGAAGATAACCATCGCCCAATTTACTCGCTGGATCATATTGTTAAGGAGAGGTAAGAAGGACATTCCTGTGTAGATTCATGATGAATGCAAGAGAGTTATTCACATCAAAGGTTCATTGTTATTGTAGATACCCGAGCTTTGTTGACGCCTTGCGTGACATGGACGATGCCATTTCGATGCTTTATCTGTTCTCCAAGATGCCCACCGATAGCAAGATCAAGGCTAAGATGGTCAAGGACTGCCAACGTTTGATCGCCGAGTTCCAAGCATACGTGGCAAAGTCCAAAAGCTTGCGCAAGGTGTTTTTCTCTATTAAGGGCATTTACTACCAAGCTGAGATCAAGGGTCAGACCATCACTTGGATTGTGCCGTATCAATTTGCACAGGATGTAAGCACACATTTTGCGGCTGAAAGGCCATAAGCTCGGGAATCTGGATAGAGAGAAAGGTTTAAAGAAAGGCTGACGCTTAAAACGATGGGTTTGACATAGGTACCAACCGACGTTGATTTCCGTGTGATGCTGACTTTCCTTGAATTTTACACCACCTTGATGGGATTCGTCAACTTCCGTCTTTACAACGAGCTCAACATTGCCTATCCCCCCAAACTCGACGACACCGGCAACTTGAATCTCGGCGCGTTGCCCGCCAGTATGCGAAACGATGGTGAAGACGTCGCCCCTGAGACCACTTTAGACGAGTTTAAGACGGTCGGAAACGCAGCAGAAGGAGAGGAAGAGGCAGAATCGGAAGACGTGGCTACTTTGCGCAAAATCCAGGAGCACTCGCAAGAAGTTTCATCTTTGCAGCATCTGTTCTCCAAGTGCGTGTTCTTCCTTTCTCGCGAAACGCCACGATACGCTCTCGAATTTATGATCACATCCTGCGGTGGCCAGGTCAGCTGGGACCCAACTGTAGGTGCCAACCCGCCTTACGCTGAAGACGACGAACGAATCACCCATCAGATCAGCGATAGACCCAAGGTCAACAACCGTGTCTTGTCCCGCGCCTATGTACAGCCTCAATGGATCGCCGATTGTATCAATGCTCGCAAAATCTTGCGCCCCAGCTTGTACGAACCTGGCAATACTTTGCCCCCTCATTTGAGTCCCTTCGTTGAAGCCAAGGAAGGTGATTACGTACCGGAGGGTATTGATGAAGAAGACAATGCAGAGGGCAGCGGAGCTGAAGAAGAAGAAGAGGAGGAGGAGACTGGCGCTGCTGCAGAGGCCGAGAATGAAGAGGATGAATACGAGCGCGAGCTCAAGGCCGAAGCTGCTGGTGTCACTTTCTCCGAGTACCAGAGCCCCGCGGAAGGCAAGAAGTCTGCCAAGGGCAAGAAGCGAACTGCTACTGACGTCGAGGAAGCAGAACGCAAAGAAATGGCACATGTGATGATGACCAACAAGCAAAGAAAGCTGTACGAGAAGATGAAGTACAGCAATCAACAGAAGGCCGACGAGGTAAGCATACGACTACTAACTCTACTTATTTTCATCGTACTCGATATATTGATCGTATCATTTGTTTTTCCTTTCTAGGTTGCCAAATTGGAGCGCAAGAAGAAGGCTCTCAAGAAGGCCAAGAACTAGACTTTGCATTTTTCCTCTCCCTTGTTTCTCATTCTTTTTTTTTCCTTCCTTTCCATGTATACATATAGCAAACGCAGTTTCTTTTATTTAAAGACAAAAAGCCAAAAGCATTCCCTCTATTTTTTCTTTGTAATAATTCTTCATTTTCAACTCATAAAACACTTCCTTTGGACAATATCTGCTCCCAATCATCCTGTTGTAACGTTTGGCCTTGTTTGACTGCTGCATCCACATTGCCACGCGCTTCAGCCATCAAGTGATTCCGTACCATCGCTAACCGCTGCACAGCCGGTCCACAGTTCTGTTCCGTGTTGCTGCTGGCCTGATTCTCCTCCGCCACCTCCTTTTGTGCCTCCTTGATCAGCGCCTCCACAGCTGGCGGTGCGCCATAGATGTCATCGGTGTACCGCATTTCTTGCAAATATGCCACGATATCCTCTGCCTGGAGCAAATCTTGCCATTGGTGCTGGCGTTGTTGTTCTGCTATACTATGCTGATGGTCCATTTGATGTCGGTGTGACAAGTAGGTGTTTGAGTCAGGTACGAGGTCCTCACCATACAGCTCGTCCGTATATGCAGTCGAGTTTAGGAAAGCCTGAATGCCAGCGCCATCGCTCGTGTGCTCTTGTGGTGCAGGTGGTAGCCCGCGGTTTAGAAGTATAGGATCTGGTTGTTGCATAGAATGGAATTGAACTGGGTTGTTAGAAGTTGCTTGCGATTGTCGTGGCGCTCCAAATGTGTCAAACGCTTGATCGTCAACTCGTCCTTGTCGAGATTGTTGTTGTTGAGAACGGAAGCGACTTGATTCGGCAGCATTGGAGGTTGATCGATATTGGCTGCTGTTAGAAATATTTTCGTCTTGGCGAAGAGTGCTTGAAGAGCTGCCAGAGGCTCCTCCTTTGTCTGACCATGGAAGCATATCGTGTTGTGATAATACAGGGGCTAAAGAGGGGAAGGTATCGGAAGGCTCTGTGTGATTCTGCATGTGAAATTATATCAAAGCAGCAAGCAGCGGCGTAAACATATGTCAAACGCCACCATGATAGTCCGAACTAAAGGCAAATATCAAACATCCTTTATTATTATTTACACAGCTTTTTTAGAATCCTTGATTGTGTATTTGCCGTACTGTATAAAAGGTTAAGGGTTAAGATGCGTAAGTACACGTTACAATTCCACATTGCATAACGAGCCGTATGAATGGTGCTTACATTCTTTTCTGGATCAAAGACTTCCCAACGACTGGCGGGAAAAATGTGCTTGTTCTTTTCATACCACGATCGCTCTACTACTTTACCAGCGTGGGACTACATGATGAATGAAAAGACAAAGCCACAATATTAATATTCTATTTATCCTCTAATACATCTAGATCTCATGCTTGATCCAAAATAAAACGGACCTCGTCCTTTTCAACAGTTGCATCATTAATCAACCGAATATCGTCGTGCACGTCAAAGCTGAATAGAGGACCGGACTTGCCACGTGCTTTGTTGATAATGAAATCGTAAAACGTGTAATGCTATAGAATCAGTGCCCGGTTAGCAGATATTAATACAGTAAAGTACAAATACCATAGAGTCCACCTCGATAAAAGAAAAAGCTTACATGTGGAATGATTAAATCTTCCTTGACGTAAATGAGATTGTCCACATTGACACCCTTAAGCTGTGGAAACTGTTGGCGACATGCTTCTAAGAACTGTGCGATACTATCGCCTTTCTTACACTACAATAAAATAAAAGAAATAAATGTAAGCTACGAGTAACCAATCGATATTTTTCTATCTGTCGTCCGTGTTGCCTATTCACCTGAACATTTTTACGATGTCCACTACCATCCCAGTACGAATATGTGATACTGATGGTCTCCTCTAAATGGTACAAACACAAACAACTAGATCCTGTGAGTAACTCTCCTCCTACTCATGTACCTCGTTGCCATCAGAGTAAACAAAGAATTTACTTACTCTTGATCTCTTCCTGTCTCTTTAGCCAATCTTTTCGCAATTGTTCCCGCTCAACTCTTTCGATTTCTTCTCTTTCACGATCAGGTAAAAAGCTTGTATCCACTGATGGATCCTTCAATATCTTCCGCTTCTTTTGGGCTTTTTTAGCTGCTGCAAGTTCATCGTCTTCTTCTTCTTCTTCTTCATCGTCGACGGCAAACGATAATTTGACACTGGCTTTCTTTTTCTTTCGTTTCTTTTTCTTTTCATCACTACATATGGATTTTGGTGATTCCATACAGGAACGTTTCGATTTTATTAAAACATAACATAGGTCGCACACCATTGAGAAAGAATACGGTACCTTAGTGGCGCCGTTTGGGCCGCTTCACGCATTTGTTGTTCTTCTAAATTTTCCTTGATCTTTCTGTAATCACGCAGTTCCGTCAGACCGATCGTGCTGCTTTTCAGTTGTGATTCGATGTCATTGGTTGTTGCCACAAATTTATCAGAGCCCACACGCACTTCATTTTGCTGGTATTATTTAGAAAAGAAGAAAATTATTAATTTGTTTTCTCAAGATCTGTTTGTGTATATTGAATGTCTAACGTCCCTTATTTCTCTTCTACAAATAACACGATCGCCTTTCATTGAAGTGGCTATTCTTTTGTTACCTTGGCAATCTTCTGTCGTTCCCTTTCAGATTCTTCATAAATCTTACGACGTGCTTTTTCAAGCATCGCCTGACGTTGTCCCTCGGCTTTGGAGTCCATAGCTGAATTCTTAAAAGAAAAGTTCGGGCAAAGAAAGAAAAGAGGGAGAAGCAGGAACCTATATGATTCAGTAGCTAATCCAATCTGTGAATAGAACTTGGGTAGTTCCGAGCTGCCAATCACATTAGCCGCGGTATCAAATCACCGTCTACAAGTTTCTTCTTCCTTGTGTTTCTTATCCCTTTCTTTCCATACATTTAGCATAAATGGATACATCGTTTATTGTGCCAAAGTAATAGGAGAAAAGGTCCTTCTCAGCAAACCGATTGCGTCTGTGTAGTCTGCCCGGGATAGTCATGGGGAATCACTTCTTCCAAGTATTGACAAGTGATGATATCGTGTGCCCCTTCGTCGCTGATCTCCAAGCCTTTAAAGTGCAGTTTTGCCGATACAAAATCTCTTAGCCCTTGAGTGAAGAGCGACATGGAGGAAGCACTCAGCTTCCTTATTGGTACCTGTCATATATCCAGCCTCTTTATTGTGCGAATGTGGACGATATACTCTAATGTTTTAAGTCAGCGTCAGTCATTCAAGCGATGTCGGTCCACGCCAAATATGGTACCGCAGAAAGCCTATGAGCCTTTTTTATGGACATTAAAAATAAGTAAGTTGTAATCGATGTACGGAGTAGAGGGTTTGCTTTGCGTTAATGATGGCGTCGACGGCTTCTTGGTGTGTTTGCTTAGGATTGTCAATGGTGCGGTTGGAAAGAACTTGTAGAGTAAAAAAAGGAGAGGATCACAGCCGATACCACGTCCCTCCATGAAGCATTCGCAAAAGAAACATGATAGGTGGATCTCTAAACGCATCAAGTTTGGAAGATCCTAACTCGCCGCTAAGGTTGTCATTGTCGATTGTTACGAACTGTAGTGTACGAAGCAAACATCGATTTTCCTCTATAAGCGCATTAGTTTCGCCAGTATGTACATATCCAATGTAGTACGAGGGAGTTTTCACTGATCGTGCCGTGTACATTGGATAACTCGTCGTACCCGTGAGATAGCATAATATTTGAGACACGTTGGTTGAATTGGAACAGTATGTACAGTATTTGCTCAAAATTGGCGTCCGTGTTGCCTAGTTTCAGGTTGCGAAGGTTGAGCGAGTGCTGTAGGATAAAACCAAATCGGATGTTGATTACAATCTCATCGGTACCGTATAATGTAGTTTATTATGTATGCTGCGCTTTTATGTAGCATCGACGAAACTTAATTGATTTGGCGTTACATGATAGAGATTACACTTGCAAACAAAGCATAAGAATGCGATCAAATCAATTGCTGTGTACCGCCTATCAATGGACAATTTTGTTAATGCTAAAGGCTCTTGCATTGTTAATGCCGCTTGCGGTCAATCGTCGCTAAGCTGCCCTATCCGCATTCCAGCTGGAGCGGATCGTTTGTTACGTGTTGCTGTTGATTCGTTTTTGATAACTTTTTGTTTGGGATATCCGGAACACATGTTAATCCTTGTTCTTTTATAAGTACTTGTTCACCCATCAGATGCCCCAAACTAGAAATTTTCTAAAGTATATCACATTAGGTAGCATACCCGTATGGCATCTGAATGCAGCATCTACATTTCATTCTTGTACATATAGAAAGCAGGCCAATCGAGTAGAGACAAAAAATGACCAAGCTGTCCAACATCCATCCTTACAATATAAAATAGTCCAAAGAAGCAATTTTTCACATTGTACCGAATTCGATCTCTTACCAAAATATGCAGAGCGTGGGTAGCGTAGTAGCAAGGAGCATTCCGTAATGAAGTGAACCACTCCTTTAGCAACGGCCTTTTTCTTCAGGTCCAATGTCTGCAAAGCGAGAAGTATTATAATTGGATGCTCTAAAGGATTACAGTGGTCCTCCGTTAAGATCACCCTCAGATAAATTAAGCCCTCAATTATGTCAACCCTTTTGATGGGACAATTTAGAATGAGAAAGCATATAGATTCTATATAAAGCCCACCCACACTTTCTTTTCAACCCCCAGCATCAGCTTCACCCTAAGACCTCCTTTGGGGTTGATCAACGGGGGACTACTGTAGATGCATTGAGGAAAATGTAATTTGACAGCGTATCCTTATTATCTTTATGTGCATGAGAAGTAGTTACTGTGTTTACTGCATAGTAAAAGTCGCCTCTATCAGTGCATGCTATAGAATAAAGTCCCATTAGCGGCCACTAAAAACGAGAAGGCTTCATCTCGTACATGCAGATATGCTCTTGGTCGAAAACCGTCCCATGATCTGCTACTACTAAGCTATAGTTCGAGTAGGCCCGTTCCTCCCTCGCATTTTCATATTAAAATTACAAGACTATAATGCGTTGTAAGGTTGCTGTCATTATTCATCAAGTTTTGGTTAGCTACGGCAACATGATGCGGCGTCACCAACGGCTTAGAATCAGTATGCTTTCTTTTGAGCATCACCTATATCTATATTGCACTTTCAGTGGCCATAGTAGCTTCGCTTCTCTCCATGCTTGTAGAAAACGACCCAAAATGTATGCACTTATTATGCGGTTTATTGAAAACTGAGTGTAACACTAATCATTGTATGGTGCATTCAGATAATAATCGACACAAAACTTATTTTGTTTCAAATTTTTTATTCTTATATTCCGCTAAGTGGTAGTAAAAAGCAATATTCATGGAGGAATGGAAGAGCGAAAATTAGTTGTGGATGCCTGGTCTTCTATGAGATGTAAGCTTATGCTGGTAAACTTTTGAGCCTCTTCAGTGGCTCCTTCAGCATTGAGATCTTGACTGTAGGCTTGATGTATCATAAGCAGTGATTGTAGTACCTTTAGCTAGTAACAAGTTTGCCTGCACTATCAAGAAAATCATGTGAATGTTCTTGTAACGCTTTGAAAGTGTATACACATTTTAGACGAACTTCACACTTCTTGGTTCTACCCCAAATACGTTCAATCAAATTACATTTACAGTGCTACCTAGGATATAATGCAAAAAACTCCTAGGGTAAGATAACTGCAGTATTAATCTGATAAAGGTTGTTTCTCGTTATTCCAAGTAACTCCCAGTCTTCTCGTTTCTCACAACATTTTCCTGTCTGTTTTCTACACTACTATCTGATGGAGTGAAAGCTCCACTTTGACTAGTCTTATTAAAAGTAGTCTTTTGACGTTTAGAGCAAGGCGCCATCTTTGTGAGATAGTAGAAAAGAAGAGAGAAGCAAAATGTATGATAGCAAATAGGAATAACAGCTCTATAACAGACGTGGTTACACAAGGCTACACAAGCACCTTTTTAAGGTTGACAGTTGATGACATGTTTCAATTTTTCTTATCCCCAGCCAAATAGTCCCTTCATTGACTATTTTTAATGGCCCATAACATTTTTGTTCCTTGAGAATGTAAACCATAATATCATTTCTAACGATGTTCATCTATAATTCTTATGGCTCAAAACTAATAAATGTTTATTTTTGGTAAAGTTATGGGGCTTCAAGTTGACCTAAAGTTTGTAATGGTTATTATCTGAATGCACCATAAAAATGGGACCAACTACGAGCAGAATAATATCAGGATGATTGCTTTTTACATGAGCTGAATGATCGTCAAAGATGTACATGATCAGAATGAACATGATATAGTAGACATATATGAGTGGTCAGCAACAGTGATGGTAGGCTGCGTATAATGTACCAATAGTCCTCGTCTCTGACGGAGGGATACATATCATGATCCGCTTGCTGAACGCGTTCACCTCAAGATCTGGGGTACGTGACACAAAGACAACATCGAATGCCGATCTGATAAAAAAAAGTTCTTTCACAATGGATCTGATAAATGAACAAAGTTTCGGAAAGCAATATGCGTTTCGGTCAACACGGAAAAAAGATTACAATGCTACTAACAAGAGACAGGCAAAAATACCAGGCAAAAGTCAGACGAATGCCTATCATGTTTGCTTGTGTGACCTTCTTCATTAGCCCTGCCGCAAGTAGCGTCAAACCAATAGTTCCCAGACACATGTGGTCCAGCATTACTTGATATAGCGTATAATAATGTTGACTTGTCATCTTCTCGAGATCTTAAAAAGCTCCACCTTTGACTTCCATCATGGTTACTCTCACCTTTCCATATGAACATTCATGTTTCTTTCGTATGAGCGAGAATTCCAAAGTTACATCGGCAATACGTTTTTTTATCAGATGTGATTTTCATACTCAGATGTTTTTAGCGGAAACATTCTCTTGTGACACCCACTTCGTATGCACTGATTTGAACATCAAAATAATTTAGACCGTCTTTTTCATTTGACAGCCCTTCCTTCTAGCTTTACAATACTCTTTGATATATGTCTCCACCTGGAAAATTCATTAAATTAATTGCCGGGAAAAGATCTACTAAACTCTATTTAGAGATCGCTTGCCGTCGGGTGGAACGAAGAAGGAACGCTTTATGGGTAAATTTTACCATTTTTATGTATTTTTATCCGAGTAAAGAAACGAGACACGTCAATTGAATATTGACGGTTGAACAGATCTCAATTGCTATGCTGATGCATCTTTTATGCTTCATGAAACTGTCAAGCTTATTTCGGATTTGTTAACTTCTGGATATCAAAGACACAGAGTGAAGACGAACAGTATCTTCGAGGAGGATCTTGGTACTACATCCTAGTACACCGCATCATCAACTCCCGTTCATCGCACAGTTAGAATTGATAATGAGAATGACAGTATCATGTATCTTACATGTAAAGGAAAATTGATTGAGCATCTACGCCTATGGATTCGCGAATAACCAAGTTGATTTGTCGACTGAGGAGTTCACCCACCGTCTGTCTTTAGTGTGCACTACCTGAACCTTCGGGGAACGCAAATACATGATAAGGCGCGGGCACGCGGATGATTTAAGCGATGACGACGACTAGATTTAACATATGATGGGGGCGGGAGCAGCTGTTGTTTTTCCCTTTTGAAACCATGCCGAAACAGGATGCTGTGCTGGATGCTACTTGATGTACTCTTGATGTAAAAGAGGATACTGTGTCACCTTCTATCTGGAAGAATTTTATTTATATAAAGCGCCAACCAGAAAAGTTGAGCCCAACAAAAAAAGTTTCTTTACCTTTTTCCTTTACCTCCTCGATCCCACAATGGTCAACGCTATCGCTGTCTTGCAAGGAGCTGCCGCTGCAGTCTATGGCTATGTCACTTTCCACCAATGCGGCCCCAACGAGCCCACTACCATCTATGCCAACTTGACTGGTGTTCCCGCTGGCAAGCACGGTTTGCACGTCCATCAGTTCGGCGATTTAACCAATGGTATAATGATCACACTTTTTTTATCCCCTCCCCTCTCTCTATCTATTGCAATTAACATTCTCATGCCCATATTACAGGCTGTGATTCTTTGGGTGGTCACTACAACCCCTTCAACATGACCCACGGTGGTCCTTTTGATGATGTTCGCCACGTTGGTGACTTTGGCAACGTCGAAGTCGGTGAAGATGGCACAACGCACTTTAAGTTGGATATCGACAATGTCAACTTGCTCGGTCCTCACTCGATCTTGGGGTAATTATAGCTTATCAATAGCTACTTGCTAGTAACAGGGTGAATCAATGATGCTTATGACTGATGGCATCATTAGACGCGGTCTTGTTTTGCACTCCGGCGAGGATGATCTCGGTCGCGGTGACAGCCCCGAATCCAAGACCACTGGTAACGCTGGTGCCCGTTTGGCTTGTGCTATCATTGGCTGTGAGTTTTTTCACCTTTTCTTTCAACCCATTACAACACGAAAAGTCAATACTAATCCACTTGCTATTATGAATGTGTAGTTCCTAACACTTCCAACTAAAAGCTGCTAGTGCGGTCCTGTAAATAGAACTCTATATAGTAGTTAGCCGATATAAATTAGCTAATATAATCTAAAACATATACGGCTGTAAGGAAAAGACGTCGTAGCTTTTATACTCTTCGCCATTTGCACCGAAACTCGGGAAAGGGAAGATCAACAGCGCCGCTGGAAATTCGGAATAAGCAAAAATGTCGAATGACACACAGCTTTAAAGTCACCATAACCATTCGGCTGGTCAACTAAATAATTTCTTGACTTCATACTCACGAAGATGCAGCATAATCTTAAAAACGTCTTTGGTGGCTATGCATTACAAAATCAAAAGCTAAGGGAAAAAGTATAATCTTTGGCATTCGCATCGCTATTTATTGCGAAGCACGAAAAAAGAAGACCATCTTATTGAAATTGAAGAAGTGATGAAAATACTATTTGGTAAGTATAAATAAAAGGCAAAGCCGCTTAATACAATATGGTATGCATATGTACTATGTATAATAGGAAGATGTGAAAGCTTAGTGATGAATTGAGAGAGGGAGTTGGTAAAGAAAGGGTATTGGCTCAATTAAACGAATGTCGGCTGTGGTGTCCATCCGTTCGCCGTAGCGATAAGTTCGGCCTCCTGTTCATAAGCTTGCAGAGTCCGATCAACCATCCTGACAGCTGCCATCAGAGCTACTGCATCGCCTTGCTGCTGTATGAAATTGACCCGAACTTTACGCGTCCTGCTGTTGGCAGATGTGCGTGGAGGAACAGTTACATCCACTTTAAAACGCAACAAGATTGCCTTGGTCGTTGTATCTACACAAGCACTCAATATTATGTGAGCCACCATCATCCTCTCCTGCTTGTAATTACTACAATATTTACCGTTGCCAGGCAGTGTCATCTCCCCTTTCCGCCGGATTATGCCTTCATTATCTCGACGTTCCACAATGCTGCCATCCATACACTGACCGATTGATGTAGCCATACACACTGTTAATAAAAAAATACTTTTCTCTTCTTTTCTTTACTATCTGTTGTTTGTATTTACCTCCTCCAAAACTTGAGTTATCTTTCCAATAGCCTCACGTTCGTCGCGTGCCAAACAATCAATCGAGCAAACCTATAGTGAAGGAATTTCTAACATTTAGCAAACGAGACGACCTAGATTTATCCCAAATATTCCCTATTACCTTTGGTTGCTTAAAATGGAAAAGACCTGGAAGCCAGGAAGAAAGTCGAGGGCTTCCACTAGAAGCTATTGGAGCCTGTTGCCGCGGTGACCGCGGTGATTGTCTTGTAGCATGATGATATGTAACATTCGGTTGTTGCTGTTGTAATAACGGGTGAGGCAGCTGTTGTTGTTGTTGCTGCGGAACAGGATGTGCTCGTGGTGAATCTGGAGCATAATAATGTTGATGCTGATGATCGAGCATATACTGCCGAGACTGACTGGCACGGTCAAATTCCAACTGCGTCTGTGGCGTCGGCATTGATAATCGATGGCTTGCTTTTGGTGACTTGCTAACAGGCTCGACTCGGTTCCGTTGCCACAAATGAATTAACTTATTGAATTTGGATTGTTGCTGTTGTTCTTCCATACTGCCGCTAGTGCTACTGCTGTTTGTCTCAGCGACAAGCCGGTGTTGTTGCTGTTGGGGTGTTGATGGAGGTTGTTGATGGAAATGCTGGCCAGCAGCAGTAGTAGTAGTGGTATACGTTTGTGGAGGAGATGGAGTATGTGGAGATGGTGGGGAGGATACATTGATGACAGGTGGTGACATGGCGAATCTATTATTTGAAAAGCGGTTATGCATGACGCGCGTAGAGGGTGCCCGAGGGGAAAGCATGTGGGCGATATGTAAATGCTGCTGTTGTTGAGGAGCTTGTTGAGGTTGCTGTGGGAACATGTGTGGGTATGGATGCTGAGCGGCGTGATAGTAGTAATGCTGTTGTTGCTGATGCTCATGTTGTGGTACAGGTGCTGCATGAGGATATGAGTATGTTTGCTGTTGCTGTTGCTGTTGCTGTTGCTGTTGCTGTTGCTGTTCCATGAGTGGATGCATACCACAAAAGCGGTGACCCATCTGTGGGCTGTTGTAGGATTGTGATTGTCTACTAGTAGATCTATAGTGTGGGGACGGTGATCCCATGGATTGTGGGTGACGCCTAAAGAAGCACATACGTATGCGTTAAAAATTCACGCTTAAAGCTTATAAGGAAGACCTAGAGATAGATAGGTACATACCACATATCATGTCGCTGCTGTTGTACTGGAGTATAAGGCCATTTTCGTGCTGCTCGCGGTGACTTTAGACTAGCAGATGCCTCTGCTCGTGCCTGATTGTAGATAAGATCGGCGCGTATCACAATTGGTTTCGGTGGTACGGGTGGAGGCAGATCGACATCCCCAACATTACGATCTGATGACGTTTGTGGTGGCGTCCCTGGAATATTTACAACCTGCTTAGGATTTGGCTGTGTCGGTTTGTCTTTTGCTATATCCTTCTTTGCGGCGATCTTATGCATCATGTCGTCGATACCAGGTAACGGCACCCCTTTACTGCTAATTCCACTTGATGAAGCCACACCGCATATTGTTGCTGGTCGTCGACGCTTCGCAGGCGATTCTAATATAGATATACATTATCGTTTTCGTTTAGTAAATGCTTTCCAGATCTGTCCATGCCTAACGCGAGATCAAAACAAGTCGCGACGTACCGCATTTACGGATATCGTCATCTCGGTCGATCTGCCAATAGTTATTAGCATGCCGTTGTAGTAACACATAAGTCACTTTTTGCATATTGTATCTACAGTATACCGCGTTAATGGATCTAGTGTTACATGCAACATCGAAGCTTCAAATTACATACTCTTCATTTAGCAGTGCTTCTACGACCTGCTCCGTAGTTAGATCTGTCCAAAGTACTTTGAGTGTCTCTAGTAATCGATCATCGATCTCGGTCGGATCGGAAACTGGCCGTCCAATTTCAGTAGCTGTAGGTGGATCGGGTAAAATCGATGGGTTGGGTGGTAAATCTGCTGTGAACCATGGATGCTGCTGTACCTCTTTCATCTTTAAAAACAAATCACCACCTCATAATTAGATTTTATGATCCTCATCCCCTGAACAATAATCAATACTTTCTTAGTCTTGTTTCTCTTCCCACTCATATTACCGTCAGTCTTTTTTCCGGACGAATAACTAAAATTTTTTGGATCAGATCGCGAGCGCTCAAGGAAATATGATCTGGCATTTTGTATTTTCCGATTTTGACCTAAGTGAACGAAAAAATAGAAGTCTAGTGTAAGCACAGAACATACCACGCATATTTTTCCCAATTGGTCGTCTTCTCACTTTATTCAATAATTCGCGGATATTGTCGTCATCGAAGGGCAAGTGACCACAAAGAAGAGCGTACAAGATGATACCACACGACCAGATATCTGAAGCTGACCCATTATACGGTATGCCCTATATGAAAAGATCATTAGCTTCGTGATGTTATACTGGATAAAGTTTCGGTGATGAGGGCAATAAAAAAGCATTACAGTGACGATTTCTGGACTTGCATAGTGCGGCGAACTAATATATTACACATTAATTTAGTGTTCCTATTAACGAAAAGCACAGACTTCTTGTTACCCGCAACTGGTTTCCAGCAGTGAACCGGTAGGTTGCAGCGACGCCATGCCAAAGTCGGCGATCTTTATATTTTTGTCCTTGTCAAGCAACAAGTTTTCCGGCTTGAGATCTCGATGGCTACATAAGAAGCTTATTATGATTTATTTGCTCTTTGATCGCCTCATTTGAGAGTAGATTCCCCGTACCATATCAAATGACGATGACAATAGTCTAATCCGAAAATGATCTGCTGAAAGTATTTGCGTGCTTCTGGTTCTGGTAGTCGACCTTGAGAGACGAGATATTCGAATAATTCTCCGCCTTGTACATACTCTAGAATCAGGTACCTAAAAGCAGGCTCTTTAAATCCCTCCTCCCCTTTTTTGATGTAGTGATGCGCTTGCAATGTTCCCATCATTGCAGAGAGAGTTCCACGCAATTGATATTTTTTAAATAAAGAAAGAATTTCTTACAAATTGGGTGAATCCGAAAGATCAATAACGTCGAGAAGGCTCATAATATTCGGGTGGTGTATTAGCTTCATCACTGCAATCTCGCGTTTCACGGCTCGTTCAACGGAAGCGTTGGCTGCAAGGTGCGATTTGGAAATGATTTTAATGGCAACTTTTTCACCAGACACTTTATGTATACCGAGCTTGACACGACCTATAGAGTACAAGTGATAATATGAGTTGGCTGTTGACACTGTTTTTTCAAAAACACAACAGTATGAAGTTATGCCAGCATTGTTGCACGACGCACGCGCGAACGTGCACGGCCCCCCTTCCTTTCATCTTCCTGGTTGCACTGAATGCTGTTGATGATGATGATGATGATGGTGATGATGGTGGTGGTACCTGAAGAGCCTTTGCCAAGCGTTTTGCCCAACCAATAATCGCCGATATCTTTACGCCGTCGATTTCCTGGCGATGTGGGTCCTGGGCTGGATGAGCCGATAGTCGATGATGGTGGCGGATGTAAACTGCTGCGTCCAGAATGTCGACGATAATAATGACTGCTGTTGCTAGGTGAGTGATGCGGTTTGACAACAATTCGTCGCTGTGGTGCTGGAGAAGCAATAATTCCAGTACATGGGTTAAATGATGGCATTTAAAAAAGAGAAGAAAGGGAGTGAAGAGAACGAAAAGAAAAGATACGATAAATAAGGATTTAGAATGAGAAAGGGAAGCGAACGTAGAAAAAAAGGTATGAAAAGAAAAGAAGTAATTCAGAAACAACTAAAGGGGTAGAGAACCGAACAAAACGCACGAGTAGTGTGATATGACTCGAGCAATACAAGTTGGATGATGACAAAAGAGTCCATCCTCGGATATTTTAAAGAAAATTGATATTGGACTATGGCGCGAAGCCAAGGGAAGACTGTGCATGAGCGGCACAGCTCAACAAAAAATCAAAAAAAAAGTAGTTTGTGCGGCTATATAATCCCGCGCATTCTAGCTTTTTTTTTGGTGCGCATAATGTTGGATGGAGTTTTCCGTGGGATAGCCGTTCCCCGAGGAATGTTCAAAATCGGAAGAACGAAAAAGAACAAAGATATGCGCCACTCCTCTCTTGAACTACAAGTTTCTCTGCAGCCACTGAAAGTTGATTATGAACTCGTTTTATCACGTACATAATAAGGACTTGGTTGTGAGAAAGAACCGCTTATTGATCACCTATTCATTGAAATCATATAAAAAAAGGAACTAAACATATGTTGCATACAATCTCAGGAGATAAACATAAAGAGAATTGAAGAAAAGGGCAATGATAAATGAAAATGAATTTACAAGTGTGTTGGTATAAGTCATATTAATGATGAATGTGCAAAACAATTGATGGGATTGGTGTAGGATGATTATGCTTAGAAATAACAGATCATGAATGAAAAGATTGTTGATAGAAGCATAAAGGGTCAGGCATGTTGATATGTTGCGGTTGATAAGTAGTGTCGTACACTGGTGGATGATGATATGCAGCAAAGACTTGGTGACTTTCAGCGGCTAGGTCCAGACAATTATCACTTGACAGGGACGGTGATGGTGATGCTGGTGGATGCATATAGACAGTGTCTTGAAAATAATCCGGAGCCTGGTCTGTAAATACTGTAGGTGTGATCGGGAAATCACTGCTGCCACTGCTACCAAAACTAGAATGGTCGATTGGTGAGAAGCTACTACCGCTGGTGCTACTAGTACTGCTATCGAGCTTATGATAATAGTTGCTGTTCCAACAAGACGATAATGAGAAACTGAGATCGTTGTTGTGTTTGTTGGTCTCCGTGATGTATACCTCCTCATCTTGATCTTCTTCGTCATCTCCATCTTCATGGTAGATATGATACATCGGGGTTCCGCTAAGCATTGAATCATGGAGCTTTTGCAAGCTAGCTGGAAAGGCAGTGTCCATTTTGAGCTTATTGCAGAGATAGATTGTTTGTGCGAACCAGTCGCAGACCCAGTGGACAATGCTGTTCTGATGCTGCTCGAACGCAATCCAAGTTGTGTAGGCGCACATGAGTTCGTTTAATGCCAGCTTCAATGCAAGTAGCATAATCGGTTGGCTGACAACCATGAATGAACCTGTTGTTGCCAAGGTATGAGCGCACTGCTGTATCCTAGCAGCTGTTGCCAAAGACTCGGATAGCGATGATGATCGTTCTTCTGCTGGTGAAGACTCGTTGGCAGAAAGTGATAGTGATAAGGTGTCACTGAGGAAGAGCAGGCATGTCGAGTAAAAGGCATTATAGTCCATAGAGCTACTTTCTGCTCCTACTGCTGCCGTCGCTATCGTCTTCATCGTTGCCGTCCCAGTGTACAAGTGGCGTGGTAGGCTTAACTTCCACTTCACCAATTCTTGTTGGAACTTATCGTCCACGGCAAGGGAATCAGTATAAAATGTAAAGGGCGTCCGTGATGGTTGCTGTGTAACCTGGGTGTATAGTTTTGCCAGCTTGATGAGCTCCACAAAGTTTTCCGTAGAATGATCGTTGCCGTCTGTGGCTGAAGAAGCAAAATACGGTAGGTCGTGAACCAATTGCCGCTCATCATGCACCGCAAACCAACGCTTGTATGTGGCATTTTGATGTGCTAGGTGTCCCGTCAGCGCCATACTAACGTACAGTAACCAACGTATCTTGCAGATGGCGGTTGCTTCATTGGTGTAAAGCTGCTGCTGCTGCTGACGATGATGAAGATTCTGATCATGATATTGCGGGCCTGGAAGTACAAGCTTGTCAAATATAGTACTGGCGCGTTCCAAATAGGCCATGCAAGGCAAAGTGGTAGTCATTTCCTGATGCTTGTGCAGCAAAAGTAGGGTTTGTACCGCACTGAGGGAGCACTCGTCCAAACAGAGTACCTGCGCCTGATGCAAGTACGCCTCAGCGGATAAAGGCAAGCTGTTACATAACTCTGGCGGGCGAATGTAGCACATGAGGACAAGCAGTGCGGAATAGACTGACAGCGATGATGGCGTTTGGTGCAGCACAGGAAAATATGGATGGATGTATCTGGAATACGCCTGATATAAAGCATGCTCAGCTTTTTGGGAAAGGCGGAGAAGCGGCATGCTGCTGCCGGTATTGCTGATAATGGGGATTGATGCACGATATTCACTGCCACCAACCGCAGGAGCTGCACAGAGCTGATCAGCCCTATCCGGGCAAGCCAACTGGAATGCGGGAAATTGGTCGTAAATAGAGTACAGCAAAGCTGTGCTCTTGCTCATCCGTGGGATTCGATCGTGTTGTTGTTGTTGTTGTTGTTGTTGCGGTTCTAGGCATACAGCGGGGGGTACTGGATGAGAAGAATGAAGGGATGGTGGGTGAGCTGATGATGGTTCCACGGATAGGTCCAGACTGTAGTCCCGATTCTCGTCAGAAGAGTCTTTGCCTGAGAAGACACAAACAACATTTGCCTTGCGACAGTTGGAGCATACTCCTGATCCTGGCACACCAACATCGCATCTAAAGCATACGTTATGAGCCTGTGTCAGTAATTCTTCTTTTCCTTGCAAATTGCCCTTTTTACGGTACGAGCAAAATTGTAGTAACGCATAGGGATTGTATAACGAAAAGACCAAGAGCATGAGAATCAGTGACTCACTTTGATTTACGCTGACGACAAAAATCGCATGCATGAGACACCTTCAACTTCTTGTATCGTCCAGGGTCGTTCATGTCAATGAAATAGTATTCAACAGGTTTCTTTTCGCGGTTGGCCATTGTGGTAAATGACATAGACTGATGGGTGAATGGGAGGAGGAAAGAAGGAGAGAAAAAGAGAAAGCAGTACAAAAAGTTGGCTTGTCAAACAAGTCTTATATGTTTGAGGATGGGAAATTCTGAGGTAGTAAATAGTAAATAAAAAGAAACAAAAAGAGCAGTGCACTCGAAGGATTTTGGACCTCAATTAGATTATTTACTTGCTCAATTCCGTAGTTCAAACGAGCCAGTGAGTCGGACCCAACGCCTGTTTTGGTAGATGGTCGTGTAAATCGGGTGGGTCACAATATCGTCAGAACAAACAATCTCATTGGTCAAACGTCATCTTTACTCTCTGCAAACTGTTTTTGACATTATATAGGGCAATTATAGCGATGGATAGATTCGAACTTGGTGATGTACCTAGTAGAGGAGACCGTTTACAAAACTCGGGCGTTTTTTCCCTCGATATTTACGAAGTGCAACGTCCATCACCAGTGTATGATTACTTATTTAAACTGATTCTGTGTGCTTTTGGTAAGACAAAGAGAAAATGTCGATGTTGCTATATATAACAAAAGCACAATCCGAATCCAGTATATCTTCCACTAGTTGTTCTTTTTTTCAGAATGCTTCAAAAGGGAAGCGGGAACATCTCGTTGCAATTGGTAGATCTTGGTAACAAAACGTCCAGCTTTCTCCCTTTCACCATGAGCCTATTGTTCGGGATTAATTTCATTATCTCAGGAGAGAAGAAGACGTCAAGTCACTTTTGTTCCTAAATTTTCATCATTGCTCTCTTTCCCTTCTTCTCTAATCGCATCTGTCTTTTTGTTCGCTTAAGATAAGAGAAAGGCGAGAGAGCAGGATGGCTGGAACAGAGCGAGCAGCACGCTGATTATGGAGCAAAAATTATCATATATGCCAACCGTTATTTTGCGAACTGAAATCTTTAAAAGATTGTTTTAATTCATAGGTCACATGTCTCATTTATTTTTTCCGGCATACGTATGTAAAAAAAGACGACAACGATGTGCCATCCGGAATCTGGGACGGGAAATTATGTTTTTACCACGTAAAGATACTGGGCCATGCTGTATATGGCTGGAAGAGAAAAAAATGAATTCTTTTCATCTGACATAATCAATGAGACGGGTCAGTTACGTAAAATTGCTGCTCCCTTTTTATCTTTCTCGAAATATTGACTAATCAGCAACCGTTGTTTTTGGTTAGTATCTGCTGCAATTATCAGGGAAGTAGCAAGCTACATGGTTACTATCCCATAAACTCAAATGTAGCAGATAGAATTGATTACAAAAGAACGAGCCGACCAGCGTTCAAGAAGGACATTCCTGTAATAAGTTTACGTGTGTAAACAAAGTGCTAAAGGGTGCGGAGCGTATATGTGGGCGCGCACATACATCGCGATCTGCCGTTGCCTGTGTCTTTTTCGATTTAGCTCATACATCACCCTTCTTCTTCTGTGCGCTCATATTTGTACATTACTCCTCTTCTTCATAATGTCTGTACTGTCTTATATGCTCTGCCTTACGTGTACGTCGAAAAGGATGATAAAAACGTAGAAAGAATTTGTTGCTAATTACTTGGTTCCTTCGTAGAGAGTAAGATTGATTACCAAATACGCCCATCCGAGCTCCAAATGACCGCAAATGATAATGTACTACCTTTATTACATATAAGGTTCTTTTTCGAGTGTTCGAGCCCTGTGGTGTGTATCTGCACACAGTGTGTAACAAAGTATGAAGCGATACACATACTATACACATGTTTAAGACAGTAAGTGCATACACACACCACACGCGCTAAGCCCTAAACTTCTCTATTCTCTCACTTTGTGATCACTTTTTGTGTTTTCACTTTTTTCATGGGTGGGAACGCTTTGATTCCCGGTTTAATGCGTGGTTCGAATGCCCGATGGTTCTTTTGTTGACAGCCTGTGGTGCGAGTCCAATGACAATAAGCTAACAAACAATAACAATAACAATAACAAACTGCATTAATAAGCATTACTTCTACTGGTGATTGGTTCCAAGAAATTTAGTCGATTCTCGGCCTTTTCGTTTTACTGCAGTAATCTTCTTTTTACTATCATAAGGGTTGCATTTTTGCATACTATATATCTCTACTACATAGCAATATCTGCAGCGCCAAGGCACCTTTACTAGTCCATGCTGTGGTGCCGGATAGAATGTCTGATTGTTGTTAAGGTACACGAGAACACAAAGCATACGGACACAATGATCGGAGAACAGCATCAGCATCACGATACGTTACTGATATTTTTTTTTCTTTTTTCGTTCCAGTCAAGTGTGGCAAGTTAACGGCACTACTACTTCTGATGCTATTACTATACTGCGTTTTGTATAGGTGTCCCTTTCTCCTGATTTTTCCGTACCAAAATTAATTAAAGATGAAAAAAAGTGTTTTAAGCTCACGGACAAGTTGGTCATACTAAGCTTCAATTACTGTTTGTTTTGATTATGCGTGAGAAAATCAACCATCTTATGCTTCATCCTAATCCACAAATGTCAACAGCAGCATTATGATCATGAGAATTTGTTTTTTTGTTTGTTAAATGCTTATTTAAAAACTGGACTTGCTTCTTCTCAAGGCTCGCCTATGGCTGTATAGCCAGAAAGAATAAAGACCCTCTACGTACCCGGATAGGACATAAAGCAAGTAACATTTTCTAATAACATGTCAAACAAATTGCATTCATGCCGGCGACAATCAGTAGTGCCGAAGAAAAAAACAGGTAACTGGTTATGGCACTGCACGGTAGTATGCGTTTATCAAGTATGCTGAGCTGCCAAACGACTCATGAAACGCACAGCAAGCCTTTTGATAGTGTAACATATGTACAAAAGCAGTAATTGGTGGTCACGGACGCACCTACCTTGTATTCGAGTGGTCAAAATAATGGCGTGATTTGCTATTATTTACATTTCTCTTTCCAGGGGTATAGATGCCATAACCGGATGTGATGAATGTAGTATGCAAACAAAACATACACATCGATTGAGAAAGCGTGTCCTACCACTTCAATTAATATCATATGTCTTAAAGCCGGCATGTCATATGGTGTGATAATAATAAGTGGCTAGTTCAGCAACTTATTGCTGATCTGTGTCCATTGTTAAAAACGCATATAAAGAAGCATCGGACCTCTCATTAGACAAGGACGTTGAAATTCTAAATCTTTCTATTACTGTAGTCATCTGATATTAACAGCGCACACTGGCGTGTCTTTCTCGTATGGTATGGTAATCGATACGACCTACTCAAGGTGACCTTTTGATAAGGATGGAAGGAAGTTAAGTTTATGACTATAATAGCTGTTTTCTCATCACAGCTGCGTGCAGTATCGTTTTCAAGCAACTCATGCACGTGGCCGAATGCATTAACGGTGCGCGTAGCAAACCGGTATACCTTCTTCTTTTAGCACGACACGTACTGCGTCATATATACGCTGGAGTAAAGTAGCAAACATAGGTTCTACTCGGTGAAAACATTATTAGTAAAATATGCACCCATATACTGCAAGAATATTTAGATGTCAATAAAACCAAATTGTTTCATACACAACTTCCTAGCTAAAGTGATAAAAAACGCAGCATTAACAAGTCAAACAAAGTTTTGTATTACAGGTGGCGTAAATGGAATCTTTGACGACTGTGATGTTACATTACTTACTAAGAAATAAGGTTCCATCGCTGTTATTTTTGTTGATGAGACAGTGAATCAATAATCGGAATCCCGGAGGAACCGTGCAATGTGCTGATTTGTATATTGCTGAATCGGTGTTGAGATAGTGCAACTATACGGGATTGTGCGAGTAACATTAGAATAACTATTTTGTGTTGATAGCAAGATGCAATAATATAAGAGAAGAAAGCTATCTCTTCTTCTTTCATAGTATGAAAAGACATGCACGATCGCACTGCAAGTCAATCGTACTTTTCAAGGCATTTTTAGATCAAAGTTAACAAGGAGCGCATGATGCAGTTAACTGTGCGTATACACGGCGTACGTTTCTAAAAAGAACGGCACCATAGCAAACTCACCGCAGCAATAGTAATGTCTATAAAAGTAAAACTAAACTACTGTTCCATATTATGCGTTTTGCTTGCGACGATTCCGAAACTGGGCCTAGATCTTTCGATCCTTATTCACTCGCGATACATTATGTATTCATCGCTTCGTTTAGTTGAAAAAAAGGAGAAAATAGACATGCACTGGCAGTATCTTTTAGGCAGCTGAATGATTTTGAAATCGCATTTGGAAAATATGTCAATTGTTTCACACATCCTTGATAAAACGCGTAAATAGTGTACTCTGGACACGGTCCGTCACCTGTGACACAACTGCCACTGGCTTAGTTTTTTTTTATTTACGTTATGCTTACCTGTTAGGTGGAAGTTGTACATAAATCGAGCGTCCGTTTGTTATAACGTATAAGTGGCTATTTTTGGAGGATGAGTCTAGCCTTAGGCGATATTGAGTAACGGATGAGGTATCCTGAAAAAGGTGATAAAACCGGCACCTGCAGTATAGTAATACCCACAAGTCCCAACAATCGGATAACTCACGAATAAAACTGATACCATAAAAATTTTGCAAACCCTGTTTCTATTTGTCCCAATCATTGTATAGGCTTTTCTTATCATTTTTTGGTATCAAAGACCGAGAGAACGTACTATAGCAATCGGATCATAACATTTTACCATAAGATCAATTCATTAAACGATATGTTGTTTTACGACATTCTTTGCGCAATCGATACTTTTAAAGTCATGATTCTAGTACTACACCGAATAATAGCAAACTTAAGCAGATCGACAGTAAAGTGATCATTACTATATCTTCTAAAGTAGGCAAAGCTTTCGTCTTTTTGCAATGTTTCACAAAAAAATGTTCTTTTTAATCCCATCATAGCAAGAGAATTTCGTAGCGATAGAATATGTGCACCAATATCAACGGGTAACTGTAGTAGCACATCATATTTCATTCTAATGCTTTCGATCAGTTACATAGAATAAGCTTTGCTCGATAACAGCAGCCGATGGTCATCAAAACTCAACGTGGCGCAATTAACAAGTTAATGATCACTTATACATAAAATCAGATTGATGAACGGAAAAGTGTCCATGTTTACGGGACAAGTCCGTGTCCGGTCGATATCAGTTGTTGTGCAGATAAAGCAATGTATGCTGTGCCACGCACATCAATAAATACCCAAAGCTGTTGTTGTTGTGGCTATCGTGCATAATATATGTACTATGTACATACTTTACAAAAAAGAGCTTGCTATTTGCGTTACAAACAACGCGCAAAAATGATACGTTGCACATACATTCATAGCACATCTTAGTGTTCGTTTCATGCTGCTTAGCCATATTCTTCATGTCAGGAGCTATAAAAACAATGCCAACCGAGGAGTGGTGGTAACTGCCTTTTCATTTGTTCCTGCACGAGTCAAAAGGAGTACATTCATGTGCTGCACTTTACGCACAACTATTCATCAATTACACACCTCTTGCTTTTCTTATCGTGCAAGCGGAAACAATGGCAAGTACTGTAAATATTATATAGGTAACGATGCTTTTATCTACTGTATCGTACGGCATTCAATAGCATAATCTTGTATGCCTACTAATACAGCCGCGTTACATTTTTATATCACTCATAAGGGAAATTTTTACGAAACATTGTTTGGAAACGTTATTAATTTCACAAAAGTTTGTGTGGTACCGGAACTTGTATAATTATCAGTCACTGAGTGGATTGATAACTCTGTCCTGCTTGTTGTTGTTTCAAAGTAAAGGTGCTCATACATAGTCTGCAAAACCACTCTATTCATCATAATGTTGACAGGTTCGAGGTTTGCGTCGCTAAAATAGAAATCTATGCTAGCGGCAATCTGGTGTAGCAGGGCCAGAATACTTGTTTGGTTCATTGTGTTCTGAAAAAGTTGTAGTATTGTATATCTTTTGCAGACACTATTACGATAATGACTGGTTAGCAGTATATAGCTGGAACAAAATCAATGTTTTCTTTTTTACACCACTAAAATTTCAGAGTGATTGGATAACAACGAGATGCAAAAGTAAAATATAACTGATGTACTGTGTTACTACTGCTATGCTCATTCTATACAATCGTACACGCATAAAAACTAGACGATCAGTACAAGATTGATAATGAAGTCAGTGAGATTGCTGTAATTGTATAATACATAAATCATTATATCAGCGAATGTTATTCAAAGTGCTTATAAGCGTTACGTGCTCTATATTTTAGTACAGTATTGTTTGGATCTGACCGGGAATCTATATTCCTAGTGAGCGTTGTTCAAGATTGCGAGTAAAACTTTGATTAATTGCGCGGTGTAGATTGGAACATGGAACTGTGTGGATTAAGAAGGATGCAGACCATGCAAGTAGCTCACAATAGATTATGTTATAAATAAGTTATAGCTTCAAATGCTTACCATTACAATACTGTATACTTTAATTTGACGCAGGTCCTCCTATCGTATCATATATCAAAATGACAGTGTCTTCTTGATTGATTGACCCTTGTGAAAAGTTACGATAACATATACCACTCATGTACATACCACTTGAAGACTCTGAATGATATCCTGCGTTACAACCTCCCAATTATAAAATGAGTAATTAACAAGTAGTCAATGCGCTATAAACGGCCTACTGACAACTTCTTTCATCGATTCTGCCACTTCATAACAGTAACTGCTGTTGATGGTAAGTTACAAACTGATATACTGTATACAGCTTGGATGTCTCTAATAAGAAACAGCTGTTCGTAAGTAGATAGCATCTGACGTGCTTTCTCTAAAGTAGTGCTTTTAAACTTCTAGGCACAATCAAGCTCAGTGAAGTATAATATGATAGGGAGATGCAGAGTCTAAAATTACTGCTCCCTGGTTAAGCACATATCATATATTTTAAAAAGCGAGCGGCTTGTAGAATGGGATCCAGCGCTCCTTATCACCATTTTCTCCTCTTTGTGCACTAAAGAAAGGTTTCTTCAAATCGATTGTACACATATGGTGGTACGCTTCTTCTCAATATTCGTTCTCGATGCTTGCACCAACCACTTATGCGAAGTAATATCATTCACTATTCCACTTCAAAAATCACGCTAACTGTGTATTTAACGAATAAACGTGGTCAAAGAATACCATGCTAACCGATGCCCGGTCCATATGTAATATAGAAACCTATTGATGTCCCCTAATCGGTCGAAATCCTGAACCTAGCTACTCAACATTGTGTGACCCAAGGTTCCTATTTTAGGATATCACCAGATCACCGAAAAAATGGGAAACTTCGATTCCATAGTTGTGATTGGTAGGCAATACATGAGTACGTCACAAATAACTTTTTTTTTAATTGCTTCCCCAATTTTTTATTTCTCTCTTTTTTTATAGTATTCGCACACACCCAAAAACACCCTAAACGTTTTTTTTAAACTACAAACTCTCTCAATCTTTTAAAAAAAAATTGTAGAAAGTGGAAAAAAAAGAGTAATTGCTAATATGGCCCAGGAAGATGTCGAAATGAAAGATGTGCCAAACACATCACAGTCCAGTGTGGTGACTGATTTCTTGGCGGTGTTATTTGCCAATCATCCTACGAAAGAACAAGAAGAATTAAGCGAACAAGCAAAGGAACACGATTCTCAACAAGAACGGCAGCAACAACAAGAACAACAACGAATGCAGCAGCAGCAGCTGCAGCCTCCGCCACCGTCGTCATTACAGCAACTGGCGCAACCTCAACAACCTCATCCTCGAGCAGAATTGGAACCACGTATTGCGCCAGGTGCTGGTGTGAAACGAGACCGTACTCCGGATGAATTTGATGAATATGAGATGCTTTCTAAACGCAAACACGGATCTCGTGCAAGCAATCAAGAGAATGGAACTGCTACTACTACTTTTAGTACTACTACTGCTTCTAGAGCAGCCGATGCTACTAGTGTAGCTGCTGCTGCTGCACCTTCCACTATTGCTGTTGATACTGCCAATTCTCCTGCTGCTGCAACTACTCTACCTCGTCGTGTTACTACTAGTGCCTTTGCCAAAGAAAATGGAGTTAATGTTGGTGGCGGTAGTAGGGGTAGAAATATTTCTGCAGCCTCTCCTACTAGAAGAATGGGTATTTCACCGAGTCGTAACGAAAGGCCTTTCCCAGTACAAAGAAATCGAGAACAAGTGATACCCGAAGCGCGTTTGCTGGTTCGGGGATTGCCCCATGGTTTAAAGAAGCGCGATATCCTGGACTATTTTAGCAAATATGGACCGATCGTCGATGCTTTCTTTAAAGACACCGCTGGTTTTATTCAATTTGGTTCACGTGAAGCTTGCCATGATGCTTATCATTCAGAAAATGGAAACTTCTTCCGTGGCTCGCAACTCGGTAATGTATTGAAATCTAACCATACATTCGTTCACACATACACCCACACACACACGTATACGTGCATCTATCAGACCATATATATCAGCAGAGAAAGAGGGATGGAAAGACGAAAGCCACCGTCAAATATCCAATCTTGGGTTTTTCACAGACAACGTCCTTTTCTTTCTTTCATCACCTTCCTTTAATAATTCTAATGTTTGTTTGCGAAACTTATTTGTTTATTTATCAGAACTCAGCTTGTCCGGACCAAGACGACGTGATACTACTCCGAATGCACGACGCAGCCCTTCTCCAATGACATCGTATCAAGCAAACAAGAAATTCCATAATGAAAACAGACCTGCACGCAAGTTTAATGAAATCGATCATGACCGTTACAGAGACAATGGCAACAACAGACGATTCAAGCCATCCTATCCTACGTCTCCTACTACAAGCAATGTTTTTAACGCTACTAGTTCTATTGCTGTTGGAAACAATCACTATCGCCATGATAACGACAATTATCAACGCGATTATAATCAACAACAACACCAACACCATCGTTATAACGACGACTATGAGAATGTGAGCGATGGTGATCGTTTTGAGAGCAGATTTTCTTCCGCTCGCGGTCGTAATGGAGCTGGTAACGGCGGTGGAACTATGGGAAGAGTACGTGGAGAAGAAGGAAGATTTGGAGGTAGTAGTAGCACCACCACTGCTTCTACTCTTATTGGAAATACAAATGCTGCAGAAACATTGTATCGAAAAGCTTGGCGAAACGATAATGTTGGTGCAAGACCCCCTATACGAGGCAAGGGTCATTATCAGCCGTCACCGAAACATCCTAATCAACATGCCCATTCTCATGCTCATCCTGCTCTACAACAACAACAGCAACAACAACAACAACAACATGCGTTGGCGTCGAAGCCTCCTTCAATGTTATTACCAAAGCGAACTGAAAAGGACATTCCCCTAGTACAAGTTGTGGCCTGGGACAATGTGAGTTCCAACTTTACGGACTATATTGAGAAGTCCTTCAGATTGCAGCAGATCGCCATACATACTATGCGCTTGCAGTATGGTCAGCTCAGCCGTGATGAAGTAGTGTCTCATTTGATTATGGAAGGTGTGAGGGCGCTGCTAGTTGTTGATCCAGCAAAGCAGGCGCAAGGCAAGATATATTTACAAGTATTTAAGCCTAATGAAGAAGCAGGCGACGGAAGCGTCCGTTTCGATGGTAATGATTTGGGTCTCTCTCCTTTTCACTTTTGTTATCGTTTACTCTTTCACACTACTAACGACTTGTCAAAATGGGTTGTGGTCTTATTTATCACACATTGTGCTCTTATATTGTTCATTACCTAGAATATGACAGTATCTCGGTTGAAGAAGCCATTGCAGTCATGCAGCGTGTCATGACGCAACAGAAAAAGCCAGTTTCATATCCTATGGCAGCTGTGTCCCCTCGGCAAGGACCTATACAGTCACCTCAGGCACAACCACAAGCAACCCAAGCTCCAGTACAGCCACCAGCGGCCGCTGCGCCAACGGCCATGCCTAACATCGATCCAAACACTCTATCATCACTGATTACATTGGTCAAAGGTATGATGCACCAACAGCAGCAGCAGCAACAACCACCGCAGCCACAACCTCAAATACAACCTCAAGTACAACAACAACAACAACTACGACTACAACAGCAGCAAGCATATACACCACCTGTGAACTCCATACCCTTTACTCAACAACAAAATGTTGAACAAACATCCTATGTCGCTACCCCTGCTCTTCCTGCGAATATCTCTCCTGCTGTATTGAATTCTCCTGCCGTGCAACAGCTGTTGGCTTCTATGAACCAGCAACAACAGCAACAACAGCAACAGCAACAGCAACAGCAACCGCCAAACCTCCCTGTGATTACTTCGACGCCCACGAATACAAGCACAAGCATGAATGCCCCGGCCTATTCTGTTCCCACGAGTCAGCCTAGCTCTTCTACTACTTCTTCCTACTATGGCGCTGGTTATGGATATGGCTATGGTAATAATTACTCTCAGCCGCCGCAACAGCAACAATCAAATGGTAACTATGCAATGTATTCCGAACAAGCATATCAGACGGCGACACATGCGAATGGTTCTGCGTCGATCACGAACGAAATCGATAATAACAAGAGTAACGGTATCGGTATGAGTAGTAGTAGTAGTAGTAGTACAGCTGCTAATGCTCCTGCTATAGCTACCACTGCCAGCGTGAGTAGTGCCAGTGTGCCCGCACCGGCTACGAATGGTAATACCCTGGGAAACAACACTGCAATCAGTGATCTTTTGGATAAGCTACAGATGTTTACACAAGCATCACCGGTCCCTCAACGTCAATGAACGCATCGAATCATTTGTATATTCCCTCTCTCTCTCTCTCTCTCTCCTCTCTCCACATTACTTTTCAATTGTTTGTTAATAATATTGCCAAAAGTCGAAACAAAAGAAGCCTGGTTTTCCGGTTATAATCTCTCAATTCAGTTTTATTGTAATTGTTGTGAGTTTAGGGGATGATACTGCATAAAATATATGTGTGTTATTTAAGCAGAGAGTTAAAAATCCTAATTGAGTGAGAAGAATGCAAAGTAAACTAATATGGTGGCGGCATGTGGATTGACTGTGTGATTTGAGATCGAAAGAGGATGAGGAACAAGAGTATGTGTGTGATGAATTATGCTAGAGAGGGTTTAGAGGTTCTTCTTGTTGGACTTGTAATAGTTGATCAATCCATTGGTAGAAGCATCGTGCGACTCGACCTGTCCAGGCTGACCAAGCTCAGGCAAGATAGCCTTGGCCAACTGCTTGCCGAGCTCAACACCCCATTGATCAAACGAGTTGATATCCCAAACAATGCCCTGGACAAAGATCTTGTGTTCGTACATGGCGATCAAAGCACCCAAGGTCGAAGGCGTCAGTTTCTGGAACATGATCGAGTTGGTTGGCTTGTTGCCCTTGAAGATGCGGTGGGGGACGATGTTCTCGGCAGCACTAGGGCCCATCTCTTGACGGACCTGGGCCTCGTCCTTGCCAACCATCAGAGCCTCGGTCTGGGCGAAAAAGTTGGACAACAGGATGTCGTGGTGGTTGCCCAATGCGTTGTGTGTCTCGACAGGAGCCAAGAAGTCGCAGGGGATCAGCTTGGTGCCCTGATGAATGAGCTGGTAGAATGCGTGCTGGCCGTTGGTGCCGGGTTCACCCCAGATGATTGGGCCTGTGGATGTCTGCACCGCCTCGCCGGACCGTGAGACGTACTTGCCGTTCGACTCCATGTCGCCCTGCTGGAAGTAGGCCGGGAACCGATGCATGTACTGGTCGTACGGTAAAATGGCCTCGCTCTCGGCCTTGTAAAAGTTGTTGTACCAGATACCCAACACGGCCAGAATCACAGGGATGTTTTGGTCCAAGGGGGCCGTCTGGAAATGGTTGTCCATCTCATGCGCGCCTCGCAACAGCTGCTCAAAGTTGTCATAGCCGATGGAAATGGCAATCGACAGGCCGATGGCGGACCACAGCGAGTAGCGGCCGCCAACCCAGTCCCAGAACTTGAACATGTTTGCAGGATCAATGCCAAATGCAGATACTTCCTTGGTGTTGGTCGACAAGGCGACAAAGTGTTTGGCCACGTGTGCAACCTGTATAGAGCGTAAGAGAGATACAGCGTCAGTGTTACGAAACAGCCCAAGTTACACAAGCGAGTGCACCAGACACAAACGCCCACACAAGAAAAATACTTACGTCCTTGGCTTCCTTCAAGAACCACTCCTTGGCAGAGGTGGCGTTGGTGATGGTCTCCTGGGTGGTAAAGGTCTTGCTTGCAACAATGAACAGGGTGGACTCGGGCTTGCAGCGCTTGACGACCTCGGCCAAATGGGTGCCATCGATGTTGGAGACAAAGTGCACGTTGAGACCGTCTTGGGCATAAGGTTTCAGGGCCTCCGTGACCATGACCGGGCCCAGGTCCGAGCCGCCAATACCAATGTTCACGACATCCGTGATCGCCTTGCCGGTGTATCCCTTCCATTCGCCACTGCGGACAGCGTTCGAGAACTCCTTCATGTGCTGCAAGACCTCGCGGACCTCGGGCATGACGTTCTCACCGTTGTCGTAAACGGGCTTGTCGCTCAAGTTGCGCAACGCGGTGTGCAGGACAGCACGGTCTTCGGTAAAGTTGATGCGGTCGCCAGAGAACATCTTGTCACGCATCGACTCGACTTGGGCCTCCTTGGCAACCTCCAGCAGCAGCTTAAAGGTCTCGTCGGTAACGCGGTTCTTGGAGAAATCCAGCAAGATCGTCGCGTCTGTGCCCTGGAAGTTGCGCGAGTACTTGTCAAACCGCTGGCTGTCCTGGCTGAAGAGGTCCTTGATGGTAATGTTGGCGCCCTGAGCATCGTAGTGCTCCTGGAGCTTTGTCCATGCGTTCAAACGGTTAGCCAAGACCATGATGGATTGTAGAGATGCTTAAGGTAAAGCGGGAAAATGTTGGGAAAAGAAGAGTAAAAAAGGAAGACTGGATCGCTTTATTTTTGTACCCAGTAGAAAAAAGTGCTCCGCACAACGGCGTCGACACGAAACAGATTTTCCCGACCCGCCGTAATTTTTACTCCCCCCACCCAGACATTTGACCGGGCCAAAAAGGCAAATTGTCCGGGCTTGGGTAAAGCTTATCGAAAGTACACCAACCACGTTTTCTTATTCGATGGGGGCCTCCAAAGATGATCTTTTACTCTTGTGCGGTTGCATGTCTCCTGTTCTCTCTCTCTCTCTCTTTGAACCTTCTTCTTGTTTTAAGCTAAATGCCCCGAAAAATCCAGCGTTTTTCCAGTATTTCATCGATAACAAAGAAGAATAGAGCGGAGAGCCATTCCCAGCCCCCATTGCAGGCAGCAATCGATGACGCGATCCTTTTCTTTTTCTCCGCATCTTGTAAGTAATAGTATATATATATAATGCAAGACGCGTAATACACTACTTCTTCCTGGACGTCTACTACGCGAGATAACGTGTAACCAAAGGAATTGAATTTTTTTTTTGGGGGGGGGGTAGAAGGGTGTGAGAGCATATGTGTATTGATCTTCACGTTGAATAAAACAAGAAGAACAGAGAGAGAGAGAGAGAGCACACAGGCATAAGACCCGTCCCGATCCGATCCGTTTGTTCTTCGCTTTGTTTCGTTGCGTTTCGTTGTCGTGGCTGATGATACTAGCAATAAATAAAGAGGTAATGAAAAACGCGTGTCTGCGCGCCAAAGCGTTCTATTGGGTGATACCGGTGCTACCCGTCGCAAAAAACGCGATCATCTTTTGGATCTCTCGGGTCGTGTGGGGAAAGAGAGACCTTGGAGTATCTTATGACGCTTATTCAGCACACAGGCTTAAAGCTGTGCATTATCCACAAACCCCTTTCCACCCCTGGAAAGCTTATTAAGCACTTGTTGGCTTTCTGTATTGGTCCAACTCCTCCCCCAAACGCCTTTTTAGAGCGGAGAGAAAGGAGCATAAGTATCAGGCAAACCGCATAAAACACATAGCCGTCAAGTACCTCTCTTAAGTTTTACGTCATTGTTGTTCTTACATATAAAGAGCAAGTAGCAGTCCGCAACCGTACCGATACAAACGGGTCGAAGCTCCCCATCGTGGAGCGAACGGAAGTAACTGTTCGCACTGGAGCGACTTGGGGATTGAAGCAGTGAAGCGATCATCGCAAGCATAGCAAAAGTGACCGGCTAAAAGAATGTTGGTACCTCAAGTACCCCAGAAGTTTAGTACATTCAATCCAGACTGAGATTGATGCATCTCGTCGTCGGGTGTATAGAGCAGAACCCGCCCTCTCGCGATGCACATGGAGGCACATAATACGTTATCTGCCACGGACCATCATACCAATACAATTTAGCCCTTTCATACTGTACATATGCACACATACGGCTGATAGTTTTAAAGTGCATGCATATGGGTGTGTTGGTAGTATGCATACATATATTGTTGTTATATGATAATGATAGATAACATAAGTAGTAAACATGGTTTAAAAAAAACAGAAATGATAGTCATAGTGTATGTACTAAAGATTGCTCTATTCCAACAGGGAAAGCTGACGGGACTCGCCCGTTACTGTTGTGGACATTCACCATCAGGATGATCGTCTAACGTTTGACAGTCTCTGCAATACATGTGATAGACGCGTACGTTGTTTGGCAGTAAGTGCCGTAGCCGCTCTTGATCCACAAGTTTGTTCTTTTGCATGAATGGTGGCAGGATCCGTCGGACGATCACTGTTGCTGTACCATTGTACAAGCCCGAGATATCATCGACACCGAGCACCACGTCCACCACGCCTTGTTTGTCTTCCTCGTCGTCATCATCCTGATAACCATCATCATCATAGCTATCACCATCATCATCCTTCTCGTCATCATAACCGTTCTGTGCATTCAAGCCCTTGCCGTTGGTAGCCTTCTTATGATCATGGTTACTGTAGCCATTGGCGCCACCATTACCCTCATTACCATTATCCCAATCCTGATCCCTCGGTGGAGGACCCTTAATATCGTCATTCGGCTCGGCAAATTCTTCATACAACATGGTCTCGATCTCGTCCTCACTATCCAAGGGCAAATCAAACAGCGGGTAGGCAATATACAACACATCCGAGCGCACGTTGAACACGGGCCATAGGATGCGATTGTTGTATCGGATCCCTTTGTCAAAGGCGTAGTCGCTCAGCTTGTCCGAGCTGAACACCACCTCCACAATAGTAAAGTTGTTTGGCGTGTTTTTTACTTGACGCATAGCAATCGTCATGGCCTTGCCTCCGAAATGACTCCATATGCAGCTGTACGCTTTACGCAGCTCCACCTGGTCGCTAAAGTTGAATAAGAGTGACTCGTAGCTCTTGGAGAGTCGCCATTTCGGAATGTGGTTGGCATTGTTGACGCCCGGAAGGAACATGGTACTGGTGGTAGTAGTGGTGGTCACAGTTTTACAAGGAAGAAAGGAAGAAACAAGGAGATAGAGAGAGAGGAAGAAGAGAAGGAAGGCGAGGAAAAGGAAGAGGAAGAGGAAAGTCAACGCTTGCGTGATTGGTAGTAGTATTTTTTAATAGCTGCAATAACGTCAACGTTTATGTTTTGGTTGGATGGTGTCAGTAGAATTTGTGAGAACAAAAACAAAATGACGTTATTGTTATATCGCACTAATGCATATACATCACCCACCGGGGATTTTAATGTTCAGGTTAGTAGAAGTAGTAGTGTTGATTTTTAATTCACTGGATATATCAACTGATGTCAGGCACATGCGTGTTTGGTGGGTTAGCAGGCGCATGCTATTGGAGCATGCTTAGCACGAAGCAATCATTGTTCTCTAGCACTTGTCAACCTTTTCCCTCATACTGTTGCAGAAAGAAAGAGAGAAAGAGAGAGAGAGCAGCGTGTGGTCCCAGCAAGCGGTCCAACGATAATTCGCCACTTTCTAGGTCCGCAGCGTATTCAGTGGCAGCCGCCCGAACAGAAACTCGTCTTCAACGTGTTCCTTCATCGTCGCAGGGGCAATTTCTAACCTAGACATTTTTTCTTTCTTCTTTTCACACTCCCTACGTACAACTGACTCCTGGGAAACGCGGGCTACGCGTTAAAGAAAAAGAAAACAACACCACATTACGACTCTCGAAAGAAATACATTGCAAAAGCAAGCCAGTCCGAACTATACTGCCTGTCCAACACGCACACACACACACACACTCTCTCTCTCTCTCTCTATCGATAACTATACCAACACCAAACTACTTTACAACAACAACACATTATGGCCACCACTGACCTCTGCTACACGCTTGTTCATCAAGATGACGCGAGCGAACAACCCTCCTTGCAAGACTTCCAGCGAGCACTTGAGAAAGGATCCGATGAAGTGCGCATCCAGACCATGCAAAAGCTGCTCATCATCATGCTTAACGGGGATCCCATGGAAAAGCTCTTGCTTCATGTGATTCGCTTTGTCTTGCCATCCAAGAACAAGCAACTCAAGAAACTGTTGCATTTCTACTGGGAGATTTGTCCCAAGACAAAACCCGATGGCAAACTCAAGGAAGAGTTTATTCTCGTTTGGTATGTTGTCGTTTGTACAAGGATTTCCTTATATGCTCATACTTATACTCACTCTCTCCCAAAAATGAAATACATACATACACTTGTAGTAACGCGTTACGAAACGATTTGCAACATCCTAACGAGTATATCCGAGGAGCCACGCTTCGATTCTTGTGCAAGATCCGTGAAGCCGAAGTATTGGAACCATTAATTGCTTCTGTCCGAGCGTGTTTGGTAATATGAAGCTTATGAACATACGTTAGGTTGTGGTTGGAGAAGATGGATAGCTTACACGGTTAAAAAAAAACAATAGGAACATCGTCATTCGTATGTGCGCAAGAACGCAGTGTTTGCCATCGGTTCGATCTATCGCCACTTTGATTTCTTGTTCCCCGATGCACCTGAAGTGATCCAGACGTTCTTGGCTGGTGTAAGTTTTTTTTCCCCTCTTTTCAGTACTCACATACATGCAGATGACAAAGTTACACTAGACTAAACATGTACTGGTGGTTTCTATTACGTTTTGACAGGAGGCTGATATGTCGTGCCGTCGTAACGCTTTTGTGGTGTTGTGCAATGTCGACCGTCCGTTGGCTGTTGAATACTTGCTTCAAGTGTTCCCACTCGTTCCGCAATTCGATGAGTTGCTTCAATTGGCCGTTCTGGAATTGATCCGCAAGGATAGCAAGGCCAATAGCGTTAACAAGGTTCGTTTCGTTAGAGGAAGAGATAGATAGATGAATCGATATAACGAAACAACTAATGGGACTTGGGTGGGGGAACGTATATGATATAGGGTGCCTATATCCGCTGCGTTTCGGAACTGTTGACGGCTGCATCGCACTCGGTCAAATATGAAGCAGCTAACATTCTCATGGTGCTGACATCCAACCCAGCCGCTGTCAAAGGTAAACTGGAGGTGATGAGATAATAAGGGAAAAGGGAGAGACAAGGTAACCAACTATCTAATTTACAAACACGCAAAAAAAAACTATAGCTGCTGCTTCGTGCTACATTGATTTGGTTGTCAAGGAGAGCGACAACAATGTCAAGCTCATTGTATTGGATCGTCTCGACAATTTACTTTCCAAGCAAGACCGTATGCTGGATGACCTAGTGATGGACATTTTGCGTGTTCTATCGAGCCCTGACATCGATGTACGCCGCAAGGCTTTGCGTATTGCCATGTCGTTGGTCTCTTCGCGCAATGTACAAGAGGTCATTCTGTTTTTGAAAAAGGAGCTGGTCAAGACTCACGACCAAGAATACGAAAAGAACACAGAGTACCGCCAGTTGTTGGTGCAATCGATCCACTCATGTGCTGTCAAGTTCTCTGAAGTCGCTGCCAATGTCGTTCACGTGTTGATGGAGTTCTTGGGCGATTCCAACAACCCTTCGGCTGTCGACGTTGTGTCCTTTGTCCGTGAAGTCATGGAAAAGTTCCCTGGCTTGCGTCGCTCGGTATTGGAAAAGCTGCTAGAGACATTCATGGATATGAAGTCAGGAAAAGTGTTCCGTGGTGCCTTGTGGATCATTGGCGAGTATTGCCAGGATGCACAAGAAATTGATGAGGCATGGCAGCAGATCCGCTCTGCTTTGGGTGAGGTCCCTATCTTGGCATCCGAACAGCGTTTATTGGAGTCGTCCGAGGAGGGTGAGCAGGAAAAGAAGGAAGATGATACCAAGACCGTGCCTTCGGGCTCTGCTGCACCACGACGCATCTTGCCAGATGGTACCTATGCTACAGAAAGCAGCTACACTGTGCAGCCTAGCTCTAGCGGCAAACTCGATGCCGTCAAGTCGGCTTCCAAGCCTCCTCTTCGAGGTAAAGCACCTATTTCTGTTAGTGAGAGAGAAAAATTGGCACAAGAATGGTGTAAAGCGTGTATATTGGAAGCTGATAACATTTTTTTCTTTCTTTGCTATTTAGCATTGTTGCTGGTTAACGGCGATTATTTCTTGGGCACCGTTTTGGCTACCACTTTGACTAAATTGGTCTTGCGCTACAGCACGCTTGTATCAGACACTGCCGCCGTCAACTCGCGTCGTGCAGAGGCCATGTTGATCATGACGAGCATCATCCGTGTTGGCCAGAGCCAGTTTGTCGCACACCATATTGATGAGGACTCGTATGACCGTATTATGCAAGATATCCGAGCCGTCGGCAACCGTCAGCACGAAAAGGTCGTTGATAAGGTCTACCTTGAGGACAGCCGCAATGCATTCGCTAAACAGATCCAAGCAGAAGAGGTACATTGTATTGTTGAGTTAATTTATTGTGCATGCGTGTGTGTGTTTGTGCGCATATGAGAAACTCATATAAGTATCTACAGAAACGAGCAGCGGCCGAAAAAGAAAAGGATAAGGCAGTGGAAGTCCAAGTAGACGATGCTATCGTTTTTAGACAATTCTCTAAAAAGACCAATGATACGGGCGTGGATGAGGTATGCACTACTGAGACAGAGGCTTTTACCTTTTGTTGATGGATGAGGCTAACCAAGACAACTTGACTATCATAGTACGAGCAAGATTTGGTACGCGCAACAGGCTCCTTGGATTCCAAAGACGACTTGATGTCCAAGTTAAGTCGCATTGTCCAGCTTACCGGTTTCTCGGACTCTGTATACGCTGAAGCTGTAGTCAATGTTCACCAGTACGATATCTTGATGGGTGAGTACAATTTGCTTTGAATGTAGGATATACAAAGATGTCTTCAAGTAATACTCACTCCCACACTCTCACGCAACACATCATTCAGATGTGCTGATTGTCAATCAGACCGCCGAAACCTTGCAAAACCTGACTGTGGAGTTCGCCACGTTGGGCGACTTGAAGCTAGTTGACCGACCTGTAGCACACAACCTGGCACCGCACTCGTTCCTGACAGTGAAAGCACCGATCAAGGTGTCGTCGACAGAAACGGGCGTGATCTTTGGCAACATTGTGTACGACTCCAACACGGCGAACGAAAACAGCTCGGTGGTTGTGCTGAATGATATCCACATTGACATTATGGACTACATCAACCCGGCCTACTGCACCGAGACGCAGTTCCGCAACATGTGGAGCGAGTTTGAGTGGGAAAACAAGGTCAATGTCAACACCAACATCTCGGACTTGCGCGTATACCTCAAACACATTATGGATTCCACCAACATGAGCTGTTTGACGCCGGAGAAGCAGCTCGAGGGCGATTGTGGATTCCTCTCCGCAAACATGTATGCTCGAAGTATCTTTGGCGAAGATGCCTTGGCCAATTTGTCTATTGAAAAGCCTGGTGAAGGACCCATTGCTGGTCATATCCGTATCCGTAGCAAGACACAGGGCATTGCATTGAGTCTAGGTGCGGTATTGGGTGGTGTTGATAGTGTGTGTCTGCGAGAGATGTTCATGCACTAACTAACCATACTATTATTGTTTATATTTGTTTAGGTGATAAAATTACTTTGGCACAGAAAGCAGCCGCTTAAATAATAAAAATACATTTCCCTTTGTTGTTTGTCTATTCTACTATTACTATTATCAATAACAACTCGCATTATGCTGTTCTTGGTTAACCTTTTGAGTTGACTTCTAGTGGCGTCTTTTTTGATGTGCATGTTGCTATGGCTCAGTTGGCATGGTAAGCGCGTCAGAAGAGGTCTATCATCGCATTACTGTCACACTCCACCCTGTAAACTACACACCAGAACAACAGATGCCCCTTCTTTCTTTCGTTTTCTTTTGGGAAACAAAAAACAACCTTGTCGCTCTACAACAAGTACAGCCCGTTTTTTATCTTTTTATTTCAAATGATATTTTTAATGGATGCGTTTTTTTGTCATGGGGTTGATAAAGAAAACGTTTATTTCGACAAAGCGTTCTCGATGGCTTCGTAGACTTCGACCTCAACCTTGGCAGCGGCCTTCTCGGCATCAGAGCCGGCGCCGTTGGCAACCTTCTGTGCCTCAGCGAGGGCAGACTTGACGTTCTATATGATGCAAACACACACACACATACACAATCAAGTAGGTCAGTACACACATTCTCTTTCTCTCTCTTGTCAGAAACATGAATTTACATACCTCAACGGAGAGCTCGTCCAAAGCAGCAGCCTCGACAGCGTTGATGTTCAAGGTCGAGTCAGGGTTGATGATAGCGAAACCACCCGAGACTACAAAAAATAATATTCAATAAATAATATATAATATCAGTACACTCCTTCCTAATTGTTTTTGTCATTGCGGCCCGAAATGTTATTATTGTCCTCGTTTTCTTTTTTCGCGTTTTTTTTTCTCTCCCTTGTCGTTCTAGAATAGCCACGACAGAAAAAAAAAAGAGTCGCGTCCATATACAAAGAAAACCAAACTTACCAAAGAACTTCTTGGTGACATCACCGGATTCAATGACCTCAACAACACCGGGGTTCAATTGTTCAATGGTAGGAACGTGGTTGGCAAGGATACCCATGTCACCAGAGGTAGCAGCCAAGTTGACTTGCTGGACATCGGTGGACTTGTAAAGAGCCTTGTGGGGCAAGACGAAGGTCAAGCGAAGCTTGTCAGCGGCAGGTGCCTCCGTAGCATAGCTTCTGGCTACATGATGGTCAATATATTAACCATTAAAAAGGGGGGGTGACCGCATTTAGCTTTCTTTTTTTTTCGCTTCAAAAATGTATAACACGACGTTCTATCATTCTTGTTTGACCGTATCTGTGGTACGTAGCATATATACTACTAAAAAAATAAACGAGAATGTTTACCCAGGGCAGGTCGAATGGCGGCGCGAACAGATCGGGCAAAGACGTTCATGGTTGGAGGGACGAAAAACAAGTATTAGGGAAAACGGTTTTGAAATTTTTTATTAGCGGCAGGGGACCCGCTGGCGTAGTGTAAGCATCCAGCGCCGGGGGGGTGACATGAAAGGTCAGTCACACTTCTTCCGACGCGCGAGATATATGTACTCTATTCCACGCAAACTTCAACCCCCCACCAAGTACCGAAGGATGTGTTGTCTTTGTTGTTGTAGGAGGAAACAACAGATAGTAACATAAAGTATCGATTCATTGGACTCTTATTAGTACCAAACACATAGTGCTACGCTTATATTCTTCAATAAATGTTGTTCTCTCTACAATATTACGATTTTCGTGCAGTGTCCTTTGACGAGAAGGCCTCGTGTGGCTATGGACATCGACAACGGTGCTTTCGTTTAAGCTTGCATCATCCATTATCTTCTTTTTTGGCTATAAAATTCTCAATCTGATAAAAAGAAGTAGAAAATGCACCAGTTCTTGCGCCGCATACAATCAACCACGTATAATAAAGCTTTGTGTATGACCGTTATTATGGTAACCATTACTATACGTTGCCCTCCCCACTAAGTTTCGCCTTGGACGCTTACTTGCTCGAGGAAATCCCTTTGTCCCTCTCAAAAAAAATCAAATGTATCTCTAGAGCTTTATTGACTACTTTTCTATGAGAGCATTGAGATTAAGTGAGACTTATACAGTTGTATTATGTTTTACGAGTATCGAAAACAGTTGCCATATTTGAAAAATCTTAAATTTGAAAGCCAACCTGTTGGGGGGGCGTGTGTGAGAGAGAGTGTGTGTGAATGATTAGAGAAAGAGGGGAGGGGGAGGATCACACACATATAATAGAAGCTACATACATATATGCCTTTTTCTTTTTGTTCTTCTCCAAAATATCTAACAGAGTTTTTTTTTTTTATTCAAATGAGCAATGGACTCCAATTTGTCGCGTCAATACAGCCCACCAGCATCCGTCTCCCCCACTATTACCGGCCATTATTATCAACAGGCGCAAGCAGCATCCAGAAATTCAAATAATTCAAACAATTTGCCATCTTTACCAACAGCAAGCGATCTGTCAAGCATCAAAGCCGATCTGGAAAGAGTCTTGTCACATTCGGATAAACGTCAAAAGCATTTGGAAAAGGATCTCAATCACTTGCAAAAGAATGTCAACATTCGTGATTCAGGTATATATACATATATTCTTTATTGTCAAAAAGTTGATTCCAACCCTATTTCTTGTAAGGCGACGGCAGAGCTGGAACCTCTGGAAAAAGCGTCAATATGATGATGCGGATCAAACGAGAGTCAGGTATATACATATAATAGAGTTAGTGCATGGTCTGATGGATATATGTCTTTTTTTTTTTTGCATTAATCTGATAACTGTTTGAATGTATCTTGTGGTGATACAGATGATCTATCTTCAAACTCATCACAACCGAAGCCGCTGGATAGACAAACGTAGGGATTCTCATCTTTTCATACACTACGTTCAAGAGAAGTTACAGGAAGCATAAATTATGTACTTAGCGATTGGGTCATTGATAGTGCACTCGAAACATTGAGACGACGGCGACGACGCGATGAAGTTGATGACTCGGAGGAAGATCAACGTAAGCTTTTTAATATGAAAAAAAAAGAACGATCCAAAAGTTGGGAATGGAGTATCTACTCACACCTTAAATAATATGTGTACAGCCACGTCGACACGAAGTGAATCACCACTTGTCAAGATGAAAAAGCTAGATACTGGACCAACATCACACAGTGTGTCCCCACCTCCAGTATCCAAAAGTCCATCTTTTGGCAAACATCATAAACCATCCGAGGTGAGAGTGAGTGAAAGTATTTATAAAAGGATACGCGAGTTGTATTATCATTATCACTCACATGGCAAATACGGGTTCGGTATAGGGCCAAACGAAAAAGAAAAAGTCCAATAAAGCTGCTTCTCAAGGAAAACACCCCAAACCCAAATCTGCACATACAAAGACCACCAATGATGTCGACTTTGTACGCGTGAAGCCAAAAGATCAAGTGTCTGTCTTGACGTTTTGGAGTGCCATGGAACCGTATTTCCGTCCATTGACAGAAGATGATCGCAAATTTCTATTAGAGAAGGTAAACACTCCCTTTGTTATAGTGTTTTCTTTCGTGTGTATGTGTGTCTGGGGAAAAGTGTATATGTATATAAGACCCAAAGATTTTAACTTCTGAGAGTAATTGTGTGTGTGTGTGTGTGTGTGTGGTTTAGGGTGATGATGTAAAGCCTTACTTGTTACCGCCGTTGGGTCGCCACTACATCGAAACATGGGCAGAAGAAGAAAACGCACCGGTACCACAACGCGGTCGATCAAATTCACCTGCTGCGACACGACGTGAAGGGTCGAGTGGTCCACACAATAAGGATCACGGCGAGTCGTCATCATCATCCTCATCTACGGCTGCTACTGCTATGAATGGCACTGGACCAACAGCAGCAGCAGCAGGTGCTGGTGGTGAAGCGGGAGCAACAGGAATAGATGCAAAGGAACCAGACCCTATTCCTGAACGTGCACGCTACTTGAAACCGGGTGAACCATTGACGGACGACTATTTATTGACCGAGGATTTGAGCTGTGGCAGTCTAGCAGAGCGTCTACTGAGCAGTTTGGTGATTGAAGATATGGTTGACATTACGGAACTCAAGGATCTGATCACATTGGAGGATGCTGCAACGACCGATGGTGGTGATAGTGACGATGTAGACGATATGGACGTTGATTCTGTGTCTTCAAGTGAAGGTGGACGAACCGTTGTCGAGTTATCCAATGATCCGTCTGAAGATATTGTCGACTTTGAAGAACGACTCAAGCGTGAATTGCGATATGCTGGTCTCTTTAGTGATGCGGATGTATGTGGCAACATTTTTTTTTGCGCTTTATAAACGTCAATGTGTGTACATATTGCTTTAACTGGTTTTTTTACGCCGGGTTTAGATTGCATGGAATGCACGAGAGGATGATGATATCTGTGCAGAACTGCGTCGACTCGGTCGCGAACTCAAGGATCAAGTGAGTGTCAATGATTTCCGTAAGAAGCGGTTGTTGGAAGTCGTAGATAGACAGCTCCAATACGAGCAATATCGCAATGTACTGGATACATACGATGCCCAAGTTGAACAATGCTACATGAAGCGATTCGTAAGTAATCAGATCTTTCTTGGTGAACTCAATATATGCATATAACTCATTGTCGTTTGCCTCTTTTCTTTCTTTTCTTCCTCCAGAGAATCCAAAAGTCGAAAAAGCGGAAAGCAACAGCACCCAAGGCCATGTTGTCCGAAAATGCGGTCAATGCTATGGACAAGCGGCGTACCTGGATAAACGGTCTAGGACCCATATTTAAGGACAAGAATATTGTCATGCCATCCAAATCGATATACAGAGATGACTTTGACGACGATGAAAACCCTGAGATGGATGACAACAGTGATTACCACGTTACCACAAGCAGCAGCAACAATAATAACACCCCCGCAACGAATACAACATGATACACATTATCGCCAAACGCCCTCTTCCGCTCTCCCTCCATCCCTCTCTCACATCCGAAAATCATTCATTTGTACATAGTATCTCTCTCTCTTTCTCTCTTTGCCTTTTTATCCGTACTCAACTTATTTTTCTTTTCGTAAATACATATTATATATCATTTCGCAGTTAAAAAAATTACTCCATGCATTTCCATCTCTATCCACCCGCTTACTAATTAAAAGAGAGAGTGGCTTTTATGTTAAAATTCCTGCAAGTTCTTTACCGTTCGCTCCGCCTTTTTTTTTTAAAGTTCTACCTTCTTTCTCTCTCTCTCTCTCCCACCCCTACCAACAACAAAGATATCTACCCAATAATGTCGGCTGCTCATCGTTCTGCCGAAACCGCCCTTGTTCTAAATCAAAAGTTGGACGAATCCGTTGCAGCACAACTCTCGACCACCATTACCGAATGTGTACAAGCCCTTCTCGATGGTCAATATACCAAGGTTTTACGCGAACATAGTCCAATTTTTGACAGCAACAGTAACAACAGTGAGGCACAACAAGAATTACTCGCCACTGGTAACATTGAAGCATACATTGACCAACAACTCCAACGCCTCAACGACGACGACAATGACACCCAATTCATTATTTTGGCTACCGGTATTGCGTGTTTGAACGCGTTTGTACAAACCAACTGGACCGGCCCTCTCTTGGACTGGTCTGTCAGCGAACTGCTCACTGGCCAAAAAAAGGATGCACAACTCGAACAAAAGATCCATGACCACTGTCTCGAAAGCTTGTCCGCCGATAGTGAACAAGTGTATCATTTGACGCAACGACTTGGTTTGCTTGCGGCAGCACGACGTATTCTTTTGCATTTGCGCGACAAGAACAACAAAAACTCGGCTCCGCTTACTACTACAGCATCATTTTGGGCCATGCGCGCCGTGTTTATCCAACAACAGCTTTTGGATGAATTTACAGCCTCGTTGCAAAATCTATTGCTTGAACTTGCACAAGAATGCCACTTTGAAGAAAATGACGACTTGTGCATACGACTTGAGTTGGAATTGGGGTTGATCTACAGCTACTACGGCCAGGACAAGGAAGCGTTTGAAAATATAAAAAAGGCACAAGAAACATCTGGGTTCCAGTGGTCGTTATCGGGTGCTCTTGGTCGCCGCACCAAACATCAAACCTTTGATGTGAGCCAATTGGTGCTTTTGGCAGAAAGCAAGGAACAAGACAGTAAGGAGAACAAAGAAGGAAAAGAAGAAAAGTTACGACCCGAGACTGTTGAATTACAAGACGACACCTTGCTGGATCAAGTCGCATTTGCAAAGACGGACAAGAACGACCAAGAAGCAGACAAGCGTCATGGCAACTTGCGCGTGATTGACCAGTGTCTTTTGCTGGCGTTCTGCCTGAATGTGAAAAACACAAACCCAGATCACGGTTTGACGGCAACGGAAATGACGCCGTATGTCACTCGTGTGCTCGAGAATGCCAACAACTGGATGGTCCACACGATGGGTTTGTTGCACAAGACCCGGTTGGAGGCACACAAGTCGCGTACGGTCGAGCGCTCTGCACTGCAGTTGCAAGCATTGGTGGATCAGATCAAGGTGGAAGACTCGGGCGTGGACGAACGTATGGCCTATTTCTACGACTTGCTGCTGCCTAGCAAATGGGAGATGGAACGTGAACTGGCCAAGCGATTCGTGTCTCTCGGTGTCTTGCGATCCGCATTGGATATCTTTGAACGTCTGGAGATGTGGGAAGAAGTTGTCTCGTGCTACCAGATGCTGGAGCAGCCGACCAAGGCCAAGGAAGTGTTGTCGCGCCTGATGGACGAGAGCCCCAATTCGCCCAAACTGTGGTGTATTCTCGGCGACGTGGAGCAAAACCCAGACCATTGGCGCAAGGCATGGGAGGTCTCTGGCCATCGCTTCGCGCGTGCGATGCGGAGTCTTGGAGCACACCTGTATCGTCAGCAAGACTTTGACGGTTGCATTGACTGCTACCAGAAAGCACTGGCGATCAACCCCTTGTTTGAGGGATCCTGGTATGTCCTCGGCTGTGCAGGCATGCAAGCCGAGCAATGGGAGGTGTCGATGCGAGCGTTCCAACGCGTGGTGGCGCTGGACAACGAGCAAGCCGAGGCATGGAACAACCTGTCGAGCATCTACGTGCAGATGGACCGCAAGCCGGATGCGTTCTTGGCACTCAAACAAGCAACGAAGCTCAAGTTTGACAACTGGCGGATGTGGCAGAATCTCCTCATTGTTGCAGCTGATGTGGGTCAATTTGCGGATGCGATCTGGGCCATGCAGCGCATTGTGGAACTCCGCTGGGACAAGGCCAGAGACGACTGTGTGGACAGCCAAGTGTTGCAGATGCTGGTCGATAATGTCATTCTCAACTGGAAGGATGCCTTTGACCGGGACGGCGTGCGTCTGCAACGACAGGTTCAGCGGCTGCTGGAGGAAGTCATTTTGAGTCGTATCACCAACTCGCCCGAGATCTGGCGGATTTGTGCCAAGTTTTATCTTTTCCAGAAGCGGTACTCGGATGCGCTGGAAGCCAGCGTCAAGGGTTACCGGGCCGTCATGCATGATGCACGGATAGAAACGGACCAGGAGGTGTTTGAGCGCGTGGCTTCAGTCGCCATGGAGACGGTGGACATGTATGAAAGCATTGGCGATCAAGAGCAAGACAACGCGCCGGTGTGTGCCGACTGGAAGTACCAGGCACGTCTGATTCTCAAGGGATTGATGGGCAGAACTCGCGAGGCGTTTGAAGACACAGAAGCATACGAGCGATTAAAGGATCGTCTTGATGATTTCAAGCGGGCTTGAAAAGAAAAGAGCGACGATTGCTTATATACACGCATACTCACATAGCACAACACAACGCAACACAAACACAACACAACAAACATTTCATTCTTTCCCAAAAAGTTTCTTTTTTTTTTCTGTAAATAATAATGATGTTAATAACAATGATATGTAATGCTATACGATATGCGATGCGCGTTTTTCATGCTGCTGTTGTTGTATATCAAAAATTTTAAGAGGAAAAAGAATGTGAGTCGGGAGGGGTTGGGGGGGTGGTGGGTATGCAGACGGATAATAATAGAATATAAAATGCTAATAACAATAAGAGGAGAAGAGGGGCGCGAGGGGGGCGGGGGATGTCGGGGAGAACGGTGGGTATACTATGATGTGTGGTGCTGTTTAATAATGATGTGGCAATATGATGGGATATGTATGTGACGATGATAATAATAATAATAATAATAATAAGATGAGTGTGAAAAAGAAAAGAAGGGGTTAGAGAGAGTGTGTATGTTAATGGGGTCGTCGGTGTACAAGTAGTTATGGAGTAGGTGGGGCTATGTTAAAGTAAGAAAAGGACGACCCACACTTCATACTGCTTCGGTTGCTGCTGGTGTCGTGGCATTTTTCTTTGACTTTTGGAACGACATTGCCTTTTTCAATTTCTTGGTCAGATTCTTGCGTTTCATCGATAGCCGTGATGCTTCACGACGCAGGCTCTTGATTGATGGCTCCTTCTTTTGCTGCTCCTGTTGCTGGATAGATGTGGGCGTGGGTGGCATGGACGGGGTGCCACCGGATGAGTCATCGTTGACTGGCGTGGTGGCCAGCAGTTCATCTTCATCTTCTTTGGTGCTGGTAGTAGCCTTATGATGCTCCTCCTGCGGTTGCTGATGCTGCTGCGATTGCTTGTCGTCGTCATCGTAGTAAAGATGGTAATGAGTGGTGCGACGTCCTGCTGCTGCTGCTGCTGCTGCTGCTGCTGTTTCCTGTGGTGCAGCAGTGTCAGATGCAGCAACGCCGCTGTCGCCTCCGCTGTTAGCACCACTCGTAGCAGCATTAGCCGTTGTAGGAATGGCGGTGTCGGGTGATGTTGAGGCTGCAGCACCAGTATTATCTTGTGCTTTATCGCTAACAACAACATCATCAGCAGCAGCAGAAGCAGCATCTGCTTGACGATAGACAACGACAGATCCGCCATCAGTCCCGCCGATAGCACTATCATCGTCATCGTAGAGTTGTTTCTTTTTTGATTTCGTTACATTATCTTTGGGTGGCACAACAGGCGGCGGACGCGGAGGAGGTGTGGGCACCTGGTTGCTGCTGTTGTTGTTGCTACGCTTAAGGACCTGCGCTGTCAATTTTCGTGTTTCGGATGCAATACTTGCTGCAATCGACGACATGGTGCCTGAACGTTTCACACTTGATGTGCTGCTACTACTGTTTGTCGGTTGAGGAACAGGTCCTTCTACTACTTCTGGTGCTTCTGTTGCTGCTGTTGCCGCTGCTGCTGCAGTGGTAGTGGTAGTGGTGGTAGTGGTGGTTTGTTTCTTGCTGCTGGGTGATATTGACGGTGCTAAACAAACAAAATTGGGCGTTTATCAATAAGGTTTCGCCGGAGGAGAGATAGAGAATGTAGAGTAGATATTCTTACCAGAGACAGACGAAGAACGTGACACGCTTGTAGATGATGATGGAAGATGTTCTGGAACAGTCAGCAGTGTTGTTGCAACGGCTAGATCTGCTTCTTGCGGTTGCTGCTGAGGCTCATTGAGCTGTTGTGGTCCATCCTGATCAACAGGCGTTTCAACACATGTACGTTCCCACACTTGTTGCAGATAAAGAACGCTGGAGATTCGGAGCATAGTAGGTGTTACTTGTGGTGGTGTGGTGGAAGGGACTATGGGCGTGTATGTGGTGGAAGGGAAGAAAGAATAAAAAAGAACCTTAATGGCCCCAATTCGAAATGCTGATTTTATAGACGACGCACCTGAAAAGACCCGGCTGTGGCAATCATGTTTACAAATGCCGCTGCTTTGTATACATGCCACTACATACAGCCAATAATGTGCTAAAGGGGCGGAACTGTTCGGGGGAGTATGGTTAATTAGGGGGTTGTCGAAAAAGACACATTGCTATGTAGCTGCTACATGCTGCTAATAGACTTGGGAACCCACTAATAAGCAGCACTACTTGGTCCTGTAGTGTATGTATATATTATTACGTTAGCTCAGCACTTTTACTCTCATGTATGTAAACAATGATGTATACACGATCGTATCATTCTGTTTATATTTGTTTTCTTCGTATCATCTTCTTTCCTTTCGCAAGGCACGGCATACAGCGCACACAAGCAATGACACAGGAGTGATTGGTTCCCGACCTCCAGCACACACCTGATACATAGTCCTCAATACTTCATCACTCTAGTCTGCTGCTACAAACATCATTGTTTGTTGTTAAGCAAAAAGAGGACATGGTCATGTGTTTATTCAGTATTATAAATATTGCAAACAGATCATACAGTGCGGGTTCCACTGCAGGTAGTGGTTTATTCTTTTTACTTCTTTACTTCGTCAACCTGACACAACAAGACGCGAGCATCAATGAGCTGGTTCTCTTCGACGCGCATCGTGACAACACCTTCGTGACGGCTCAAGATCTTCACTTCCGTCTTCATGGACTCAATCGACAAAAGCGGATCGTTCTTCTTCACGACAGTACCGGTGGGTGCCAAGATTTTGAGAATGCGGCAAGGCATCGATGATGTATAAGGTGTCACTACAATGTTTACGTTCCTTTGTCAGCTCTTACCTACACAACTACTACTGCTACTGCTACGCCACATTCACACTCACACGCCCATCTGCCTCTTGTTCTCCCTTACCTCGGTCATCTTCACTTGTTGCAGAAGCACTCATGAGTCGATCCACCTTGCCGAGTTCGACAGGGTAGCCTTGCACAAAGTCATGCACGAAATATGTCTTTTCATTAACGTCCTGTACCTGCTCTGCAATGAAAAAGTAGCGCTGAATGCCATCTGGACACAGAAGGGGGGGATATGCAATGTGTGTTTCATAACATCACAAAAGCGAGAGACAATTGGTGAGCATTACATGTACTTTGATGGTGCCCCATGACTGGCGCAACAATAGAGAACTGGCATTCGACAGTAGGACCTATAATAGTAATATTCGAGATCACGTGCTTCACTTACCGATGCTGCAGCGCAATAACCCAGAGCAGCCCTGGATGCCTTGCGGTCCAGGCGTCTGTTGTCCAAAATGCGTATCATACAGCGTCACTGCCAATGGCAGCTCGACCTTTTGTTTATACTTTTCTGCTGCTGCCGCAGCTGCCTTCTTTTTGTCTTTCTCTTCAACCACCAGAGTAACATTGCAGCGGAACGCATGCGATTTGGTGCTCTCTCGTTGGCCAGGCTCTTGGATCGACTCATAGCTGACCTCTACCTGCTCTCCATTATTGACAATGTACTTTTTGGACGGAACCTTCCATTTGACATTACGCCAGTTGGACGGAATACTGCGCAAGTTTACGCGCTGATCCTTTTGCACGATCCATTCAAACAGCACGGTCGCAACAGCACTGCTTTGGACTTGGTCAATGGTGCGTGGCGGAAAGAGACGTTGACGTTCCAAAGGAATAAAGTTGGTGTCAAAGGTGCCTGACTGGAACCGGGGGTTGTTCATGATGCTGATCAAGAACTTTTGGTTCGTAGTCACGCCGAGAATGACAGTTCGGGCCAGGACTGCGGCCATACGACGGACTGCTTCGGCACGTGTTGGGGCATGCACAATGACCTTGGCAATCATTGAATCATAAAACACCGAGATCTCGGATCCTGGACGTACATGTTTTAAAACATTGCAAGTCAGTTGGATTGCTGCCAAGAATAATTCCTGGAGGAGTGATGTGTTTCAAGTACGAGGAAAAGGGTGCTCCATGACATTCTATTTGTTGCTGTTATTTACCATCTTCAACGCCAGTGTCATATCGTGCCCCTGGAATGTCAGTGGCCGGGCTCCACTTGCGAATGAGGCCCGTGCGCGGACTAAAGTCATTGTCTGGGTCCTCGGCACACAGTCTGCATTCAATCGCGTGGCCTTGGTATTGGATATTGTCTAGCACGCCCAGCTTATTCAGATTGGCACCCTGGGCTACCAAGATCTGCAATTCGACAAGATCAAGGCCGGAAATGGCTTCTGTCACTGGATGCTCGACTTGCAAGCGGGTATTCAGCTCCAAAAAGTAGAATTTTCTGGTTTTTTCGTCCTAAAGCATTTGGTTATCATGTAACGAAACAGCCCATCGTCGCTCGTTAGTTGATTTCTATGGGAGGGGCTGCCAATGAGCTATTATGCTTTTACCAGGATAAATTCAGCGGTGCCAGCACCTTCATAACCAAGCTTGCGGCAGAGCTCTACAGCAGCTCCAGTCATGGCCTTACGCAAGTTTTCATCTACAGCAGGCGAGGGTGATTCCTCAATGACTTTTTGGTGGCGACGTTGCACGGAGCAATCACGCTCGTTGATATGGTACACATTTCCATACTTGTCACCGAACACTTGGATCTGTTGAGGTTTATATTTTAGCACATGCACCAACAGTTGTTTCTCAATAAAAACGAGTCTGTCTGTCGTACCTCGACGTGACGGATACTTTCAAAGTATTTTTCTATAAGCAAGTTATCGGAACCAAACGATCGCAAAGCTTCGCCTTTGGCCGCCTCAATTTCTTCTCGAAGTCTGTTTTGATTTACTTAGAACACTGACACACTAACAAGCATAAATTGTACAGCCGACTTACTTGCTGGAATCATAAACAGCACGCATACCACGGCCACCGCCACCGGCAGATGCCTTTAACAAGACAGGGAATTCTGTCATAGAGCAATCCGTTAAGTAACGGTCTGTATAATCGTACGCATAGCAAACAACAGCAACAACAACATACCGATGCGAGAAGCTTCTTCCTCAAGACGTTCGACGCTTTGATCATGGCCATTATAGCCCGGGATCAAAGGAATAGTAGGTGCGTTAGCGGTAATGAACAGTTTGGCAGCAATCTTGTCACCGATGGCACGGATCGAATCTGGCGTAGGACCGATAAAGTTGATGCCGGCCTCCTTGACCTTTTGGGCAAAATCGGCATTCTCCGATAAGAAGCCGTAACCAGGATGCAAGGCATCAGCGCCAGCCCGATGGCATACTGCAATCAACTTGTCGCCGTTCAAGTACGATTCAGCAGCTACGGAGGCGCCAATGTGGTATGCTTCATCGGCCATACGAACAAAGGGTGCATTCTCGTCGCTTTCATAAGATAAGCAAAGGAAGCGAGCTTGCAGTCATTAGATAATCCCGTTCTCACAACAAGAAGAAAAAGAGTGGGCTATATGATATTATGTACCTGTCCGAGTAGACAGCAACAGTGGCGATTGCCATACGACGACAGGTACGGATAACACGACATGCAATCTCGCCACGATTAGCAATGAGGACTTTGCGAATAGGTGTAGGCGCCATGACTCTTTTGAGAAGGAATAAAAATGGTTATGAAGAGAAGAGAAAAAAGTAAAAGAGAAAAAAAAAAAGGTACAACACACAAGAGTGTGTAGCGTAAGGAAAAGAAAGTGTGGGGTTTTCCTTGCTTTAATAATATATTACGTGCGTGCGAAGGTTCTGCGTTCCCATATGCAAAATGACAAGACCAGCGCCAATGATTTCGGCCCAACTGGTTTACCCCACAATTTTGCACATGAAAATAAGATGCCACCACATTAGACTCCAAGTGTTATGCCATCGCGCTAAATGATGCTGTTGTTTTTGCGAACCACTTTTTTCTTTTTTATTGGTCTTTCCCAATAAATTTATCGCTACAGCTACTGAGCACTTGATAGTGTCCCACTCCACTTAGACCTCGTACTGTGATAATGGTATTATTAAAGAATTTGCAGTTAGTCAGACATTTGCCCCAACTTGCTTTTCTTACTCTCTCTCTCTCTCTCCTCCCTTCCTTCCTTATTATATACAATGTTTTTTTTACCTTCCGTGCAATCATTCCCTCTGGAGGCTTGGTCTCCACCGGCTTTGCTCCCACTTCAGACCAGTTGGTCGATAAGCATGTGCCATTACTTTCCACGAAACTCTTCATCATCGCACGCTTGGTATCCTCATCCGCACCACTGTAAATTTGCTGGAAAAGCGTATTCAAAGCTGCATCACCCTCTGGCTTGTCTGCGTCCTTATCAATGTCGCGTGCAAGCTTATCCCAATCCTTTGGCTTACGCGAACTTGATGGATTGCCTGGTGCCACTTGAAAAGAAAAACCATTCGCATAGGTATCTCAGTATAAACCCAATTATCTCCACAGTCCCAAAGACTTACTGGTGGTAGCAAGATCATCATCGCCTTCTAATACACTCCACTTGATACCCTCGAACTTCTTCTTCAGCTTAATTTCGATCTTGGTCGAAAGAACCTTGAATGACGACTCCTTTGGCAAGATTTCGTGGGCCAATGGATCGAGTTCCAATGAGAATTCGGATCCAGCCGGCATCTTGATGGTTAATGAAAGCTATGTATATCATATACATGGGAAATTGTGGTCAGTGGTCAGAGAACTTTCGTTTTGCTGCTTTAACGTTAAACAGAAAAGTGAAACCAAAACTTACTGATTTATCAAAAAAGTCTAATGACACGGTTTCCTTCTTGACGTTTTTGATAAACACTTCAATTGTGACAAAGGTATCGTTTTGGAACCATTCGTGTCTGTTATGTGGAATTGATGAGCCATACATGCATTTACACCAATAAAGTTTAGGCCATCCATCTCTTACCTAGCACGGACACCTTGTGGAGTGGCAGCAACTAGTGCTTGTGCTACAGGTGCGGGAGCGGGTTCCTGCGCAGCAACAGCAGGGACTACAGGAACTGGAGGAGGTGGCGGTAACACATCCTCAACCTTGCGGAGCCACGTCGTCAACGTACGTTCGTTTGGATTCAAAGACTTTGCCGTCTCAAAGTGTTGTTGGGCTTCCTTATATTGCTTCAATCCGAACAGTACAATGCTAAAGTCGGCAATCAAACAATAAGCAGTCAGTGAGCTATTCTTTGGTTCTTTCGTAAAAGAGATAAGCATTACCCTTTTTGCAAGTTGGCGCGCGCGAGAAGAGTTCGCGTTCCCTTGGGTCCATTCAAGATCTCCACCGCCTTGCTGGCATCTGTCAAAGCATTGTCAAGCTTGTTCAACTTTTGGTGGACAGTGCACCTTAAAAATCAACAACGAATTTTGCCAAAAAAAAAAATCAGTTTTCCTTCATTCTTTCACTGATTCTGTCAAATGAAAAGCTTACCGACGGAGTAGAGCTTCAGCATTATCGGGTTCGTTGTCAATAACTTGAGTGTACAATGACAAGGCTTCGTCATAGTCGTCGTCAAAGAAAGCATCGTTGGCTCTCACCAAGAGTTCATTGGCATTCATTATTTTTTTGTTTTGTATTTTGTGTGTGTGTGTGTGTGTGGAATAGAAAAGAAAGAAAGAAGAAGGAAGAATGGAGGAGGAGACGGTTTAAAAATATATGAGAAAGAGCTGGTTTTCCTTCAGGTTCCAAAGAAATCTTATGCGAGCCCGTGACCGCCCGTCCAGTAACAGAAGCGGCAGCGCCGCCATTCTGGCATCACAAAAGAGGAGCTGCGCCTCATCTGTCTTTTCCAATATATCGAGTACACATTTTCATTGTTTAACAAATACAACAACATATTCTTTATGTTTAACACGAAAAGACATAATAAAATTCCATGAACTATAGTACAATACTAATGATACAACGAATGACAAGTGTTGTCATAAGAGGGGGGCTTATATGTACAGTACACGCACTTTTAGCATGTAGTAAGCATTAGCAGCCACTTATTAGGAGCTACTGCGATTGCGATAAACAGGAGCAGGCGGCAAGTGCTCAATGCTTTGTCGATAAGTGGGCGGATGCTCAGCGTTTTGATATGCAGGTGGTTGCGGCATTTCGCCTTCCCAGCAGTGCTGCCTGGATGTAATCACCACAGGAACTTCGAGCGAGCAAACATACACGTTCTGGCTGGATTCATTATTTTGGTTATGACTGTGTCGTTTACTACTAAGTGTCATCAAGGCGTCCTTGACATATTCTTCGGTATTGCTCGCTTGCTGTCGTCCGAGTGAGAATATCGATGATAGCGAAGATGATGATGAGGATCTGCTGAGCGGTGGTGTGTTTCCTCGACTGCTTGTGCTCTCTTGTTGTTGTTGTTGTTGCTGCTGCTGTGGCTGTTCTTGCTGAACTTGCTCGGTGCTATTATTGTTATTAGTCGCCTTTATTGATGGAAGTAATGATGATGAGTCCTTCTGCTGCTGCTGCTGCTGCTGCTGCTGATACGGATATTCAACTTTGACACTTGTACCGTCGTTGCTATTACTACTACTTCTCACAGTCATCTTGATATTCACAATCAATGCGTGCGACACTTTGATTAGCCGGGTTTTGATATCTGGATGCACACGTGGGCACAATCGAAACTCGGCGTTGTACTGGTGTTTGGCATATGGATTATAATTGGCATCGTCTTGTTCGGATGGATAAAACGTACTCCAGCCTAATGGAAACAATTCGTCTGTCTGTGACACGGACTGGCAGGTCAATGACTGCTGGCCGGTGGTTTGGTAGATGATCCGTTCTCGCAATGCGCATGTAATGGCTCGGATCGTATTGCTGTTGTCGGGATGCTTTTCATCTTGTTGGATCATTTGAACAGTCAGATTGAGCGGCACCAGTCCACCTTCGCGATAAACCACGGATGGTGCACTCGCACTGTAATGGATTTTCTCTGGGTAGTCTCGACCGACGATAGTTTCGGTCAAATCCAATGGTATTGCGTCGTATACGAGGCTTCGTCGAATAGGAATTTCGCGGTACACAAACAGGTTGTTGGCAAACACAGAGCGATGTATGGATGCACGTAGTCGATACCGGATTAACCCTCTCTTTCCGTTGAAGGATGCTGGCAGCTGCGGTGGTAATTCAAACTCGAATGCGTATGTGTGCTTTCCCGGAGGCAACACTCTGGGTTCGTCTGTAGTTGTCAGAAGACGTGACTTTTTCGTTACCAGGTTACGACACTCGACACCTTCTGGTGCAGCAACAAGGACACTGCCGCTGGATGTGTTGATGGTCACTTTACAACGACCTTCAAACCGAACAGTCATTTTGCGTACTTTGACCGGTTTATACACAGTCACCACTAGTGTGCCTTTAAGAAAGGTCGGATCGGCCACGCCGTTGTCGAGCCCTCGTAAAATTCCTGTGAACGCAGGATCTATATTGATCTGCATGCTCACATGGCCCTTTTGACTGTGAAGACCGGGCATTTCGTTTGCTATTGTAGTGAGGAGAAAGAAAAAAGACGCCGAATACTAGGGTTGATTTGACAAGAAAGGAAAGAGGATAGGCAGATGTGAAAAAAAAAAGTGTGCTACTCGGGCAGAAGCTCGTCGAAACCTTTTTGTTTGACGCAAGTCACCTTATTCGGTGCTGGCGGTGAATCCTGCTGCCTGCTGCATATTTCGAAAAATATTTTTAAACCCCGAGGACACTCGATGTGCAGATCAGCAGCATTGTTTTGACAGGACAGGACAACATGAAACCAGTGGTGTACAATCTTCCGTGATCGTCCGAAACAAGCCATATGTGACATGCATAACAAATCTAACAGCACGCACTGACGGAGCCTTTTCCACGTCTTTTCATACATTAAACCAGCTAATATAGCCATTGAATCTTGAAACGTAGTACGATGGTTCAAAGAGTATAGAAACATTCTTATTTTATCGATCGCATATCTCGCTCAAACGAGCTTCATTTTTGATGCCATGAAGATTAGATTTACCCACCTCGGTGAATTTCGGGTAATCTTGCACTTTTGCGACTGTTAACGAAATAGTAACACATTATGCGTTGCACCGAATGTTCGCACCAGATGAGGAGGTGAAGAAAAAGCCATCATGTGCAGCTCTAGGTCTTATACGGATATTATATGATTTATTACCCCAACTCTTAATAACGACAAGTGAACATAAGACGGTGGCATATACACATCCAGGGTAAAAATGGGCAATATTTTATCTATTTTTTATCTCGCGGATACAGTGGTTACATATTTAGACATTTACTCCATTCAGATGACTGACGGCTGCTGAAGTTCCTGCTTTTCTACCCAGAATCGATCCTAACATAAGGCCACTAATACAAAAGGTTTAGGACTCTAACTCTACTCGAAGCAAGGGTTTCTAAATCAAAGCACATACCTTCCACTGGGATAGTTATCATAGAATACTCCACCTACAATCTCTCCAGCTGCATATAAGTTCCCGATTGATTTAGAAGACCCATCCAGAACTGCAGCAGTTTTTGGGTCGACGGCCAATCCCCCAAATGTAAAAGTGATACCTAACACAATAATAAAGCAATCTTGTTGAGCTATCTCTATCTTATGGAGAAATGGCGAGTTGTACCTGTCGTTATTTTTACAGCGACAAAAGGTGCTTGATCGATAGGCAGTGCCCAGTTTGATTTGGGGATTTGAAGTCGCATCTTTGAACACTGAGTGGATAACCCATCTTTGGTGGTTGGATCCCACTTGAGATCCGGATGCTGCTGTCGATGCGCAGACACAGCATCGTTATACTCCTGAACGGTATCAACTAATGCTTGTTTATTGGCAAGTGCCGCCCTCCATGATGACCCTCTTTTCCAAGGGAGCAGCCAACTTGTCTGCCAACTCCTCAATTGAATCAGCCACAATCTTTTCGACCACGCTGTCACCGTATTCTTCCTCGCGCAACCAAGACAGAGTTTTGGCATCCCAGATCTGGAAAGCCACACTTCCCGGCTGGTTCATGACTTCCTTGCCAAAGCATGCGTACGTGTAGTTGCGATAATCCTTCCCTTCGTCTACGAATCGCTTTCCGTCTCGATTGACCATGATCCCGAGTGGATAGCCATTCTTGGTGAACTGGTTCGTGAGCACCTTATCGCCGCAGTGAGGATCCGTACTCACGTCCCTACAGGTAGCGTGGCATGAGCTATATCCGCCAGCCATTTCGCATGACAATCGTGTTGTGCAATCAGCAGTCCGTCGCCGGTATTGTACGGTGTGCCACGCACATGAGCCATATCCCAAGTTTTCCCCAAGTATTGTGCGCGCATGGCTGGGTTTGCTTCGAATCCGCCACATGCCAAAACGACTGATCCCGCAGAAATGATCTGTTTGGTGCCGTCGTGTAACAAGACCTCTAGACCTCGGACAGTGTTCGACTGGTCGTGTGTAAGTAGTCGAATAAGACTTGTACCATATTGCACAGTGACGCCATGGTTGTTCGCAGACTCAATGTACTGCCGAACCATGCCCTTGCCGCCATCTACGATAGCAAGCACCTGCCCGGCATAGAACTTGTATCTGCCATCCACTTTGTAGGCTTGTCGGTTGAAGGATAATCTGAACTTGACGCCTATCATATCGAGCCAGTCAATTGTTTCGCGGCTTTCGTTCACAAGCACATCGGCCAGAGCGGGATCTGCTCGACCGCCAGTAACTCGCATCAAATTGGTCATATAATCTTCAGGCTTGTATGGGACCATATCAATGCACTTTACAGTTTCGGGATCCACGTCATGTAATATTGGCAAGAGATCATCAAGTCCGTATATAAGTGACATACCTGGGGCGAAATAAGTGTTACCACCGGGGAACGTTGTTTCTGCAGACTTTTCAATAATAAGCACACGGTTGACACCGGCTTGTTTTGCAGCGATTGCAGCACTGTAACCGGCATTACCGCCACCCACTACAACAACATCCCAAAGATCGTGTGTCCTTCTTTTTATATATGATTGTCGATTGTTTTCTAAGACTAGGAAAACGTTTTTTAAAAGGTTGAAAAGTGAGAGAGAGAGAGAGAGAGAAAGGGGGGGCGTAAGATCACTTTTGAGGACCTCTTGAGAAAAATCTATACGATAAATTGGCTTCTTTGCTCCAATCAAGGAGTGTTTTTATAATAAAAAGAGCTCATCCAGACTTTGGACAGCACTATTAGTAGAGTAAGATAGGGCGTTTATGCATGTAACTAAGCATGAAAGGGGAGGGTGGTAGCTATCTACGCTCTCGCAACTTTTTGTCTGTCGATCGGGTATATACAGTGATGCAATTTTAGAGAGCTATTACGCGACCACGACTATGATATAAAGTTCATTTTAGAATTCTAATGCATACATACGCCACTGAAAAAAGCTTCGAAAGAGAATTCAATAAATAGGGGTACATCGTTCTGTACTTCACATGTATGCAGTTATTTACAGTGTGTTAGTCCTCGTCCTCTAGGTATGCAAATCATAACCCCCCATTTACGTGTTATGTACTGGTAGATCATAGTATTTTTTATAGCAAAATCTGGCAAGGGATACTGTCTGATATAAATACTAATGCTTCCTGCTATACAGTATGTGTTATAATTCTCTAGGGTTCATTTCACAGCTCACACATGCATTGAAACACGTCGAAGACCCTTGAAAAAGATCCACATACAGTACTGCTACATGGATTGAATCGCATCAATTTCGTGATGAACTTGCTGTCACATCCGATTGAATGAAAGTTATATGATACTCAACAATGATCTTTGTAAACACTATTTTAGGACTCCTTTATTACATCCACTACTGCTCATATAAATTCAGTCATCGTCTCCCTTTCTAATATAGGGAAACACACTTGGTTGTTCTGACCCCTTGTTGCTACTGGAACTGATAAGCTCTCTCCGCCCTTATCCTGTCTTCCTGCCAAAAGATCTGTCGTCAGTTAAGAGGCCGCTTTAGAGTGGCTATCATATTAACATCAGTAGCAAAGCAATGTCGCTTCACTTTCGGATATAGATGATATAGGAGCTGTAGGGAGCAGACAAGTAAAAAATTTGCACGACAGTCAAACCAACGAGTATTCTTTCATGTGATTACTGCTGTTGGACAAAGCGCCAAAAAAGTTACTAGATAGTAGGACAACAAAAGAAATACACATGCAAAATATTTATTTACAAATTAACGCTGCTTTTTCATCTGATTACAAAATGGCTATAGCTTATGCACATTGCCGAGATCCGTACATGCTTCTTGAACGCGAGCAATCATTGTCTTTTCGGCCTCCTATATATACACATAACATACCGTTAATAAGTGTCTTTATGAAATTAAACGAACGCACTTACTCTGATAAATTTTCTCGGGTCGTAGTATTTCTTGTTGGGCGCGTCAGATCCAGAAGGATTGCCAACTTGTGATTGGAGATAATCCCTGTTAGCCTCGTAGAACTGGTGGATACCATACCAGTATGCCCACTGCGTATCAGTATCAACATTCATTTTGACGACACCATTGCGGACAGCTTCGTGGATTTCTTCCTTGGTTGATCCAGAGCCACCGTGGAAAACGAAAAAGACGGGATGCTCTTTCTCGGTGCCGAGCTGCTTCTTCACATAGACCTGGTGCTTAGCCAACAATTCGGGATGCAGCTTGACATTACCGGGGGCATAAGATCCGTGGACGTTGCCAAACGCAGCAGCGATAGAAAAGTATTTGGAGACGGCGGAAAATGCCTTGTAGATATCCCAAATATCTTCAGGCTGCGAGAAAAGCGAGCTGTTTTCCACATCTTCGTTGTTGACACCGTCTTCTTCACCACCCGTGATGCCAATCTCCATTTCAAGCCATTGTTTCATGGGTGCCATGCGCTTCAAATAGTCGACACAGATACGAATATTGTCTTCCTTGGTTTCCTTGGACAGATCCAACATGTGCGACGAGAAGAGAGGCTCGCCGTGCGCCTTGAAGTATTCTTCATCGGCACGGAGCATGCCATCGTACCATGGCAGCAAGTTCTTGGCACAGTGATCAGTATGAAGAATGACTGGGATGCCATATGCCTTGGCGACAGAGCGAACATACTAGAGAAAGATTGAGGGTTGTAAATTTGAAAGAAAAGGGCGATCGTGATGAATTAATAAAATAATCAAGAGCTTACATGGGCACCAGCGATGGCACCAAGCACAGAAGCTTGCTGATTGCTGTTATCTAGGCCTTTGCCAGCGAAGAAGTCGGCGCCACCGTTCGAGAATTGGATGATGATGGGCGAACGTATATCGCGTGCTGCTTCCAGAACAGCGTTCACAGTACTAGATCAGCGTGGAATCCCATATATGTTATTACATCTGCTGTAAACGGTCGGCACTTTTGTGTGTGTGTGTGAAGATGCCCAAACTTACCTGGTAGATGTAACGTTGATGGAAGGAATAGCAAACTTGTGCTCTTCAGCATACTGAAAGACGCGATACACATTGTCGCCAGTGATAACGCCAGGTGGTACAATGTCAAGAAGACCCATAATTGTTGTTTTTGTGATATTTGAAAGAAAAACAAAGATTCCAGAAAATAACAAAAGTAAGAAAGGGTTTCTCATATATCACTTTTACTGGGGTATCTCTTCTGAATTCTTCCCTCAGTCTCACAAAGAGATATGACATACCCATGATTTCACAACCCACCTCACTTGCACTCCGACCGACTCTTTCGCCCTGGCAAAAAGAAGCGAGAAGCGTTCACTAAGTGATGTCGACAGTTCACAACCCGAAGAACCTGCTATAGCTGTCAACGTAATAATTATCTGACGGAAAAAGTTTCTGATTCGTTTCACGCTACTTTCGTCACAACGATGGAATCTGCTGCTACCACACCAACATCATCACAGCCAACTAAAGCTTATGATAGTATGATCACATATAATTCAAAATGAGAGAAAGTGAGATATTCTGCACTGCTACAAAGAGAGCAATAAGGCCATCAAGTGAAATAAACTATGTACCACTTCCCTGCCTTAATCGATCACGCCTCAAATATAGGATTCACGCGCAAATTGTAGTTGCTTGCTGGATATGAATTGATACCGTTCTGCATACTAGATACTACTGTAAACTATTACCTCTGGCTCTGTATATACACTATTATTTAACATTTGTACTTAAAGTATAATAGCGATTGATAACGGTGTATTTGGGTGAGAGTCAGTGGTAAAAGTCGGGTAATACTGGTGAAAACGCAGAGGAAATAAGGGTAATTTAAGGAAATGCTGGTCAACGACAGGTTAAAAAAGAGATAATAAAGGGGTAACCTTGGTGGATATTAAAGGGTAGAGTGAGTGGATTATTCCAGTTTACCCCATTCCTTCCGGTTAACATTTTAACCCGTTTTCCAACCCTTTTCGCCCTCTTATTTTCCCGCAGTGATGGTTAATAAGAAAAGTATCACTGGTTAAGCTTATGGTATTAGTAGCCGATGACAATACTAAATGTGTTTGACATTGCTTTCGCAAAAAGAAGCCCACAGTACACGTTTACACACCCATGATCATATGATTACAGCTGTTGTCACTACGCCGCTAAAACGTATACAATCATTTTGTATGTATTTGTTATTGCTATCCTCATGAACACCATCCACACTTTGGCTTAGAAAAAGAGCATGATCGTGTAACGAAAAGGCGGCGCACAATATGTGCCACCCTCGCTTGACTGCTTCCCACGACGTGGGGGCCTTTTAGCAGTTCCTGCGGAAAGGCATGGTGGTCGGACCGTGAAGCTTATAATACAGCACACAAGTACGCGTCGCCTTTTTTCTTACACGTCCCTTCACACACCCTTTTCTTCCACTTGTTATAATCTTGCTGTTTTTCATACACAACAATGACACATACTGCACCGCCACCAGCGCTCGATTTCAGCATTAGTGCCAAGCAGGTCGACGAAATCACCAAGGCTGTTATCAAGGAAGAACTTGAAATCAATGATGCCATCGCTGCCCTGAAGCCCGAAGAGCAGACTTATGAGAACGTGATCCCTCGTTTGATTCGTCTTGAGAACACCTTGTCAGGTATAAAAGCAAATAGGAGACATATAAAGCAAAAGAAGCTTATATTTCCTCGCTCTTACTATTAGGCAAAATCCAACTGGCTGGCTCGCTCAGTCAAATTTCACCTAACGCTGACGTTCGTGAGGCGTCCGTCAATGCCGAAAAGGAATATGAGGAGTTCAGTATCGAGCAGACCATGCGTCACGATCTCTATCTTGTGATCCAGGGTGTCATTGATAAGACAGATCGATCTGCTTTGCCTGCTGAAGAGGCTCGATTGCTTACCAAGACTGAGCGCAGCTTCCGTCGCAACGGCTTACATCTTCCTGAGGACAAGCGCAACGAGTTCAAGGCTTTGCGTAAGCGTATGAGCGAAGTCTGCATTGAATTCATGAAAAACTGGAGCCGCGAAAGTAGCAGTACGTTTCTTGTTGGGATCAAGATGTTTGTTGGCCGTTGAATATAGAAAGATACTTATGACCACCCTTTTTTTTTTACCTTTGTATTCTAGCTGTCAAGTTCACCAAGGTAAAAAAAAACATTAGCATCCCGGTTATTATATCTCGGCGGATACTAAAACGATCGCTTTTTGTAGGAGGAGCTTGAGGGAATGGATGACGATTTCTTGGGTATGCATAATTTAGTGTTTCATGTTATATTTAAGTTTCACTCATTCTGTTATTTTTCTTGTCATGTTTGCAGGTGGTTTGGCAACGGAGGAGGAAGATGGCGTCAAGAAATACATTCTGACCATGAAGTAAGGCTTGATTAGAGGTTATTGTGTGTCGTCAGGTTTTGATGTTTCTTAACTAATCATACATTTGTCGTCACTGCTAGGTATCCTGGTAAAGTATTCGTAATTTTCAGCGGCAAATATGTAGTAACTAATAATACTTATGCACCTGTCTTTCTCTCTTGCTGCATTTGACTAGATGTTCGACCCGGTAAGGCGTTTTACTGTTATCAATGATACGTTCTCTGGGGATGTGTAATACTAACCATGGCTCACAGTTCTTAAGCTTTGCAAAAACGAAAACACCCGCAAGACTCATATCACCGCTTTTGACTCACGTAACAGGGAAAACATTGTCCTGCTCGAAGAGGTAATTTGTTTGCAAGTTGTTGGCGCTCAATGTAACAAACTAAAAGCGCTTTTTTTTAAACTGTATGTAGGCTGTTCGTCTCCGTAGACAATGCGCAAAGGTTTGTCTATTTCCATTATCAAGATAGTTTCAACCCGACGCACTGCTCCTTGTGATTACTTACGTTATTGTTGTATTATTAGATCTTGGGCTACAAGTCTCATGCTGACTTTGTGCTCGAAGTCAAGATGGCAAAGTCCGTTGATGCTGTCCGCAACGTAAGGCTCGATATGATTCGAAAATGATGCGTCTTACTCTATAGAACGAACAAGTTGATAAGTGATACGTTCAATAGTTTGTTGATGACTTGGCCAAGAGATTGCACGAACCCGGTCTCAAGGATATTGAACAGCTTACGGCATTGAAGCGGGTACATATTTCATACTACAGTTGGGAAAAGGATATATGTTGGCTCCTTGATCTTTTTCTCGTGTATTCACCTTTTTGAACATTTGGTTTTTAGGAAGAAAAAGGTTTATTTCCACTTGTATAGTTTGCGAGTTCGCGTGGTTTATACATTATACACTAACACATTTTGTTGTACAGCCGCTCGTGGTGAAGAGTTCGATGGTGTACTCAACCCATGGGACACGAGCTACTATGAACGCATCTTGCTGGAGAAGGAATACTCTGTCGATCAAGAAGAAATCAAAAAGTACTTTAGCCTTGAAACCACCATTCAGAGTACGTGTAGATATTATCACAACAGTGACCATCCACCGTATATTAACTCTGAGTCCTAATGTGTTGCATGTTGTTAGAGATGCTCGAGATCTATGAAAAGGTTCTTGGTCTCAAGTTTGTCAAGGTTCCTGCTGAAAAGGCAGTAGTGTGGCACCCTGATGTTCAGTTGTTCGAGTGCTGGGACGCTGTTGAGGACAAAAGCTTCTCTGGCTACATGTACCTTGATTTGTTCCCTCGTGACAGCAAATGCAAGTTTTGCTTCTTTTTCATGTATCTTCCTCGTAACATGTCCAAAACTTGACTCTTACATATACACATGAAATTTACAATATATAGACCCTCACGCTGCTTGTTTCCCCATGCAGCCATCTTACATTGCCGAAGATGGTAGCCGAGTCGCACCAATTGCAGCCATGGTGGCCAACTTCACAAAGCCGTAAGTTGAAAGTACGGGTGTTGACGTACAAAGAATTAACCCGTTATGAATTATTAGAACTGCTGACAAGCCATCGCTTTTGAAGCACGATGAAGTCGTCACTCTATTCCACGAGTTGGTAAGACATAAAGCTGTTGGTAAATATCTCTATATCTTTTCTAACCAATCATGAACTGCATACAGGGCCACGTCATGCACCATCTTTGCAGCCGTACCAAGTTTGCCAGATTCCACGGTACTTCTGTTGAAGGTGACTTTGTCGAAGCTCCCTCCCAGGTAAGTTGCAACAATTGGATGAGACAAACAGCCACAAGATTCGTAATTTCATATCTCACACTCATTGACAACAGATGTTGGAGAACTGGTGCTACGATACCAAGTCTCTCAAGTACCTTTCCGCACATTTCCAGACTGGTGAACCTATCTCGGACGAAATCATCGACCGTATCATCAAGGCTAAGAATGTTATTGCTGCCTTGTTGAACCTTCGCCAGCTTTTCTTTGGTATCTTTGATATGGAGATCCATACATCCGAAGGTAACATATACGTTCTTTTACTTGTAAGTCCCCTTCAGCTTATGTAAGTCTTTAGATTAACTTTACTCCTTTCTAGATGAAAATGTGGACACTACCAAGGTGTACAATGAGCTGCGTGAAAAGATCTCTCTTGTCAAGGCGCCTGAGGTATAAGGTTATACAAGTCTCTTCTCTTAGACTTTTACTAACAAACGCGCATGTTTAGGGCTCTTGCGGTCAAGCATCCTTTGGTCATTTAATGGGCGGATACGACGCGGTAAATTTTAATTACTTTTACCGATATGCATAATATGTCTTCAAGCCACTGACATCTATGTAAATTTACATTGCATAGGGCTACTATGGCTACATGTGGTCCAAGGTCTTTTCCAGTGACATGTTTTTCACCAAGTTCGAAAACGATACACTTTCTCCGGAAACTGGTTATTCCTACCGCAAGTGCATTCTCGAGAAAGGCAGCAGCAAGTATGTATCAGCTAAATCATAGAGGAAGGGAAAAAAATAGTCTCTCTTTTATAACCAATGCCCTACTATAGGGACGGTATGGATTTGTTGATAGATTTCCTTGGACGTGAACCAACATCCGACGCATTCATGAGAGAAGACATTGGAGTGCAATAAAGAAGAAGGATGGAATAGGTCCAAATAAAATATAGGTTATTATATTTCACATTTGTCGTATGTACTTGAAGGATTTGAAGTTCCCGTTTGATTTTGTAGAATAAAGAAAAATGCAGCCCATTGCCACATATCCTTACCTTTTTTTCTTTGAGAATGTATACGACTCGCTGGTTATTATTGAATACAGCCATTTAAAAATGTTTGTAGGATGAAGGGGAGGTCGTGCAGCACAAGATGCATCTTCTCGATCATGAAGTTTTTTTTACACAAAGTCCAAATGGCAGTTATTCTAGAAGTCTATCATCATCATCAACATCTACCTCAGCCTTTTTATAAGAATGGACAAAACACGAAGATTTATGAGAAGTCGATGACGCTGGACTATTCATGTGGGAACGAAGCAAATACCAGACTTCTTTGATCAGTTACGTGCACTACATATTATTTCAAGAGAAGTGCTATAATTTTGGATGCCAACATAGTATGTCAGCTACACATTGAACAAACGAACCACTACTTTGAAACTTTATAAAATGGATTTCTTTTGCCTTTAAAAAATATATACAGAATGTGATGAGACAAGAAATAATGGCTTGCTACTTTATAGAACTAAAAGGTTGGGATAGGCTGGATCGCCATCTTAATGCGCTGCATGACATCATTCACGCGCTTCAGTAATGTTTCATTTTCGGATTCGACACTCTAAATTAAAAGCAGCATAATCAGCGTACAAGGTCTTTCATTTTATGAATCAAAATATCATCCCATATACTTACAAATTTGATAGCATCAACCGTGGCTTGTGAGCCATCGACGTTCACCGTTGCCTTGTGTTCCTTTTCATTTGTATCCACTTCACCAAATTGCTCCTTCAAGAAGGCTACGACGTCGTGGAAGTTCGAGTCGACTTCTTGTTGAACCTTGTCGTGCTCCAATCCCATTTCAGCATCAACCGTACCATGGCTGTGTGAGCAAGGATGCGTGCTTGCTAGAAAGACGTTTTGCCAAAAGTTTTTAAGCACCCATCCAATTCAACAAAATCACCTTTTGATTATACAGAAGAAAAGAATACCTTTTACACTAGCGGGTGAGCTATCGACCGACAAGATAACAGCAAGAACGGAGTCTGCTACCATATCATTCATTGCATTTCCAATCCACTCCAATGTCAGCAGGTTTGTTCGACCCTCCAACTGTTTGATATCGATGGTATCAAACACGCGTAAAACTGTGCCTTTTTCGCCTGATTTGCCAACCTTCTCAAGTGCTGATTCAGTGATTGTGCCAAACATCATTTCAAGATGCCACTTGAGAAGGCTGATACCAGCATTGAAGGGGACGACTTGTCGCTGTGTTACGACAGTAGTGATCAGACCACCAAGCTCGCTAAGGTCCTCTGGCGTCATGATGTTGAGTTGGAAATCCTTTGCAACGAGAATACCAGTTAGCGGTTCGTTTTCGGTTGGGTATTTAGCAGCCAGGGTACCGATTGTCTGTTATCATCAACAAAAAAACATACGTTGAGTAACGCTAGATTGGAGCTTAACATCTTGATAATAATCATACCTTAGCCATCTTTTCACCACGGAAATGGAGTTTGACAGTTTCGCAGTTCTTGGGTGTGTACACTTTGACGTTTTCTTCGCGTTCTGAGAATCGACTTTGTAGTGCTGATTTCAAACGGAACATGGCATTGGCTTCACCGTGCACGAGTACCTAAAGCGACGATATACATATGCGTTAACGTTTCAAGAAACAGAAAGATATGACATAATACCTACAACGTGTGGAGCCTTTACTTCCTCAATAAACTTGCTGTTTTGAGTAAAGTCGACGTGGGCAGAGAAGGAGATATAATCAACCGACATCCTTAATGGAACTTTACGTCCGTCCATAGCAGTGAAATCTTGTGGTTCATTCATCGCTTGCTATTGTTTTAAGCAAAAGTGTTAATCAAGAGTTTTGCTTTGAGGTTGTTTCCAAACCATTTTCACTGTAACTTACGCGCGCTAATGTATTCTCTACACAGTAACCCGTAATAACCAATCCGTTCTTTTTATCAGGTGCCCATCGTTCAAATAACTCTCGTGACAAGCCGTTCTATCATTTCGTAGATCGACAATTCATTATATAAATGGAAAAATTGTCATGACAAAAAAGTAATTAATAAAGTTACCTGTAACATGCCTGGACTGGCCATCATCACACACGGCCCTGAGTCTTCAAACTGCTCGACATTTCGCAAGTTACTGATGTGTTTGAATATAAAGGGATTCGAAATGGCAAATTGTTTCCGAATTCTTGTGTTCATCATGTTGATATATGTTTGATAGACGGCCATACACTTTTTGGCCAAACTTGACGCGTAATAAATGGGGATGCTGTCAAGTTCTGGATGTGCATCCCAATATTCATCGAGAATAAGCAACAACTCTTGAGCACGACCCAATGCAAACACTGGCATCAAGCACCGGCCTCCTCGGCCAACGATATCATGAATCAAGGCTATATCGAATAAAAGAGCAACGGCTTAGTCAAAAGAGCCAACGCCGTTTTCGACATTCCCCCATTGTAGACTCAATCCTAGTGATACTTACACGTAAACCGCAGTTCTTTGGCTAAGCGAGGCTCGTGTGATTGCACACCATACGTGCTTTCTGTAATCAAGACATCCACGGATCCTTCAGGCTTTTCCGCAGCCATCAAATGCCGGTCTTCTTCCCGAGAATAGTCTCCTGTATACAACACCTTGACACCGGCAATTTCAATCAAGAACATGGCGGCACCAAGTACGTGTCCAGCATTGAAAGATGTGAATTTAATGCCTTCGACTTCGACTTGTTGATGATAGTCCACAGCTTCAATACGTTGGAAAGAATTGATCAAGTCCTCTTCGCTATACAATTGATCTTCATCACCAATGTTGCTATTGGAAAAAAAGGTTGTCAGTATCCTTTTCCTACGCCCGCGAAGAATAAAAGAAACACCCTTATCATTCCCCCTATATTACCTCACTCGTACGTAATCGCTCAACAACCACTTGTAAATAGCTTTCGTAGGATGGGTCATGAAGACTCGACCTTTGAAAGATGTCTATGATAGTACTATTAGTGAGTCATATCATTACTTGATCGTTCATGCAATCATCCTTCCTTACCCGTTCCATAAGGTAGGGCACCGCAGCAGCGTGGTCGACATGGAAACTATTACACAAGTAAATCATCCCAGTTGAGCATTTCTCATATATGTAAATGTTTGATTTAGTATGTAGCTATTATACCAAAAAAAAACTTACTGAGTGACCAAAAGTACGTCGATACTTCCAGGGTCCATTTCATCAAAAAAAGGTAGAGACGCCAAACCACTGTACGCCGGATGGATACCAGCATCAAGCTTTTCGCATACAATAAAAAAACCATAGCAACAAATAAGTGAAAGAAGGCAAGTATGAGTTGAAAGCGTTCATCTTTATTTGACAATAACTTTTTTTCTGCTCTCTCTAAACAATACTAGCTGTTCTCTTTCTCTCAATTCCCAAATCCCCCTTTTCTCCACTCTGCATGAATTGTGATAAACTCTCCTTCTTCTGTTTATCACAAACGACTATTGCACTTGGAATAACAGTTGAGCATTCTCTCATTGAAGCCCTCAAACTGTCAAGGAAACAAAAAACGAGTGGGAATTTATAAGGAAAGGAGCACTGATCGCGGCAGAAAGAGAAGAAAAATGGGAAGAAGAGAAACCTGGAAGGCAATGATAAACGCAGAAAGAGGGAGAGAGAAGCAAAGGGAAAAGAGAGAAAGAGAAATCAAGCACGCCCCCGCCCCTCCATGATCCATTTGCGCCCAAGATTCAAGAATTATGAAAGAACGTATACGTACCAAAATGGTTTTGCCTTTGTATTCTAACAAGATTGACGATCGGCCGACTTCATTACCAGCTCCAAGCGGTGTGAGCTTTAAAAGATCGTTCTCATCGACGATCGGAACTTCGTATTCTGCTTTGCGTTTCGAATGTGCCATTTATTTTTAAAAAAAAAAAGTTGGAAGAAGAAAAAGGCTGGATTTATCCGCCAGCTTTAACCGCAGTGCACCTTTTGATTTTTGGACTGCTACTTATCCAATAGCAGCAGCTCCACTTGTATTTAAATTAGTTTCTTCAAATAGCGTCAGAGTACGACAATCTATCCTGTCACTTCCACACCTTAAGAAGTGAATAACAGCTTATTTTTCCTACTCCACTCAAGTTTTCTGATAATGCGAGTGCGATTGTTATTCGCTGTCCTGATACAAAATCAATATGAAGTTTCTCAGTATCCGAAAGTCAAACATGCATGACCGCTGGATAGCATCTTGGGTGTGATCTCCTCTACACCATGCACAGCCACTTCCACCACTACCATCATTTTCAGCATCATCAAGGCTCTCAAGGGCAGAGTTTATAATGTCCAAGAGGTATTGTAAAGCAACTTATGTTTCATGACAAGCAATATTTGCAAAACAAGGAATGGATAGCGCCTATCAATGGATGGACCTGGAAAATAGCAAGCTTATTGAATTGAATCTGCTGTTCTTGTTACATCACATTGTGCAGTGGTCAACCTTTTTCGTAGCGTCACAATTGTACTATAGATGTACTTTCTTATATTATATGTATATATGGTTTAAAAGATTTACTATTACACAATTAAACTTTCGCACGTCTTCGCTGCAAGCTGATATCTTTTGTATGCTTGTCAAATATGAGTTTATATTATAACGTAGAAACTCTGCAAGGATTATAGGATCTGGATGAGCGTAAACATGTGCCACTACTTTTAAACTTTCACAATGCCGCATCCGCTGACTACAGCTGACGTTTGCTGAAATATGCATATACCTGCTAATAACTTGGTTATACCATAGGTAGCCTGCTTGTCATACCACGTACAACTTTAGTGGGATGTATATTGGCACTCCCAACGATAGTGAATTCATATATTGTTTGTATATAAACAATGATCAACACTAAGTTTCAGTGTTGGCTTGTATATTGTCCCTTAGTAGCATCAAATGTTGTTTTTACACTCGCATGAGATAAATCGTTGTACGCTTGTTGAAATCATGACAAGCCCCTTGTCTCTTCTTCTTTCTTTCGCCTGCTGCTTCCCACACCTGCCCTCTTTACACATACAACGTGCAATGAACAACGTCTCACCACACGAGCCAACGGCATCTTCAAGCTCTCGCGACGTTTCGTATATCAATTTTGGTGCTCCTGTTGATCTAACACGCGGTTTTCCTGGGTATAAAAACAACTGCCTCCTCTTTACTTTTAAGGACCCTGGAACAAACCTATGGAAGGTGCCCGTGGCATGCTGCAATCCAGTTTTTGTCATAGTCGCGTTGAACAAGATCTTAGCTTTCTGATATTTGGCGCTTCCAACGGCGAAAAATATACCCTGGGTGCCACTTCCAACATTGAAGGATATATCCTGGATGCCATGCGTGTCAAAAATTAAGCAACTCTTATTAGCCGATCAGACGCACCGCTTATTTTGAAGCACATTGAGAACATCAGTTCGAAAAAAAAAAAAAAGTTAGCATTGGGCATTCTACCAGGGCGATTTGGGAAAGTATCTCTCCTGTTGCATGCCTAAGGGTAGTAACCGCTTGTGCGCGTCGATATCAGTTGAGGTGCAATCTGCAATTCCTACCCCACCGATTTACAAGGTGTGTACGGTCAAAGACTTGCCTTTGGAATATCCTGAAGACATCGATGCAGTCTGGACTTTCTATTCTTGGAGCAACAATGGACAACCCACGGTTTTGGTGAAGAATCGGGAGGCAACAGACATATTTGGAGAACGAGACCTTGCACTACATACATTGCACTACTGTAAAGCACCGGAGCCTCATGTTTTTCAAGAGTTTAAAACTTGCAAACCCTGGTTTGCGATAATATAGAAGCCAACGCACCTCAATAATCAGTTTTCTATTACTCACGTTCTTCATGTAATGAACTTATCGGTTTAATCCTAAAGTGTGTATTACATAGTGAGTAATTGCACCATCAATGAGGAAGAGCTGGGAATGTTGCGTCATCACACAATGTCAAGAGCGAAGGACGAGATGAGCGGTCAAAGGACGCACTATTAAGCTTAGAAAGTCCCGTCAGCCACTTCAGCCAGCGAACACGTGCTCAGCATAGCAGCTTTGGAAAGAGACTCCCGAAGGGGCAGTCTTTTCCAGAATTTTTTATCATTTTCTTAATTATACAGTAAATAATTCAATTGGATTGGTTCAACCAATTGAAGGGTCAAAAAATTTGTGATAACCTCCTTAGTGTTCCGCAGCCACGGAAATCTTTAGTAAAAGGCGAAAGATTTATCCGATCTGATTACAGAACAGAGGCATGAGATGAAGTGAAAGGGCCTTGGGGACAGCCGTCTTTTATACCTTTTTTTGCGGCAAGTCCTGAGACTGCTGATTTGGTTTTCATTATCCGATTGTGACTTTTTTGTGGTCGGACTCCGCTCGATGTTCCATTCGTTTCTTTTTCTATCCTCGAGGAAAAAGACGCAATCGCGGTTCAATCCCGGTTTTTGAGTTGATATCCATTTATGGACTTATTGGGTGCTGCATAGCACAAATAGCGCAGCGTCGTTTGATCATGCAGATATATATTTTCCACAAGTGCTGGAGTTGCTTTCCTATTTAGCTCAACTGAATGACCAAAGTTGATCTCGACTTTTTAATTGAGTATTGCGAAGGATGTCTATAAAAAAGAAATACTAGGCCTAAGTATTCTCCAGTCCCGCGGGAGAGGTTGTGTTTCAAGAATGGCGTAAAGGGAAAGATACCTATTTATAAAGAAAGTAGAGTGAAGGGTTTCATATCGGAAGGAAGACAAGGTGGATCTTGTTGGATGGAATATCCCATGTAAAATAACATTCGATTCTTTTTTATCTTCTTCGTCCTACTACTGCTATTGCCACTGCACTCTTTACCGCATGTCCATACCGGTCCAAGCAGCAACATCCATGTTTGCACCACAACCCGTCCGTGCCAACAACAAACCTCCTTTTCTAGAATATCAAAAACGCGGTCGACGTTCGAGCTCTTTAGACAAAAACGCATATTTTGAATTCTTCAAACGCAACAATACGCCCAATGTCATTAGCGACTTTTTATTAGGCTGGTCCTCTGCTGCATCCGTACCACATGAAGAAGACGAAAATAACGTAAACTGGGATAACGATAATGATCAAAATGATCAAAATAGAGATAACGACGACAACAGCGAAGGATATCAGGACGAACAAGAACCAAGTCCAAGCGTGCTTGATCGGCCAGCACATCCGTTACCACCTGATGCAACACCACAAAAAGAGCAACAGCAGCAGCAGATTGAAAAACGACGACGATCGTCTGGATCAACCATGGATGAAGCGCAAGACCAGGCCATGCGACAATTACGGCGGCAAAGAGGCGACAGCGTTCAGATCGGTATCCATATCAACGATCTCCTAGACAATGACGACGTCAAGCAGGCCGTCAATGCATTGCAAGAGGCGGTTCAAGCTATGAACATGACGGATTTGGAATCGGGTCACGACAATAACCAAGTGGTGCATACATACTCAACCATGCTGCAGACATTGTGTGAACAAAACATGGCGCGCGTCATCAATCAAATCTCGGGTGTGGACTTGAAAACAAATCCGGATATGATCTATGGATGTATCATGTGGCGAATGTTTACCAAAGTCATCGAGGCTGGATATACACTGCAGGTATTACACGCAACACTGCTAGGTCTAAAAAAGATCTAAATGAAACTGATATATGGAACATTAGTACGACGCATACATGGCCGTTACCCAGTTCTTGATGGATAATAACCAGAACGTGTTGGCATTACAAGCGCTGTATTCCATGCCGCGAGGATTATGGGATATTCAAGCGTACAAACTGGCCATATCGCTCCATCTTATCCAAAAGCCACAACAAGTCCAACAGGCTGAATGGCTTTTATCTGAGTTCGGCAAACCTTATCTCCAAGTAGCCAATCCACTCGCACCGACGCTCCTGCCGCCGCTGAAGATTGAGACGCCTCTGATGAAAGATGTGACCGAACAAGACCGATACAAGCTGTGGATGTTTTACCAGTCAGCGCTGAGCGGGACCGAATGGGCTAAAGAAAAAGAAACGTATGAAGAGCAGCGCCGCAATAGCAACAGCAAGATGCGTAACATAAACAGCAGTCTGTGGAAAGACTGGGCATTGCGACGGATGAGCATCGAGACGGAAGAAGAGCGGATCAGACACAATAAGATTGACAATGACAATGCCATGATATACACTGCCTCGTCGCAAAAGCAGTTTGAATACGGATGGGGGATATACGTGCGCATGGGCGAGACAGTCGACGAATTCACGCCTCGAGTTGTTATGCATTTATGCTGGCGCGCCTTTAGTGACACGCCCCTGATGAGTCACGTGTCGCTGCGGAGCCAGTGGGAGAGCCGTGCGTGGGAGGTGTATGCCAGGTTCATGTGTTCCGAACACTTGCATCCGGATCAGCCAGAGACGCCCGGGTTTCTATGCGATCTGATCCTGATTACTGCGTTCTCGCCGCAAAAGGAGAGGTATACCAAGACGCAGAGCGTCTATCAGCTCCTGCGCCGCCTAGAGCTCGACGCATTGTTACGTCAAGATCAAGTGCTTACGCCTGTCCTCTGTGTCCTGCTCATTGAATGTCAAGGCGCGCCCGCCAGTATCATGGACATGTGCCACAAGGCGTTTGAGATCTGGCAGGTCAAGACTAGACTGGATGCGCGCTATAGATTTCTTGAAAAGCAACAACAACAACAACATCAACATCGGCACCAGCCGATAGTTTTATATTCCTTGTATTGGGCATTATTGATACTGTGCATCAAATCCGGGTCAGTGTCGGACTTTGTTCAAGTTCTCCAGAGTCTGCTACTAAACTCAGGCGTGGGGTTGCCGACGTCGCTGGTGATGACCATTCAGACTTTCCACGACCGGTATCTTTGCAAGGAAGGCGAGCAAAAGTGCTATTTCCACGAGTACTTGCTTCGCACGGTCCAATACGTGGACAAGCAACAGCACGGAGTGGAGGATGTCTACGACAACAACGACAAGAGCGAGGAAAAGCAACGAGAACTGCCTCACGAAGAAGAAATGAACGCGTTCGGTTTTGTTCGGGAAGCGGGGAAACCTTGGGAGTCGGTGCAACCACGGCGGAAATCGGTTGTGGCTGAACCTATCGCCTACGTCGATCATGCGCTCCATCAAAGATCGAACATCCACGAGACGCTGGCTGCCTATGTTGCCATGGCTGCCTCGATAGGCGCTGCCAAGGACGAGTACCTGCCCATGCAGCCGATCTACTCGAATGGAACCAAGGCAAAGAGTCTTATTAGACACTGCTTTGAAGTGGGGAGTAAGAAAAAGTAGCACATGTTAGGGAACAGTGAAATAAAAGAAAAAAACCTTGCATGACGAAAAATGAAACAATGGAGCACCAATTGTTTAGTGCGAAAGGGCAATCTTCAAGTACGACACGTGACGACTCACACATCGCGCAACAACAGCCTTGCCTGCTGTGGGCGCGTGCCCTTTTTTTTTATGGGTTCGCTTAGCATCCTTTTGCCTTTTTCTTGTTCGCGAAACCACACACACACCCTCTCTCTTTTTCCCTTCTTCTTCTTTTTCCCCTTCACACAGCACACGCACACAGAACTTGGGAGCGTCAAACTAATAGCAGTTGTTATTATATACCCCCTTCCCTTCTTCTTCTCCTTCTTTTACTGATACTCGTTTTAAACAGACTCCCCCTTCTCTTGTATATACTTACATACACAAGAATACAAATATATTTGTACATAACCAATATGGGAAACACACCGTCAAAGAAACGAAAAGAACGTCCAAGCATAATCCGTGCAGACGTACCTGACAATGAATATTCGAATTCAACCGCGGCTTCCATTTCATCCATTCTCGTCAACAGTTCATTACAAAAGCAACTACAGCAACAAGTAGCAGCAGCACAGCAACATCAGCAACAACAACAACCCGCTCAGAACACATTCCAACAACAAGAACAACAACAATACCCAAATAGTTTACCGGCAAGTGCTCAGCAGCAACAACACCATGACTACAGCACAACCAAAGAACAACAGCAGCAGCAGCAACAACACCAAGCAGCAAATGAACAGTCCGTGTCTTCAACACAAGACTTGAATCAGCTCACGTTTACGTCACAGAACCAACTCACTGCCACGTCGATTCGATCGATTGGACGGAATCTCGATATTGACGAATGCATTTCACGACTGTTGGCTATTGGTGGCACGAGCAAAGTCTCCAAGCTACCGTTTAAAAATTCGGAAATTATCGCTATATGTCGAGCCGCGCAAGAAGTTTTCATGAGTCAACCGGTATGTATAGTAGAAAAGGACATTAGTAGTGGTGGTGGTAGTAGTAAGAGAGAGACAGAGAGGGATTGAGACACAACAAGGACTCCGTAAACGTATCAGGAAAGTGGAGAAGGAATAACGTATGAACGATTACCTATCTATCTGTGTTAATAGACTTTGATTGAGCTCAATCCTCCCGTCAAAATCTTGGGTGACGTGCACGGTCAATATCATGATCTAATCCGATTGTTCAATATGGTATGTGGAATGATTTCTCATGTATGTGTGTGTGTGTGTAGGTGTATGCGTGATAAGTTAGCGAGATACGGCCATAGAGTAGTGTTTAATCTTTTTCTTCCATTTTGAACTGATCTTTTATTTATTTGTGAAAACAATCCGTTCTAGGGCGGCTTTCCCCCTGAGTCCAACTATTTATTTTTAGGAGACTATGTGGATCGCGGCAAGCAGAGTCTTGAAACGATCCTCTTGTTATTTTGTTACAAGATCAAGTTTCCCGAGAACTTTTTCTTGTTGCGAGGCAACCATGAGTGCGCTAACGTAACCAGAGGTATTATTGTCGTTGCTATAGATGACACGCTGGTGTTACTGTTTTCTTTATATTTTTTTGCTAAGCCAAGTTGATCTCGATACTATAAACTCCTGTAGTGTATGGGTTTTATGACGAATGTAAACGCCGAACAAACGTCAAAATCTGGAAAACATTTGTGGATGTATTCAACGCATTACCGATTGCTGCCCTTGTGGCAGGCAAGATCTTTTGTGTTCACGGCGGCCTTAGCCCATCGATGCAATCACTGGACGATGTACGCAACATTGCACGGCCGACAGACGTACCGGAATATGGCCTATTAAACGTAAGTGGACATTGATTCCTTTCGTTGATATAATGCTTCTTTCTGCTATAAGTGGTATAAGCGAGGCTAATAACCGTTACAAATCGTCCACTTTGACCTGCACTCGACTGAATAAACATTGCCAATCACTCCATTGTCTTTTTGTTAATAGGATTTGCTGTGGTCCGATCCGGCGGAGCAAGTTGATGAGTGGGAGGACAATGAACGAGGCGTTTCATACTGCTTTGGCAAACGTGTGGTGAATGATTTTCTAGCAAGGCACGATTTGGATCTGGTGTGTCGGGCACACATGGTGGTGGAGGATGGTTACGAGTTTTTCAACGACCGTACACTGGTCACGGTGTTTTCTGCACCCAACTATTGTGGCGAGTTTGACAATTTTGGTGCGATCATGAGCATCAATGAAGACTTGTTGTGCAGCTTTGAGCTGCTGACACCGACAGAACATCCACCGCCGAGAGTGTCGGCTGCAGCAAACAAGAAGAATGCGGCAACGGGAAAACGACCGCCGAGTCCGCCCATGATGGATCAGCAGTTACCGGCACCTCAAGAGCAGAGCGTAGCTTAGCACTGCTATCTCTCTTTCCCTCCGCTTTCTCACTAACACACGCTACTACCTCTCCTTTTGAACTTTGTTCTCTCTCTCCGTTCATCCATCGATTCTTCTATATTGCTTTTCCTTAATTCATTTTTGGCCTGTCATCTCTTTCGCGTAGATGTGTCCGTTCTTTTCTGTGTAGCTTCATCTCTGCTGTAGTAGTTTGTTTTCATATATATATTTCTTTCTCTCTATATATATAGCATTCCTTCTATCTTTAATGGGGTATACCTTTTGTCAAAGAATGAAATGTTTGTTCTGCTGTGCAATTTGTAGAAAGGAATGTGCTACTGTGCGCGTACGCACTATGTAACTTGCCGTATTATTTTGTCAAGAAAGTGGACAACACAATTTTAGCATAAATCAGTAGCATGTATCTAGAGTCAATGTTGGAGTGTATAGCATATAACATATCATACCCGCAAGCTTTTTCTTTATTGTGTTGGAGCTATCGCGTATACAAGTTCAAGTATCAGAAAAGTGGATTGAAGTCATCAATGCTCCTCCTTTGATTGCTCTTCTACTGACTATTGCTTCTTTATTAGCCGCAGGTTTTTCTGGTCGTCTGTAGTAACCTTTTTTTCACGTTTGTCTCCTTGGAGTTTTATTCTCTAACTGCCCGTCGTCATTGTCGCCTTCTTCCTTGCGCTTACTGTTGCGCACGCGTCGATGAAAGGCCGCATGCAGGGGTCGTCTTGAACCCAAGGAGCAGTTAAATTTCAACTTTTACGATATTCAGGCCTTGGAGCAGTAACTGCGTCTATAAACCATGCTACCACATCGGCCACACAATGTAGTAGGTCCTTTAAAAAAGCCAGTTGATGCTGATCTCCTATTGTTGCTCCTTTCATATGCAGATTCTGTTCCTCGATGGCGCCTGGGGTTTCTTATCGCTGTTCCCGATTCGGATAAAAAATAAGAATTACAAGATCGTTTTACTTTGAAAAAAATAATATATAACACACTTCTTTAATACGTCCTTGCATCAGCTTTCGACACATCACTGAATAGTAATATATTATTCTAGCACCGCTCCTCTGAAATATGTCGTCAATGCACACTAACTTCCTATAGTGGTCCCACTTCGTTGTAATCTACTTAATGCCGTTTTACGTGGTGTGATACTATTGCGTCGTCAACGATGTTCGAAGGGACAGCGCTTGAGCCTCGTGGGGACTGGAGTGGATATGTAATGAGGGAGGCACAAGAGCAACAAATAACTATCCAAACAATCCTGAATAAGATTGATGTGAGTAAACGAGGATAGCGTACGGTAGCGGCGGATACTGAGATGATTGTAATAAGGACAAAAAGAATAGAGAGACTGATACTTTTACAAAATATAAATCAAAACTGCACAACGAGAAATGAGTGCAAAAATGAAAGACGAGAATAGCCCATGATTCCTCTCAAGAATAATGAATACAAAGAGCCCCTATCGAAGTAAGCGATAGTTAGTTACATAGGAAAGAGAAGCATTTCAATTCATACATTGGATGGGTTTGACTTTATATACGGGCTCCAATGTACACGCTAGGTTGCACATCACCCTATACTACAACAATACACGCTGTTGCCAGGCATTTCAAGATGTTCTCCCTGTACTATGCTTTCATAACAGTACACACTTGAAGAGCATGCAATCTGATCTGTGTTTATCATACCCGGTTATCTACCTCTGATACACTCACAACATGCTATGCAAGTACGTCTACTAATCGAATCATTGACAACTCGAAAGATTGTGGGCGTCTCCGAATCTTGAAAATTCTAAGCCAGATCGTCTATCGTGCATTTTATCACTGCTCTTCGTACCTGGGACCCGAGCAAAGATTGAACAATTGATTGGAAACCGTTGACTATACATTATACAACAGATATTTTGTGGTAGTACGGTTTATATTTTTAAAACAATACAAACTGGTTATATATCTAGTTCCTCATTAAAGGATGTTGTATACATCCATATAATATATGCATTGTTGCCAAAGAAAGAAAAAAGGGCGGTTACTTTTATATATGAATATCTATATGACATTAGACACCAAAATTGTAATGTTGCGCGAAGGAAGAGAGAGAAAGAAAGAGCGGTGTGGTGTGGAGAGGTTTAATGGTAAGTGGCAGTCTAGTATATGTGTAGAGTCGTAAATTATTTTTAAAACATTTCGTCACTGTTTGGACAATCTTCCGTCTGATGCGTGCCAAATACATCACAATCCAAGCAATACTAAAAAAAAGAAATACGAGTTACCAATCACGCTTCTTGTAAATTCTTTAGACAGAAAAGGGGAAAAAGTCAAAAACTTACAATTTCACTTTCGCGGTGATGGTCCACTTTATCTTTTTCTGAGGTATTAGCAGGTGTAGTGGTCAAATAAGCTGTGCAGCTCATCACGTCATGACCATAGACTTCGCATATCTCGCAGTAAGTCTGATCTTCGTCATCGTGCTGCAGTCTGCCTATCAAACTACTGAATGACGCCATAGAGACAGGTGACAGCGGCGATACGGGTCCAGACGAGATCCTTCGATTATTAATATGTGTCGGTGAAGACGATGACTCTAATTCCTTGACCCTGCATTGCAACTGCTGTTTTTCGGCTTCTAGTTGCTGGCACTGTTTCTGGAACCTGTCCAGTATTAACCAATGGGTGTTGTGATCATCAACCCCTTGTTGCTGATCCATGTAGGATTTCTGCATGTTTTGACAAGACCGCTCAGCAGCTGTCGATTTCTGATCCAGCGCAACCACTTTGCGTTTCGACTCGGCTAGTTCATGCTCGAGCTTGTTGTTTGCCAACGTAATTTCCTCAAGCTTGTCTTGTAACTTGAGGTATTTCTGTTGTAATACGTTGGCTTCTTCCATGATCCTCCGCTTGTCCTTGATCTCCCAGCCGAGTTCTTGTTGTAATGTATCAAATTGCTTGTCGCTACTCGAAGCGGCCCGGTGTAACCGTACAATCTCCTCTGTCAATTGATCGACTTTGAGAGTCTTTTGTTTTTTCTCTGACCGTTCGCGTTCAAGCTCGAATGTTGCTATTTGCAGTTGCTCCTCGAGCCGACGGCGTTGGTCTGTCGCTATAGCGATATGTTGTGCTTCATTGTCCAACTGGGATGGCGACAACAACAGCATGGACTGTTGTTTTTTCTGCTGCTGATCCAATGCTTCCGAGAGTTGTACGATCTGTGCGAGCTTGGAATCGATGGTCTGTTGATGTTGTTGCTTTAACGCGTCGGTGGACGATTCGTACATTTGGATCGCATCCATCCCGGCTTTGCGAAGACTTGCGCATTCTTTTTCCAGAGTTGCAGTGACGCTATCCCTTTCAGCCAGGGCACGCCGCAGCTGGGCCATTTCAGCCGCATGGTGCCGCATTTGCTCGTCATGCTTGGCCTGCGTCTCCATCTGCTGTTGTTGCAACTGCTGGACAAGCTTGTCTAACCTCACTATGCGTTGTTGTTGTTGCTCGATTCGTTGCTGGTCATCGACTGACCCGGTCCTTGAGCTGAGCCATGTCTCTCGTTCCAGCTCGAGTGTGGATATCGTATCCTTGAGCCGTCTGATCTCTTGCTGGCCTTCCTTGACTTGCAGCGCATAGCTTTCTTTGCTCGATAGCACGCGTTCCCAAGCAGCTTCTTTGCCGGTCAATTCCTGTGTCAGTTTCTCGTGCTCTTTGCGAGACTCTTCGAGCAATTGACGGAGCCGCTCATGCTCATTGTCGTTGCTGCTGGCCCTCTTGTTGGTACTGCTGTGGTTGTGGATCGAATGCTTTGTTCGTCGCGTGGTCGTAGAGCGGCTGGTCGTGCGTGGTGCAGGCGAAGAAACAATGGAGGAGGACAAGGCGGCGGTATTGTTGTTACTGGCGATGGATCTCGTTGTGATGGCGGAAATATCACTGCTTCGACGCGTGGCAGTGGGTCGTCGTGGTGTGGTGGTTTTGCGCAAGTCTCTCGCAGTGACGGTTGATCGGCTTTTGGTTTGCTGCGGTACATTAGTGGGTCGCTTGCCAATTATTGTTGCTGTTGCTGTCTGAGGAACAGCCGACCTTCTTATTGCCATTGTAGTAGTGGTGACGCTACTTTGTAAATCGGATCGAGTTGTTGTGGAGCGGCTCTTGCTCAATTGTGGCACAGTTGACTTTCTGGAAGCAGTAGACTTGATGGTTGTCACGGTTGAACGACTCTTAGTCTGTTGCGGCACTACTGATCTCCGACTACTCATGGGCGTAGCATCGCTACTGCGTCTCAATGTGGATTTTGAGGAAGATATCGGCTTTGTACCAGCATCATCATTGCTGTTGCTGTTACCGCTACTCGTACTTGCTCGTCGTACAGTAGATTTGCTAGCACTAGGAACGGTTGTCTTTTTGTTGCGCAATCGAGTGCTTTTTGTCAGACTGGGTTCAACCGTCGGGCGTCGTACTGGTGGTGCTGCTGACTTTGTTGTTGTTGTTGTGCTGCTGCTATGACTGGAACGCATTTTATTGCTGCAGCAACCGGACGAGGCGCATGAACGAGCGACCGGACGATCCGCGCTTGGGTGGTTGTGCGACTTTTTCACTGATAGCTCCTTTTCCTGTTGTTGTTGGTGTTTCTGTTCCTCTTCCTCTTCGTCAAATATCTCCATGCCGCTCGGCATGGGTGTTACTTTGAATGCCTGGACAAAGAGCCCGGTATGCTCTGGACATTTGAAGTAGCGTATTCTGACATGTATTAAAAGTTTATGTTTAGAAAGGAGTTGGATGGAGTACAAAAAGGGATGAAGAAAGAGAAAGAAGAGAAAGTATAAATTTCAAAGTGTTGCTTCCAAGCTTACCCCTGAACACTGCCATCGTTTTTCCCAGCACCTTCCACGTCCAGCTCGATACCAGCCCAAACACCAGGTTTGAACTTTGTGTCGCCAAGGAAGCGTAGAGTGCCAATGACACATAGCGAAGGGACAATCACTCGAGTGCCAACGGCAAGATGGACGTTTGAAGATTGTGGAATAGGGCCAATGTCGTTGTTGACAGAAGTATTGGATGAAGAACAATGGCCCCCACTAATTCCATCCGAAGACGAGCAATCAGTAGTGGATGACGACGAGGCAGCCGAGGAGGAGGATCGGCGTTCGCTATTCATGTAGCCTGTTGATCGTTTGTTTGTTGTTGTTGCTGTTGTTATCGGTGTTGAAGATGGTGTCACCGCTGCTGACAGCCGACTGCTGCTGCTGTTGCTGTTGTTGTTAGTAATGTTTGATTGTAAGACAAAGAGGGTTGACATTATATATTACGGATGAGTACAGAAAAAAGGAGAGAGAGAGAGAAGAGGAAAAAGGAAAGAAAGAGAAAGAGAAATGGGACAGGCAGCAAAACGGCTGGGTATATAAGAATGCGAGATAGAACGAGAGAGAAACTGAAGAAAGAAAGAGAGAGAGAGAGGGGGTTTTTTACCTACTTTCACGAGTACGATGTGTGGTGTGAAATATCCGCAAAGCGTGTATGTGTATTGTATGTACATACGATATACGAGAGTGATTGATTAAGTGAGTGAGTGAGTAAGTGAGTGAGTAAGTGAGTGAGAAAAAAAGGAGTCTTTTCGTGTAAAGGGAAACAGGATATGCAACCCATTTCACGCATCCTGCAACAACCACGACCACCACACTGACATTTTGCTAGCTACTTTTGGTATTGTTGTGCTTGATATGCTTAATGTGCTCAATGTGCTATGTAAGTAAATTGTACTATGCATCAATATACACGCAAGCTAGAATGATTACAAATGTACGTTTATTTTGATAGTGTGAGAGTAGAGTGTGTGTGTGTGTGTGTGTGTGTGTGTATGCATGTTACGTATACACTATCAACACTCATGATATAGAAGAGAAGAAAAGTATATCCGTTTCTGAAGATAAAAATATAAAAAAAGAAATGCATGTGCAAAGAGAGCTTATATTTGTGAAGACCGTTATCGGGGGGGGGTTAGTTGGGAGGGGTTAACTAAAATTTACAAGGTCCTTCTTTATTACACAAAAGTCAAATTGCAGTACTAGCAATGATACTTTGAGGACGGTGATGACGATGATGATGAAAGAGGTGGAGATGATGGAGATACTGCTGTTGATAGGGTCTGTATGTGTTGCTGCTGGTGATGCGAATGAGGATGATGATGTTGATGTTGATAAGGATGATGATGATAGCGAAATTCTTCATCCGATGGTAGACACTTTTGCTCCTGCTGCTGCTGTTGCTGGTCGAGGTCGAGTATAGCACGAGGTGATTCGGGTGGGGTGGGCTGTTGTTGAAGTAGCTGTTCTTGTTCTTGATAAAACTCCTCCTCTTGTTTCTTTCCTTCTTCCTTTTTCTCCTTTTCAAAGGATGTCAAAGACGAGGATGATGAGGGTGACAACGACGACAAGAAATCCTGTCGTTGTTGCTGATGTAGTAAAAGCTGTTGCTCTTGTCTCAATAAAGTCATTCCCAACATCCTGATGCGGAAGTAGGCTCTGTCCAGTTCCTGCCTGGTTTCCTGCAGAGCCGTGTCTTTTTGAGTGGTGATGTTGCGTAGCGCATGGATGGTATAGCGAGCAAACGACAGTTCTTTGGTCAAGTGGGCATTCTGTTCGGCAAGGTATGCATGTTCAAGTTCAAGTCGGTTCAACCGATGCTGGACTTTGTTATTGCCGTGCTTGGCGCCGTCCCCGTTGCCGCCGTTACTGTTGTTGTTGTCGTTGTTGCTGTGATCGGCTGTTTCTGTTATACATTCTTTAGGTTATTCCTTTGAAGAAGATAAAAAAATTCTTTTAAACCTTCACCACACAAAAAAACAAAAACAAAAGACACTATACCTTCCAGTGACAATGAGAGGAATTGGCTGCTCAATACATTGTCATGGCAACTGGATTCCAAGGTAACTGTTGTTGTCATGATCTTTTTGTCGAAAAAAGGTTATAAGCGAGGGGGTTGGTTACGCTGCTGCTGTTGTTGCTGTTGCTGTTGTTGTCAAGTCCTGCTTGAGCTCTCAAAACACCAAATAAAACTATGTAGCAGTGCAAAAGAAGAAAGAAGATAAAAAGGCGTGCTTTTATAGAGTATCGGAAAAGGGCGTTGACAGACCAGCTGTTTGGTAACCTTCAAACAAAAAAAAACACAAAAGTGGGTAAAAAGAAAAAGAAGAGAGGGTAAAATTTCGATTCGGCAGTCGATCGCTCTCTCTATCTTGTGGAAAAGTGTGCTGTGCGTGGGTAACATTATGGTGTGTCGAACCAACCAGAGCGCTCCATTTTCGACAGACCACCCAGCACGCTGTCTAACTATGCTAACAGCACTAAAGGGAAACGCCCGCAGCGCGCCCCCTCCCCTTGGACGTGTCACACATGCAAGTCTGGAACTTATTCTGATTTTTTTTTCTTTTTTGCTTCAGATAATAACCATGCTGACACCACTGACGGCTGTTGAACAAGACAACTCCACCACTGAAAGACTGGGTGAGGGCGCATGGCTTGCCCTTGAACGAGTCCGGTACAAGGACAGCAAGCAAATTGAGCGAACATGGGAACGAGTCATTCGCAAAAATAAAGTGCATCGTCAAGATGCAAGATCGGCTTTGGACGGTAAGGTTCCATGTATAGGCACAAGCCCGATCCGCACTATTTTGCGCGGTTCCTTTTCCCCCTCCTTGTCGCACACACCCACACACACACTCAGTCTCTTTTTTATAAAAAAATCTTCTTTGCAGCTGTTGATATACATGCTGTGATAGTGACCCCTGAACCTGAGCTATTACTGGTGGTGCAATACAGGTAAAAAAGAATTGGATGGATGTACCGTTTGCAATGTGTTGATCATCCTCTGTATATTTGGACAGGCCGGCCATACAGAGGTACTGCATCGAGTTTCCATCAGGTATGTGAGTAATAGACTTTGAAGGAGGAAGAAGAACTTGGTACTGTATAGCACCACGCGTATGTGCTTAGAAATACACCAACAAAAGCAATGCGCTGCTCTTCTTCTTCTTCATCGTTTTCATCAGCTGTTAATAAAAACATTTCTGCGTTTAGGACTAATCGATCAAGATGAAGACCCCATTGATGCGGCTGCACGCGAATTTCACGAAGAAACTGGGTATCAAGTCGACAAGAGTGCGATCCGATTACACAAATCGGCAGCCGTGAGTTACGAGCCCGGTCTGACCAATTCGTGTTGCTGTGTTGCACAAATCACCATTCATGATCATGAAAAACAACAAGACGTTATAAAGCAACAGTTGGAACCTGATGAATGGAGCTTACAAACTGTCCGATTGCCGTTGAGAAACTTGATGGTACATCTGCTAGGTAAACCAATAGTTATCTCAATTACTCTTTCGATTCAAATTATTATTTTCTGCAGTAACTCGTTATTCATTTTTGGATATGGTACGTTGCTGCATGTATGTGTGCATTAAATAGAGCTCGAGCGTGCACATGATGGCCAACTCATCATCGATAGTCGCGTACATGCATATGCAGCAGGCCTGATGGCTCATGATCAATTCCTGGGAACAAGCACTACTAACACTTTAAATCAGTAATAAAGAGAAGAAGTAAATGTGCTTTTGTAAATAAATAAAAAACGTGTACATATTATGCCGTGTGTATATGCTGCACATATATTGTTCTGCGTCATAGCTGAACTGCACGTAACAATATACAGTGCTTCAAGTAGGATTATAATGGTTGATGCTGGCATTGTATTTTTTTGTTGTCACACTAGACCATAATTGGTATGTCTTGGGTTACAAAGGGCACAATGTTGGTGCAACCATCATTTTCTTAAATATTCGGCTTATTGGTTATTCCTTTCTCGAGACATTAGAGAGGAGAGAATCGTCGGTTCATAAACCACGATAGCGCGGGATGTAACATTATAAACGCTAATAACCCGCCATGTCTTTTTTAAAGTTGGCCCATTGTCTGTGTGCGTGTGTGGGTCTGGCAGGAAATGTGTTGACAGTAACCATAGTAAGAAGAAGCAAAAAAAGGAGTTATTAAGCACATCAAATTGCTTATTGTAATAACACCACTAGTGGAATCGATACATTAGAAAGCATTGCAATGCCATGTATCAAGCAGGCATATATTGAATATATCACCATACTAATACACACACACACACACACACACACACACGCTCACAACATTAGAAAAAATAAATTCCTCTCTTCCATTTTTGTTTCCCTTTTTTCTGTTTTTTGCTCTCTTCTTACAATACCCTTCTTTTTCTTCTCTCTCTCTCTCTCCCTCTCCTCTCTCTTTCTCTTTTCTTTTCTCTTCTTTTTTCTCAAATGGCTTCGTCTTCAGCAGCGCCATTGCGACGTACCAGTATGGAATCGCTCGGTACACATCACGCATCAGCACGTGCGTCCGCCGCCACGCTCGTTATGCCGTCGCCACCACCATCCGAATCACCCCCTACTCCTGCACCTTCTCAAACCTCATTTCCGAATAACAACAACAACAACAACAACAACAACGGCAATAGCAGTTATAACAACGGCAGTAGCCATAATAATAACAATAATAACAACAATGTCTCGTCTTCGTCTACTTCATCATCGCGACACCGTAAAACGGATTCCATCTCTAGTACATTCTCAGGTTTCGGTAAAGCGCGGGACCGAAACACGCTCAAGGGCGTGTTCGACAAATTTGTTGGTAAATCTTTTTCTTACAATATATCTAACCATACTACGTGGAGAGAGGTAGAGTGGATGGGTAAAGAATGGATCTGATGTCTTGTTCTAACACCTTTCATGGTGGACAGACTTTTTAGCCAACCATCCTAGCACGAATCATAGTAGTAGCACTAGTGGGGCAATGGATATTTCGACGCCGTACAATACCGTGCATGTGACCCATGTGGGTTTTGACCCAATCACTGGCACGTTCACGGGGCTTCCGAGGGAATGGCAGGTCTTGTTGAACCAGAGCGGTATTTCGAAAACCGAACAGGAACGCAATCCTCAGGTAAATCTCCATCACTATTCTTCCAAAAGTTTATCTGTTTTACTTTGTTTGTATATCTAAACACACACACACACTATCTATAATAGGCTGTGATTGATGCCATCGAGTTTTATCAACAAAAGGATCAGGATGCAGCTGTTTGGAGCAAGATCCCAAAGACCACAACCTCTTCCATATCTTCTTCGTCCTGTTCGTCCCTGCCTCGATCTTCGGGATCGACTACGGAAGGCATTCCTTCAAGGACAAAGGGTAACAATAGTCCTTTGAAGCGGTTTTCAAAGCTGAAAATTCAGCATAGCCGCTCGAACTCGGTATGTATCTCCTTGTAGTGATTAAGAAAAGCGCGCGTATTTACGAGTGGGTGATTAAATTGTTTCTCTATCTTTGTGTAGTTATCAAATTCAAAGTCTGGTAAGTATTGATTTATATTGGGAGATTTTGGTAAAAGTGATTGTGATATTCTAATTCACACATGTTGTGGTAAAAGCAGCTGCAACAACAGCAACAGCATCAACGTCCTCTTCATCACGCGACCCCGAAAAGATGCCTACAAACACCGTGGCAAAACGACGACAATCGAAACATCAAAAAAACGCGCTCAAAGATGCAGAGATTCTCAACAAACTTCGAGATATATGCACAAACGTCGATCCCACTCAAGTCTATACCGATATTACAAAGATCGGCCAGGGGTAAGGAAATATATAATCACACATTAGGCCCGGGCGAGGAGATTAAAACTCTAACAACAATACAATAACAGTGCATCCGGAGGTGTGTTTACAGCGCGCAAATCCGGTAGCAAAATGCCTGTTGCGATCAAACAAATGAATTTGGAACAACAACCGAAAAAGGAGCTGATCATCAACGAAATTGTTGTGATGCGACAATCGCAGCACCGAAATATCGTCAACTTTATCGATTCGTACCTGTGGAAAGGCGATCTTTGGGTGATCATGGAGTATATGGACGGTGGTAGCTTGACCGACGTGGTGACGTGCAACATGATGACCGAGGGGCAAATTGCGGCGGTCTCACAAGAAGTCTTGCATGGCTTGCATCATTTACATACCAACGGCGTGATCCATCGAGATATCAAAAGCGACAACGTACTGCTAAGTCTTCAAGGTGATATCAAACTCAGTAAGTTGAAAGAATTTTTTTTAGAATTGTGATGAGATATTATATCTCTCTGTGTGTGTCTCTATTTGTAAGTATAAACCGGGATTTTTCAAATAAGAGTAATAATAAAACAATATCGTATTACGAAAACAAAGCCGATTTCGGATTTTGCGCACAATTGAATGAAGACCAAGCCAAACGGACAACGATGGTTGGAACACCCTACTGGGTAAATGCAATTAATATCGGAACAAAAAAAAAGGGGGAGGGTTGCGGGATGAATTGGATCACAGAATTGAGAGCTTCTGGAGCTAACTGGCTGTATTTTCATAGATGGCACCCGAAGTCGTAACACGAAAAGAATACGGATCCAAAGTGGATATATGGTCATTGGGCGTGATGGCCATCGAAATGATTGAAGGCGAACCGCCTTATCTCAACGAAAACCCATTACGCGCTTTATATCTCATTGCTACCAACGGTACACCTAAATTACAAAACCCAGAATCGCTCAGCAACGTGTTCCAGGACTTTCTAGCCTCGTGTCTTCAAGTGGATCCTGACCTTCGGCCGACGGCACAAGCAGCAATAAAACATCCGTTTTTGCGCAAAGCCGACCCGCTTCATTCACTCGCGCCATTAATCGCGGCAGCGCGTGAAAGTATCGATGCCCCATCCCCGTCAAGTCCACAGCAACAACAACAGGAACAACAACAAAAATAACGATAATTTAGAATCTGCCCTGTCTCTTCCACTCCATCACTTCTAACCACTACCACCTACACCGATTCCTCTTTTCTTTCTTGTTTATTAAATCAAATTGTGTACTTTATCATCATATGATTCCCCCTTGCTCTCCGAACAAAATCTTTACTACCTTTTTTTTTTCCTTCCTTCTCTTATTTTGTGTATGTATCAAACAAACGCTTTTGAATATATGTCAAACTTTAAAGTTGAAGGGTATTCTTTGGGCCGATCGATTAACCATATTGAATATCAACATCATGGTTTCTTTGGTGCCAAGCCTTGTCACCAGCCCATATAACATGTAGTCTAATAAGGAAACATGGTACAGGTTCATCACTTTCATTGATCATGCGGGGTATTATCTACTCACGTTCTAACTCTCTAAGACTGCATATGAGGTTTGAAGATTCCATGAGTAGTGTATTCGACATTGTCTTGTATTAAGTGACTGTCAGAAACTTCGTAAAAGCTTAACGTTACTAAATGTATAATCTGTGCATCATCAGTCGCACTATGTAATAATAAATAGCATGTCAAAAGCTATAATAAATATCGCAGTATCATACTGACTTTGGTGGCTCGAGTGGACTCAAAAGACCAATGGAAATGGAAATATGCCTTTAAGTACTATATTGATTCCATATCATTATTCTGACATCAGAAAAGATCAGAGATATCAGCTGTTTATTACTACTTTGAGAATTTCAGTGCAAGAGTACAAACAAGGGGAAAAAGAAAATAAAGAGATTGGGGTAAAACGCATAGTCCAAGTACACTGTAGCTAAATGACACCATTGCAGAGTTTAACAGCTATCAGCTGCAAGATATAAATGTGAGTCTACTTTTTTGCAACTGGTACAATACATGTAGTGCGAAGACATATTGTCTTGAAAGAAGTACTCCTTGTCATCTAAATAAAAGGAAGAGGGTGGACCATTATAGAAGTAAAAGTGAGGAAGAAGAGATTCGTTGAAAATAACATAGAAACTACCATCGAACAAAGGGTTTCCGTCCTGTTTATCGGTTGTGCAAATTTCCACGGCATCTATGACTGCTTCATCCAAGATTTCGCCCTTTTTGACAGTGCTGCGTTTTTGGAACGTAGCGCAAATTGCCTCCAAAAGGTCAGAGCGCACTTCACGAGGGGCACCCAAGGGCAAGCCTCTGACCGTACACACTTTGTAAAACGGTAAAGGTGGTATAGCTGTTCGCACTTTAACTGTCGTCCCGGCTCGCTGCAAATCCGACGATAGCGACATGGATCCGCCGACGGGTAGACGGAAATAGGGCACGGTTCGCCTGGCACCGCGGTAATGACCCATCAAATGTAATTCAATGATTAAGCGTGAGTCATAATCAAGGTCCGCGCAAGTTGATTTCTGACGCATGGCATCGACTTCATTATCATAACTTGTAAAGTATGTAATCAGCATGTCTCGCGCATTCTCATAGGTTATCCCAGGCTCATCAAAAATAATACAGAGGCAACCGTATTTGTAGCTAGGAGAGCACCGAATCAAGTCAACAGGACCACCAAATTCGAGTTTGGAAACTTCGTGTGTGCCTAAAGTTGACATTTTGATCCTGGTGACAGAAGGCTGTTGAGTAGATAGAGCAGATGATGAGAGAAAGGAAAAAGAGAGATGCCACTAATTATTTATGTAAGAAGTGAATAACGCTTTATTATACTCATTGATTTCGGGGAAAGTGAAAAACCAACCTTCATTGCAAGAAATAAACATACAACTTGTTAGCCATTTTTTATGGACGATCATGTGAGGGTATTCTAGACACACACTCTCATCAAAGCAAACCGACGCCCACCTATTGGAGCTCTATTGTAGCATGTACATACACAACAAGTTCAATATTGTGTTACAACAGTATTGATAGTTATTTAACATCTATAATCTTGTTTGTGCTATATCCTATTCCTTTGAATGTCGCAGTACGTACCAAAAGCGCCCTTGTCTACAGCAAACAAGTTTATGCACAATTATGTGAATACGTCATTTTACTGTACGATCGGCAACAGCCATTATATTAAGTGCGTTTACATTCAAAGTTAAAGGTTGTAAGAAAAAAAAGATTCCCATCCGCGGGTAAGTACAACACGTGCACAGAGTATTACCCGGATCTAGTTTTCGTGAAGATTTGACAAGATACCTGCGTCGTTAAGCTACACGTGTGTACTTGCAATGCCGGCTCCCACACAATAGCAATAACATACGGCTGCAAGAAGCATGCATATGCTGTTCACTTGGCGTTTTATTATGCTCCATTATCATGGTATTACTTTCTTTTTCTTTCTTTGGTCAAACGTTTTCTTCACTTCGGCCAAGGTATTTTTACTCACAAGGACTTTCGCTAATCGTTCATGATTATTGAGGAAGAACTTTTTTTTTGTTGCAGCAAAAAATGCATACTACGGCAAATTTGCTACTACGTTTAGATTGACTCTGTGTCTGGTTGTTGAAGGCTTTGTTCATCTTATTTCCTTGATCGAAGATCGTATGATAGTAGCATTGTTGGACTATGTCTACTACTACGCTCAGACCCTTGTACGACAGACGATCAAGAAGCAAAGTCATCATCATCATCACCAGTAGTTTGTCCAGTAATAGCACGTCTATTCCAGACATAAGAATCACGGTTGACGACGTATATGCAGCTGTACCTCTACGGGCTCTACCAGAATTGAGCTCACCGGCACACGATATTGTCAGTCTTTATGGTATACAATGCCGCAAATTATACACGTGTGTTTATGGATATCCTACCACATATCTATGGACCTGCTAACAAGAGGAATGATGGCAGAAAAAATACTGCCACAATAACAGAGGAAGATATTTGCAACTTCTCAAGTAACTCGACAGTCGTTCGCGATTACGCCCTTAAGACCTTTCGCACGATCGACCTTGCAGAGGTTGAAGTTGCGACTACGCTTTATAAAAATTGGTTTTGCTAATCTATCAAGATCAAGAGTAAATGCGTCAGCAATGTATTTTCTGCAACTGTTGAAATAGGAAGATGATGAATAACACATCGTTTATTCCGCCTTATATTGTATGATTTAGTCTATGCCTACAGCCACCCAAAGCCGATACCAACGTTACAGTCAACTGCACTCGAGTGGAAACAAATATGGCGTCTTGAAGGAGCGCATCATCTCGCGGTGAACTTTTATGCTGTTCTATTTTTCTAAACTTAATATGAATAATTATCTACTAATCATAGCACTCGGATATGTCTTGATGCATCGATCACTTGTTAGCACGCCGCCTATGTTGCCTATCAATCCGAATGATCATACTCAAATTGTGTCGCTACCAGAAAGACTTCGAGTGCGACTTGCAGCAATTCCCAAAGCTGACAAGCAAGTATGCAGGAATTTTAAGAGATCACAGCTCCCTTGGTCGATGCGATTTTAGCAAAAACAAAAGGTGTGTTTAAAAAACGAGCAAGTATACGGGCTACCTTTTAATGCCTATTATTCAAGACGAGACTATTAATGCTGAGATATTACCTGAGGAAAACCATGTAACAGCATACGCTTCGACGTCGATGAGCACTATAGCTATTCCAAATATCCTCGATGGGATCACAGTGAAGCTTTGCCTCAGATTCGGGGTGCGTGCAATTGGAATACAATTGTACCCAATGAAATTACTTTTGGACCAGCATTTAGCAAGGTCGCTATCTCAAGACTTCCTTATGCTCGCAGTATCCTTTCTATCCAGCCCGAACTAATAAGTGTGTATCACCGTGATCAGATATCGATACTGCCGAGCACTGTTCCTGTATTATTCGTGGCTCAATAATATTCCGTAAGAAACTCGAGCCCGGCGAAAGTAGCGACCTGTTTATTGTCACTGGTGCGCTTTTAGAGAGACTACAGAGATCTGATATAGACGAACCCACGGTTAGTCACCTATGGGAGTTGGATACATTAGAAAAAAGATTGGGCAGCAGGTAAGTTTAACGCTTTTATATTATGCAACTTTCATATGTCTAAAATTTACTAATTAATATCATATAGATACATAAAGGTATAAAGCTATTGCTCAGCGTTCATTCCATCATGCGAAAATACTGAATTTGCATTCGAAGCACATTTGCAATATATCATCGCACAATTCGACCGGACGACTGATGAGCTTCAAGGGTTTGTTGTGATGCATGACATGGGAGGTTTAGACGCATATAACGAAACACTGAAAGACGATATGCGGCATTGACTTGGAGCTGTTTACCCCGGATGACTACGACACTGTTCCAACAATAGACAGAGTATACAATGCACTCTATTTTACGACCATTTATCTACATCTCCAACCTCTTATCCGCACACTGTATATTATGCATAATGATGGATATGGCTGGCAGCAAGTGCGCAAAGACTAGCTAGTTCCATTATATCACAGTTATTTTGTGGAGCAAGATATCATACCTAACAAAGGCATCCTAAAATCAGCTATGGCTGGAGTGATTAGAAAGATATTTTAAATTTACTGGGAGGACACTACAAAAAATAGGTAGTATCATCATGATGATACCTTATTGATACCTTAATGATATCATATTGAGTTTTGGAGTACGAACAAGGAATCAATTTTTGATATCTGAGCTATGCATCAGAGTATCAAAATGTTCAGTTGTCGAAAATCAACAATTTGATTTTCTCAATATCAACATTTGACTATTTAGATATCAACTTTTGATTCTTAGGTTATCAACATTTGATTTTTCAGATATCATAATGGTATCAACAACTATAGCTTCCAATAGAATCGCAAGTATTCAACAGGCGTTTCTGGCCATATCCAATTACATTGCTGTTTTAAAGCTGATGACTCTCATAATATCCAATAGAAAGAAAGATTTAAAAATATTTGATAGGGAAACAGTGGTTTATTTGATATATATGATACTATAATACAGCACTATACTATATAATACATACTATATGGATACTATAACATTCATGGGATGTAGAATACACCACGTCTCATGTTTTACTTACCGCCATATTAATATCACAACTTGAGATAAAAATATAATGGTTAGAATACTAGACAGCAAGATTCAAATGGAGCTAGACAGATGACGGGCAATAGTGAAAAGCGATACTAAAGATAATGACAATCAGTTATATATAGTGGAAAAAGCAGAGCATAAAGGAAAGGCCATCTTACGGTTTGTGGTCGTTAGTGGTAACAGATCTTTATAACTATCGAAGCATTGAGTAATTAAGTGACAGTCAGAAATAAGCATATTATAGTATGATAGAGCAAGACGAGACCATCACGCTTACCAATTGAATGGGGATTACCGGCAGACAGTCAAGCAGTGGTGGTATGGAAGTAGTAAGCAAGGGATACCTTGCACCGAGAGACGCGTAATCTCTATCTATGTTACACAATTCTACGGAAGGAAGCCAAGCATGGGAGTTAGCAACATGATGGGCGTTTCAAGTAGTTTTTAGCAACAAAATCAGCGTATAAAACAGCAAACTGTTATGAAAGGAAATGGCTTACCAGAGCATAAAGATACTTCGTACGAAATGAGAGAGGTGCCGATGAGTATCGAACGTAAAAATTCGTGTTAGTTTGACACTGCTTAATAAAACGTGCATATAAGAGTGAGTCAATGAGGTTATGGACAAAGGCATTGATAATATATCACTTATAAACACACACTTCATTAAGATTTCTTTACCTTTTGCACAATGGCGGCGCGAACCAAAAGTAAATGCAAGCAGGAAGTAGAACCATAAAGAAACATAAATTGGAAAGAAAGAGTGTTTTGATCGCTCATCGTTCTCAGATCTAAATAATGTGATACCTTAAATGTCAACATCATGACCATTAACGTATACAAAAACCGTATCCACGATGATAGTGTATACACCTTGTGGATCAGGAAGAGAAGGTCTGAGCAGACGACATTGCCAGATGCAGCCTCTTCATGGGTCTTCATTTTTGATGAAAATTACTTTTTCTATTTACTTTTTCTTGAGAAGCGCTTTACATTTTTAGATAGAATGCTTAGAAATACTTTTGCTGTACGTTTTACTACTAAAAAATAGAGGCGATTTGTGGTTGATTTAGATTGATCATCATATAAAGTGTCGATGTTGCTGGTCGGTTTTGAAAAGAGCTCTGAAGGTTGAGAGTACACCCGTGACCATTAGAGAGATTGCTTTTTTTGCACTGAGTGTTTTGTCTTTTACTACTGCGCTGACTATTAAAAAATAATTGAGTAGATACCAAGAAATTTTATCCTAATGATACTAGGAGTATCAAAAAAATGTTGATACCTTATTGATACCATGTTGAGACCCGTTATGATATCTGAGTTATTAAAATTTAATACCTTATTGATACCCCTTATTTTTTGCAGTAGGAAGAGGAGGCAGCTTGTTTGGGTAATAGTATACAATACTAGTGAGTAATTTCTGATAGGGTATTCGTTCATTAGTACCCAACTTGATTCTTGCTCGTCCTCAAAGATCTGACATGAATAAAACAAAACTAAAGCAGTTGCTGCAGGTTACCACAACTATCCATTCTGCAAATATTTGCTTCCTTTTTACCTTAATAGCCGGTAGCCGGTAATACTATTTTACCGAAAAGCAAGGTCTTGCTCGGCTAAAAAAATTTAACGTCAGAAAAATCAAAGCTTCGGTTTCCAGCTGTGAGCGCTGGAATCCTTCAAAGGAACGCGGAGAATCAGGGTTCCTGTGTATATAAACCGAATGACAGATGATGATAACCTTTCACAACTGAATGTAGAGTTATGTTGAATCCTATGTAATTAAGACTACAACGGTATCTGATGCATCTCGAACTTTTAGGCATCGTTTCGTTCTTGCTTTATTTTTGTCGTTTTCTCTCCTCAAATAATCGCGTCATCTGATAATCTGCTTCTTCAGTTGTGCATTGTGATAAACCTGCTCGAGGCGCTTGCTGATCCGTCAAGTATTTCACTTACAATAGCATTATGCATATACAAAAATGTTGTCAGAGTAAGTCGAATCAATGATGCGGCGACACAGATGCAATGCGTTATACGCCCGTAATATCAAAGTACCACCAACTTTAAATTACTTGTGCACATTTAGTTTTACTTATTAGCAATCTGTTATGGAATTGTGCTTTTTTCATATACTACTTGTCTCCACACCAAGATACGATCCGCAATCCATCAGTGATTATAAACTCATTCCTCGGTCTATTTGTAGAGAAGTAGACAAAAGAGGTCCAAGATAAAACAATCCAATATGATATCATAAATATCTGTATTTGAACAACTCTTTCGATATGTTTCTATTGCCAATGCAGTTGTCTGTGCATTATATATGAAGTTTTGCTTAATCTCCGTGCTCATTCTTGTCATAAGTTGAATAATACAGAACAACTCTTTCAAAAGAAAAAGAAAAGTTAGGCTCAATAAAAGCTTACCATTGTACTTGCACATCATAAAGAAGCCTATCAAAGCTACTTATTGTATACCGATGGATGGACAGCAGAGGGAAAAACGCGTCTTTGTATCCAAGCGCGCGGCGCGTCACGAGCATTTAATTTTTGGATCTGCGAAGGGGAAAAAAGAGGCATGAGAGCGAGCGGTTCCTCTTTGTTCTTGTATAACCTACCGATTCTTTTTTTTTAAAAATCAATGCTTAACGACAGTACTCGAATAGGCATGAACAACAGCAACACCAGGCGATCTTCAGGTTCGCTTAATCGACGCTCGTCAGAAAAGCCAAGGATCGTTAAAAAGCCTGTGGAAGAAAAAGGAACCAACATTCAAGTTGTTCTGCGATGCCGGTTAGATCCGCCCTCCTTTTCTTATCACTATGATACAACACATACAGCCCAGCTGAAAAACTCATTCCATAATCGAACAACGATATACACATACGTTTATATTTTAGAGGACGTAACGAACAAGAAATTGCTGCCAATTCACCCGTCATATTAGAAGCCAAGCGTCGTCGCGATGTTGTGTTGAGAAACACTGGCAAAGACAAAGATTATTCCTTCGATCGTGTATTTGGACCTGAATCAACCCAAGAAGAGATTTACGGTGAAGTAGCGCAACCCATTCTTGATGAAGTGCTCATGGGGTAACGTAACTGTGGCAACAAGAGCAAGCCGGTTGACTAGGGAACCTCTAAAAAGAAAGTATTATTCACGTTGTCGTTATTGTTATGATTGTAGATACAACTGTACGATCTTTGCATACGGTCAAACTGGCACGGGAAAAACGTAATACTCAAAAAACTTAAAGACCTGATTTTCCCGCCACCTCATATTCCTTGTTACAATACTAACCCAACTTCCAACATGTAGATATACCATGGAAGGCGAACTCGAAGAAAGACATGGACGATTGACGCCACGTGCGGGTATCATTCCTCGCGCCATCTATAAACTATTCGAAACGCTCGATGCACAACACGCAGAATATTCAGTCAAAGTCTCATTGATCGAACTCTATAACGAAGAATTACGAGACTTACTCAACAATGACGATACGCGGACGCTACGGATTTTTGAGGATCAAAGTGGATCAGGCGTAATTGTTCAAGGCATGGAAGAATCCATCATATCAAGTGCAGCAGAGGCATTGACTATTATGCAAGAAGGCAGCAAAAACCGAAGCATCGCTTTTACAAAATGCAATGAAAAATCGAGGTATGATACATCAATGAAATGATATTGTGCGCACGTTGGATTCCCTCTAATATGTATTTTATTCTGTTTCCTAAAAAAATTAGTCGTTCCCATTGTATCTTCACGCTAACTGTTCATATCAAAGAAATAATACCTGGCGGTGAAGAAGTACTCAAGGTGGGAAAGCTGAACTTGGTGGATCTGGCTGGTTCGGAAAACATCAATCGATCAGGCGCTGAGCATGCACGAGCAAGAGAGGCTGGTATGATAAACCAAAGTTTGCTGACTCTCGGTCGTGTCATCAATCATCTTGTCGATCATTCGCAGCATATTCCGTACAGGTAGTGATTATCTCTCCCCCGTCATTTAGATATCATACTGGGCTTATTGATTATACTGATTCATATATACGTATGTAGAGAGAGCAAGTTGACAAGATTACTAAAAGATTCTCTTGGTGGACGAACAAAAACATGTCTAATAGCGACAATTTCAGTATGCAAGATGAATCAGGAGGAAATCATCAGCACGCTGGATTATGCTAAAAGAGCAAAGAATATCCGAAATCGACCCGAGGCGAACCAGCGCATGTATCCCAAAGTTCTTCTCCGTGAATATGAACAGACGATCGAGCGACTCAAAGCTGACTTACAGGTAATTTATAACATTAATAATGTTTCTTGGCATAGCGGTCCATTGTGGAAAAGTGCAGCTCTCTTACTGTATACGATTTCAGGCATCACGAGAACAAAAGGGCGTCTATTTATCACAACAAACATACAGCATGCTTACCGACGAGAATCAAAGCAGCAAAGACCGCGTGGTGGAGCTGACCAGAGATATTGATGGGTTACGGGACTCACTACGTGAAAGAACCAAAGAGCTTGATGAAAAAGCAGACTTATTGTTTGGAAAGGAATCCGAACTTGCGCAAGTACAAGTAAGTATTCATACACAATAGATATTGGTGTTGGATTTTGTTAAGAGGAAACCATCCCTTTATTAATTGCTTTTTGACGTATCAAGAATAATCTAAAGACGCTGGATCGGAAATTAGGTGAAAGCATCGCAGAGTTCACTGAGCGGATGGAACAGGTATGAACAAGCAAAGGAGAAGGGTACACATACGAAGAAGGAAGCTAATATAAACTTGATATGAATCCTGTTGATCTAGTATACGAACCACACAGAAAAATCAATCGATGGCATTATACAGTCTTTGGAACAAAACTCGGATGTGATGCAAGCACTGGTTCGAGAGGGTGTTCGCGCCCAGAACGAATTCTCAGATAAAATGGAAAAAATTCGAAGCAAGTTACGAGACCAGGCGCAACAAAAGAAGGAATGTGCTGAGAAAGAAGTAACCAACTTCTTCAGCTCTTTTGAAAAAGAATTGGAAGGACTCGTTGGAAATGTAAGTTATCTTCTATCACTTAGCTTTGGCATTTTAAGAGCTGCTGATATGATATATATCTTTGGCTCATATTCGCATATATTGTATAACAGATCCGTACGATCGAAGACCACTTTACCCGAACATACAAACAACATGTGGAAGACGAACGACAACATATAGAAACACAAAACACGTCAGTAACGAAAATCCGTGATACAACGATAACAAGCATGTCCGACGAGGTATCTAGAGTGCTGCATATCTCTGGGAGGGATGTAATGAAAGTTAGAAATTAACTGTTCTGTGTAATGTTACACATACTCTCTCTTGATGCTACATTAGAAACAACGCGTAAAAAAGCACTACTCGATGGTGCAGAATTTTATATCCAATGAACGAGGAAAGGAAAAGGATGCAGAAGCGGGTTTGATGATCTCAATCAACAAAATAGTATCAGAATGGAGAAAGCAAAGAGCTCAACGACTCGAAAGCTCCTTAAGAGACTTACAAAGCTCCTTCAAGGACAATGCGCATGATATCCTTTTTATTGTTATCATCATCCCCTCGATATATAACTATCTCACTAACGACATTATGCATACGTACAAAATCTTAATCCTTAACTTACTGCTTTGTTTTTCTCTTATCCACCTCTCGAAAGTTTCCAGGACGACTTTAATTCAATGATCGAGTTAACGATTCAGAAAAACACCAACCGATTAACGGATGTAAAGGCCGCTCAAGATGATATTTATCGCCAACAAAATATGTTTGAGGATGTAAGTACTTGAGGGTCCCCTTTTTGTTCTTGACACATTTTAATAAATGGAGAACTTGATGTGTGGAGATGGATAAATGTTTATTATTGGATACTGATCTGGGATGGTGGAATTTCATGTCTTTCCTAGATAAACACCAATATCTCTACATTAAGGCAACAAGGCGAATCTCACCACAGTCAAGTACTGGAGGGTCTCACTGCTGGCCAGTCGATGGTTACATCTACTTGCGATGAAATAAGCCAAGCACGGTCATTATCAAGGAAAAGACCTCTCCTAGATGATTGCACAAATGTGTCAAAATCATCAAAACAACCGAAAACTACCGACTTGTAAATAATAATAAAAACCTCCATCCAAACTTGTTTTTTTAACGTTTACATTTATTACTCTTTGTGCACATAATCGTGATAAACCTTTTACTAGCTAGTTTCATAATTCTTTGGATGCTGATGCTGTACAGCTACTAAGACTTGGACGTTTGCTTGCCATTTCCTTTGGTTGTCTGTTAAAGAAAAATAAATTATGAGGATTTGAGTCTGTGTCCTCCCTCAATGGTTGTTAAAAGCGCGAAAGATATCACGATATATACTTTGTATGGATCTGATCCTGCGATCAGGGCTTGCATCTCCTTTTCGACGTCATCGTCAGAATCAATGGCGATAGGCTTGTCAGTTGGTAACTATATGTAATTACATATCTTTGGAAAGTAAGCGCATGATAGAGATTTTTGTAAACATTTGCCTTATAGCCGCACCTTTTTCTTCGTCAGAACCTATACAAGCAATGTGGTTTTAGCTCGTCAAGAAAAGATGTATAGTTCCTCTTTATTATTGTTGTCACAGTTACTTCTTCCAAGTTTACGTACCCGTTTTCGACGTTTTCTCAATGGCTCTTCGCACTGGAAATCATCCAATTCTCTGCCACTATCCACTTCTGATTTGATCTTGTAGCTACAACAACAACAGTAAAACAGTGATTGTATATATAGCAATGTTAGTTTATTAAAGTCATACCAATGCCATAGCTACAGAATACTTAACGATGTATGACTGATGAAAGAATTAAATGGATAAACGCATACATACCTTACATTACGCAATGTCATTCCAGAGCTACCAGCCCTTGGTGCTGATCCCTGTCTTTGCTGCTGCTGCTTCTGGCCATTGGTCGCATTACTTGGAGTTTCTGTTGCTGTTGGTCCAGTATCTTTTCTCTAGCATTATTTGCTGTCAGACAAATAGTATATGACTGTTATAAATGAGCACAGATCATTGCGTACTTTACTAGAAGATGAGGACGGTCGTGATCTGTTAGTCTCTTGTCGTGATTGTTGCTGTTGCTTCGTAACAATGGCAGAAGAACGAGCCGTCAGGCTTGTGGTACTCTTGTTGTTAGGAGGTGGCGATGGTGATACTGTAGAAGTGCATAGCTCATTGAACCGGTCTTCTAGCAGCTGAAAACTGTAAAAGAATTGGCAATATCAGTATGATAATTATAATTGTCAAGCACATAGCGAGCAAGCAATAGCGAGTAGCAGAAGGTCGAGATTATATAACCATTACCGTTCCTTTTCTTGAGCAAGTTCCTCAGCTAATGCACTATTATGACACATCAGGGTCATATTGTCTTGTTTCAACTGCTCGTTTTCCGAATCATGTCTAGTAGAAAACTAAAGGTCAAGCTTTTGACAAGGACAACCACCAAGTATAGTACTAGTATAAATATAACTTTAGTGCTGCTTACTTTGCTTTGGAATTCGTAAGCTCGTTTTGAAGTTTCTAAATATATTAAAAACATAAAATATTAAACATAGAGGCACGAACTCATATTTTGGATTGAATAGCACGACAAAATTGATGGAAATTGCAGCTGGATAGTCTAATACCTGCACCTCTCTTTGCAATTCAATGATTGCTTCTTGGTAGCTCTTGGATTTTTCCGCATACTGCTCGTTTACTTCATTCAATCTACACCGCATACAATCGTAAAAGTTAGCTGATATTGTCATTGTCATAGATAATCAACTGCTGCGTACTTTTCTTGAAATTGGTGAGCAGCCATCGACTCGTGCTCGGCACCTGCTGTTTGCTGATCTTGGCCAAATTTTTCAAGCGTTTTTTCCAATTCTGTGAAGCTACAGCAATAGACAAGCAAAAAGATACATCAGCAAAAATGCCATTTTAGCTATTCGGGTGTATATATAGCTTGAAAGATAAAGAAACAAACAAATCAGTATATATGAGCCAGACACATGGTACTTACATTGTTTGCATGTCAGACAGCCGTCTTTTCAATCCAGCACACATTTCTTCGCTAGTGCTGATTTTTCCCTTGAGCTGTTGCAATTCTGTTCGCATGCTGGACAGTTCTTGGTTCGTTTGATCTGCACCCTTGCGGATATCTTCAATCACGCTCACATATGTCTGGCTTTCTGCATTCAATTGTTCTATACATAGAGTGGGGACAGTTTAATCATCTGACCAGCGCAACATATATATGATGGTTCGTATACAGCTAATTGATATATGGCTACATACCACATTTGGAGCGCTGCGCTTCATATTCTGTTGACAAAGAAAGCGTCGATGTCTTCAACTCTTTATGTTCGAATTGCAGGGCAACAAAGCTCATATCCAGCTCGTTGTACTTGCGCTTCAAGCCATCCAATTGGTTCCGTACTAAAGATGGGAAAGCATTAAAAGTGCCAAAAGGGAGACTGTCGTCATTGTAATGGAAGGAGCGCTATAAGAAGGAGTTCAAGGTAGTCGCATACGTACGTTGATTACAATAACGCTGTTCAAAGTCTTTAAACGCTTTGGCATTAGTCATTTTGGTTTGCGTGCAACTTCGTGCAAGCTTTTCGAGATCCCCCATGACGCAGTTGAATGCTTCATATCGACCACGCAAGCTGTGCACGCTATACATTGTAAAAGTGTACCATTTATCCCCCTTCAATTAGCACTTGACACTATTTAGTGGAACACAAATGAAAAAAAGAGAAACAGATAATCGTATTACATACTTATGATCGAATTGATGTTGTCTGGAAAGCATAGTTTCTATCCAATGCGTCAGATCGTTGACCCGACCTTCATTTTCTTTAATTGTGCACTGCTGCGAGTTCAAACTTGTTTGTAGCGTTCTGATCTGATTGGTTGCTTCATCATATTTTTGCTCTTGATTAGCGAGTTTTGCTTTGCATGCGCGTGTCAATTGGTCGATTTCATCATCTTTATCAGAAATTGGCTGTTGCTGATGCTTGTGGTGTTCATGGTGATAGTAAGGAGGAACCGACGGGCTATCATCATACTGTCGTCGTACTTGTTGCTGCTGTGATGATGGGGCAGACAAGGACTGCTGTACGGACCGACGACCTGTGCTGTTAACTGTGGTCATGCTAGTTGCAGTGGCCAAGATAGCACGTTTACCCTGTGCCAAAAGTGGGCTATCGGGGACATCCTCCTCATTGCAGTCATCGGTTGTCGTAGCAAAGAGTCCATCATATCGACCGTGTTGAGGCATGGCGTTCGTAGATGAGAAAAGGAGCGGTGCATACGTAGGTGGATGCTGCTGCTGCTTCTTGTTGTTTCCATCATTGCTGCTGTTGTTCATGTTGGCAAAGCCATCATTTCTTTTACTTTGTGCTGTAGGATTAGCAGTACTAGTTGCGTATTGGGATTCTGGCAGTAGTGGTGGCGATAGTTGTAGTTGCTTCTGTTGTTGCTCATTGCTATCACTATTGCTGCTCCGATTATGATAATGCTGATTATACGGATCTGCACGCGTTTTTTGCTGTGGCCCTCTTGACGTCGATCTATGCGTAGATTTAGGAACTGGTGGAGATGGCTGAAAAAAGATAGAAGAACGTGCTGACGTAGCCGAAGACGTTGTAGTCGAAGGCTGTATATGATCCGAGCCCGTGAATGGTTTTGAGAAAGTATCCTCGTTGTTATTGTGTTCGTGAGCTTGTTGACTTCCCTTGGTCATGGGCACAGTGGCATAGCGTGGATGCGGCGCTGGGGGAGGCATCATAGAAGGTGTTGTTGTTGTTGTTGATGGCGGTGGAGATGGTGGATTAAAACAGTGATGATGGTTATTGTGTTTTGATTGTTGCAGTGGTGGTAAGAGCTTGGACAGAAGCGTTCTCGTACCCTCTGTTTTCTTGTGCTGCTCTTGGGAAGTTGACGGTGAGGGTGATGTCGGTGACCGTTTGGTGGTGACACGTTGCGGTAACGCCATGTGTTGAGGCTGCTGCTTGGGTGGTTTTGTAACTGTCGTTGTTGGAGGGTGCATGGGAAGAGCAAACGTGCTGTTGGATGCACTGCTACTGCTTCCGTCTTCCGTTTTAATCTTGACAGGGCTGGGCGTTAAAAAGGAGGGAGGGTTGTTGCTTTTGAGGACTTTGTCCAAGGACGCGATAAACTGTATAGGATTGTTGCCCCTGCTATTGCTGCTGCCACCACTACTGGTGCGCCATAACGACTTCGACGTAGGCGCTGGAGAAGATCTCTGCCTCTATATTAAATTATAATGATTGCTTCAGTTGAACAAAGTATTAAAAAGGAGTATCCCCTAGCATCAAGTGTGACTCTCACATCTCCATCGGGTGACGGTGCTGCTACAGTATTGCCAGTGACAGCAGACGGTGACGGTGTTGTTGGTAAAGCCGATGACGGTACGAACCGGCGCGAAGGGTTTGGCTTGTAGCTAAACGATACAGCGGGCTTCTTATCATTTTCATCATCCATAGTGTCCAATTGTGAGAAGAAACAGAAAAAAAAAGTTGTAACGCGGAAGAGGAAGAGCAGATTTAAAAAATTAGAGATGCGCGAGTCCGAATTAAGTTTTTTTTTCTTCACTTTTCCTTGTTATATATGCGTATAATTTTTTAATATGTACAGGATGGAGGCAAACGAAGAAAGAATATGAGGGGTAACTATAACTAAAGAGGATCATATTCAAACAAGCATCTTGGACATGTAAGGGCCTATCAATGAGACACTGGTTAGCATCACGTATATCTTTCTCTAGTAGAACAACCTCTTGGTACTTACCATCAAGATGATAGCCAAGCTTGGCATAGTAGTGTCGAACACCCACGCCAGAAATGACGCTCAACTTTACGCTTCCGTGCTCTTCTCTAGCGATTCTTTCGGCTTCCTCCATCAACAGCGTACCGAAACCTTGATGCTGGAACTTGGTGGGATCACGATCATGCATGGGCACCACCGAGCCATACACGTGGAGTTCGCGCACAATCGACGTTTGACCAGCAGATGTCAATTCTGGACGGAAAGTTTGTGGCGAGCACTTGCGCAGACGTAACAACCCGACCAGGATATCTTGATGCGGGTCTTCGTATGACAAGAACGTCTCCCAGCCACCGTTGGCTGTATAGTCGCGTCGAATCAACTCTACCTGATCAGGCTGGATCTTGTGATGAATTTCAGTAATACCGACTTCACGCGTACGGACGTCACGACACTCGGTACCCAAGTCCTTCATACGGTTCAATGCCAGTTCACGCAAGTTGCCATGCTCGACACCAGACGTCACCAAAGGCATTGGAATATCACGTTGGACACGATAAATACGCGTCCATGGTGGAACAAGTGCCAAGATTCTTGCCACGAGATCGACGAGCGCATTGGGCGTGTAGTTTTGATATCGGCCTGTTCGCCACAGTTCGTACAAGCCCGTACCACGAATAACCAAGGTGGGATAAATTTTAAGACCGTCGGATCGGAACACTGGGTTTTCAAAGTATTCCTTGAATTGTTCCATGTCGCGCTCCATGCCCACGTTGGGAAGATCTGGCATCATGTGTGAAACGACCTTGAAGCCTGCATCCTTGGCCAGTTGAAACGACTCACAGACAGCCTTGACTGTGTGACCACGATTGGTATCTCTGGCAACATCTTCAAATACACTCTGCGCACCAATTTCTAAGCGAGTACAACCGTAACGCAGCATCTGACTCAAGTGCGGCTTCAAGCAATAATCGGGTCGTGTTTCAATCGTAATACCAATACACTTTGTCTCACTCTGCTGTGAAAATCTGTATATACCGACAAAAGTCAGTAACGCTTTGAGAATATACACCCCATCCCTTCCCTTTTGCTAGCTACCTGACAGCTTCGTCCACGTCGTTGCTCGAGTGACCAGTAAGAGCATCGTGCAGATTGGCGATAAACCAGTTTCGATAATCTTCATGCATCGACATGAAAGTACCACCCATCAAAATGTATTCGACCTTATCCACTGAATGGCCCAAGCTTCGCAACTGCTCTACACGACCACGGGCTTGCTCGTATGGATCGTATCTTGCTCGAATGGCTCGCATAGATGTTGGTTCATAACCAGTATAGGATTGTGTCGAATATTCGAAATCGGAATCAGGACCACCAGGACAGTATCTACACGCGGTTAATAGTAAAGCGTCAATTGCTACACTGCTAACTTCTCTTTTCTTCCCTTATATAACTCCGAGGATCTACTTACACGCAAATGTTACCGGTCATGGCAATATGAGGACATCGATGAGGCTTACACATTACAGCCACAACCGCGATCTACGCATTAATTTAAAAAAGTAACAGTTAAGATATGCTGCCAACTTTTGCCATCGTCTAATTCTTCATTTCTCCTCATATAAACTATACATACACCTGAAGCCGTACGAATCGGCTTGGCTTTAAGCTTTGGCAAAAGTGCAGCACGGTGTTGATCGGGAATAGCTGCAATGATATCGACCAACTTTGGCAAGTTTTGAAGCTTGTTTCGTCGGGCGACACGATTCTTCAAGCCGTTCAAATTGACGTCTTTGCTGGTTTGCGTAGCTGCAACGAGTTCGTTAACAATCTCGGCGCACGTTTTCACCATCAACTCATGCTAAGCGAATCGCAGTTGGTTTGTGTTAGATCAAAAATAGAACTGAGTATATCGAATAATCGTTGTTTTCTCGTTATTGTCATATACCTGAGTGGGTCCTAATTGATGATTTGCATGAGTATCAATCCAAACAGGTTCTTGGAGCAAAAAAAAGTAAAGTTTTATCTTACCTTTCTTATTCTTGGTTGACATGATCGAAATCCGGGAGAAGAATTAGCTTGTGGCTCGAGAGGTTTAATTTTTTTCTGTCGACCACCTTAAACTTTTGAGCCAGCCAATCAAATGAAATAGCGCACTAAATTCCCTTTTCGGATACTTATGGGAAGCCTATCGTTAACCAGAGCGCGTTGATTGAAGGAAGTGTTGTTGACCATTCAATTATTAAGAATTAGTATAAGTGCGTAATAGCAACTACAGTGAGATAGGGGGACACTGAAAGAGTTATGCGCCTTTGAGCAAAAGAGTAATAAAGGATATAGCGGGACGTACACAAGATATCAAAGTAATTTTATGCGAAATGGTATAGAAGAAACCATAGAGTACAGAGCGTAGAAATGGAACAAAACATTATACATCTTGGGCCTGCGTCAAAATCGGCTTCTACCTTTGTCTGATGTTGCTCGGCATCATGTCTTTGGGCATCGTTGTCTTTCTGTTCTAACCCAACAACAGGCGGTGGTCCGCCACGTGGTGTTGTTCGACGAGGAGATGGATGGTTTTTTCAGTTGCCAAGTCGCGGTTGAGGAATTGCAGATTTGGCTGCTCATAATGCCACCGCTCGGTATATTGGTCACTTTCTCGGATCGACTGGGGGGACATAGATCTCATATATTTGAGCACAGAGACGCTGTCTCGATTCCATTGACGCGCGGCATCACTGTCATCAACAGGGAGGCCCACAGGTTGTTATTGCAGATTTGGCTTTTGCAACCCTATACGCTATGAGCAACCTTGTTGATGTCCTTCCGCCGCGGTCGTAAATTTTGTCGCTGGAACACGTCGTCGCCAGGTGCGCGCATTAAGGCTTCATCATTGTGATTTTTACCAAATCGGGCACAGGCTGTTAGTGCGGTTAGAGGTATACCATGATTTTTGAAACGTTAAACTTTGACAGCCCTATACTCTATTCTCAATGACGCTTATACCGCTGTCTTTTGCGATGGATCACTTCAGCATCTCGCGCTTTAATGGATACGTATCATCGCAGGGCAAATGATATAAATCGGCAAATTTTTATCGTAAGCTTGAGCGATTGCGAGTGTCTGATGGTTTTTCCCAGTCCTGTTTCATCAGCCGGCAGCACACGTCCATTCACCCTTATAATTTGAGCAACATCTTCGCTTTAAGAGTCCTTGAGATGGTTCCATATATTCATGGCCTTCACTGGAGACAACCGATATCTGTGTTCGTTGTTTTGTGGTGGACAAGGTCAGTGCATGATGAATAATAGGATCTACTATGATGGTAAACGAAAAGATCTCATCTCTCACACAGACATACCATTAATTCGTCTTGCACAAGAGAATTGGAGTGCTGCTACATATTGGAGACCTTGTCGTTCATTGTCTAGGAACAATCACAGCATTTTATTATGTTTTGCACATTCAGTCAGACCGGGATTTATAACAACTTGGTGTATCGCTATAACCACAGCTGGGTCGTTATATTCATACTTTGTGCCTTATACATTGAACGGAACACCATGATAGATATATTTGCTAAGACAATGAGAGTAAAGCACAAATAGCATGTCTATATTGTGATAACAACCCACTTACAATTGTAATGAGATCATTGATTCTGCAGAAACAGGAGAGATAGAGAGAAATAAGAGAAACTGTAATTATCTAAATGATTTGTTATTATTTTCTTCACAAATTGCTACACGCAGGCTTGTCAACTTTTATGTTAGACTAAAGTAAGATATATTGGTTCCACTCTTATAATTGATGGAAATTCTCGTCTCCAATACTAGTATGATGGTAAAACTGCCGTCGCCGTGTTTACGTGCGATTGCACAAATTCTGAGGTTCAGTGCGCACTGGTTTATGTGATAATGATAGACTTATCAGATCTATTCGTAACTAAACGCCGTGTTTCTGACAGTACTGTAGCATGGCTTTAATACCGTCACCAGAGGTGGAGCTCGCCGTTAGCTGACTGCAGAGTCGACTCGCGACAATGGAAAGAATCAAAGCCAGTCTAGCAACCTCACTGGAAATTCCAAGCCCAACGAAAAGAAAAAAAAAAGAAAGAAGAATAAAGCAAGCACGTCACCATAGGCAGCGGGAAGAGAATAAAAAAAGATGATAAGAAGGATGATGGAGACGCTACCAATAATGTGGCTTTGGGTGAGGACTATTATCCAAGAAAACAGAACATTTTGTAAGGTTTACAATAGTATGTCTTATTTCGCGAATTTTACGCGTGAAGAGTATTCAGTTTCTGTTGCATTATCTTGAGGTAACTGGGACAGGGACAGCCGAAAGGCCGTGGGCACATCTTCTGCTATAGTCATGAATATAAGAATGGTATGGTACAATTTGGGAAGCACAGCAAATCCCTTCAAGCATACAGCGATTTATTATACTACTGTAACGGCTTTCATCGTATTGTAACGGCTCTCTTTTGATATATGAATCTGTGTTTACGTTCTGACACAATCCCAGCACGTAATACCATAACTTATTGATTTCCCGTTGCTAATCTTAATGCATCATATCAGAGCTTGAATAAAAGAGGATTCAAACTTTTCGATGCATTCTAGTAACGCGCAGTACGATGCTACGAAATAACGGAAAAAAAAGAGAATACCAAATCACAGAACTCATATCTCTGTAAATCTTCGGCTCTATGGAATCTCAATATTCCTCATCATTCCTTAGGTACGGCGTCATCACTTTCTCCTATCACCTTTTTCATCACCTTCATCAAAACGCGTTGCTAACTATTCCGAGCACTTGGTTGTAACAAATGTATATCTATAAGCAAAAGATGTATAGAAATACTGCTAGATGCTGATGCAGACACATATGTTTTTGCTTGTTGTTATGCCTGAAGAGCTTTAAAGGGTTTATCGAATCTAGCATTGGTGCAGTTTGTCCTCATTCCTTCTTCCATACAAGAATAATGTAAATGGTTTGCTGGTAAAGGTTCATCGAATAGTGTAGTCCGGGCGTCCTCAGGGACAATTGAGTTTAACAGTAGACTCTTAAGCTATGACATAGGCTGTCGATGGATATTCACTTGGAGTTTGCTCCAGAGCCGCAGTGACGATGTCGTCAATAAGGCATTCAAAGTCGTACATTAAGAAAAAATTACCATGACCGAACACTGAAACTGATTGGCCGACAAAAAAATTATCTTACAAAAAAAACCTCTCTTTCCGACAACCAAGAACCACCACTCTTTGTTACGACAGAACATGACGGATTCTTGGGATCGTACCCTATTTGACAAGGAACTCAAGTCTATTTTGGACGCTAAACTTCCCGTGTCTGCGTCGAAAATTACTTCGCTTCAATCGTTGGCCATTTCGCATCCCCAGGTAAAAAGAAAATTTATTTGTCATTCTTACCACAACTGAGACTGAGGAAAGAGAAAGAAGCGAGGAGAAAGAGACCCTAGAGAAGGAAATCGTTGGCGATTAACTTGGCGATGTCTTATGCTATGTCATTGTTATTAGCATCACAACTATATTACCCAATGCATTCTACGATTCATTGAAACGGCACCTCCGGACTACCGACTGGCAGGTTTGTATGTGGTAGATGCGATATCACGTGCAGCATACAAGTTGGTACGGAAAAGCAGCGACAGCGATCGGAGGTCTGTGGAGGCAGAAGGATACTTGCGACGCTTTGGAATCGTTTTGCGTGATGATACGTTGATTGGATGCTTTGAACCATGTACGCCAAAGGATAAGGTGAGGATCGATTCTTTCTTGTCTATTGGTGGGAGTTGTATGCATCTGGCAACAAAAGGACAGGACACGCGGTATTCATGTGGGGGAAGGAGGACGCGTCAAAACGGTCTTAAGCGGATGAGGAAAAGGGTATATGTCCTTCTCTCTCTCTCTCTCCTTCCTTCTCTTGGCTCTGCTTTTTTCCCGAAAGGGCTTGAAGGCGATCGGTCAGCAAATTCTTTTGTGTCTTTGCCATCGACTTGCCTACGCCCGGGCTATTTTTCCTTTGTCATCTCGTTCTTAAAAAGAGAACAAGAACAAGAGTAGAATGAGAGAAGGACGTGGTTTGTGTGTTTCCCCTCCCCCCTTTTTAGTACTGCTACTATTAGTATTACTGTCACCTCTGCCATCCTTTTCCTTCTACCCCGTCGTACCCGTCATACGCCCAATCTCCTTTCTATGCTCACATAACACAAAGACAAACAAGCAAACGACAGCAAGAAGGACATACCGCGATAACGTATTCTTAATACATTGCTTTTGTTATCAATAAAATAGGAAAAAGTCAAAAAAGTACTCGATATCTGGGAGCATGGAGGCATTTATTCCAAAGACCTCGTGGATTACTTAAGAAACTCTTCGATGAAAGTTGCTGCAACGGGAACGACCGAACGCGGACATAATTCTGCTACTTCTGCTACTGCTGTTGCTACTACTACTACTGCTACTACTACAACCAACGGTGACATGCAACAACATGATCAGCAGACAAGTAAAGGTGCTTATTCTTTTTTATTGTCATTGAATAATATAAAAAGCTCGCATTTTATCATGGAATTGTGGGAAACAAACAAACAAACAAACAAACAAACGAGACTCTACGTGAGAGAGATGGACAATGTTGGAGAAGGTTGAGGAAGAGAGGACCAAGAATTCAGCTTGGAGGGAGGGAGAAACGCGCGCGCGAGAGTGAGAGAGGAGGAAGTGCATGATGATCAAAAGTGGAACCGTATGTTAAAAACGAACACGTACTCTTTTTCTGTTGTTTACATTTTTCTATAGCTCCTGCTATCGACGCCGCATCGCTGCTGGCTCAACTCTCGACGCTTTCCAACGGTAACTTGGGTAACCTGACAAACGCCGTTCCAAGTGCCCCTCCATCCCAGCCATTTCAACCATTTCAGCAGCACCAACAGCATTCGTTACCACAGCAACCATTACCGCCAACATTACCACAGCAGCACCAACAGCCTTCAAGGGACACTGCCGGTCTTCCACCAGCTCTTGCTCACCTACTCGGCATCAATGCGGCACCTGCAGCAGCTCCCCAGGCTGCACCTCCTCCACCACCGCTACCACTAGTACAGCTACAGCAGACTTTGCAACAGCAACCACAGAGATTACCGTCAAGTGTGCCGAATTTTCCATCGATGATGCCTCCTCCCCAGCCGCCGCTGCAAGATAAGGCACCAGTAGATCCTCGGTTGCGGTCGCATCAGCCATCACCACCGCCTCGCGTAGATCCACGCGTGAAGCCCAATAATGCAAACAATACACCCTTGGGAGTACGTAGCGAGAATCCGCCGCATCATCACAATTATCAGCAGCAGCAGCAGCAGCAGCCACAACAACCATTATCCATGTCACCTCCACGAACACGATCAAGACCGTCTCGATGGAACCAAGATAGTGCTCCCGTACCATTCCAGCAACCGGATCCTCATCATTATCAACAGCAACAAGAACAACGTCGACGATCATTATCACCTGTTCGTGGTCAAAATAACAACAATAAAAATCATCCTAACCAGCATAGTCATCATCGTCACTCGCCATCGTCGAGACAGGAGCAACGCCATCCACGACGCAGATCAAGTTTACCGGGCCCTATTCCAGACCCATCGTTGCCAAAAGGATGCATCCGAGTGGTGACACGTACACTGTTTGTCGGACCACTTCCTGGAAATTACACCAGAGATGACGTTGCTGACATTTTTGAGAAATACGGCGAGTTGAACAGCATTATTGTGAGTTGTTGCTATGACTGACCATGAATTAGTCCCAAAATCATACAAATATGCTAAACTATCACGTGTATGTAGGTGAGCAAAAAGATCAAGTCGCGAGTGAATGCGTTCTTGAAGTATACCAAACGCGCTAGCTTAGAACAAGCCAAGCGGAATACAGCTGACCTCATGGTCGAAGATGTGCGAGTCAAGGTAAACTGATAGGAATCCCTTTCTTTTTCATCGTCCTTTACATCACAAATTAATCCCATCTAATGATGAATAGGTGAATTATGGATTTGGTTTTGGGCCTCGCAAACTCTTTGACTACGAACGAGGCGAATCGGTGATCTCTCTGAACGAGCTATCCGAAGATGAAAAGATGAGCCTAGTAACTGCACCCATCGGCGGGTTTCAAGGACAGCAAGTGCATGATCAAATGACCATTGAAGAGCCTGAAGTAGAGTATCGTCCTGAATGGAAGATGGATGAGAATAGCGCTCCCAAAGGTGGCGGTAGTGGCGGTGGCGGTGGACGTAGAGGTGGCGGTGGCAATCGTCATATACGGAGACGATTTGACTCGTCCAACGAAGACCATCCCAGATATCAACAGCGGGATCGTCAGTATTACCAACAACAGCAACAGCCCGAGTTGGATGTATCCGCTGATTCCGGGTGGATGACAGGAGGAGCACAGTTCCCTCCACAACAGCAATTACAGATGTCCAATGTACCTCCCAATTTTTTCTTTGACATGCAGCAACAACTACAGCGACAAGAGCAGCAGATGCAACAACAGCAACAGCATCAACACCAGCAATATCAGCCAGGCAGTGGTGACGATCATTTTCAACGGTCAAATTACGACTACTCATAAGAAAAACGCCCTCCACGCCCTTCTTTGCAGGTCATTTAAATGAAAGAAGAAGTCAGCAACGACTAAAAGTGTATCATACATATCTGTCTATCTAGCATAAAGAAAATAAAAGCTTTGCATTTGTTCCATTAATATCTCTGATATATACTTGAAGCATTTGCCTTCTGTTTCAAAGCACCCGGTATTTGTTTTGACTGTGTCGTGTGATAGAGAGTGCGTGTGTGTGTGTGTGTGTGTGTGTGTGTGTGTGTAACGCCATATGCCATTTTCCGAAGAAAAAGGGCGCTAAAAAGGTGAACCTTCTTTCACCCTCTTTTTCTCTTTGTTGCCACCCTTCTACTTTTTGACCTGAGATTCTTTTTCTTTCACAGTATACAGGCTAGATGCGTCAAAAACTTCCAGATGGATACGAGTATGACTCAAGCATACCCCATCCTGTCACTTTTCGTAGCTCCGATGGCAACGTATTAGAAATCACCATACTGGCAAGCAACGTTGTCCGCGTCAAACACCAGACTGGCGGTAGCAGCAATAAATGTCATAGCAACAATAATGAAGATGACAGCGCACCACTTCGAAAAGCAGAACAATCGACATACTCGATGCCATCTTTCAAAGTGAAAAGGTTGCGTCAACAAGAACAATCCGACCGAATTCAAGTCGAAACACCTCAGCTTCGGATCGAGGTTGAACTGCCGAACCTGCGCCTTGTATGGTATGACAAAGAGAGCAACGATCCGCATAAACCTTTTGCGGAAGACCTTGCTCGTCGAGCGTATGCCTACAACAATGGCGGCGAAGAAATATGGCATTATCGCAAACGGTACTTGGACGATGCATATTTTGGCTTGGGCGAACGTACAGGCCCAATGGATCTGGCTGGTCGCCGGTTTCGGCTCGAGCGGTTGGATAGTATGGGCTACGATGCTGAAACACAGGATCCGCTCTACAAGTTTTGTCCGTTTTATGTGACCTTGTCTTCCACTACAAAGCGTGCCCATGGTATATATTATCAGAACTTTTCCACGACAACAGTTGATTTAGGCCAGGAGTTGGATGCGGCAAGTGTTATCATGGCTCTTGTATAGCAACAGCATAATGTTAATGATGATGGTAGTATTTGTGTACATAACACATACTCATTAACTGCATGTTGTTACTTTTACCATTTCAGATGTGGGGCCCTTACACCAGCTATCATGCTGAAAGTGGTCCTCTGGACTATGTCATGATCTACGGACCCTCGGTCTCATCTGTTGTACGATCCTTTGGTATCTTGACAGGCGCACAGCGCCATTTGCCACCACGATTCGCATTTGGGTATCTAGCATCATCCATGGGCTATGCCGAGGCTGACAATGCACAAGCACAGCTGGAACAATTTGCCAAACTATGCCGCAAACACGACATTCCATGTGACGGCATGCACCTGTCTTCTGGATATACTGTCACTGCCGATGGCGACCGATGCGTGTTTACATGGAACACACAACGGTTCCCGGACCCAGAAAAATTGGCCGCGCGGCTCAAAGCAGCCGGTATCCACATCTTTGCCAATGTCAAGCCATGGCTATTGCACAAAAGCCATCCAGACTATGAGCAGCTAAAAAAAGCCAAGGGTGTCGTATGGGACGATGAAAATGACAAACCAAGTACTGTTTGGCAATGGCGCGCGGGCCGCTATACGATGGGTGAGGCAAGCTATATCGATTTCACGAGCAAGGCCGGTTATGCTTACTGGCAAGAGCAGTTGCGCACCCAGTTGGTCGATAAAGGTTTTCTACCATGGCTGGATAATAACGAGTTTGCCATGCTGGATGACCAGCATACCTATGCCTGCGAGGTTCCAGCTGACAAATACGATGATCTTGTGGGTTTGTTCCCAGTCATGCCAGAGGAAAGAACATGTGCACGGCAAGTAGGAACGTCAATGCAAACCCTGTTGATGGCCCAGGCATCGTATCAAGTATTGCGTGCTGCCAAGCCGATCGAGCGACCCTTCTTGATTACTCGATCATCCGTACCGTTCTGTCAACAGTTGGTGACACAGACGTGGAGCGGTGACAATTATACGGATTGGAAGACGATCAGATTTAATATTGCCATGGGTGTAGGAGCATCTCTATGTGCCGTGCCTAGTGGCTATGGGCATGATGTTGGCGGGTAAGAGTTTGGGATTTTTATTCGCAGTTAAACGATGAAGAGCGCTAAAATTTGGATTCAAATAGATTCTCTGGGCCACGACCAGATCCGGAGATGTTTGTTCGTTGGGTGCAACAGGGCATTTTCTGGTCACGATTTTGTATCCACTCGTTCAATACAGACGATACAATCACGGAGCCATGGATGGTAAACAAAAAACAAATGAAAACAGCTTTTGATTCTTAATCTGAGGAAAGGGCTGAAACTAGCTTTTGACTTTGATAAATATAGTATCCTGAAGTGTTACCAACGATCCGTGAAGCAATCCATTTACGATACAAGCTCATACCGTATTTGTACTCATTGCACGTCATCTACGCCTATCGTAACCACGAACCTCTTATCCGACCTGTCTTTTACAACCACCAAGATGATCCAAAGACATATACCCAGCAGTTTGAATTCATGGTCGGACCAGATGTACTTGTGGCACCTATCGCGCATCCAGGCGAAACCAAACGGTTCGTTTATTTACCAGGCCAAGAACAGCAGCAAATAGGCTGGTATCATTATCAATCAGGACAATATTTTACTGGTGGTCAGACGGTCACTGTCGAAAGCTCACTGACAGATGCAGCTTCACCGGTCTTTATCAGAGCCGGCTCAATGATTTGTTTTGGCCAAGTCATGAACAATGTACACCAGACGCCTGACAATGAACGCCGTGTTCAGATATTCCCTGAACGATGGCAGCAACAGAAAACCAACAGTAACAGCGATAATAGCGACGACGACGATCATAAACAGCAACCCATAGTAAGACGCACGTTTACCATGATTGAAGACGATGGCAAAACATTATATCACGAGCAAGAAGGCAAAGCCTATGCTGAGGTCCGTGTGTGGATGGAAGCCGACGCCGAAACAATCAAGGTTGGTCTGGAGATCCTGAACGATGGGTATTTCCCTGACTATGACACGGTATGGGTCACTTGTCCCATCGCAAGTGAAACGCGTCGTCTAGTGTTTATCGATCCACAATTCAATGCAGCGATCAATCTGCAAGAGTGTCCACGTATTGTGGACGATACCACAATGCATTGCTATTATGGCATACCCTTGCATTTCAACAAGAAACAGAATTAAAATAAAATATTTCATGTGGGTGGCCTGAGCATGGCTGCAATAGCGGCGGATATACATTTTTACTTTTCATGCTGCGCGCATTACTTCATCTCTTTCCCAGCACAGCACAACACACCCTTTTAAAAACTATGGAAGAAAGCCAATATCCAAAACTTGAAGAAGCGTGTCGTTACTTCAATAAACACCGTATTCCCGGCGTCCAAGTACTCTCTTTCAGCACGTCCGACCCATATTACGGATTAGGACGGGCACGACAATGCGATCGTCTCGACGTTAGCTTGAGCTTCCAAGCTGATCAAACAGAAATTCCATGTACATTACCAATTTTCATGCTACTTACGATCGACGTGTACACACCTACAATGATTTTAAAGCTCATGTACATAAACGTTTATTAACAACAAAAGGCCAGGTTCTCTTTGATTCAAGCGACTATAGCTTCCCACCAGACTTGATCATGGACCCGGTGTGGCATCAGTTTAGTACACCAGACGTGTTTCCGTTGGAATGGTGTCTTGACGATCCGCGTTGTGTGCATCACTGGCTTTCTACTTTATGGGGTAACCTTAATCAAAAGGTCTGCGTTTGTTTCTTATGTTTACTTTAGATATCAAGGAGAAGAAGGGTATATGTGTGTTTTGCATAAAAAATCAGACCTTTCTAAACCCTATTCACGGATAAAGTTATTTGGCGTAAAGGACAATGAAGAACGCGACGAGTTGTGCAGTTATCAATCCGCTTCTGCGCCGCCAGTAAGAACACCCACCTCAGTACATCAGTCAGCACCATCACCAGCACCACGACGTGAGCGAGAACAGCAGGAACACGAGCAACCACGCAGCTATGAACCATCCATTTCTTCTTCACAGAATCTGAGTGAAAGTGCAATTAATACCTTCAGCGATGGCATATATAGCTCCCACGAGCTCCGACAAGAGCTAACGCTTGTAGAAACCGACAGTGCAATGGAAGTTGAGTATCAATCACCTTTCGAACGACGCGCATTTATCGAACAATGGATCTCGGATATGCCAGAGTAAGGGATCAAAGTGTGTGTGTGTGTGTGTGTGTGTGCATGTGAGACGAAAGGAAGAGTAAGAGAGAGTTAAACACAGGATATATGTTGACTGGTGTATAGCCAAGTGATCCGATTCGACGCAGAAGACTTTGCATCCATCGTGTTGTATATGACGGTCAGGATACCGGATGTGATATGGAACGAATTAGCAGTCCATCATCAAAGGGCGCTCATGGAACTACAAGGAAAGAAAGTCAGTAAGGCAAAGGACACTGCCCCGGCGATTGTTCAATGTAATCATATCTCTCTCATTTACGGATAGATGCTTTTAGCTTTTTCTGACGCTTTTATATATCATGTTGTGCGACATTGTAGTGAGTATGAGCGAAAACTTTCCCAACTCTCCATTAACGGTACTGCTAATATCAGCTATCAACTCGGATCCGGTATCGAAGGATGAACCTGAGAGACAGGAATTTGAAATGGCCATGAATACGAATTGGAGCCTGGAGGAAATGTGCGAGAAAATCAGGTATGTGTAGTTGATACTTTTTGATCGTCATACTGGCTTTGAAATGCTATGGTGGACCTAGTCATTTGATTATTTATGCATGGTGTATACTTTGATAGAGGGATGCTGATGGAAGAAATTCCAAAGTTCCACTCTGGTCTATTCGACCAAACTTGATAAAGAAAATTCTCTTGTCGCATGTCAATTGACAAGGCATATCAACCAATAGCACATTACACACCCTTTCCCCCAGCTATATACACTTGCACACTCAGAGTTTCTGCATATTAATCATTTCCGCTCCCTTGCTTATTGGAAATTAGCACACAGCACCCCGCTTTTCACCGTTTCAATTTCATACCGCACATTGTAACGTAAGCCCTGTACATCTAATAATATTTCTTTTCTCTCTTTCCTTTTCTTTTTCGATTATCCCTTCCCCATTGCTTATATCCCACACATGACTGAAAGGACCATTGCGAGCAACAGTAGACATGGAACAACATCTATGGTGTATCCAAGGAGCATACCATCATCAACAGCAGCCGAAAACGACCATGATCCTGATATTTCACCCATGCCAAGTAGTGGTCAAGAGCGTGTCGCTGCTCTCAAAGAGTTGGGCGGCACTTTTAACGAAGGCCATCGCCGTGTATCCAAGATTGCCACTCCAACCTCGTCTGATACTATACCCAGTTTCATGGATACAAATCAAATCGAGGTAAACAGGGGTTTTTTAAACTGGAATTACTTGAGATGACAACTCAACATGAAAAAGCAGGAACTGCTCAAGAAACCATCCAAGAGCTTACAAGAAGCAAGTCGAGAAGCATTAGCAGATAAGCCGGAAACACTGCCGGATAAATCCAGCCCATTAAGAGAAGAAGGATATGAATGTGGAGGAGAAGGCGATAAAGCTGCCTGACATTCTTTTTTTGTTTTTAATTGAACAATAAAGAAAAAGAAAAATGCAAATCATGTACAATAGAATTATGGTGTGTATATGGAGTTGAGTAAAGCAAAGGGTACTTTTTATAGGTGTGTCTGCGGGGGAGCGAGACAAAGGAACATGGGAAAAGAGAATATAAGAGAATGATGGAATGATTGCCTGTTTGTGTTGGGTGTATGTGTGCGTATGTATATGCCTTTTTCGGCGTTGTTGTAAAACTTACTACTACTTTTTGAGACTTTTGAGCTAGCTGGTCGTGTTGAGGTGTTTGTTGAATCTACCAGTCCAGCCAAGTTTTGAAATATTCACAGTTAAATGGATTGACCGGTCCATCTTCCACACAAAAGTTGAACACAGGGCACTTTCCACACGGCACTTCAGTCATGGCTTCTGCGGGTAACCGACTGGTCGTCTTGCGCACAGCCTTGTATGCCCATGGTACAGATGCATCGTCTCCCTCATCGTCACTCATATCCTCATCGAATCCAGCAATATACGGCAACTTCTTCTCGACGACACCGTCATACACCAACACGTCAAGTAAGCTGCCTATATCCTTGACCGACAGTTCGACAGAAGAGATGCGTGATTCGGTGATAAAGCGCCGTACTTCGGCTGCTGTGGGATAATGTTCGTATTCGGCATTGAAGACTGCGTCGCGGACATTCTCATTACGCGGAAAACTCTATAATATATGTAGTCACTGTGAGTAATTTCGTAGTTATGCTCACTTTCCCAGCTCTACTGTACTAGGTCAACTTACTCTAGCCATAATATATTTCAAACATGCCGTCTTTAAGCTATCAATGAACTCGGTATCCAATTCCTGATCAGTGTACCAAGCTCCACCAGTGACTTCACTCGACGGTGTCATATTGAATAACATGTAGATCTTGCGTGTAGGAAACTACATGTATAGCTCTGGATCAGTAACTCTGATACACATATATCACATTGAAATCCACGAATTATATGCGATCCTTTCATCTTACCTTGACGTGCTTGACAGCCTTAATTTCCTGCTTTTGCTCCAATGCCTTTAATGTGCGGTTCATGACGATAGTGTGTAAATTTGTTTTCTTTTTCAAGTCCTTTGTCCATATGCCTTCGTTGCCAGCTGCACGGATCGTATTATAAACAATACGCTGTTCGTCGTTCATACGGTTCGCCCTATATAAGCATATCCAAAATCATCAGTATATCTCTCGTTGGTACTTTAGTGAGGGCGTTGTATATCTTTGTCACCGTCTTCAGTGCTTACTTTTCAGCTTCTCGGAGATCGATCGCGCGCAGCATATTTTCACCATTGATGGTGACAATTTCGAGTGCATTCTACATATAGCATATTCTCGATTAACGGAGGGGAAAACTTATAAACCGAGTTGCTTAGATACTGAAATAAAAGAGTACCTTTTTTAATAGGGTATTCATGGCTTGGTATGCTTCTTGCACACCCATTTCAGGTGGGCGTTCGCTAAACTTGATCCCGTCCTAAAATAACAATAGAGGTTTTGAATCATTCCATGTGCACCGCGTGTTTCCCCATTCTTTGCTCTCTCTCACTCGGATCAGTGGTAAAGTACCTTGCCCTTGCTATGAGCATATTTGTAAAAGGTCCATTCGTCATCGGCCAAACCAAACTTGTTTTCACCAGCAGCAGCGGCGTCGCCCATATTGTAGTGCTAAAGTTAAGAGTGGGGGTTAAGAGTGGGTTACTTTTTTTTTTCCTGCGCCCAAACCTGACTTGTTGCGAAGTTTCGCCACAAAGTGACGGCTAAAAAATGTCGGCGGAAGAAACCGAAAGTTAATGCATTCAAGGTAAATGTAACCCAGTAGTAAAAGTTTTATTTGAGGGGATATTGTCTACAAGTGAAAAAACAGATGGAAATTTGCGTATAATTGTGACAGTAATAGATAATTAGCAAAAGACAGGGAGAAAAAGAGAGAGAGAGAGAGGGAAAAGGAAGAAACGGTTTGTTTGTTAATCGATCTTCATGCGAGACTCTTTGCAGCCATATGCAGAAGGTGTGATCTCGATCAAGAAGCTGCGGGGTACAGAAATGGAGGGAATATCGCTTTCAGGCCTGTCAAAAAGATATGCATACAAGCACTTGAGCACCGTCTCATGACCAATAATCAGCACATCATTCTTTTCACGTTCTAACTCCATAATGACGGCTTCTAACCGTACAGCCAAGTCATGGTAAGACTATACATTCATAAGAGCAATTAAAATATAAGTAGCCATGTCCTTTTTAGGAGAAAAGAAGGAAAGAGGACATACCTCTGCACGAGGATACCGGTGGCGATACGGATCGGCACGGGAGCGCTTGACTTCTTCGGGATATTTTTCCTTAATTACAGCCATTGTCATTCCATCCACCTCACCAGGGTTCAATTGTGTCAGTACAGAGTGCTGTCTAACTGCGAAACCTGCTTCAGCGAATGGCTGTGCAGTTTGTCTTGCTTTCTTACGCGTTGATGTCCAAACCTGAGTATCAAAAAGAAAACGTACATCATAAAGACACACTCTTCCTTCTGCTCTTTGAATAAAATTGTATGATGACTAAATCCAGCACTTACTGCCAAAGGCCGTTCTTGTTCTTCAGGGTTACCGCCAGCACCTTTGTTTTGAGCTCTGTAGTTCAGCACAAATGTTTTCAATTTTTCGGCATATTCAAATCCTTCAGGTGATAAGTCGGCATCACCCTTGTACGACGTTTCGTTAAGGGTTCGTCCCGTCTAATGAAATACATGAGTATCTTCATAGTGGTCAACTAATATCATGATCATACAGTTATTCTTAAACTAGTACTGAGCTCAAAACTTACACGTGCGAAATATATTTTTCGTGGTTGAACATGGAGATTCATTAAATAATACACGATGCGAGACTGGATCACAAATATAGCTCACGGTTAATATATACATAGCAAGAAAAAACGAACGCCAATTTTCTGACCTCATATTACCTGAAGATAGCCCAGCACATTGTTCACAATGATTTTCTCGCCCACGTTCAACAGTTTGACAAACGGAAGACCGGTATCCGAAATTGTTTCATAGTGTTCTATCAGTCGTTCAATTCGATGCTAAGCGGTAGCATATCATTTGCGTTAAAAAGACGATCCTACCGCGTGTATTGAAATTATCAGTCAAACACATACCGTGTAATCCTTGACAGCTTCTTCCGGATCCCATCCAACGTACTACCATAGAATGCAAGAGTCAAATGGATGAGGGTGTTACAAGGATTTTTCTCATCGCTTTTACAAGCATTTTAAAAAAAAGCTTACATCAGGTGATGATATTTTGACGCTTCGTATGTTGGCATAAACGATCTCCTGTTTTGTACATATCGATTCTACAATGATCACCGATGCTTTAGTCTCATTGCACCGGCCTTTTTCCCCCGTATATCACTTGATTTAATAATATGATAGTTACCAATGAATAAAGTCTATTGTAACGACAAATGCCGGGTAAATTAGTTAGTGGGGCCCTGAACTTCTTTTTTTTGTGCAAGTGCTGTTGTAGATTGGTCCCTGCAGTGAAAATAACTCACATGAACGTTGTGATCCGCCAGCTTGTCATGAATTTCACGTCGTCTATCTTCTGTAACGTTATTGCCATCATAGATACCGACTTGGCCACCACCTTGTTCCAACCACTGTATCATATCATCCAAACAATCCTCTGCAATTTTCTCTCGCCGCGCCAAAGCATCAACGTTGCCTATGAGACACAGTTTTATAGATACCTCGTTAGTTTAGAAGTCATTTTTGTGTTTGACATTTGGATATATAGAAGGACCTTACTTGGGTCAAACCAGTCATTGGGGATAGTGCCCATGCGGTCTCGACGGTAATTGCCTACACTAAAAACCTTGGTGCTTACACCGAGCCAACGAAGGTATCGGCATAAAGATCGCGAGACATGGGTCTTACCACGGGCGGGGAGTCTTTTTCAAGTGACAAAAGGCGAAACAGAAGAACAATTAACTTTCCAGGTGGTGCAGGAAGATAAATCTTGAGAGGTTTCGAAAGGAATGAGCAAGAGATTTACCCGACAGTAATGATTGCGACTGCACCGGCGTGGAAAAGTCGTCCACTTTCAGTCTTGTAAAGTTGTGCTGCCATGAGTAATATAGCAAAGCGGAATAAAAAGTAAGCAAAACGTTGAACTCAGAAATAAAAGAAAAGGATAGTGTGTGGAGTCGAGTCGAGGAAGTGTACCTCGGACGAATTAGGAAGGAACGGAAAGCTTGTTTGGGATTGTCGGCTGATGATATATCATGTAGGTTCTACGCTGCAAGATGCAAGGGTGTTCTGCTCACTGCGTCCACAGTTTTTCTGTCTTTACCTAACAACGCGCACGGATCAAGCGTTATGCTCAATGCTTATTACATGCTAGTTCCAGTACAGAGAACGTCTGTATGCACGGTGATAAGTAGTAATACTTACATCATCAGACGGCACAACACAAATCCAATACAGTCTACATGAACGAGAAAAGATCATGTAAACTGACAGGATTGACACATGATAATGTCATTTGCTACTTCCGCTTATTTTAAAGTATCATTCCATTCTTTATGCTATAACAAGATAAATCATTAAAGAAAGAGCATTCTTATGGAGAGTTGCATTTATGATATCATTCCATTTGTAGCGATAGCAAGCGTCTGTAAGGCCATTTACATGGGTTATTCGAATCATCGCACTTGGAACGTATGCTCCAACGTGCTACATTCGCAGCATGGTGGTATTCATCGTAGCCACCTATCATACGATCCACGGCCAAGAAAAGAAGCTGTTAAAAGTCAATAATCAACATATATTTCGTTCGTGGTATCATGTTTTTCTGTCGAAAAGATGCAAGTATATGCACTCCACTTTGCGCTTAAACAAGTTTTGTAGTTTTGGCAAGCCATCACCAACCAATTGTAAAAGGATCGAACAATATTCATATTTAATGAATCGTTTATTTGACTTTGCTTTCTAACCCGCATCTCCCACATTTACAAAAACTCATCTGTCACACGCGCACAAATCAAAACCCAAAACTAAGCTAATTAGCCAAGGTCTTTGTTCACTATGACAACATGGTCACAGATCCGTCCTCCTCAGGACGAAGACCTGCCTTGGCGGCGAGGAGGAAAAAAGGGTGTTCAGTCAACCAGGCTTCCATATCCCACCAACTACTCAAGCCCAAGGAAGCTGGCTTTCCATTACAGAAAGTCAATGACTGCAACAGACGTGCCATCAAAAGTCATGAGCATGGTTACCCACGAGATTGTCAAACAGCTGTCAACAAGCCAAACGCGTGTAGCGAACAGCACGTGGTTCCTCGGTTCGGTATGCCTGAGTAATCAGTTGAAAAGGACTACTTTCACCTAGGAGAGAGAACGGTGCTTGAGAACACAGTTATGTGCAAGGAGGGAAGCGTTGTAACCACAACACAAAGTTCACCGGAGTCAAGAGACACAATAGGAACCAGAACAAAGATGCGCTCACAGGTGCGATCTTTTAGTTTTTCTTTTGAGACAATGCCCTTGAGAAAAACACGACGATCACCGAACGAAAACCAACAAGAGCTTTCTTGAAGAGGCCAACAGCGACAGTTCCACGAAAAGCTTCTTCAATTCATGGAGAAAAGAAGAGAGGGGGGCGACCAAAGTGGTAGAGTTTAGGGTTAGAAGAGTACCTGAACTATTGCACACGTCTGGATCCACGGCATTGAACAGTGTTCTGAACGCTCCTCAACTGTGCAAGCACCATTGTAAATGGGGCAACTACCCTTCTGACGAAAAGTAGACGCTGAAGGAAAAAAAAGTGGGAAACGCCCTCCCGGCCCCAACATATCAGGATTAAAATCAGACTCAGCTTATCATCGCAGCCAATGAAATGGCTTCATTCTGTGTCATCTGCCTTGAGGACTTCTGGACTTCTGCGTTTCCCAGGACCCATCCACCGCCGTGCCCCCGTAAAGTATAATCTTTTAGTGCAACGCAAAGGGTGTATTTATGGAAGATGTAGAGAAATACCTCCAGGCATTGTCAACATCTCTTCATGTAAAAGTTTAAGTAGTGGAGTCTCTAGAATTTTAGCGAGTTTATGATAGCAGTATATTTTGTGCGCGTTTGTTGCGAGGTCGACTGCTGCAATGTCGCCACATCAGGATATGAAAGCCAGGGCTGAGCTGCTCCATTTTATATTTTTAAGCACTGGATGCGATGTGTGCATATTTCCCAGCCTTTGTATATGTGCAGAAGCGTTGGTGCTTCCGTCCGGTACCTTCGGGTCCCTTATTTTGCAGTCAATACGAGATGCTGAGGCACCTTTGTATTGTTTGACAAAAAGTCATTGCCAGTAGTGGATATGTAATGCATTTAATGTATAGCAAGTCCCGTAACCTATTATTACGGACTCTTGATATGATCGAGATTTACAGCAATCATTTCATTTTCCAGATATCTCTCAAAGCTTTCTGACAAGAAGCACATTATTAACATCTCGATATTTTATGAGTAATAAATTGTGATTTGCTTACACAACCCTGAGCGACAAAGTATATACACAAAAGCTATTATGAAGTCCTTATTCAGGTTTAAGGATCACCAAGAGGCCTTCTCTATTGATTTAAGCAATAATGCAGACCAGGTGCTCGTATTAATTTATACATATGTTTTGTCGAATAGTAACTGTTAAGATTAAGGGATTTATGTTCAAGAACATAAGAAAACAAGAAAGTTTTATATAGCCATATAGCTTCAATAACATATAATTAGTACTATTTGCTGTAGTACGACTCCTGAATTGGCAAAATTGTAATTATATCACGGCTTTGTGTATCTGTATATCAGTCCAGACTATGCATTTTCTACTACTCCATTTAGCATTTACTGTTGTATAATAAAGTGCAGTACTGCGCCGATGTTTTAGCGCCACTTTTAGTACCGTATAAAAAACATGAATGTGGTGCGAAAGTAACCTTCTGATGTTTTCGCATTCGCTTACACAAAAGATTTAGGCAGAAAGATTACATCAAGTGCATCGGCTCAAAAAAGTCTTGATTGATATTAGTCTCTATTACGAAAAAGAGCGGTCAGGATGTCTTCATCGACATTGTTTAAAAGACTGTGACGGCGTCAAAGAACACGGAACGGAGGCATATAAGTCGTCCACGTGTGTTCCTGGACAGTTCTTCTGGTTGCCTTTGTAAAAGCCTATGTTTAATCATTACATGTTTTCTTCTCAGCTGTTCCCGCTGATGTGAATTGGTGTTTAGAAATCGGTTCGATAGTTGATTGAGGAGATGATCCGACGATTTAAGAGGGACGCCAAACTCGTTGATGAATATGCTTTCCATAATCTTTATCAGCAAAAAAAAAACTTTTCGAGAGGCTCCATTTAAATTAGTGGCTGTTCCGATGTATATTACGCGTTTCTTTTTTTTTCATTTTCACGGTGCCTCTCTTTGCCTCACTCCCGACCATGTGGCTTTTTTTCAGGTCGACTGGGTTGCAACTCTCTAGAACCTTCTAAACAACGTTGTCAGAACAAGTGTTGGTTGTGGGATAAAGTAGCGACGTGCAGTATATGAGGATGGTGTGGCCGATGACATTACTAAGAATCGGCCTTTTGTAATTTCACAATCTGCGCATCCAGCATTAGACGAGACTGTATATCTTTTTTCTTTTACCAATCCTCAAATATTTTGACGCGAAAAAATCGGTAACGTATTTACCCGCTGGGATTAATTTTTGATTCGGGATTGTAAAGTACACGGGTATAAAGCTCGACTGATTTCGCGTCAAGGAGATGTTCATTCTTCTCATTGCATCCATTCCTTTTCATTCATCCATCCATCCATCCATCCACGCATCCATCCGGTAACATCAAACAGTAAGTTATCTTTTACTGAATCATATCAATTATGTATTACTCTCGTGGTAGTGTAAAAGATGATTGCTATAAAATGGGAATCTCTCTGAAGAGGAATGATAGAGAACACTATAGTCAAATCTATACTGAAAGCTCCATTTCTTGGGTTGATCATTTTTTGGCTTCCAAGTCCAAGTAAAAAGAAGACTCACCTTTCTTTCATCAGTTCATTTTTCTTTGTAGCATCTATACCATCATCCAAGATATCCGCAAGTAAATAAACTATTTTGTACAGGGTATGTATTTCTTAAGATTGCTTTCTCCAATTGCTTCTCCGTGATGTAATATTTGTGGGATGTTTGGATATTTCACATGATGATATAAGTTGTCATGCACCTCGCATAAAGGATAAAGCGTTATCTTGATGAGAAACCAAACCTTCAGTCTTCAAACTGAGAAATATCCATTCCTCCCACTTTTGTCGCGGTAGAAGCAATTGTTGACATCTGTTCAGCTACTTTTTACTGACTCGCATTTGTTTACAGTTTGTTTTTTAGGTAATGTTAGTATTACCACTTAGAATTAGCTGTGCTGAGCAAAAAGTTTTTATAAATAAAGAATAAAATATCATAAAAAAAGCACGTATTGTTTGTTGGTCCTTTCTGTATGAAATTTCGGTTTGTTTATTTGAAACTATTGCTACGACTGCTGTCAAAAGAGATTGTGACATGGGGTAAACAAAAACAGGTAACGCACGTTTTTCTTTCGACAATATGGCGCGGTTGCGCGTTACATACCGCGAAATTTGAAATGTAACCTCCTGCAGGTATATCAGACATCACAAGTCCAATACATTACTCATTTCGCAGAGTATCACGTTTTCATTTAAAAATGGTAATCCATTATCTATGTACTATGTTACATCAACAAGTTAGAGATCACCTAATGCTCCTTCCATTCAAGTTGCTATATGTCTCGCTGCATTCAGCCAAGTAAAACACCATGCAAAATATTCAAAAATGTGTACACAATGAGTCCTTTATTCGTCTAATAATGGCCCAAAAGGTTCTAAAGGCGCCGCTGTTGTCCGTTCAGCGGCACGAAGCTTTGCCGACCGACTACGAGAATTATCTACCATCTCTTCCTTCGAAGCCTGCACCACACCCTTTGTACAAAGCTTAAATGAAGGCTCCCCCAACTCTTCTGCTTGATATTCTTCTTCCATGTCGCGTGCTGCCTCGCCATATTTTCGTCTCTGTCTATTAACAGCACGCTTAATACTGAACTGGTTCACGGCTGCGTCTTTTGCGGATCGACGTCCGGCACAGTGATTCATGAACGTTTTTACAATTCTATCTTCAAGTGAATGAAATGTCACGGCCACCAGTCGACCCTTGGGTTGTAACAAGTATTCGCTAGCGCGTAATCCCGCCTTTAGCTCTCCCAGCTAGTGGTAATGGATAAAGAAACACAACTTTAATAACGGCGTGCTTTTGTTCTCCCTCTCTCAAATTACCTCATCGTTGACATATATACGGATGGCCTGGAATGTCCGTGCCGCTGAATTGCGAACCATATCATCATCACCACGTTGCCATCGTGGTTGCGGACATGCTTTTTGGATGACAGCAGCAAGTTCAGATGTTGTCTGAAATGGTTCCTTTTGTCGGGCTGTCACAATTGCTGTTGCAATCTTTCTCGACAGGCGATCACCTCCATACTAATAAAAGAATCAAGAGTTATGTACATATATTTCTCTCGCTCTATGTCTACTAGATATGTAAAATATTATGTGCATGATTGTACCTGATAGATAATATCGGCTAATTGTTCCCGAGAGTAAAAGTTTACAACTTCATATGCAGAAATCGATCTAGCAAGAAGCGCGGTTTCTTCTTGCTTCTTTGGCTCCATGCCCTGTCCACGTGAGAACATTCGCATGTCCAAAGGTCCGTCCAGTTTATATGAGAATCCTCTTGATGCTGTTTCTAACTGTCGATTATGTTCAGTTATGTGGATAAAGACATACATAGAATACACTGGGGAGAACGACTTTTTTTATGTACCTGTCCGCTCGACACCCCGATATCCATCACCATGCCATCGAATTTAGGCACGTTAAGATCGCATACTAACTTGGTGACTTGCCCAAAGCGACCAAGTAATGGAAAAAGCCGGCCTCTGTACACCATTTTATTCCGTTAGTAACTGCTGTCATATCTTATGTTTCACAGATGCACACACTTACCTGTATGCGTCCAAGTCAGCCAGTTGCAGCGCCTTTTCATAAGCAGTAGGATCCTGATCAATGGCGTATACTTTACAATCGCAGCTGTCTGTATAGTTGATGATTCAAAGAAGAATAATATTTGTTAGTTGGCAATTCATTTCAAAATGAAATAAAACTTCTATAATAAAGAAGAGCAGCGCAGAATTACCAAGTAATGCTTTGGTATATCCTCCATCACCGAACGTTAGATCGCAATATATTCCACCCGAACGTGGCGCCATGTGGTCTAATACTTGTTGAAGCATGACCGGCTTATGAATGGCTGTGTATGGCACTTCAGTCGAGTTCCATCGTTGTTGTTGCAAATTTCCAACACGCCTTAAACATGCTTTTGCATTTAGAGATCGCACGAACGATACGGAAAACATTTTTCTTTTTGACACGTTATGCTGAGCTTGATCATATTTAGGCCAAGTTGGTTATAAACGCAAAATCGCCCATACACATTATCGAGACAGCGTGATTTTTATACCACTACGGTCATTACAAAAGAACTTTGAAATTATTTTATACACACTTAGAACGGTTTGATTCTTGAAGATTACTACATATCGCGATAATTCTATGCCGGACAGCGGATAGGCCTACAATCGTTTGATTTACCTAAATGAAGTGACATTGCCCTGTCTCCTTGTCACCTCAGGACAGATACCGTCATGATCGAATCAGGTAATACATACAAAATCTCGTCTGCTATGTAGTATATACTTTTTGGCAGCTACTGTAAGGTTATGCTTGCGATAGAACAGGCATGCAGTAAATGTAACTTTTAAAATTATGTAAGTTTTGCCAAATACTTTTTCAGTTTATATACTCTTGGAAATGATGTTTTAGTAGCGGTGTAGAGCTACTTGCTATTTAGAGCCATTGAGGTAGTAGTACTATTGCGAGCAGAAAGAGAAAGAGTGGAAGCTAAATAAAAATGGTGAACAAAAAGAAAAAAAAGTTGCAGTTGTAGGGCTGGAGGGCAATTGGGTGGAGAAATTAAAAAAGGAGAAGGAAGATGAGATGGATAAGTAGCGTAAGAGTAAGGGGGCCCCTTCTATGATGCTAATAGTAATGTGTGTGTGTGTGTGTGTGTGTGTCTTTTTTTGGACTATTTTTTTTTGTTCTGTTGTCGTAAAGAATACTCTACATGAGAGGCTTTTTGGCCACGGTGTTGACAGAGCACCTAAAGCAAAACTGTTATAATGGATACATAAAAAGAGAATAGAATCACAGCGAGGAAGAGGTGTATCTACTTACATCCATATGCGTGTCTTGTAAATCTTGAATAGGTCACGGACCAACTCTCGGAAATCGACGCGGCGCTCGGCCACAAAGTAAAATGTCAACTTACGACGATCCCTATTGTTGCACAACGTTTAGTCGGTTTCTTTAACATTTTCCATTGTTCCCCCTATATCTCACCATTGGTACTCTGCATCCACGATATCCATCATGAGTTTCTTTTGCTTGCTCTTGGTCTGGCAAATGAGTAATGCCTTTTGCTCGTCCTGTCGCTTAGTTACCAACAAGGTGATCTCGGCCGTGGTTGCTAAGCGACAGATACGTTTGGGTGACGGTGTGGTTGTGGGTGTAGCAGGTGGCGTTGAGGAAGAAGAGTTCCCTGTTCCTGCTGAAGTAGTGCCCGAGGATCGGGATGCGGTTGGTACAGCTCCTGCTCCTGCTGTTGGTTCTTCCCACATGGCGGATTGGTGATGGTTGTGGTGCGTTGATTGTAGTAGCAGTGCAACCTGGTCAGCTGGTAAATCTTTGGCCACAACTTTACCCAAATCACGGCCACGGTCCGCCTCAACAATAACCCAATCGTCTTTTTCAACAGGGATTGTGCTGTAGTAGATCTCAGAGCGACCAGCCTTAAACTCGACCATTGACCATGCCATGGCTGCTGCTGGTAGATTATGTTGCTGATGTTGTTGTTCTATAGCAGATTCGAGTAGTAGATCGGACGATAACAGATTACTAGGTAAGTACTTGTCTAATTCACGTTGTTGCTGCCGTTGTTCATCAAGGTAACTTGCTGATGACATGGTGCTGCGTGGTGTTGCGACGCCCAGTAATGGACCAGCAAGTGAGTGACGACGGTATGGCATAAAACCAGGCTCTTCAGGCACGCTATAGCATAAAGTATTAGTAATAGTAACGAGGGGGGGCGACTATCAGATATGAACGACCTTCCATCAACCGTCGTGGTAAAGGATTAAGGGGGGGCTCTTCTTACCTGGATAACATATCGCGAGGATTAAAGTGCTCCTGAACTGTATCTTCATTGGTGGTGGGTAAAGGCGACAATGAAAGTCGTCGACCAGCTCGTAGAGGTAGTGGCTGTTGCTGTTGCTGTTGCTGCTGCTGATCGCGGTCGCCAAGTGCAAAGCGAGGCAAGTGCTGGGTGTATGATGACGGAAATAGGGATTGGGAGGAGGTTGACGAGGAGGCAGTGGGAGAAGGGGAGTAATTGTTGGTTGACGAGGAGGAGTTTACTTTGTTCCCGGCTAGACTGTATTCCCATAAACGAGATTGTTGTTGTTGTTGTTGTTGCTGTTGTTGCTGGTGGGCATTAGGCATTGACTTTAGTTTCGTATTGCTACTCCATATGTTCATACCAAATCGATCCGTAGTGGCTTGTTGAGATGGAGAGGTTGCTTGTGCTGCTGCTGCTGCCGCTGCAGCGGCATTATTATTTGACTTTGTCATCATCCACGGTGCTGCTGCCTGCTGCTGACCTCCAGCCATAAACGACGATGGAGAAGCTGCCGAGAACGAAGCTCTTTTTTCAGCTGGTACGGGTAACGTTGGGAAAAAGGATGACTTGCGCTGCTGGATAAGGGGCTCGTGGGCGAGTGAATGTCTTCGGTAGGGCAGCATTGATTCCATCTGCTGCTGTTGTTGCTGAGATGAATTCATCATCCGCTCACGCTCCATTAAGAAATCTCCTTGCCGCTCATCATGCTGCTGCTGCTCCTTGTCTTCCTTGTTGAACATGGATGACATGCTGGATGGATTGTTACTGGTGGTTGGTACACCTGCCGTATCTGCCGCTACTGGATCGAAAAACTCGTCATCGAGTGGTCCACCGAGCCAATAAGGCGTATCACCGCTTGACGGCTGTTGATCTTGCTCGTTCAGAGACTCATAGCCGGGCGGTGAGCACGACGATGCCGGTTGATGTTGCTGGTATGAGGACGTAGTAGTGGTCGTTGACTCCATCGGGGAAGATGATGCAGGTGGGAAACGAAATGAGGACTGTTGTGTGTGTCGTGCGGCATGAAAAGAAGAACGAGAAGAGCATGTTTATGGTTATGAAACGCAGAACTCTTGCAGCGTGTTGTGCATATTTGTAGTCGGTGGATAGCATACCTGATTATCCCAAGGGTTGACGAATGCGGGCGGTTGCTGCTTAGAAGGAAGAGAAAGAAAAAGAAAAAATAAGAGATTCTGTTTAGTGACTATAGAAGAGCATCTCATCAATGGTTCGTGCGCAATCTGTCGTTTTTTCTCACCTGCTCCAACATGACTGTGTGAGTTTGTGTGCCTGTTTATCTGCAGTGGTGTGAGCGTGCTGTTGTACTGATGACAATAATGAAAGACAGAAGAGGAAGAAAAGCAAAGTGGAAAAAGCAAAAGCAAAAGAAAGGAAGAAGGAAGGTATATTTAAGCTTTCCAAAGCTTACACTGCGTGTTCTGCTAGATATATGCGAATGCGGTTTAAGTGGTGCACGTATCGTTTGTATGCGGGTATGGGTGTGTGAATATATCAACAAGCGGGCAAACAAAAAGGAAAGGTCCCACCGCACAGTAACAACTAATTTTCCAGGAAAAGGAGAAAACACAAATCAAGTGACTTTTTCTCTTTTGCTCGCTACTGTTGTTGTTGTTGTTGCTGCTGCTGCTGCTGCTTTTAAGAGAAGAGGATGAAAGAGAAAGGGAGAGAAAGTCTATGACGGCGACAGAGCACTTTTATATCCACGCCGGCACTGGCTCCACAATAATGTAAGCACCGTAGTAGAAGTACCCCAAGTTCTTTTACTATTTTGGCTTCTGCATATCGGCTGCCCTTGCGTCAAATAAGATCATTAAGCATTATTTCTTTTTGTGTGTCTCTTGAAGCGAGAAAAGAGGAGTGAAGGTTGGGTAGGTGGGGGAGGTACAGGAAGAGGAGTGGCAGGAGGAGCGTATGAGGGGAAGCAGTGCTAGCAGTCAAGAATTCAGCAGCTATGATACGTGAGGATGGATGGATGGATGGATGGATGGATGATGATCTGGGAAACATGTGCTTTGAAGAACAAGAGTGTGCAGTTTCCTTTTTGGTGCTTCTTGCTTCAGGTGTGTTTCCCTTCTTTCATCTACGTTCACTTACACTCTCTCTTTCTATGGTATACAGCCGGTAGTAATAGTAGTAGCAGCGTTAGCAGCAACAGTACCTGATTTCCCTTTTCATAATTCCCCCTTCTTTTGAAGCATTTCAATTACTCTTCTCACTCCAAAAACATACAGGCGTTTGCAAGCGAACAAGGAGGCTGCGGCCGTGGTGGCATATTATTTGCTGCATAACAATACTACGTATGGCTCTCTACTCGCTTTTTGTGACCTTGTCCCGTTTCGAACGGGTTTACTTTATCCGCGGTCTGTGCTGCTAATTCTCCCCCAGCGTCAAAGGGGGCTTGGGGGTGGATTCATGCACATTTCGTGCTTCAAACTCACCTATGCGTACCGTCGCTCTTCGTTTAGAAGGATCATATCCCCCAGGAAGAAGATGAACAGGGCGTCTTTGTGTACAATGCGAGGTACATACAAAAAGAAAAAAGAAATTTTATGTTCTTTTTTTTCCATCCTTCCCTTAAAAACCCCCACACTTCGTTATTCAGCCCCATTGATTTTTTTGTATAAGACTTCTGTTGCCGTGAGAACAATGACCAAAAACGCCAAGGAAATGTGTATTTATACACCCTTTATCATGTCAGCAACAATAAGAATCACATCTCTTTATTATGCTCCTTCCTGTATATATTCTCTCAAGGGCTATAATGATAATCCTTGATGTTTTACGGATGAGTTTGCTATGAGGGGAAAAGAGGAGCAGGGGGAGCATATTCTTCTTTCAGTGATCCTGATCTTGTGTGTCTCTCTCGGTCCTTTCCCCTTAACAGGTGAAGCTGCTATTATTACATTGTTCTTATTGCTGGCAGTACTGTAGCAGTGCTTATATGGCTATGTGATACCATATGTGAACCATTAATTTTTCTCAGGCTATTGGTGGCACATACGCTATTTGCATTACATCGTTACACATGTTACTATTCTTCGATCAAAGCTGATGAGGAACCAATAGATGTGGTCTATTTAACTTTTTCTTCTTCTAGATATGGAAGTCGATAGATGATTTACCCAACAACAACGAGCAATGCATAACGATACAATAAATTCTGCTATTGTTGGTTACGAGATCACATCATCAGCGATATGATATTTAAAGCGGTAGCAACCAGATAATATCACCAAAAGCAACAGTCTAGAGGCGACATTGTGCTGTTGTACGTTTAATGATGTCAAAACAACACAATACTCGTTTTAAAAAATATATATACAACATATCAACATAACTATATATGTTCTATTGCCATCATCTCAAATAATCAAACAGGTTTTTTGCAGCTTTTCTATTATCTCACAGTGAGATCGACACAACGTGCTGTTCCAATAATAATTAAGTCTTAAAGTGAAAAGGAAGGGTTAAAGAGATAGATAAATATATAGGTGCTCATTTCCGTTGTTTTTATATGACCTGAATCGCACATACTTGCCTGTTCTACTTAATTAGCAGCAGCAAGACGGTTTTGTCAATTTACAGTGATACAAATATGTACTATTCTCCTGTTTTTCTGCACTGCTCTACAGAAAAGCTGACATAAGCGCACCGCCGCATCAATCATTCAAAGTGATGTTACTGCGTGCTGCAAATACTGCGCCTCCCTATAAATGCTATCATTAATCCCGCATAATACACGATGGTGTACTAGAATCGGTTATAAGAAAAATTCATTAAATTTGACCGGAAATTGTTCTTGCATGTTCTGTGATAACCTTAGAAAAAAAAACTATTCGGTTAAGTACCCAAGCAATGATGAAAGCTCAAAAGATTTATGAAATACGTTCAAATTTGGTCTTTAAAAATATATATAAAGTGTTTAAAAGGAGCATATAAGCAAAGTATTCGAAAATCATTCAGTATAGCTGCAAAATGGATAGGTATCAATGTATTTTTTTCTGAACACTTTTTCTAGGTGTAAAAATTACCTGGAAACTTCTCACTTGTGACGTTTTTGTCAATAACAGCGGCTTATATAACAGTAAGAGTATATATAATAGAAACGATGATGCTACTTCGATAATGATGATGTTGACCATATAGTATGTAACAGTAAAGAAAGTAGAACGGGGATAAGGGAAATAGGTGGTGCTCGATTCATAGAATTCGGTCATACTATTACGTTAGCACAGAGAATTCTTTTTTATGTATTGATAAAATTTCTGATGTTGTGAAGGTATGTAGAGGAGAGGCCAATACGTGGCACTGCTGCTGTCCTTAGTGGTAATAATGGCATATACGAAAACAAAGTTCATAAGTGATAGTTAAACTTTATAAACTTTTGCTCTCTGCATTTCCATTTTCTAAGCTATACTGTATCGACATGGTTCAACACGATCGACTGTTACTTGCGTCGAGAAACACGAGTGTGTTGTCCTCCCAGGTTAATGAATGCTTTGTTGAGCGGAATTGACGCGTCACGTATAATGTACCAGTTGAAATATCAAAGTGGATAAGCAAACACAAGATGAACATTGTATTGACTTCAAGGAGCAAAAGATGCATAAGTGGTCTTTGTGTACTTTTACCATTATGCAACTGAGTTGGAAATTAACAATGAAATGGATCAGCGTCACTGCCTCCTTCTGACAGCGAGCCGCACAAACATTTACAAGTTGTCGAATCCCCTATCGCCTCTGTACGTTATTTTTTGGCGATACTAAAGATTGTACCAGGACTCAAGCGGATTGCGTTAAGCCTTGATGATATAAAAATTTTTGTTGCGACGTTTCTGGTATTACTTCAGCAACTGGTTCTATCGCTCACCAGAAGAGCAAAGCTTCTAGAGTTCTTGACTCCTTTTCAACAGCAACCAACGACGACGAACAATGTTCAACAATCACCCGCTGCGCTTAAAATCACTGTTCTGTACAGTGCCAGTTAAAAATAGCTTACATGCGACAATTACTGCATTGTCACTAAATAGCGCTGGAAACATTGAACCTCGTTGGTGGAGGTGCTCTACGACAATAAATAATACAATACTTGTCGTCAGCAACTCTCTTGTTACCTCACTTGGAACACCTCACACTTGAAGAACTCTTATTCAATAGCTTCTCAGAAATACTTTGCCATCTAATCACGCTTACGATGTCAAGTTAGACATACCTTTGCCTCAACGGTATGTCAAATTTGTGGCACTAAAGACGATAAGCTTCTCTTGTTTACATACCAACTTAAGACTTAAAGCAAATGTAGTTGAATCATTTATCGTCTAGATCACGATTAATCGCACTGACCATAGCAATTAGCGAGAAGTTACCTTCAATAACACAGAAGGTATGTGTCTATAGTTGCTCATTATAATTGCTCCATCATTATATCAGTGGGCAGTAGTAGGCAAGCTCACAGTTTATAATGACGACACACATAGGACGTATCGACGCTATTGAGCGATTCCTGGATGACATACTACAGAGGGATAAGCGTATGATGACACTTTTGTTACTCTCGTCAATAACGAGCAAGAAAGAAGCGAACGAGTCTTCGAGAGCGACAAGGTACTGCTTTTTTGAGCAAACTGAACTCAATTGCAATACAATTTTACGGTAACTCTAGACCTTATGGCTAAAAGAAGTTTGAAAATAATAATAGATGAATAGTGCTAAATTACGCGTTGTACTTCATTGTATACCCTGATAAACAACACGAAGAAAAAATGCATACATGTTATTTGCTTTTAAGCTGTTGCAACGCCCCTTTTAACGCGAGGTTTGCTTTTAACGGCAGTTAATCAACGAATGTACATTGTTTGTTTTACGAGCACAATTACTCTATGATACTTCAGATCAACTTTTAGAGTAAGTGCCTAGTCAAAGAAATAGTAGCACTGAAAATATCGACTCTTTTAAAGCAAGAAAAGTGGTAGTACTATTATTCATATCTTGACGGTCTTCAAATCGTCTACTTTTTAAAAACTGCAGCATCAGGAGTTGAGCGTACCGCCGGTGTTCCAGCATCACGTAATCCCAGACGTGTTTCGGAAGTATACAATCTATTATATAGCTCCAAAAACTAGTAATTGCTATTGTATATGTATATGATTTTTCTTGCTAAATATGTAATAATTCTCATTTTATAATATACGTTGGGTATAAACACAGAAAGAAAAGATGGGTAAAGAAGATATGCACATGTTCTCAGGGAACTTTACACATGCTTCGGTTGTATGACTATTGCTGGTGTTAAGTGCCAACGTACTACGTATGTATACAATAAGTATCGATGCCTTCATGTTTCACTGTTTTCACTTTGACATCGTCTTCATACTGATACTGTCACCCATTATATGATATTTAAGCATACTCAGGCCCATTTGTTTGATGTAAAACATTAGACACGACCACACATACTTCTTCCACTCGGATTGCTCTTCCGGCATGAACGAACTACATATCTTTCCTTGAATATCGACATCAAACATCAGAAGACAAACAGGAACGATTCTAAAACTAAATTCTTCGGACGGTGATCTGTGGTTTACTGCTTGTATATATTTGGAAATGCATTGTCTGGTAGGTGTATAAAGGTACTCCCGTTCTCACGTGTATACAGCATCTTTTTGTATGTATACAACCATGTCTGTTTTTTCTTCGTTTCTTATCCTTTCTGCTTATCTAAAGAATTATCTCGTCTTCTCAATGTGAACATGCAACCTGTCTAATTCTTGATGAGCCACGATAAGTATGTTCCCTGTTCTGCATGCGGTAGATACCCTTGCAAGGATGAAAAGTGAGCGCAATAGATATTAAATTGATAATTACAGCAAGCAAGACTGTATAGTGCTACTGTAAATCAATGCCGCTTTTAATCGTTAAAGCTTCTTTATCAGGTTGAAAAACATTAAATTAGAACCGTGTAGATATAGTATTTCAATTGCGATCTCATTTTTGAGGATTTATGGTTATGGTGCTGTCATGTATCATCAATGTTGGTTAATCCGTGTGTGTGGTGCTCGTTTTACTGCTTATGAACACAGCGGAGTGTATTAGGTTGTCCGGATCAATCTCAAAGTAGTGTAGTTTTTCACAGCATTATCTCGCACAGCCCAAGTTGCGCTATTATGGTGCATTCGCCTTATAACCGTCAAAACTTTATGTTGTTTCAATTTGATTCTTAAATAGCGATAGAAAAAACGGCGTGTACCCTGAAATTGGGACATCGGCGCACGACCTGGCCGCTACCCAGAAACACACCAATGGATATCGACATTTGCAGCTGTCCGGTGCAGACTTTGACCCTGAACCCGATCCACGGCTGGTCCATGATCAGTTTATTACCACCAACACAACTAGATAGCTAGCGCCTCTACACTCTTATCTTCTCTCCTCCGATTACCCTTGCCTCGACAAACTTTGTATATATTTCTCTTCTTTATTTATTTGTTATGTAATATCTCGGTCTCTTGTACCCTCGCTTCCTCTTCCATTAAAATCAGTCGGGCTTTTCTTCCCCTGAGGGTTTTCCCGGTCTTTATTTTTCGTATTTTATCCTGCCTTATATCATTCTATACAGTATTCATATTACCATCGAAAAACAATGGCCGCCAGATTGCCTGAAGGATGTTGCCACTAATATTTTTCTCACCGATGATGAAATGAAAAAACTGTTTGATATGATGGGATAAATGCTCGATCACGAATCAGCTATGATAATATGTTCGATATTATACTGTCTGGTTCTTTTATATAATGTCAGTAATTAAACATTCATTCGTATCATACATGATAAATTCCCTAATCGTCCTGTCCTGATGTTCTTAGTCGTACCCTTCGCCTTTCCCATTATATGATATCGTGCGTTTTATAGAAAATAGAAGTCTATTTTAATGAGGTGGTCGTTGTTATTTTTTCTTAGTGTGATTGATGCTCTTGTTGTTCTGAAGTAACCAGGTCTAATTATAAAATACAAGATGAAACTTACAATACTATTTCATTCCGGTCCCTCTTTTTTTTTTAACGAAGTATACTACATATTACTATGCTGTTAGTCACTACCGGTCAACGTTAAACGCGCGAACGACAGCGTTCTGTGACCGAATATGCGAGTTCGATGTATGTGTCCGTTCTGTTTATTGATTGTTTTATAGGGGACAACAAGTGCAGCGCATATTTTGGATCTATGCAGTAGTACAGCAAAAGAGGAGAGAAAGTCAATTAAAACCCTTGATAACGGAGATCAAAGGACTATACACTTCTTCATGTATATATATATATATATATATATATATATACATGCGCATCATAAAAATGATAGCTATCATCCACTGAAGCAAGTCAGAATGCCGTTGACAGCTTTTTGGCCATCGGCTTCATTGAAACAGTGCAACTGAAGACAAAGCTTTCAATTGATTTGCAAATTTTGCTCTCGGAACTCGGTGTAACAATCAATGAGGATCTGGTCATGGTGGCTCCTCGCCGAAAGAGTCAGGAAAATGCAGAGGTAGGGGGAAAAACAAGGCTTAGTATTAATATCCATGAGCAAGAGCAGAGGGGACATATGTCGTATTTGCTTATATTTTGGGCCGATTGGAGATATTGCATCATTATGCCACAACCTTTAAAAACACCGGTTTGGCACGACAGCACAATTAGAGGCGTATCAAAGCAGTAATGAGCAAGCGTTTGACAAGTGCTAAAACCGGATCCGTACGATCTTGCGTTCTGGCGGAAAGAGCTATGCAAGCATGCATGGTATGGATCTCAGCAAAGATGAGGATCAAATGATCCAGCTGTTTTGTGCTTGGCACATCTCACGCTCGGATTATAGTCAGTCGATGTTTTCCTGGACAAGCCTCGACAATTTGTTGGGTTTTCAGCACCGAATTTGACGTATGTAGGCTTCACAAGGGAGATACGGCGCCCAGAAATTGGTTTACAGACGCTGAGCTACTATTGGCATTTATAGACACGAAACGCTTGGATGAACTGGATTAAATGGATGCTTTAGGATGTCTTGGTATTGATTGCTAAAGTTCTACGATGAGCATCTAATTTATAGCTGGTGATTCTGACTGCCGCACTAATAGCAAAAGTTACCAACAAAAATGCCTTGTGCCCCGAGTTTGCTAATGGAACTTGCTATGTGATCCAAACCGTTGCTGATCGCCAAAGTGACTATTCAATATTACGGTTGCATAAACGAGATCGAGAAATTGTGGATATTATGCGACATGCGGATATAAAGTTGATGTGCTGCTGTCCGAGTTAAATGTGGAGTCATCAGCAAAAGATAGCGCCGCAGGCAAAGATTTTCTGAACAAGTTTGGATGTCGTAGGAAAAGAAGCAATGTAAGTTTGTTGTTCTAGGACGCAAATCTGATGACAATGTCACTAAACGTAGCTTGAAAGCAGTTTTGAAGACCAACGCCTTAGAAACATAATGATCAATGAATATCGGAATAGCTACTTTGCCATGTTAACATGTACTCATTCGAGCAAACAATAAAATGGAAACACTATGATTAGTTATATTAAATCCCTGTTTCATGTGACATACATATCTTGGATGATTGTGTATAACGTTGACACTTCTTTTCGTGTGTTCGATCGTTTTTGTATTCTGTTAGTAAGGCTGGACCCGAGTGGAGAAACAACAAATACCGGTTTAAAATGCTGCTTAGATAATATCTTTGTGAAAGAAATTAATTGTCATAGTATTTTAAGCATTTCACTGACTGATGAGGAGTACACTAATGTGGGGAATGTTTAACTGCAGGTTTAATAAAGATTCCAGTTGTATATGCAAAGCATTGTGTATACTAGCGTTGCAACATTGCATTGGGCGTGCATGCGTTTATGTTGACGTGAATTGCGTAACACATTATGCGGGGGCCCGGTACGTTTTCTCCACACATGTACACACACGAAGACAACAAGCAAGCAAATAAATAAACATAGATTGTATGTTCCATTTGATATATAGAAGATGATCTAAGTAGAGCTAGAAGAAGGGAAATGGAAGCTTCGTTTTCCATAATAAAAAGCATAAGAAAAGGAAGAGTTGGGAGATTGATAATGCATGTGTGGTAGAGAAGACTATAGGGAAAGCTGTAAGAAAAGAAAAAATCCATAAGAAAAAGATTTCATTGGTTCGCCCAATTTTTTTTTTTTCATTCGTTTCGTTGTCGTCGTGGTTCTGTTATCACTTTGATTTTCGTTTCTCTTTTTTCTTGAAGCGTGTTGGTGGGGATGGCATCGTCATATCCTGATGATGTGATTCGTCGGCGGTCTTTCCAGAACCTTCCTCCACAGCAACTTCTTGTTGGTGTTGCTGCGCAACCGCCTTGGCTTCATTGGTTGTGATAGTTTGAGGATCCTTGTCGAGTCAATATACTGGCAGACTTGCAAATGGCATCGCCATCGGATAGTCTAAAAGATGTGTGAGGTCACGCGGGGACAGCAACAGTCAGTATATATGGCAAGTCGTGATAAGGAATAAATTTACCCTGTGCTGCCATAGTGCAACCAGGAGCGGCATGAGATTGATGCAAGGCCGCGGCAGGTCCTTTGTGGTTGTTGGCATGGCCGCGTTTGCCCTTTTTCTTCCCGTTTGACTTTTTGCTGTTCTTTCGCTTGTTGTTGCCAGCTGCTGTCGACAAAGTTTCTTGTTCATTAGGGGCAATCTTTTTCAAACAGCTCTTGAGCACCAAATGCTCGTCTTCGTCTGAGGATGAGGATGACGATGAAGATGCGGAGTGATACTGTTGCTGGATTTCCGCAACGATAAGTTCACAGAGCATATCTTGATTGAACTGCTTGCGCTCCCATTCCTCGCGTCCTCGTCGACTAGCTTCTTGACGACACTGGTCCAGTGAAGGAAGGATATGTACCACGTTATGGTCCAAGTCAAAGCTCACTCGTCGTTGCTAGTATTAAATATTTTTAAAAAGTGTGAGTTGACATGATATCTTTTTTGTTGGAAGAAAAACGACAGAAAGAGAAAAGTATTTACGTTTGGTTGTTGCTGTTGTTGCTGTTGGCAGTTTTGGACAGTTTGAGATGGTTGAGTGTAAGATGAGCGACGTGCCATTCTGAGCGTTGAGTACGAAAGAAGAAGAAAAAAGTAGAAAGAGATAAAAGTGGCGAGCTTATCCCCCAGCATGGGGGGCAATTGATTACCTTCCACTTTCTGAGTCACCCAAGCTCACTCCATTGGCTGGACTCGAATGACCAGCCGAAAAAGGTATTGACTGGTTCTGGTTGGATGGGTTTCGACGTGGACCTTTCCTTTTGTTTCCTCGCACTTCTTTCGTATGTATTCATTTCAGACTGCTTTATCACACACACACACACACACACACGTTTGCTGATGAAGCCGTTGCTCTGATAGTTTTTCATGATATATGTCATAAACATAAGGGTTGTTCCTTATCACTTTGCTATCCGATAAAATATTAGCATGAACTTGAGGGAGAGGCCCGGAATATAAAACGGCGCACTTTAATTTTCTTGCCAAGGCCACGTTCTTTTCGGCAAACGAAAGAATCTACTTACGAGTTATTTATTTTTAAGCATTATGCGCGTCTGTGCCGCGTTATCCTCATACGCATAAAAGCTGTAGCAAGACAAACAAGATTATTTCGCTATATTACCTGCTAAATGAGTTATAAAATGGTCCTTTTCAATGGATACGATAGAGCGACCAACAAAGCAACGCAAATTCCAAGCTGATGTTTTCTACCGGACGAGGTTACCTTAGCAACCATATTTTAGGCTAGTGGTGTTTACCAAGTAACCATGTTTCAAGCTGTAATATATGTTCTATAGCAACGGGTGGATATTGCTTAGCAACATGTTCAAGTCAAAATTTCTTTAGCAGACATAAATAAGCTAGTGTAAATTTTTCCAGAACAACGGACGTTTTCTTGTCTTCGGCTGGTTCGCATCGTTTTTATGATACTAGTATGATGTTCAGAAGAAACAATCAAAAAACTCGAGCTTCATTCTAATTTTCATCATGCGCCAAGTTAAAATCCCCCATCAGCCAAATGGAAATTCGTGTCACGCCAAGTTGAAAAGCAAAATGCGCCAACCATTAAAAATCATGTATACTACAAATTGCTCGATATGGACATGCATCGATTTTTTGACCGTTTCTCCGTCTTCATACACACGCACACGCACATGACGCAATAGGAAGATCGGGATGTCCAAAATTTACCAAACGTGCGTTTAAACAGTCTAATATTTGTTTATATTTACTTTGGCGCACTCTTTTTCTTGTGCATAAGGCATGCGCATCGTTCTATTTTTTACATTGCTGCTCACGTACATCATACGCGCACGTTTCAATGAATATCGACCGAGATCCTCACCATTAACATGCAAGCGCCTCAAATCTACATGCTTTTCTGGCATAACGGCCATGAGCATGGTACATGTGGCATTGCCTGCGTTGTTATTCGAGCAGTCGTGGTGTACAAGCGTATATACACCCTTATTCTACCTGGTGCATGTTGTACGGATTCTGCTGCTATGATTTGTCGATCAGTTTTCTTTCCCTCCTAAAAACCACGTCCATGTGACCCATAGAAAATCCCTGTACATAAGTTTTCCGTCTTTGGAATAGGGTCGTCATAACAACATTGGTCCCCACTACAAGGAGGGTACTAACGAGAAAAGAACCAAAAGCTCGGTCATACAAGTAAAAAGTTCAGTCTCCCATTGCTTATAATCATGGCAAAGAAGCTCTTCCCGTGATGTTGATGATGATGATGACGACGAAGAAGCCTGGTCTTTGATATTATATTCCAAAAAGATCTACGCACGCCATGCTTATGACTAATAATAAGAAATTGATATTATGCTTGTATATTCCTTGATTCAATTAAATGCGGATCCATCTCCCTCGAGCTTATTGTCGCTGCTAATTGGTTTCACTTTTTATTGCACTGTATGATGATAAACTAGAAGAAACCCACCTGCGGTTCCCGTTCCAGTTTTGTCACAAAGGCAGCAACAACAACGTTTGTGTGTTTCTGCGTCATTTTACTAGCATATCACCAAACAACAACAAAAAATTCGCCGTATTCTCAAGTATACACGTCTCAAAAAACAGTGATACATGAAGCTTGTTTCCAGAAGGGATTCTACCAAGTGAACAACGGACAGATCAAAAGCTTCGGATGAACGTTTAGAATAATCGGTTGATTGGCTGAAACAACAGCAAGGCACCACCTTCCAAATTTTCTACAGAGCGTTTCGCTCCAGCGTACACTGTGTATTTGAGTGAGATTTTTGTTACCCCTATTTACCTCACTCACTCTCTCTTCTTGCTCTTACTCTTGTCCTCGCTCTACTTTTTCTTTGTCTCTCTCTTTCCTCTCTTTCTTTTTTTCTCTTTTTAATATTTGCCACTAAAAGAACAACTCGTCTCTAGAGCAACATTTTTCAACACGCAAAAAGAAAAAAAGTGCAATGGCAGCCGCTATTGACTCTGATTACCACCAAGACGTCGACATGGAGATTTCCGCTCCCCCACCGTCTTACGGAACCCAGATGCCATCCAAACTTAAGGCTTTGTTCGGTCACGGGATGAGCAACGACGCCGCCACTAATATTAGTACTATGACGACGCCGACAACAATAGGCCCTAACGACATGCCAGCACCACCTTCCTTTACAGTTCCTAACGACTTCACAGAACCCAAAGTTGCTCAAAAAGGGTTCAAAAGCAATTCATGGTTTTCAGCCGCTTCGTTCCACCAAAACAACAAAACTGTGCGTCGAGCCATTTCTGCACCTAATGCCAAACTTTTGAACATGACCAAGCAACAGCAACAGCAACAGCAGCAGCATAATAGTGGTAGTTTCCATAGTTTGAAACTGCAGACCGCACCCAGTATTGCGGAAAGCTCTACAACAACAAGCGCAAGTAGTAGTACCAGCAGCAGTGGTGCTTCGACCATGTCAGTGCCTGCACTGCAACGACTACGTCCCTGCCGCCGTACGTATTCGAGCAGCAGCATTAAAGTGAAGAAGGTGGAAGTGGGGCCGTCTAGCTTCACAAAGATCCGTATGCTCGGCAAAGGTGATGTCGGCAAAGTCTACATGGTGCGACAAAAAGGGTCCGATAAACTGTACGCGATGAAAGGTTAGAACAAAAAAGAGAAAAACTTTATTTGGCTTGTTTTCTGCTGTTATGATAATGATTGTTTTTTAAATGCGGCGGCTCTATGTACTAATGGCATAACGGCACCATAGTCCTTTGCAAGCGAGAAATGGTCAAACGCAACAAGATCAAACGGGCACTTGCGGAACAGGAGATTTTGTCGACGGCGAACCATCCGTTCATTGTCACACTGTACCACTCTTTCCAAAGCCAAGACTACCTGTATTTTGTGATGGAGTATTGTATGGGTGGCGAATTTTTCCGAGGTAGATACTATTCCTTGTAGTAGTAGTAGTAGTAGTAGTACTAGTACTAGTAGTAGTTGCAACGTGAACCAACAGCAACAACAACAGCAAGAGTTTGAGCTAACTTTCTTTTTGGTTTCCGGTAGCATTGCAATTACGCCCTGGCAAGTGTCTGAGTGAAGAAGGTGCCAAGTTTTACGCAGCGGAGGTCACTGCTGCACTGGAGTATCTTCATCTTCAGGGCCATATTTACCGTGATCTAAAGCCAGAAAGTATGATGTTCGCTGCTTGTTTCTGTTCCAGCTGAAAAATGATTAAGGGAGAATTTAGCTCCCTTCCCCACCACTATTACTCGTGCTAATCATGACAAGTGGCTGCTGCTGCTGCTGCTGCTATATAGATATTCTGCTTCACCAGAGCGGTCATATTATGCTGACGGACTTTGATCTGAGCAAAGGATCGCATCCTCCTGGAAAACCTTGCGTCGTGAAATCCAGTTCGCCGTATATGGTGCGTATCTCACTGAAAGAAATTATCTGCACGACTGCCGCCGCATTATCCTCACGAATCTAATTCTGCAATGTTTCTGCTAGCCACCATCTATTGATACAAGAAGCTGTGTAAGCAATCTGCGAACCAACAGTTTTGTCGGTACTGAAGGTAAAGCCAACTCACAATTCAACGAGCTTCCTGTCCGTGAGGCTGCATAAATCTTTCGGTCAAAGCAACCACAACAATGAAATTCACAATCAATCATTTTTGTTGCTGGTAGAATACATTGCCCCTGAGGTTATCAAGGGCTGCGGTCACACTAGCACGGTGGATTGGTGGACGTTGGGTATATTGATTTTTGAAATGCTGGTAAGCAACACACGCACTTTTCTCTAGGGCATGTATTCGACAGCAAAAAGCTGGACTATTATAGTGACTAATGTATGTGCATATAGTATGGCACAACCCCTTTCAAAGGCAACAACCGCAACGAAACATTTTCTCGCATTCTACACTTTCACCCGATGTTTGGAGAACAGCCAGCACCGTACAAGACGAATCTGAGCAGCAATTGCAAGAATCTTATTCATAAATTGCTGCATAAGGACGAGCATAAGCGGTTGGGATCGCGAGCAGGTGCTTCGGACGTCAAGGCGCATCCATTCTTCAAAAACATCAATTTCGCACTGCTCCGTCACAGTGTGCCTCCCATTGTGCCCCTTATGCAGAAGCCGAACGGGATTGATGCGATCAACTTTAGAAAGATGCCTCCGGAAAGCATGAGCTTGGACCTGGAGGCGGATACCGTGATGATTACCTTCAGGGACGGCAACTCCTCCGCAAACAACCCTTTTGATAAATTTAATTCGAGTAAGTGTTATTAGTAGTTATACTCGTTGTTCGTAAAACTCTAACCTTGTGTATTGTTGCTCTTGATAGTTACTGTGTACCATGATGGCGACTCAGACTCTGAATTGGACGCCCCCATTGCTTAAAGACATATCACACACGAACATACATCATACACTCACCAACTTTTATACGAAACGACGAACAAAAAGTAATTTCCATCCCACCAAAAGAAAAAGCCTCCTCCAGGTTTCTCTGAACCTTTCCACTCCTCCTTCTATACCCTTATCATAATCTCTTTTCATAATACTCTTTTGGCTTTCCCTGTGCTTCTGCGTTCTAATTGCCTTAATTCTGTGTTTGCTCTGATCTCAACAATACAACCCGCTTTTTTTTATTACTTCTTTCTACTTATTGCATAGTTTCTTTTTTAAATAGTATTATCAGTAGTCTTTATCATATACACTGCCATTCCCCCAACCCCACAAACCACATAATAAAACAAGTCCCTTAGTTTCCATGGCTTTATATAATGCAACACACGGAATCTTGTCATCTTTTGTGTATAATTAATTGTTATTTGCGAAAAAAACTATCAATTTCTAGGATGGTGGAAAGTGACAACATGTAAAAAGCAACAAAGTTGGATTTAAGAAAATGTGCGTGTAAGAAAAAGTGGGAGTTGGAGAAATTATTTTTTTCTTTTTTCATGCTTGATAATTAATTATATGAGAAATTTACACGAAGGCCTTGACGTGGTTCTCGCAAACGTCACGAAGCTTGGCCTCGAGGTCCTTGGAGAGGACACCCTGAGTGCGGATTTCGTCAAGAACAGCCTTGTGCTCAGATTGGCAGTGGCGAATAAAGTCCTTTTCCCATTCGACGACCTTGTTGACGGGAATCTTATCCAAGAAACCGTTGACACCGGCGAAGACGATGGGGACTTGGACCTCGATCGACAAGGGGGAGTATTGGGGCTGCTTCAACAATTCGGTAAGACGGGCACCACGGTTCAACAAGAACTGGGTGGAGGAATCCAAATCGGAACCGAACTGGGCGAAGGCGGCGACTTCACGGTACTGGGCCAAGAAAAGCTTGAGCGAACCAGCGACCTGCTTCATGGCCTTGGTCTGGGCAGCGGAACCGACACGCGAGACGGACAAACCGACGTTAATGGCGGGACGGATACCCTTGAAGAAGAGTTCGGCTTCCAAGAAGATCTGACCGTCAGTGATGGAAATGACGTTGGTAGGAATGTAAGCGGACACATCACCACCCTGGGTTTCACTAGATGATTGCTTGAATGTTAGTAGCCCAGATATCTTTCTCCTTATCTTCTAGTAATCATGCAAAAGATTTGTGCTTACATGATGGGCAAAGCGGTCATGGAACCATAACCGAAGCTCTTGTTCATCTTGGCGGCACGCTCCAAAAGGCGAGAGTGGAGGTAGAAGACATCACCAGGGTAAGCTTCACGACCAGGAGGACGACGAAGCAAAAGGGACATCTGACGGTAGGCAACAGCCTGCTTGGACAAATCGTCGTAGATGATCAAAGAGTGGCGACCGTTGTCACGGAACCATTCACCAAAGGCGGCACCGGAGAAAGGAGCCAAGTACTGAAGGGGAGCGGCTTCAGAGGCGGTGGCAGCAACGACGACGGTGTACTTCATGGCATCGTTCTCCTCAAGAGTGCTGACGAGCTGAGCAACAGTCGAACGCTTCTGACCAACGGCAACGTAGATACAGTAGAGCTTCTTGGCCTCATCGCTGCCGTTGTTCCAGTTCTTCTGGTTAAGGATGGCTTCCAAAGCGACGGCGGTCTTACCGGTCTGACGATCACCAATGATCAATTCACGCTGACCACGACCGATGGGAACCATGGAGTCGACAGACTTGATACCAGTCTGCATGGGCTCGTTGACAGAGTGACGGGGCAAAATGCCAGGAGCCTTGACCTGGACACGCGAACGGCCAACGGTGTCCAAAGGACCCTTACCGTCAATGGGGTTACCAAGGGCATCGACAACACGGCCCAAGACACCAGGGCCGACGGGAACGTCGACAATGGCACCAGTACGCTTGACGGTGTCACCTTCCTTGATCAAACGATCGTTACCGAAAACGACAATACCGACGTTGTCAGCTTCCAAGTTAAGGGCCATACCCTATAATTCAATAAAGCATACATTGTTATTGTTATTGTTTTCTCTAACAGCACAAGCTATATAATCCCTTTACTTTGCCGACATAATCACTATCACCCCTTCCCTAATTTAACGATTTTTCTTACCTTCAAACCGCTCGAGAACTCCACCATTTCTTCGGCTTGACAGTTCTTCAAACCGTAAACACGGGCAATACCGTCACCAATCGACAAGACGCGACCGGTTTCCTGGAGGTCAGCAGAAGCAGAAGCACCAAGGATGCGCTGCTCAAGGACAGACGAGACCTCGGAGGTCGAGGGCTTGGCCGAAGCATAGCTACGCGTGGCAGCAGCAGCGACGGCACCCAAGTTCAAACGGGCCTAAACAGTGCCAATTAAATATAAAAGGTGACACGCAATGCGTAATAGAATGGTCGAAATTAATATTGATTGTTATTATTTCGAAAAATGACACAATTCGATTTTTGGGTTTTTGTAGGAATTGTTTGTGTCCGTCTTTGTTGTTGTGGTATTGTTGCGTTGGACAATAGAAAAGAAAACTTACAGCGGGGGCAAGACCACGGGCAAGCGACAAAGGACGGGCAACGCGAGCAACGTTTCTAAGCATGTTAGAGTGTAGGAAAGGGAAAGGGAGAGACTTCGAGTGGCCCAAAATTTTTTTACCAGGGGGGACAATTTCCGTCCGTGGAGACCCAAACTTGCCATTTTCCCCGCTGTTTACGTCACGTCTTTCGCCGCCGCCACACATCGCTATGAGCCACCAGCGCACTCTTATAATTCTTATTGTTTTTCACGTTTTCTTCTCCCCAGCGTAACCCCTTTATTAGTCTGTCTGTCCGTCTGTGTCTTGTGTGTGCCTTGGAATTATTTGCAATGGGCTGGTTTATAAAAATAAACGTAGCTATTATGAAAGAGACAGTTTACTTGGAGGGTTGTTTTCCCAAAAGCAAGGTTGTCATGGTTGCCATGGTAATGCTTGTGTCACGCTAGCTTCCATGGTAATTATTGGTCATAGCAACCAGTAACTTAGTGGTATTTTGTAGGATACTTTTCGATGCTTGAATCATTTGCACTGCACACCAACCCATCTGCCTTTTGGCGTTCCCAAGTGAACATAATCCAGCGTTACTTCTACTACCGCAAAGAGGGCACGCCTTATGGAATAAACGTAATGCTTCATGTCCAGAAAATATGTTACTTAAATGCTACTATATATACTATATTACGATGCAGATAAAATCATTACATTACCTCACGCCAGAAATGATTACCTTATCTTTGAACTTGTCAAAACTTGGATGAGGCTGTCGCATGAAAAAACAGTCACGTTTTTGCAATTCACTTTTCTCGGCCAACTACCACACTATCTCATTACTTTTGACAACAGCACGACGACACTATGCGAACCAAAACGCAGCGAGCGTACAAACGCTTGCTGCATGAGTATAGCCTTGGTTTTGGTTTTCGAACACCATATCAAATTCTAGGTAAGATTCTTACAGCATCTGATCATTTTCGTCTTTTACATTCATAAACTGTGACAACTTAATCTAACCTTAAATTTCCCCGCGTATATGTTATGCATATATACTTATAGTGGATGCTGCCTTTTGCAAAGAAGCAGCGAAACAAAAACTCGACGTATTTGTTGAATTCGAAAAGACATTCCAAGATCCTACTCGACATTGTAAGCAAATCCGAAAAACAAAAAGGTCTTTCCAAAAAACATTATCAATTCTGAAAAGTTAAAGTTGCGTTCCTGCTTTGTTTCTTCAAGTCATTACAGAATGTAGTATTCAAGAGTTACGAAGGCAGGGTCGAGATTTTTTTGACGCACAACAAATAGCAAAACAGTTTGAACGTCGACGTTGTCCACATACACATGCTCCTATTGCAAGTGCAGAGTGTATGGCACAGGTGGTAGGATCCACGAATGAGCACAACTATGTCATTGCGTCGCAAGACGAGTCACTGCGTGAAAAGTTACGCGCTATTCCTGGGATTCCAATGGTTTATGTCAAGGCACACATGGTTATCATGGAACAAATGTCTGCCGTAACGAAGAAAGAGTTGGATAAGGTACCATTTATACGACAAATTCCGGGCAAAAAAGAAAAAGAGAGAGAGAGAATGAGATGTACGAAAGAAATTGGATTATATCGTGTAGGCGGTTCACATGTGTGTTTTATGGCTTCTCTAACTTACCATCCTTGCCATCTCACTAGAAAGCGGCAGAGAAAAAGGGCATGTCGGCACGAGAAAAAGATCAAATGGCAAAATTACTGCATACTCATGAGGAGCAGCCAAAGAAGAAAAAGAAAGTAAAAGGGCCGAATCCGCTTAGTGTGAAGAAGAAAAAGAAGACAGCGTCACCGGCCCCGAAAAAGAAAAGCACGGAGGATGGTGCTAGCACTGCGGAGAACAAGCGAAAGCGAGTAGAGGAAGAAGGAAAGAAGAAGGAAGAAGCCACACAGACGGCTTTGGAAAAGTCGGATGAAAGCAACAATATACCAGATGCTGGAGAACCCAAGAAGAAACGGAGGCGAAGGAAAAAGACGAAACACGATAAAGATGATCAGCAGCAGGATAAATCATGATAGCAATAGCAATAATAAAGAAACATTTTTAATATGATAGTAATGACGGAAGCTCGAGGGGGGTTTATGTGAATCAAAAATTTATATAAAGAAAGGAAATACAGCCAGTCTTTTTCTTCTACACTTATATGTGCTTGTAATGTATGCCTTTATACATAATAGATTGTGGGTAAATTGGATGTAGAAGAGAAAGAGAGGTTTTTTTTTGAAGAAAGACGAGAACACAGTTTAAATGTATTAGCGATGTCGTGGGCTCACACGCGAATACGCAAAAACGCCCAGAATAACGACACCTAAGAATGCAATGGCTGCAGGCAGCATCAATTCTTGCGGTAAGCCTGAGCCATCTTGAGAATAATGCTCGGCATCGCTGTCGCTTTCGGGCTCGATTCTCCTTGAGTGTCTCTTTGAGCTGCGTTTTCGGCTTCGTCTCTCGCTTACAACAGATCCATTCTCGACAAACTTTTCCGTTACCGCTGATCCGTTTGTTGCATAATATTGCACAGGCGATGCGACGCGTACAGGCGTTGCTGCTGGTTGGGGTGTGGCAGGTTGTTGCGGGATTTGTTGCTGTTGCTGTTGTTGTTGTGGCTCTGGCTCTGGTTTGGTGGTATCATGCACAAACAACTTGACGCGATCGTGTCCCAATTTACGCGCCAACTGCACCGAATCCGTGACATCCGCGTCTGACGTGATGAGAACTTGATCGTTTTCATCATCCAAATACGAAACAGTCAACCATTCACTACCGTTATTGCTCTCTGCACTTGCATCGTGCTCACCAATGACTTTTTGACGGACGTTCTCGAGAAGGTGAGCATAACTGTTGTAAGGTGATGTGAATCGATGCGTCTTTCCACCGTCTGATGTAAATTTGAAGGCAAATGTGCCGTCGTCATGGTTGATGCTTCGACTGTGCTGGCGTGAAGAAACGTGGGACAAGCTGTCTTCGTTGTGAGCCACCATGCTGGCGGATTCGTTGGGCGTGATTTCGGGGAAACCTTGCAGTTGTGAGAGGGACGCGGAAGGTTCCGGCGAAATCGCGTTCATTGCGGAAGGTGCCAGGTGGCCTGATTGGTGAGGAGACGAATGTGGATCGGACGACTGTGATTCGCTTTCTCCCATTTCCGTCGCTCCAAAACTATCCCAGAAACGCGACCACATTGGTCCTGTTATTGAAATAAGCATTGTTAGTCTCCATTATTATTATACTTTCAAAAGCGTCGCTCCCTTGGTATTACCTTCACCATCGTTTCCTTGTATACTGTGGATCTAAATCGAAAACGTACAAGGTAGAACGATCAGTTTAGGTTATCATGAGAGTTTCAGCATCATGGTAAATGAATTTGACTTTTGAACTAACCTGCTCCAGAGTAGCATACGTGAGTCGCAGCACATCCACCATGCCAACAACCTTCCCGTTGTCCAAGACCGGAAGGTTCAAGTAGTGTCCGTCTGTAAAAAATTTAAAAGAAGTCAAAAGGCTAAGTATCTCTATCTAAACTTTGAAGAAAACAGTCCCTTGACATTTACCGTTCATGCGATGAAGGGCATCCATGATGGTCGTTTGAGGAGTAGCCGTATCTGGATGTGGTGTCATGACACGGACAACCGAACAGTTTTCCGGGTTTAAGCCTGCGGCAATCACACGTAAAACAACATCCTTGCTACATGACATAAAAATGAAAAGATGGATTCGGTTGATATGAACAAGCAGCCGCGTTTTGTTTTCTGCAAAAATATAGGGAACCGAAACTTACGTTGTGAAAATGCCTGCTAATCCTTCACGATCAGCCACTAGGACAGCAGTAGTGTGGTAGTCCTTCATCATGCGTGCGACATCACGGACATTGGTCTTGATACTCACTTCAGCTGGCGGAGTGCCATCGAGAACCGATCCGAGGTCTGGACAAGACATACGATCGCGCAAGGCTTCCATGTACTGCACCAACTGGACTGGACTGCTAGACCACTCACGCTCGACACCTTCAAGCGCATCATACAGTTTACGCGAAGAGCCATAGGCACGTTCCATCTTATCCAAAGCTTCATACAAACACTTTGTAATGTCGAGTAATCCAAAAATATCCCCTTCTTCGTTACACACGGGCTATTCTTCCAATAAATGATGTAAATATACCCTCTTGTTAATCTCACTATGTATGATACAGAAAGAGATATGAGTTTACCAAGTGACGGAAGCCGCGAGTCACCATGAGGTTGAGCGCATCAGTAGCAGAGGTGTCGGCCGTAACGCACATTGGTCCTTTGGTCATGATAGCTGCTACCGGTGTTGCTCTTTTTGAAACAGATATTTAGTCGATAAATTGAATGCTTTTACGTTCCTCTCCCGCTTTCCGCCTCCCTCGTACATCTATTTACCTAGCGTCCAACGATTCAGCAACGACTCTGTACGCCAAATCTTTTGCCTGACAAAGTTCAAAGGAAATGATTTTGTAGAATGAGAATACAACCCAAATAGTTATATTTCGGGCAAAGATCCAAGTGAGCAATTACTTACCGTGAAAATACCGCTCAAATGATCGTCCTCGTCGACTACCAAAACACAATCGCTTCGTTTGGCTGCCATGAGCTGAGAAGCTTCAATGACCAACAAGCTCTCTTTCACGGTTAAAGCCTGCGACGGACGCAAGGCCGAAACGGTGCCAGCAATCTTTCGAGTTTGTCGTATGCGTGTCGAGCTCGCACGTTTCTTTGAAAATTCTTGCTCGAGTTTTTTACGAATGGCCTTTTGTTGTTGCGGTTGGTATATGATAGCAGCAATAGTTAGTAATAGTGGAAGCAATAAGTACACTTGTTGATGGATTGCAAAGAAGAAAAATTCTAAATCTCCAAGATTGGAAACTTACCTCGTCTCTTTTGTTCTGACGCTGCCGGCCAGCAATGCCATCCTGCTCAGTACGATGAGAGGCGACAGATGGAATTCGAGAATTAGAATGTTTTTTGGTCATTTTGTTCAGTTTTTTAAAAAAAGTTGCCCAGGGCGGGTGAAACAAACACGCGACTAAGCTTATCCGACTGTTCCGAGAGGAAGTGCAACAGAGTATGTATGTGTGGTTTTTAAATGCCGCGCAACAAGTTGTTTGTGCGATGTGATGTATAAACACCATCGTCACCGGGTGTAATATCATGGCACCCGGTATTTAGATAGTATTAGTAGTAGTAGTAGTTATAGCGTCTTTTTATGTTACAGAAAAAATCATGATACTATATATGCTTTCTACGCTCGCTCCCGTTTGTCTTGTTCTACTCTTCATGGCTCAATCTTCCGGCTGCCATCCATAAAGTACTTGACAGTTTCGTTCGTGATCTCGGTCTTTCTCTTCTGGAAGTCTCCGACAATCTTCTGCAGGACTTCGATACAGCGCTTCTTGAGCTCACCGGTCATCATTTCACCTGATTTGTATGACTAGAAAAGTAAAAGACATATACGTGTTACTACTTGTCAATTCCACAGCAATACGGTGTCACCGAGAATGTAAAAGCCAAAATGAAACTCACATCGTAGATACGCTTCAACTCTTCATCATCATCCATAAAGAAGCTCAGGTACTGGTAAGACACATCCACGTCTGGGTTACCGCCATTGGCGCGGTGTTCCTCAACAGTTGCTCCGCCACCCGAGAACGCGTACCGGTTGATCTATCAACAAAATATCCTTGGTGTCAGAAACCCACACACACACACACAGCAACACAGAACAAAACCTGAGAAAAAAAGAAGACTTATAGTACAAAATATACCTTGTTCTTGATTTGGTTGGGAGTATCAGTCATGAAGATGGCAGATGAGTCGATGGAAGCGCTCATCTTGGTCTGAGGACCTTGCAATGCAGGGAAGAAGCGTGCATGGATCAAGGCGGGCTTAGGGTATTTGAGACGTGCGGCAACATCCCGGGTCAGACGGAAATAGGGGTCCTGATCAATAGCGCATGGAATCAGGCACGGAATGTCCTTCTTGCCGCCAAAAATTTGTGGGAACGAGTTGGAGAACGACGGTGCGGCTTGTACTGCGACAAAGTGGAGCTTACCAATTGCATCCCTTATTAAAAAATAAAAAAACGAGACAGTTTAACCGATCTGCTATCTGAAAAAGGAGTCCAATCAACTTACGAGTCGTTGAAGCCAAAAGTGGACTTGGACTGGTTGGTGTTGATGCACCTTGAGATACGGACAACATTGTGATAGAAAGGACCACTGCACAGCATATTTACAAAATTAGCATTTCCCCAATATCACTATCATCACCACATACTGCACAATTTACCCAACATAATCCAAGTTGGAGAAAATAAAGGTCTTCTCGGGTTTGAAACCACATGCGATGATATCTCGTGCATTTGCCTCGGCGAATTCGCGACATTTCTCAATAGTTAGGTTCTGTTTGAACAGGAACTTTTCGTCGTCGGTCAATTGGATAACGATTGGCACATCAAACACGTCCTGAAGCCATCTGTTAAGAAGAAACCATCCAATTAGACCTTCATCCTACTTATTTCAATCAACTAAACACATTTTACTTTACTGGCAAAAAATAAAAGGAATCAAATGACCCATGTGCATGGAAGCGCTGGATGGACCACGGCCGGTGTACAAGTAAAATGGCTTCTTTTGTTCATAGCGGTCGAGAATGCGACCGAATTCTCTATGATATCATGCATTATATTTAGTTTCTTTTCAGTTTTGGATATGGCTTCCAATCCATTCAAAACAGTGATACCTGTGAGAGAAAAAGGTACCACGGCGCAAGAGGACGTGAGGCTTGCGTCCAGTCAACTTTTCGAATCGCTCCAACAAGGCTACATCAATGCGTCGCGTACCAAACTGATCAATGAGCTTGTTATAGTCAATGGCTTGCTGAACACCGTCAACAACGGCACCCTCGACCTCCCAAGGCGTGACATTTTGTTCGGCGGTAGAGGCAGGAGGTGCTTCCACTTCCTGAATGTTTATGTCAGCCACGCTGGCAGAGAGCTCTTTTTCGGACATTTTGTGTTTTGTAAGGAAAAAAAGGGAACAGAGGTACGACTGGGAAGGGGAACGAAGGACGAGGGACTTGGGGAGGAGCGGGGTGTGGGTGATACACCCAAAGCTACAATGACACATCGATGCTGCGACGAACTGAATTAGTGGCTTGGGAACTGTGGACCTCCCCATCTCTTCTTCTTGTATCCTTGCTACATTACTTGTCACCCATGGCATCCATTATCGGTCGCACGTTGCTTCGAGCACAGCAACAACAGCAGCTGCTGCAGCAACGACAACATTTACGTGTCGCTCAACAAGTCAATGCCTTGACGAGCAAACGCTTTTACAAAATGAATGTCCAGTCTGTCAAAAAGGGCCAAATTGTCCAATTAAAAGACAAGGCATGGCGCGTGTTACATCGCGACCACTCATCGTCAGGTCGAGGTGGTGCCGTGGTGAAATTGGACTTGCAAGATATTCTATCGAGTTCTAAGATTAATGAGCGTTTCAAGTCTGGCGATTCTGTTGAAAGTGAGAGAAACTTCCCCTTCTACCTCTTTATTGTATTCACTGAAATTATGCAAATTCTTATCGACCTCCTTCTTTATGGAAACCATAATTTTCAAAGTTTTGAACTTGCAAGATGAAGCATACCAATATCTGTACACGGATGAAAACATGCTTCATTTGATGAATATGGAAACCTTTGATGAGATTGAGATGCCTGCCACTGCTTGTGAAGGCGGCGAAGAATCTGTTGCTATGCTTGAAGGTAAACATATTCAAGTGTTATTATGGGATTCATTTATGCATCATTCTAACATTCTCACAAAACTATTCATGACACCGTACATATACATATATGACGCATGAAATAATAAAAAAGATGGCATGAATATTGCAGTCAGCTTCTTGACGACGCCCGATGATGGACGAAAACCGGTTACTTTCAAGCTACCATCCAATTATACGTTTACGGTAGATTCAGTTGTGGAACGAGCGGGTCAAGCAGCAAAGGGCACAGTCTACAAGACGGCCACTTTGACCAATGGTGCAAAACTTCAAGTACCAGAGTTTGTGCATCCTGGTGATCGTATCATTGTTGATATTGATTCTAAAAAGTACATGAAACGCGAACTGTAAAAAGAAAACACTACTATCAACCTTGTGAATATCAGGATCATCATTGAGTAGGGCACAAAAAGAGTATATTAGATAGATACCAGTTTGTAGCCGGGTCGCCTTGCCTATAATAGATATCATTTTTATTAACAAAGTCCATTTCTTTTACATGTTAGTAGTGCTCAAAGATGACTATATAAATGATGACGCGCGTCGTGTCGAGTAATAGGGTCTGGTCATCGTTGATTTGATGATGTGTCACAGCTGACAAGCGTTGAACAGATAAAAGAGTGCGTGCTACAACATATGACGGGCTCACTGTCGCCATTTTTGCAGCCAGCGATATCATGGCAAGTAGTAAAACTCTTACAGTGATCAAAAACACGGGTTAGATTACTCTTGACCAGCGATTATAGAAGGTTGTTTCATGCTACTGTGATACCCAGCAATGATGGTTGTAACTAGTGATTTCTCGACTTGCAATCTGTGTTGTATTGTCTTGATCGCTTATTGTAATACAATAGCAACCGCCTAAGGTTACTAACTGATAGAGTGCAGCATCGACAACTTGGGAAAATGTGATCCCGGAAAAACAATGAGGAGCATTGTTACTTTCCCACGGATCCTATATCCTTTCATATTGTAACGATTTTGTGCTGCTGGTGATATAGCCGTCACCTGTCAAGCGATCATCCTCACTGAAATCCAGCGTTGTCACTGTAGCAAAACCGAGTACATATGTAGCTGACGTTAGTAGATACATAGTGATGGTAACAAAAGCAGCAGTAGTTAGGCAGCTGCGCAGGTGAGTGGCACCTATTTCGGCGGGTATAGTGACGCCAAAAATATACAAGTATACGTGTATGTGCATGTGAGTTAGTGCAGATACGATAGAGCTCCCGAACACAGTACTTTAAAGGCATATCACATATCGTCACCGTGCTCGGCATATTTTTTATTCCCTTTTGAAACGAAAAGCTTGCTTTTTTGTTGAAGGCCACGCGCTCGCTCGAAAGGCTTTACGCACACGGAAACGGGGCGGGGCTAGAATGGCTAAATCCACTCGCACACACACACTTTTTCTTTCGGAACTCTTTTCTTACTTTCCTTGTATTTTTTTTCAGGCGACGCACGTCCCGGCCTCTCTTTAGCGTTTCTTATTAAGAACCCCAATTCCAAGAAAGTCGATCGTTGTATATATAGTACATAAGCAACTCTCTCCCCGTCGTTCCTCTTGTTAACTATCTCGGGCCCTCTATTTTTGTGCACCCTCCTCTCTTCATTCCTCTCCTCTCTCCCCAAACAACATTACTGCCACTCAACTACCATTTGCGCGTCCTGCAGCTTAAGCGATGGGCAAGGCCGCCACATGGTACAAGGAATTTGCGTAAGTTTTTATATTCTTGAACGTACACATACATACCACTTGCACTCTTTTCAACCACGAGAAAATGCTAACTCACCCTACCCGAAAAAAAATAATAACAATAGTCAGAATCATGAAAACATTAAACATTCCATTGCAGGTGCAGGCGCCGGCATCGTATCGTCGATCGTAACATGTCCACTCGATGTAGTGAAAACACGATTGCAGAATCAGGGTAGGGCGGAACCTGGTGTCAAAGCCTATCGAGGCACAGTAGGTAAGACATTATCCATCAGTAACCATGTTGGGGGAGGAGGATGTGTCTTGGAGAGCAAGAACTGTTTTGGAGGAGTTAAAAGCTACAAATCAATTGTCTTACTTTCTGTTGATGTAGGTACGCTGTCAAGAATATGGCATGAAGAAGGCATCCGTGGCCTATATCGCGGTCTGGGACCCACAATTCTCGGATATCTTCCAACATGGGCTATCTATTTCACTGTCTATGACTATTGCAAGAACCGGTGGAGCAGAGAATTTGGTATGGCATTTAAAAGATGTATTGAAACTAGTATTTCGTAATGTATATTTACACGTTGAAAAACATGATTGTATCAGGTCATGATAAAGAATGGTTGGTCCATATCGCTTCGGCCATGTCAGCAGGAGCTACATCCAACTGCATGACAAACCCACTCTGGGTGATCAAAACTCGACTCATGACGCAAAACGAACGTACTGCATACAGGTACAGAAATACCCTGGATGCATTCATCACGATTGGTCGACAGGAGGGCATCCGAGGGTTCTACAAGGGTCTGGGATCGTCATTGTTGGGTGTCAGCCATGTAGCTGTTCAATTCCCACTTTATGAGAAGTTAAAAAGCTATTTACGTAAGTGCACAACACTTGACGAAAGATACAAAGGAGAAAGAGGTTGTCGAGTGGGGAGGGAGGGAGGGAGGGAGGGAGAAAAGACCGCCATGATCTGAAGCTCACAGTTATTGCGCAATCAGATGCAGATACCAATTCGTCTGGATCAGCGTCGATCCTCTTGGCTTCATCACTTTCGAAAATGGCGGCCAGCTGTGCAACATACCCTCACGAGGTGATACGAACCCGTCTACAAAATCAAACCCATAAGCCATTCAAGTACAAGGGCATCCTTCATGCTATCAAGGTGATTATGACAGAGGAAGGCGTCCGTGGATTCTACAAAGGAATGCCGACAAATCTATTGCGTACCGTCCCATCCTCTGCAATGACGATCCTGACGTACGAGATTTTGGTGCAAAAATTGGACGAAATGAAAAATCTTTAGGCTATTTCTGCTGGTTTTTTCCCCTCTCTTTCTTTCTTTATTCACCCTTCCCGTTAATTTAAAAAGCTCATTATCACTTGCGAGGAACAGAAAAAAAACTGATTCAGGGGCCAAAATCTAGGAAAGAAAGAGCAAAAAGACGTCTTTTTTCATACTCTTCTTTCTTCCTTTCTATATTATGTACATATTCTCTCTCCCTCTTAGAATGTTTTCCCTTTCTTTTAAAATATAATAACAAGAGTTTGCCATTTCAATTATCTTAATAAAAATAGAGATATGATTTCGCATTTCTATGATGCTTTAGCTGGTGCGCACCTCTGTGTAATGCTACTTGTGTATCGGCTATCGTGAAGACAGATACGGCTGCTACTTAAAGAAATCCTCAAAAAAGTAGTTTCTCTTTTGCACTTCTTTACAATGACAGTCCTGGTGCACAAAGTTGATTTCTATGATATTGAAACTTCACCGAGTTTTCTTTTACTACAGTCACTTATTAAAGAGATATATGTTGCTTCACTGAAAAGATCCACATTAAGCACCAAGATAGGAACGAGCAGACTTACGAATCGTTGCTGCAAATATCAAGCGGTATATTAGAAAATCTTTGATATAGCATCTCCGGATGTTAACACAGTATTTATTTCAGAGACCACATATAATGGATTATTCGCTGACGAGGCTCCTTCTAGTAGGCCTAAGAATCGCTATAGGGTAAAGTCAATTTAAACCGAATAGTCTGCAATATAGATGCTCTTTTCACCGCTATAAAAGTCTATTTGGTGCAGCATCCAGCAGCTACTAAATGCACGTCGCAAGACTCCAGTAGACTAGTCACTCTTTATCCAGCTAATTCAGTGTATTCGATTGTTTGTGCCTTTTACGAATGCCAACAGCATCCATTCGTCGGTAGTATAAAAATGATAGAAAGCCACATTTTCTTGTAACATACGTCAAAGTTCGGTATTGAATATGCAGCAAAAATAGGCGGAGCGTATCCAGGGGAAAAACATTGACTGGTTAATTCCTCAAGTGTGAGATGCGTCAAGCATGGAAACACATCATGGTTCGACACCAAGTGCTCAAATATTTTGTTCTCAGATACAACCACTACATAGTGAGATCCAGATTTTGCAGTGTATTATGTGATGACCGAGAAATAACTGGCGAAGGAGTATCACCGAGAGAGTATCGTTGGGTTGATTGATGTGGAGATCAATCTCCTCAAGGCCATCCGCTGGTTGTCGACAGCTCCCCTTTATACTAGTTTTCAATAGCGTTTTATCTGTTAGAAAAAGAAGAGGCGAGTACTACAGTTGTACCCCGGTTTTTGCAACCCCTGGATTTGCAATTCCTCGTATATCTGCAACTTTTTTTTGAAAAATCCAAAAAGACTTAGTAGTTTCGCAAATTTGCAACTTGCAAATGAGTTTATACGATTTGCGCGTTATCGGGGTAAAAACAGCTTCAATTTTTTCAATATCAACTGAAAGAAGCATCTGTTGCGTATTATCGAGGAATAAAATGATACGGTTACTGCACTAGACAGCTTCAATAAAAGAACGGTCTTATATATGCAAGTAGTAACATGTAGAGCTGTGTGAAATCCCCACAGAACGTATCGTACATCATCTCTAACAGATAAACAATGGGTTAGTGTATATAGGATGACTTATCCAGTGTCTATTTGAAGCAGAATTGTTTACCCCGTTACTTGCAAATCCTCTGTGCAAAAAAAAATCGGAAAACCCTCGGTTGCAAAAACCGGGGTACAACTGTATCAGCCTCCCCATTGCCGGTCCACAACCAGGAAAGTCAGCTCTGAAGTGTGGCGTTCAATCAAAGTCGGAAGAGGTGTATCATAAGCGTAGGTCGGATGTGAGAATCATATACAGTGATACGCTTCAGTCACGGTCTACTTTTGGTACTGATACAAGGTGGTGTTCATTGATGGTATCATCTCATCCACCATTCGAAATGGAGATAGCTACTGTAAAACAACTATAAACGCTGGTGCGGATCGATACATGATTAGCAACCGCAGGCCAAATTTCCATCAAGATCGCAAGGAACCAAGAATCATCGCGTGATCAAGTTTGGACATTTGTATGACTACGTACGGCGTTTCAGTATTCGACTGGGATCAGTGTGTAGTTGAAAGGACTGTAGCACCGTACGAGTGGTATGTGAGGCATAGAGTTGTAGCAAGCAGTGATCAGATCCAGCAAGTTTGCAGCGTGGGTAAGTAATTAATGATTATATTGACCTGTATTCAAAAGACTCGTGAGCCAGGTATGTATGTACATCAGTAACCCCGAGTCAAAAAAAAAACTTTTTGTCACCTTGGTCAGTGCGCTCTCGCGGACTACAGCCACAAGCCGATGGCCATAGCAATAGTTTGAGAAATTTGTTTGATCCCATAATTAAGCAATACAGGGTTTAGAGCTCCACTTTTTACGGGTATTTCAATGGATTTTGTTACAGGAATGAAAAGGGCATTTGAATGGTTAATAAAAAAGTTTGACAACCGAGCGATAAGATATCTATACCCCCCTTAGTTGGATCCTTCAATTATCACACGTCAGCAGCCGGCCGATGTTCGGCCGGGTTTGCATGCAATCCTAAGCTCTTCTTGCTCCTCTCGCTTATATAGGGTTTGCTAACTTACTTGTTGTCGGAACATATGCTCGGCAGTGTATGTACCAAACAAGAACAATTGGAGAAGTTGAGCAAAAAAGAAAACACTATACAGCCATTCATGCTCCCAATCCACTATACGAGACAACACGTTGCACACTCACCATAGCAATCGCACATGATTGAGATGGTGGTTTTTATCATCTCGTCAGTAGCGACGATAACTAGGTGCTTGATGATGTATCGCATGCCCGTACTCTTATGCATTGCGTCAAAAATATGACACCACCAAATGTAGGTCAATGGGATATAGACGTTGAAGTTTTTTGCTTTAGGTACAGTAATAGTGCTACTGTATGTAGTAGGCTAATTCAGGCAATGCCATGAGAAGAGGTCACACGTCTACAATTATAATCTTGTTAATTTCGACTTACACATTAGGTATTAATTCAAAATAATCTCATCACCATGTAGATACAAGGTATGACTCATCATTTTTCTGTATATTATCTAGTTAGGACGTATGGCAAAGTCTTTGCAGAACAACATTGAAGCTATCATATAGGAGCTGATTGCAGACTGGTTGCTTTTGCGCTGTAAGCACATTGTACCACACAAGGTTCACATTCCCACCGTAATCAGATATACTGTCTCTCTACGTAGCTCATGATCTATTAGAGCAGGATCTTAGATAGAGAGGGATAGAGGCCATTTACACTCGAGTCTACATTTCCCCTAAGAATCATCACTACTTGCTACTACTATTTTATGGAAATGCGACTGAATAAGAACAAGCAAGATCTATATTGATTAGTGTAAAAACTCTAAAATATCAAAAAGTGCCGATGATTCCGGCTTGTGATGCTTTGTTGGTATAGTTGCTGCTACTGCAGCGGAATCATGTGTATACTTTATTCATCAAGAGCAATGGCATTATACATCTGTATTGCGATCTACTTATCACAATTCAAATTACAAATACTGTGTAGACTCCTGTGTGATGATTGAATCTATTTGATGGTTTTTCATTCTCTGCTACACGGCTCACTTGCGCTTGTACTATATGGATTGACTGGAAGTTGAGTTGGAAGCGAATAAAAAATTACTTTGGTGGATGTAATTCGGACCACTGCTGGGTCTAGAAACGTGAGTAATTAAGTTCCGTGAAAATGTTTTTTTTGTACCTTCAAACTCTAAAAATATTTATTCTATTGGCTTTCTTTCCCGCACTTTTTTGCATTGTATAATTTTATTTTTTGCTTCTCTGATATTCCTTTATACTTTCCCAAACATTATGCAGCCAGACAACAACGATATCGAGTCTATACATTCTTCTGCTCTATCTGAAGCACCTACAGAGTCCAGTCCTCTTTTACCGGACGGACGCAAAGACAACAAGTATAAAAACGACAATGACGATGGGTCCTGGTCTGGCGAGGTTCGATGGCTTGTAGACAACAGTACGCCGATTGTCGGCACATACTTGCTGCAATACTCTTTACAGCTTGCCAGTGTATTCACCCTGGGGCATCTGGTACGGTTTTTGTTCTGCGCATCATGGTATACCGCATAACTAGTAGTTTGGGATATGCTGCTGTCTACTAAAGACAAAACATGTTTGCGGGGTATTTTGCAGGGTCCAACCGAATTAGCTGCGTCTGCGCTTGCCAGTATGTTCGCCAGTGTCTCAGCATGGAGCATCGCATTGGGTACAGCCACGGCCTTGGACACACTCTGTTCACAAGCATGGACTGGTGCACGTGACAAAACCCTTGTTGGCGTTCATCTACAACGAGCATTGGTGATTCTTGCTATGATCTTCTTTGGCTTTGTGGTACCAATCTGGTGGAACGCTACACGGGTCTTGTTGGCCCTGAATCAAGAGCCGGAGTTGGCTGACCTTGCAGGTAAATGCATATACAATACACATCATCGTCTAAACTAAATACCAGCAGAAGCAGTAATGCAGCGGCTTAGCAGATGGAGATACATAAAGAAGGCTAATGATGTGCTGTTTCTACCATGTTTGACAATGTAGGACTGTTTTTACGATACCTCTTGCTGGGTGCGCCGGCATTTATTGCTTTCGAAGCACTGAAAAAGTATTTACAAGCACAAGGAATCATGCACGCATCTACTTATGTCGTTATGATTGCCTCTCCTTTGAATTTTGTAATCAACTATACGCTGGTGCACGTCGAGCCTGTGCGGCTCGGATTTATCGGAGCACCGATCGCCACATCGCTGAGCTATTGGCTTATGTTCATTCTGTTGGTGCTTTACACCTGGAAAGTTCAAGGCAAGGAAGCCTGGGGCGGATGGTCAGCCGAAGCTTTGAAAAACTGGGGACCGTTCTTGCGGTTAGCTGTTCCTGGAGCATTGATGATATGCAGGTAAGCACTAACAGTTTCCTCCACTTGTGCAAAATTTACAAAAGCTGTCTGTAACGTAAGCAGCTAATCGACTACTTGATTGTAAAAAAAACTGTGTCATCATGCAGCGAATGGTGGGCGTATCAACTGACAGCACTTGCCACGTCTTACCTTGGACGTAACAATCTTGCGGCCCAGTCAATACTACTTACAGCCGTGGCCACATCTTTCCAAATTCCGTTCGCCATTTCAGTCGCTTCAGCCAACCGTGTTGGAAACTCCCTGGGCGAGTGCTTTGCTCTTAAAGCCAAGCGTGCATCTATCATTTCATTGATAGTCGGTGTTGCTTTTGGCTTACTCAACTGTGTCTTTTTCATATCTACGCGCTCCGTTCTCGGCTACCTCTTTACTGCCGATGAAGAGGTCGTCATGACCGTTTCCCAGATCATTCCATACTGTGCACTATTTGTCATTGGGGATTCTCTCAATGGCATCTCAGCCGGCGTTATTCGAGGTAGGCTAGCACATCTGCTAAATATTGCATATTGTGCAATTACAACATATTGATTGACCTTATATGATACCTACAATACAGGACTCGGCCACCAAAAGATCGCTGCTTTCATCAATATCTGCTCCAACTACGTTTTGGCGCTGCCTATGGCCTACGCATTGACTTTCCATGCAGGCTGGGGCTTGATTGGGATTTGGGTAGGCTTGTCGATAGCCATGCACCTCAGTGCCGTTGGTCAAAGCATCTATTGTCTTACTGTCAATTGGGATGCGGAGGTACAGCGTATCACTTACATTGTCAAGGCAGAGGAGGTTCGGATCCATGACACCGACGAAGGGGTTGTTGGCGACGAAATCAGTTCCCGTTATTAGCACCTTTTCTTCAGCCCTACACGATTCTTTACTCCTCCAGCATACAGCTCCTCCTTCAAACACTACCTACTGTATATATAGATGAAAAGGCTTCAATGTAGCTGTTCTCATCGTCACTGTACTAGCTTGCGTCTTTTTTATACACCACGATTACTGCGTTTCTTGTTTGTTGTTGTATGTGTAGCACGTATATGACACACTAGAAAATGAAAACAAGGTGCCCTTTTGTTTATATGAACTACTCGGAGAAAGTGCCACATACGCTAGCAGTAGCAAAAATCACTTGACAGGAGCAAAAAAGGTTTCATGGCACGCCGACGAAGCAAGCCGAGCCGGATTATTACGTGACCTTTTGCGAATTGTCATACCGCTCCTTTCCTTTCGCTCTTTCTTTTACAGTTTTTCGAAACAGCAGCCCCCTTTTTATTTTTATGCATCGCCGCGACTTCTGATGGACTACTTTTCGAATTTCAGAAAGCGGATTGTGCCTGCCAAAGTGCAGCCAAATAGCGCATTGCACCTTGTTAAATTTCACAAATGTTGGGATTATGTCCATGTAGGTTGCTCTTTATAGTTATTAACTAAGAGTGCGATAAGTTGCTGGGTCTGCAGAAAAAAAGAAAGGCGATAATTAGCTAACACCCTTTTCTGCTTCTTTTTTTTTGGTCTCCGTTTATCTTATTGTTCATGTAGAATATATTCGATTCGGACGACAACAAAACGAACGTACATGTCCAACAGACCGAAATACCAAATAAGCTACGGCTCATGGTGGATATGCTGGTCGATGAGGAAGCCCGACAGGAGGAGGACAGCACGACGGGAGTGTGCATGGAGTACTTTCTGAAGAACGGCGTGCTGCATTATCTCGTCAGTGTGGCTGAAAAGGCGGACTATCCAGTCGGCATCAGGGGCGAAACAATCCGAATGATTGCCAACATGGTGGATCTGCTTGACGATCGATTTCTTGTGCACAACGCGGTGCACAGGCCGACTGTGAAGCTGTTGCGCTTCTGTGTCCTGGACCAGCAACACCAGTATCACGAGGATCTCGTCGATCTCATGTACATCATCTGCTCAAAAATTCACGGCTTCCCGGCACTGCTCAACATCTTCTTCCACCATAACCCAAACAACAGCAATTACGACGAGTTCCTGCTATTCACATACCTGCTCCGGTTCGTGCACCGTGAGGGCCGATCCGGAGACTATGCCCGAACGGGCTTGCTGTTTGTCATGGAGATGGCTGCGGCGGATCACCTGGGCGACTTCATCCTGTCGTCTGATTTTGCTACCATCATGGCTGCTGGACTCGGGGCACTCTATTCGCAGCTGCCGCGGAAACTCGTCGTCAAGGACGAATCCTTGCTGTCCAAAACTGCATCGACCTATCTGCTCGGCCAAGACTTCATCCGTCTCAACCTCAACCATGTCGACGAATCGTCCTCGTCCTCGTTTCGCTATCAACTTGATGCATTTCTCAAGCTGCTTGAGTTCTGCCAAGATGTGCTTGGGCGCTGTTCACGAACAGACATCTGCAAGGCGCTATTACAGTATATACGTGCCATCTTCCTGGAAAATATTCTGTATCCGTCAATTCTCGAATGCTCAGACGTGGATGGCTCGTCTGTAGCTGTCATCAGTTACATTGATGCGATCTTGCAGACGGTCGAACACAATGCATTGGCCGACATGATTGTTGGATTTCTCATCGACGACGACGACGATAGCGGCCACTCATCACCGACAAGCGAAGTAATGAACGACACCGACAAAATCTGCTCAAACTTGTTTGCAGGCCTCGAACTGGATCGGTACAAGAGCTCGACGTACTTCACCGCTGCCGGCCGCTTTACCCTCAAAGACTTGATCTTTAGTCGACTCAAATCAAGCTCACAACCAGCCGTAATCGCAACATTGAAACTATTAAAAACACTGCTTACAAAACACTGCCGATACTCGCTGAAATTATTATCGATATACCCTGATTACGGCGACGACTTTATATATTCCAGCAAACAACTGTCCGCACAGCCGCCACGCCAACCCTCGTCATCTACAGCTACAGCTACGACAGTGTCGCATCATATCCGTGAAATAGAACTATACTTTTCCTTGATCTCAGCCATCGACCAAGTTCACGCTGATGATGTCCAATTGTGTGGCTACGAGGGATATCTATACGACATGGAAGCATTAATGGAAGGCGACGGCTGCTTCCAGGGCATGTGCACTGGATCATCCGAACACGACGATGAAGAAAATAACACACTTGCAGGACACAACAACAATAACCGGCCACGCGCAAGACGGCGACACAGCTTTAAATACGGCAACCGATTTGCAGTAGCAGATCAGCAACAGCAGCAAAAACACGATTTCCCGCCCCGTACATATACCAACCATTTATCATCATTGAAAAAACTCACCCTGTTCAAGCACCGGATACAACCAACGGATCCATTACTCCAGATATTGCTTGGTTTACTCAGTAACTTTTTTGCTCAGTCATCCGAACTCAATCTGGTACTGACGGGCGTAATTTCTGCATTAGCCATGTGTCCATATCGGTCCTTGAAAGGCTGGATCTCCTTCCGAGATAGCGACCGCACCAGTGCAGAAGATGTGCTCGTGCTCAACACGGACAGCGAAGCTGTCAACCTCAAAGCAGCAGCGACGAGTAATAAAGCTTACGACGACGACGACGACAGAATTCATGCGAACGATATATACCATCATCCAACTGTGATACCACGCAGCGTAGAAAACGAAGACGAAGACGACGATGACGATCGCTCTATCGACTACGGCGTCGAGAAACAATCTGCCGCCATGACCCAACCCACTCAATTCAAATCATTCCCTCCATTTTTCACCCTGTTTCGTACTCTAACACAACAAGTCGACTATTATCGCTCCGAAATCGACAATTTTGACATCTTGTTAGAAGAACGGCGACTGATGTTGCAAAATCCACAAGCAGCCGCTACGCTAGAAACATTCTCCTCACCCTCTTCTCCAGTTCCATCAACACCGACTACACCTACCACAACATCCACTATGGGGTCATTATCCGCTGCTGCAGGCTATCTATTTGGATTCAGCAACCCTGCTCCTGCTCCCCCTCTATCGGATCCCAGCAGCTATGCAAGACGACCCTCCATTTTACCACAGCAACCATCGGCAAGCAGTAACAACAACAACAACAACAACAACAGTGATTATTATTGGTGGAGCGCGCGACCAGACCACATGCAATCCGACACCTCTGGATTAGCAGCGACAGAGGCGGCCGTCCAGTCGCTAATTTCTGATCCTTTATCACCACTGTCGGTACATGCACGCAGAACACAAGACATCCGCATCAAACCATTGTTCCCGTCTAGTTTCCCTCAGGACAACAAAGACTCAATACTTGACTTGGATGACGAAGACGAGGATGCATTTGCGCCTGCTGATCAAGATCCATCCATACAAGCACGGCGAAGAAAGAGCGCCGTCAATGACATTCCATTGTCGAAGCTATTGAATAATGTCGTCATATTGGAAGAATCTATCAAGGAGCTTATTGCTGTAATGCAAGTGCGGTCTAGTCTTGGGGTCGACCAGATACGTTATGTCTGAAAAATATATATATCATAATAAATCATCGTGTGTTCCTGTTTGTCGTGTATATACCATTACATACAATACCAATAGGTGATATCGTATAAGAATAAGAAAAATTATTCTTTTTATTACTATTACTATACACATAAAAGATGGAGATGAAGAGAGTGCGTGAGAGTGTGCTGCGTGTGTGTGTTTGTGTGTGTGTGTGTGAAAGAAAAAACATTAGAGTTGGATGGCTTTCAGTTGATCCACAAAGGCTTCCAAAAAGCCATCGTCGGTACATTTAAGGTCTATCGTAATGGTTGCATTTCCTTCTTGAGAGGTCAAGTCGTATTTCAGTAAGCCTGCAATCTGCGAGCCTTGGATACTCTTAGCATAAAGTGATGCTGCACCGGGAACAACCTCGACCACTTGCAGTCGTGTTGTGCTAGTAATCGTGCTCAGCGCATCAATGAGCTTTTGGTCAACTGCCGCGTCAGTTGCGATGGGTATCTCAATGGTCACTGTGTCTCGGTAATCGAACTCCTGGCCGTGTTCAGCAAGCAAGTTGGCGAATTCTGTGGGATCCATCGCTTGGTCTTGGATTAAGAAAACGCTCGGCCGAACAATCATTTCGAGTGGTATCTGGTTTAATGCGGACGAGTCCTAGTATTGCCAGACATAGAACCAACACTTTTTAGTCTTCAAGTCGTAGGCAACTTTCGATTCTTTATCTCTCCTTTACCTGTATATCATATTGCATGTCGCATCGTAGGCAAAGTCCACGTCGAATGTCACCGGTTACGGCAAAATAGCCTGCTGCTTCAATGTCTTTTCCAGCCTCCAACTCAAATGTATCACTTAAGGATGCAAGGTCAGGATGTCGCATGTGTTCTACGTATCTGAAATCGAACGACTCGATCGTCGTGAAATGTAAGTTGGTGAGTGTAGCATCGGTTGTCTTGTTCTTCATGTTCAGTCTAGCTTCAACGACCGAAGTGCCGTTGTCCTTTTCATCTGATAATGATAATAGATAGTGCTATACAGGATGCATTTTAAACCATGAGTTAATAACAAAGTTTCGCACTATCATATATCATTACGAGGGTAGAACTTACCAATTCGATATTTTCGTTACTTAATAGGAGCTCAGGCGGAATTTGTTTTAATTGATCCTTCAGAAGCTCTTCTGTGGGCATATCGGGCACTTCATTTGATTGAACATTCTCCACGGACTAGTAATAATATATTCATCAGCACCCATTCACATAGCTATTGGCAGAATTGATATCAAATTACCTCGGGCTCTTGTTCAGCAGCAGCGGCTTTCTTCTTTTTCTTTTTTTTCTCCTTGGTTGCTGTGCCTGACGTTGATTTCTTGGGCTTTTTGACTTCTCCATCAACACTCTTTCTCTTCTTCTTTTTCTTTTTGCGCTCGCCATCCTATACAAAATCGTTAATTATTGCATAATGTCAATGGAAATTAAAGAGAATAAGCAACTTACATCCTTGAGCGCAGTTGTAGATGCAGATTGCGCCAACCGTCGTTCTCTTTTTTCCACGCGTGCACGTGCTTCTTCTCGCCGTCGCAGCTCTTCTGGACTCGAATAAGTCTGCATCTCGGGGAACCGCTCATCAGCACCCAAAGGCGTATTCAGATCCACCGTGTTCAAACCGTCATCATCTGTAGCAAAGATATCCTTGCCACGTTGTTGCTGAGACTTGCTATAAGCTCCACCACTGCCCCGTCTCTTACTGCTTCCATTGGCACCTTCTTGATCGCTTGCGGAGTCTACGGCATCTTCTGGCATTTCTTCAGGCGCATACACTGGTGGTGGAGGTGAGGGTACACGGGCCTGCCGTTTGCCCTTGGATTTCTTTCTGTGCTTCTTGGATTTACCACTACTGCCAGCCACATCGAAATCATCTATTGAGAGCTTCACAATAGGAATCGAATCCACATCCTCTTCCAGATCCAACAATTTGGCTTGTTGCTTTTGCTTTTCTGATTTGTCCGACATGATATAGTAGGGATCGTTACGCAGTGCTTCCAACCGTGCAGCGCGTCGACGCTCCTTATCCTCGTCGTCTTCGCTGTCATCTTCGTCATATCGCTTCGATCGGCTCTTCTTTTTCTTCTTTTTAGTGCTTGTAGTGGCGTGTGTATCCACATCAATGCTAGGCGATTCCAGGGAAGCAATTTCAGATTCACTGTCGTCTACGAGATCAGGAAGTGGCTCGTTGATCCAGACATCCAGGTCCAAGTCGTCAGGAACAGGTACTTTTCTTTGGGCTTTGGGTGCCACAGGGTTGAGCTCATACAAAGAGAATAGCGCAGGAAGACCCTGGAGCACAAGTGGTGCCTGTTCACTAGTAAGATCTTGTGAAATTGCAGCCAAGACTATATCAAAAATAGCTTGTGCATTGCAAGCCTAGCAACATAACCGAGTTATTAAGAATAAAAACAATGAGGTGATTTTATGATATTAGATAGATATTTAGGCCCTTTCAAAATAGCTACTGCACTTACTCGCTCTTGGACCTCAAGATCGGCACTGCGTGTAAACATGCTAATCTTATCCTTCATGACTTCGGTCACCTTGACAAATTCTGTTTGCAGCTCGGTATTCCATTCGTCAATCAATTCATTTACCCAGAAGGCATAGATCTTGATTATATTGTGGACATAGATAGCCTGCACCTTGACAGGCATGTCGACAACATAGGGTGTCAACAAACATTCGAGGGTAGCAGGAATGTTATCAAGGAAACTGATTGTTGGTAAATGTTCCACAGTGAGTATATATATATATATATATGTACAGTAGACCGGTCCTTATTTTTCTAGATTTCTAACCTGCAATATTCACCGCAAATCCATGCAGCAGCAGAAAGCACTTCGATGTTGGTGTCGCGCTTTCTGGCTGTTCTCAAAAGTTGATGGTCGGATAACAAACGGAACTTTTCCATACACAATATCAGAAATACAATTAATTAATCCTTCTTGGTCTCTCCTTTAAACCACATGTATCGACACTATCTTACCATCTGCTTTACTGCGAATGGACGTACGCTCTTGACGCGCACACTGACATCCATCAGCTGAGTTGTCAAGATCTCGCCCACGCTCACCCCAGAAACATGCGCCAGTCCAACTAAAACTGTAATGTACCACTCGAAGTTGGACACGTTGCGGTATTGATTCTGACTACTGATAAAAACGATGCGATTGATAATGTCGGTGCGATAAACTGGATCAAGGACGCTCGATGCTTCGTGAAGAGACGATGTGCCATTGCTGTCGCCAGGCACCAAATGGGTAATAAGTCGCTTCACTATATCAACAAGACTCTTTTTGTTTGCCTACATGACCCGCAATATGATTCAGTTTTCCACTTTACGCTCCTTGATTCCTTCTTTTTAGATCTGTGTCCCTTAAAGTTTTCTCTTACCATGCCAACAACAAGGTCAAGTGCACGGAATCGTATACTGAAATCGTCATCATCAATGCATTCCAAAATGATATCCTTATGCTCAGCGATCAATTTGGGATGGGTCGACAAAAGTCGACTCATTGCCAGTAGACCAACGTATTTTACTACCATTCATGATAGCCAATGTCAGTCTCTTTTTTTAACTCGTTACAATTACGCAGTAGGTAAAAAAAACTCACAGTTTTGATCCGGATCCTCCAAAAACCGTCGGAGCTTGTTCACACAGGTTGCAGCTAACGCATGACTGGAATCACCCGCCGCTTCCAGGAACCCTCCCGTGATCACGGTGTGAATGCATTCGTATAAAAGGGACATGGCTGGCGTTGTTTGAATAAGCGAAGTAAGTGGTGGGAGCAGCTTTTTAATAAGTCTTGGTTCGAGCGGTGTAAGTGATGCAAACTATAGATACAATTAGCCCCCAAGACAATTTGGTAATTTCGTACTTTTCCTTCCCATTTCATTCCAATCCAGCACTTTACCATTTTAATTATTTTAATGAGCATCCAGTTATTCGCAGAAGTCGTCAGCAATCGGAATAGCTGCGGCGCCAACGACAAGTAATTGCGTGGATTCTTTCGAGCTAGTTCACAAACGACACTGACGGTTGCAGATACGACAGCTACATATTTATCCCGAGACCCGTCTTCCCAGTTAGTACATTGGATTTCCTTTGACGTTTGTCGTCCAGTACTAATGCTTCCTTACATGGATCCGCATCCTCGAGCTTTTCTTTTAAACGCGGGAAGCTGAGTCGAAGCGCTTCAGGGAACTTTAAAAACACTTTGTACAGCACTAGCACGACCTTTTTGCGAATATACGGACGCGAGTGGTTCAGCATGGCGACTAGATCTTGACATAGATCGCGTGCTAGGTCGGCCGTAACGATATGCGAAAGTCCGTTGACGGCAATCCCAATTTCGAGGGGGGAAGACGAAGCCAAGTCCTGTAAAAATCGTATATACAATTGGGTGTTTTAGAACGTTCGGCTGCGCACAGTGCCGAACGCCAAATGATCAAAAATAAGAGCCAGATGGAAACAACGGAGCGATCAGTACCTTTTTGATTAAATTGGTAGTAAGCATAAGCACATCCGTGTCTTGCTGAAACGATTGCGTGGCTGCCAAGTAACCCGCCCGTTTATGTAACAGTTTTGGACTCGACATTACTTCGACTATATGGAAAGATGCCCAGGACATGTCGTAGCCAAGCATTTGAAGCTACAGATAGATTACAGCAAAACAGGCAGCGCATTAAGTTTCCTTGTAGACTTTGTGGGAGTAATTATAAAAGTTCCCGTCCACGGGTGTATCAAGAAATACTCGTAGCTTACATAGGTCAGCTTGGCGACCGCGACGCCTTTGATATCGATATCGTTCGACTTGACTTCATTACGTATTTCTTGTAAACACACGGCAATGTATTTCTGCTCGTTCTTTTTGTTGGCGCGAATCCCACGAATGAGATCCGTCAGCGATTTCTCAAACATAATTTGAGTGTTTGGAAAAGAAAGGGACGAACGAGCTCAAAAGACACAGGAATCAGTCAGGCGAGTGAGCTTGGCTTATGCGGAGATAAAAGCCGATGTGTTTCAGGTCGTGATAAGTTCTGCCACTTGTTTACATTAACCACAGCGTCAAATAAACCGGAGAACATATAAAAATGATATGATAGAGTGCAAAAGATATTGCGAAAAGCAGTTGTACTTTGCAGACTATAATTTGGTATTTACCGCAACACTTGAATGTAAAGAACAACACACGCCACACCTGTATAGGTTTATCTCAAACTTACGATTTTAAGGAAGATGGTACCGCCTAATATATGAAAGTATCTTCTCTAACTTGGAATATTTTGTTGATAGCCCAGGTAAAAAAAAACTCACATGGAACAGAAGTATGTACTGATAAGCGGCGAAATGGTATTACTACTAAATGCTCTTCTTTTTCTTCGTGAACTATCTCACCCGAACTTGCAGTTACTATGATAATGCAGCATTGCTAGGTACATACCACATACAAAAGTAGAGAAGGTATATAACCCATTAGCGAAAAATTAGTTTTTAAATCTGATATCTCACGGGTCTATCGAAACAACGAATAATAATTTATTTCCCTCTGAAGTGGAATTCACCATCCCATCACGTTAACCGTCAGTGCGACAGTTGGTTATACTTTATACACTTACCAAGCTATATTTTGAACAATTGTAGATTCATATTCATATTTTTGCTTTGTTCATATTATTACTTTCCTCAGGTGCAACGAGGATTATTGACTGATGAGAGGCGCACTCGGTATGAGCTATTATCCAGAAAAAATCGTCGCTCTCTGTAACTACTACAGTCATAAATTAAAAACCACTGCTGAGGTCGTACTGATGGGAGCTTATATTGATTGATATCCTACTTACCATAGTTACGTACTACTACATCAAAACTTGAGCATCTAATAAAGGAGCTGTATAAATGTATATAACATCCCGTATCAACAACAAACCACTGCGCACCGTCGAATCAATCTAGTATCTTGGGATTCCATTCACCTGTCAGGGTATTGACGGTCAACAACTTATCAGCCAACGCACCACCAAAGCAACTGTGAAGGAATGGCTCCCTTGCGAAGACTCAGCGTCTACCAATATGGCATGGGTCTTTGGCCCGCGTTACGAACATATCGAGCTTTCATCCTCCCGGTTCTTGAACTCGGCCGCCATATCAGCCACCCAACTCAAAAAGGTACATCAAAGACAAAAGAACTGCGTCAAGACCTGGGCAATGTGACTTCATCATCATACCCACATCCCTCACTACACTCACAGCGTCTATAGACAGCTCTTCTCTCTCCTCCTTCTCACATCCTCACTCCACTCTTCCTTTCCTTTTTTTCCACTTCGTTCCTCTCCTCGTCAAACATCTTAATACGGTTTGACTTTTCCGTCTTCAGAAGGGGGTTTTTAGTTGAAGCACCACCCCTCTATCTTCTTATCTACTTTCTTTCTTAATCCCCGCACCGCAAGAAAGCGACAAAAATGTTTAAGCGTACCGTCATTGGCCTTCTAATAAATATAAACTTTAAATTACAAAAGTATATAATATGGTTCTTTAGATATGGGAGGTATACAGTGCCTGCTGCTATACAATTACTTTTATTTGAGATAATATATTACATTACAATTTTACACGAAAGTAGAGAATAAAAAGGTGGTTTTTTTTAAACAAGATTACAGTGATATGCGTATTATGTACGATTAGGGTTCGTATTCTTGTTCCTTCTTGTTTCCATCTTCCTTTTGCATGTATTCGTTTAACTGCTTCTCATTTCGGCCGATGGCGTCTTCCTCCACATCTTTCTGGTCTTGCTTGTGATGGCAGATATAGATAAGAATGCAGCAAACGAAAGCAGCGCAAGAAATACCGGTATACATCCAGGTAAGCTTAGGATCGACGGCAACAGAGACCAAGGCAAAGGCCAAGATGGAGGCAATGCAGTTGGCGAACAAGAAAAGAGCCATGACAATCGACTTCATGGATTGAGGAGCCTTTTTGTAAGCATACTCCATACCAGTAATCTAAATTATAGGATGTAAAGGAAGACAGATGATGATTAGTAAATTGATTACTTTAAACGATCAAAAGTAGGCTTGAGATAACCAATTGTACATATACTTACCGAGGCAAAAATTTCGGAAGTGGCGATAAAGAAGTAAGAGGGAATTTGGTAAGCAGCAGAGATCCAGTTGGGACCATCAGGGTGATCATAGTTGGGCGCCGTCCCGTAAATCTTGGATTGGATACCGGCAGTGTAACCCCTATTTAATAAGTAAAAAGAGGTTAACGATCACATATACCGCTAAGAAATAAGCGAGAAGACGAAACTTACATGGCAACTGCGGCAAAGAAGAAACCGATGGTAATACGCATAATAGGGCGCATGGGCATGTTAAAGTGACGGAGAAGAGGATAGATAATTCTATCCATCAATGGAATCAAAATGATAAGAGCAATGGGGTTGATGTTTTGCATAATATCATTGGGCACGCTGCCAGTCAACATGGTACTGGCCTGGGAAACAAGGTTGTTGGTCATTTGAGAGTAACAGAGCCAGTAGATTGGGTACCAGCAGAAGACGATGCAGGCTTTAAGAGTACGTCTCAGCTCGTCAACGAAGACATCATCATGGGTCACCTTTTCAGCAATATCGGGATGGGTTACAGCCAAGTTGGAAGGTTTGCATGCTTCAAGACCGCCCTTGACCTTGAATGAAGCAAGGTAAAAGAGTTTACCAGCTTCCACGAAGACAGAACCACGGGGTGGATTTTGGACATAGCGCTTGCGACCCAAAAGCACGACGGCAATACCAGGAATGAACATGAGAGTTGGCAACAAGAAAGCAGGCCAGAAGCCGACGTTTTTTTCCAATTCCGTGGTGGCAATGGCGGACAGTGAGCCAATGTTGATACCCCCTATAATTATACAGAAGTACTTTAGTCATCTTGGAATCGATTTTTTAGACATGCGTGGTGAAGATTAGCTCGCTTAAAAACATACAGTAGAACATGTTGAAAATCTTTTGGTATGTTGCTTGAGGAGTGACGATGACACGATTGCCATTCTTCAAAGTTTTGACGTAGGGAGAGCGGCTACGGTATTGTTCGGCAACAAGGGGCGAGACATTGGCCTTGATACCACCGGTACCAAGACCAATGATGATGATTGCAACGATGTAGCCAGGGAAAGCACCTCCTGAATCGATGGATGTTGGGATGGAAGTACAGGTGAGGATAATGAGACCAACGAAGTAGATGCAACTGAAGTAAAGAATGGTTTTGTATTTGCCAAGATACTGGTCGGCAATGATGGCAGCGATAATCTGGTGCATAAAATGGGTGGTTAACATCTCAAAACGTTATCTTCTGTATAAGTACTATGTGAGAAGGAGAAGTCGAAAAAGCTACATACTGGAGTAATGTAACACCAGAACTGGAAGAAGGTCGTCAAGGCAGTAGCAGTTTGTTGACCCTTGCCCATGGCACCGGGCTGATCAGCAGGATCTGTTTACACAAGATGATGGGTTTTCGACCAAACTGTTTAGTATTTGAAGATATTACGATAAATAGGCATGCTGATAGAGAAGCAGTAGACACAGCAGCAGCAGATGCAACAACAACACTGGTAATTGTAACTTACATTCGCCGGGATCGGGATGCTGGATATAGTTCTGGAAAGGGCCACTCAAACCATAGTACGTAAAACGTTCGCAAAATTCGATCAAGATGACAAGATACGCAGATGCAGGGACATTGTCGGCAACTTCACGCAGGTTTTTCCAGTCTTCTTCTGTAGGTTCAGGGCCCGTTTCTTCGCTCTGCACCTGTTCGAAAGACTCGGAGACACTGAAATGGTCGAGTTGCTGCTCTTTGAGCTCGGCGGCAGGTCGCTCGACTTTCTCGTCCATCGGAGTGATTATGTATGTGTGGAGTAGATGGAAGAGAATTAAAAGGTTAGGGAAGATGCGGGAGGAAGAGAAGATGAGGAAGAGAGAGAGAGAGAGAGAGAGAGAGAGAGAGAGAGAGAGAGAGAGCGAGCTACAGCAAGTAAAAATATTTTTTTTCGGTTGCTTGCGCGCGCCAAACGTACAGTCTACACTGAGCGGTAACGGGATGGAAAGGGAACCAACTGAGTTATAACGGGACCATTTTTTTCCTTGATTGAATCGCTGCTTTTTGAAACACGGCATCATTACCGAGCGTCCGTTTTTCGTTATGAGGGAATATTACCACAACGGTTGCATTAGAAATGGATCTGGTAGCGTAGCAAAATTTGTTGCGCGCGAGAAAACATGTTTCCTGGGTTACTACCTTCAATATGCTTTTGTGTGCCAATGGCTTTCGGGCTGTCTGTCATCTCGGCATATGACCGAATTCAATTTAAATTCATCAAAAATGGTAATAAGCATTCATTCTGGTTGGTCCAGCGTGGGAAAACGATTTCAGCCGCCGATTTCTGACTCTCTTGTGGTTGTGCATATTACTATGTATTTTTTAGTACATCTCCAGAAAGTCTGTCTCCACGGCGGCAAAGTTTGCTGACCACATGATCAAAAACCGGAGATGTCATAAAGAAGTCGCATTTCATACGCGTATTCGTAAAGGTAGATTTCATGCTGAAATGTCAACACTAAAGCTTAATTTTAGACCGTGGTAAAATTGTTCCTAATGAGGATATGAGGGCTACGCCAAGAATGGATAATTTATACACGAGAACGGGAAATGTTTGTTTAGAAAACCCTTGATTTTGAACAAAACATTATCTTATCAGCAAGAGTTTCCTCCAATCAGCGTTTTGCGGGTTAATAGGGTCCGGGCTCAGAATTCTCAGTTGCTTAAATCCACCAATAAAGTGTTGGCAGCAGCTCGAAATATAGAAAAGGGCCGCCGACCCGCTTGATACTTTAACGCCATCCCGAAGGTGAAACTTATATATGATGATCTCCGAATGTTCAAGGGTGCTGTGTAGATAGTATGAAAGTATGTGCTAGACAATTTAGGCCCAATAAAAATTCGCGATTTATGGCGTTTGTGATCGATTGCGATTCTGCTCAGTACATATAGCGACAGTGTCAACTTTAAAAAAAAGATACAGGTGTACAGTAGCACGAAACGCATTGCGGATGCTGTTTGTACCATGTAATGACGTCGTATGGCCTGCAAAAACAGAAAATACCCAGCAACGCATTGGCTAAATCTATTGTGGAGCATTCTACTTTTCACAATCAACTAGAGCCGCCAACACAATTTATTATGGATGTCTAAATACTCGAGTAACTGATATGCCGGCGATATGGGAATAGCGTTAATACCAGTTTTCATATCCTGTACGTATCTGACTACGTGGCACTGTACTGGCTGCTATGTATTGGGTTTTAACATCACGTAATAAAAATTATCAGAGTACGCAGTGGAGATCGATTGGCGAGATTCTCAAAGTTATATGGAAAACAATGCTTTGCTGTTGATAAAAGGGTCTTCTTTGCTCTTCAAGAAGCCTACTGGGTTTTCCCTAATGGTTGGCGCTGGAAGTAAACCAAGTTGGCGCCAAAAGATGTGATATGAGGCTTCTTGTCATTTTCAACTTGGCGCTACCGCGTCTTGTGCAAGACGGGCCGTCGCCTTCAATTTGACGTGACCAGCATACCCTTTGGCACCTCAACTATTTTGACATGACGCGAGAAGTATTCAATCCAATTAGTATTGATATTTTGATCATAATAATAGAAAATTAAAATCCTTTTTTTTAAAAGATGACTGCAGTACTTCAGGCAGCCGTTACTTTCCTTAGATGTGTAATGATTGTATTTAAATGCACTATACGCACGCTAAATTATACGAAGACTCATCCGCTTATGTTCCTCCCTCATTATAAAGGATGGAATCAATGTATACAATAGCAAGAAGTATTAAACTAAGAAGAAGATTAAGATGTTTACGAGTATTATTGAAAAAGATAGTTGTTTTAACTTTTAACCCTCGCTGACTTCACACTAAACGAGGTAATACAATAATATATATAAACCATGCATTTTTTTCTACTTGGAATGTTGGTATGTCCCTCTCCGGCAGTCGCTAAGTGGGTTTTCAAGTCAGGGTTATCGGAGAGGAGGACTTGTGCGTTACAATCGTTAATGGCGCTGACATGTGGGAAATTATCTGCAACGATTTTAAATATTCTTGAGTTATTTTCTTATATAAATACTGTATCTTCATTAGTTATGGTAATATTCTATTTAGATTTATAAGTACTGTAGAAATAAAACGAAGTCGTCGATTTGGTTGTAAGGCCCGCTAGTCCAAAATAACAAGCACAACTTATCGGTGGTGGAGACAATTCAACATACTATTAAACAGACGAGTTCCTGAGCAAAGGATGTTATCTCTTCCTTTTTACATGTCGTGTTACCCCTTTACAATATATGGCTTCGAATTCTCTCTTGACAAAGTCTCGTGTGAGGAGAGAGTGATCGCTAGCGTTGGCTACCGGAGAGGCAGATACTTTTTTGAACAAGTACATGTGCTGTAGTAGCTTGACTCGGGATTCATGATCTTTAGTTTTATGTCATGTTTTCCTGATGTATCCAATGGCTGTGTGCCCGTTCTTCCGCGGACCTTCGAAATAGTACTAATAAGATGGTTTAGGCAAAAATGTAGCTACATGGTTAATAATAATTCCTTCTGCAGGTCAATCAGCATCAGGAAATAAACAAACTGATAAAGAATTAAATATTCGATATATATAGCGTTCCAATGTAGTCGCGTTTCAAGAGCAAACGCCGATCGCGTAGATGATGTTTTGTTGGGGCTGTCTCCAATACTCTCCTCTTCGCTGTAGTGGTCATTGAGTAGTTTTTTGATTTCAAGCACCACCGAGATAATTTAATAACGGTGTAATCGGTCAAGTAATTTTGTTTCCATAATAAAGCCAGAGCATCATGCAAAGATACGCTACAGCGATCGCCCGCGTTAAGATCACTCTTAGATGAGTTCAACCCTCAGTGGTATCAACCTTTTTGATGGGACCATTAAAAATAAGAAAGCATATAGTTTCTATATAAATCCCACGCTCTTTTGAACCGTCATTAGCTTCAATCTAAAGTCCCCTTTTACGGTTGATCTCAACGGGGGACCACTGTAGTTGGCTACATGAAATGCCTACCATGATGGTATTCATTTTCGTTGCGATGGTGTGCTGCTCTTCTTGGGGTACTAGAGAATGTAGAACAGATCAGAGCTGACGGTGCGCGTACAGATAAAGTTCGCTTTGTAGGGTTAGACCTGTAACAAATATAGATGTCCTCTAGGTTGTCGATTAACTTGGAATACTCGACAACGTTATATTATTGTATTACATACTCTGCAGAATAAAAGTCATAATTAACTTGTTCTCTCTTAAAAGTAGTCATGACAATGCGAACATGGATTATATGAGCCGCCTTTCGTATGGCAAGTCACGCCTCTTATTGACTCTGTCTTTTTTGTTTCGATGTATACCACCGCGGAATCCACACCAACTAATATGCTTAGTAAGGTCTAAGCAATCTGTATGTTTTCTCTGCAAAAGAATACAACGAGGCAAATGTCACCAATAGACGACAAATCGACACAGCACCGAGTTCTCGCTCAAATATAGCAATCTCTGGTAAGAGGGAAAAACTATAGACTATAACAGCTGCTGGCATGCTCTTGCCTTCAGGATGTTGGTTGCCTCAAAAGGAGTGATGTAGTATCACTAGCGATTTGCTTTTGTAACTTTTGATGGATGGTCGTCATTATTTTAAATCGAAGCATAATAACTTACTGTCTACTCTGCAGGGGGTTTTGGAAATAATTAGTTTTCTTTATTTCTGGCCACTGGGGTAAGTAAAGTATCTGGTACAAGTAATAGCACTCCAGTAATAGAGATTGAGTGATCGCTTGCTCGTATTGGAAGCATCAACTTTAGCTCATGATCTTTTTGCTTATCACGTACAACGCTAATTGATAAGAATCTTTCACTATCATATTTTCTTTCCGGTTTTTAAACCAGGAGACATGGCTTTGATTCTTCCATTTCAAACACTTAGCAAATGCTTGTAAGCTCAATGAATAGCTTCAAAGCGAATGAAAATGATGTATGCATTTTTACTGAACTAAACGGCTACGAACGTTCATTTCATTTTAATTTTCCATGTGCCTGGAGATACCGGGCATAACCATCTGACAGGCCTTTTTATGGATGGATCGGCGGCTAGGTAAGCCAACTCCGTACGTGCTTGAGCCATTTTTTTCTTATGCTTCTTCCGAGATCTCTCAATCGAAAACGCAAAGACAATAACAATGATGCTGCTCTTGCCACGGATAATCAACAGCAAAAACGTCGGATAAATGCTACCGTTGCTGGCAATCCCGACACTACCTCTCGATCTGAGGTTTCAAATGTGTCACTACCACCCCCATCACCGATTATTTCTACGTTTCACGATTCCCGTACATCGAATGACGACGACGACGAAGACGTGCCGATCAAGCAATATTCTTCGCAGCAGCGATTAGTAATCCCCAACAGCGACGAACCCAACTGCGTAATATGTGGCAAGTACGGCGAATATATCAACGACGATACTGACAATGATATATGCAGCCGCGAGTGCAAGCTCATCGACACGGATATGAACGGACCCTTACGAACACCCGTATCGCACAAGCATGAGCCACAGCCATCAACACTTGTTGCAGTGCATCAGTCTGCTTCAGTGGCTGAAAACGTGCATGCTAAATTGACCAACTATCAAGAGTCACCTAGCGTCGCAAATATGCCGCAGGATCAAATCAAGTCTATGCTCCAAGCACACGAAATCCACGTCAAAGGCAGCAGTATACCCCGACCTATTGTATCGTTTGATCAGTGTCGTCAAGCACTTGGCCAACGGCTTTTGGACAATTTGGATCGACAAGGTTGGTCAATGGCAACAAGTGTCCAACGACAAGCTGTTCCTGCTATGCTAGCAGGACGAGATGTGGTTGTCATATCTCCTGCAGGTTCAGGCAAAACATGCGCATTTGTCTTGCCCATTTTAGCGCATTGTCAATCACTCTCTGCCATGCACCGCCACAAACGACGCTCAGGTCCCTATGCGCTAATCCTTTCACCGACCCGCGATCTGTGTGCTCAGATCGAAAATACCATTAAACGCCTAGCCAAAGGAATCCGAAATATACGAACGGCGCTGCTTGTCGGTGGTGAGCCATGGCCGGACCAGTTGCACCGACTGCGCACAGGTGTACAAATCGTGGTTGGAACTCCAGGCCGGGTCTCGGATATGGCAGCCTATCATCCACACATGTTACGGGTATGGCGTGCACGGATGCTGATTTTGGATGAAGCGGACGTACTCTTTGCATCGGCCATGAGGAAGCAAGTGCGATTGATCTTAAACAAACTACCCGACAAGATTATCCGACAATTCGGCTACTTTTCGACCAGCATAAATCCCGAACAGTCCAAAATCGTCAAGCGAATGTTGCACCCCATTGAAATAAGCGTCGGGCAACCGGATGAAAAGGTGGAAAAGAAGGCAGTGCAGCAGCTCGCATCCGTCACAAATGTCAAACAAACAATCTTGTGGGTCGAGAATCCAAGCAAAACAAAACGTTTGCTGTCGATCCTTGACGACCCGAAATATTTCAGCGCGCCTGTGCTGGTATTTGCAGAAAGCAACTTGGCCGTGATGAATCTTGCACAAACGATTCACAAAAAGAAGAACTACAAACATTGGCGTGTGGTTGCCATGGATGCAGAAAAATCGCTCAAGGAAAGGGCTGCTATATTGGAAGGGATGAATATAGACCCGCCAGAATGGGATGTAGTTATATCGACGGATGTACTTGCTCGCGGAATTAATCTGCCAACGGTTAGTCTGGTGATCAACTACGATATGGCAAAAACAATACCAGATTATGTCCACCGGATAGCAAGAGCCGTGATACCTGAATCTCCAAACACAGCTATTGGCAGGAAAACAAGAAAGCATAGTCGCGGTTGGGCAATCACATTTATCAACAAGGTACAGTAACTTCTATCACTCTTTTTCTCCCTAGATTTGTTGCTCATAGTATACGAAATTCACTTTAGGACCATCAAAAGCTGTTTTCACAGCTCTACCAAGGGCTTTCCAACAAATCACCCGTGGATGTCACGCCACTACCATCTGAACTTAAAAAACAGCAATTGTAAAAGAACCATGAACGATGTTATATAATTTGGCTAATATGAGGCGAGGTGTGTGTGTGTGTGTGGGATGTGGGATGATATGTACAGTATTTGCAAACTAGTAATAAAACATGACAACTTGTATATAGAAATGCATTCTTTCTGGTATTCAGCATTAGTAATAATCAATAGTATCATTTCTTCGATTGATGTAATAACGCATACGAAAGCTTGCAATGAAAGAGGCATGCTTGCTCTTGTCGAAAATTCACGTCGCTAAGCATCTGCCCTGGTAGCTTTTTTACCATAGCCCCGTCGCGCTCAGTATCAAATATAGGTTGATATGTGAATTCCCGAGTCGGTCCATCTTGGCGGTAGAGTTTGAATTGAATAGCTATGTACACATATACGCAAACGAAGGGTATAGAACTAATTATTTAGCATGATTATACACGCAAAAATAGAAATCAACCTTTCTTCGATACTCTTGTACCCTAGCTATGACTTACTTCCATTGCTTCCACTCTGAACACAGTTATACACCTGGCCATTGTTTGTATCTTTTATATCCGTGACCAGCAACCCCGTCAAGTCTTCATACGTCTCAACGAGATGCTTGATACGTTGATCATCGTTCACGTATTTTGACATCCCTTGATCGTTTCTTTCGGATTCAAGACGTTCCACTATGTAAAAAGTTCGACTTTAGTTCCCCACACTTGATTACCCATAATGCAACTGCTGGTCATTCTTAAACAAAACAGCGTCATACCCTTTGCTTTTAATATGTCAATTTCTTTCGTCGATTGCTCTTTTTCGGTATCCCATGCTTGTTGGATTCGCTGCTGTTGTAGAGTGACATCGTTCTTGAAGTCACGAATTTCCTTTTCTCTCTCATGATATACCCTCTCTTTCTCTTGCAGGACACTTTCCATTTCTTGAAGCTTGTTTTCCTTGTCATCAAGCGATCTTTGTAAATGCTGAACCCTATTGTCTGCTTCTGAATATTCGAACAAATGTGAAATGATATCAGTTACGAATTACCCTCATTTCCTTACTCTTCTTTTCTATATAGTGGTTACCTTGGAGCTGCCGATTCGCTGTTTCTTTGAGACGTAAAATATTTTCCTCAGCTTGGGTATATCGCAGATTCACCAGCTCGTCATATTTTCGTTGTAATTGTTCCAGCTATATATAACACGACGTTAAGTCAACCATTAGCATCCGCCTCCAGAGCAGACAGAGTGAAAACATCAATCTATGAAATATCAAAGGTACAAATCAAAATCTACCTGTTGTCGTAGATCAAATTGTGCAGGAGGTGCAGCAGCCGTATATGTTGGTGCTTGAGAAACGCGTCGACGAGTTTTTGGTCTTTCATACGGCTCTTCTCGCACATCGTCAATATATTCTTCATCAATAACACGACTTTTTGGATGTCGTCGTTGGCTTGGTGCTGTCGGATAGCCATACAAGAGATCGTCCTCTTCTACTTCAACTTCATCCATCTCGCTGAAATATTGCGTTCGTGTTTGTGGTGCCTGAATGCGATGCTGTCGATTGTCCGCTATGTCTCGATGAGGAGTGGTCGCCGGTTGAGAGTACTGAGATCGGGATGGGCCATTCTCGCGTTCAGAAAAGTAGTTGTAGTCATCAACTACTGTTACTGCTGCTGGCACTGTTCATTGAATTTCGCAATTTGTTTAATATCATGCATTTGGAGTTTGCCCTACATTTAAACGAACTCACCGGCATGTTCAGGCGATTTTATTCGTTTGTTTTGTTGTGATGTTGCTGGGATTAGCCCTAAAAAAAGTAAAATGTTTGACACAGTCAATCGCTTATTATTCAGGTCCAAACGTACGGCCAAGCACTTATTCCTGATCAGGTCGCCTTACGATTAAAGGCAGGAAAAAAGTCGTTGTCTTCCTTGTCGGTATGTTGCTTCATAGCCTGTTGAAGTGCTCGTCCCTAAATGAAGTTGAGAGCTTACATGAGTTTCTAAATTATATTTTTTCATGCATTGGAGACGAGAGAAGAAGAGAAACAATACCCTATGCATCGTGAAAAGTGAGGAAAAAGAAGTTCCTTTTAGTGTAGGCTTATAACGAAAACGGCAAACACGCGACTGAGCGGGCTTTACTACAGGATTTTCCATTGTCCTCGCATCGATAATCATAATTATAGCTGGGAATGAAAGAAGCACGTAACGTGTTAAAGGCATGAAAGGATGGTTATGTGAGATGGATCAAGTGCTCGAAGTTATTTTTTGATAATCTCTAAAAAAATTGCTGTGGTTATCTGTTATACTTTTTTTTTACTTTATTCATGGAATTAAGTACAGGAGCGCAATATCCCTCGCAGCTAACGGAAAGCAAAATCGCTGGCGCAAAACGCAAATTTGCTTCCCAAGCAGCGCAAAATCTTCTATATACATTGTTATTGACGTACAAGCGGTTCTACTTGACGCATAAAATCTGGAAATCCTGTGGTAGCATTTATACGACCGGCATAATAGCAAATTAACAGTTACTACACGATTACACACTATCTCGTAAAGTGTGCGATGGTGTAGTTCACAGTCATACACGAGCTGTTGTAGTAGTGTACGTTTTGCTTGTATCGTATTTTGATGGTACCTAACTTTTTTATCATGTCCGGATAATACAAAACTACGTATTTCAAAGCTTCGTTTCCCCAAGACTGGAACAGAGTGCTACAGCATTTGACCCTACTCTCGATTGCTTCGTCAATCTCGACCTTAACACTGGCTGGGCAATGAAAAATGTCAATAGCAATTTTTGAACGCGAAATGGAAGATCATCTTTTCGACAAGACTTTGTCATACACATATAACCTGACGAACGAAAGAAGGATTCCGCACAGATGCATCGAATCAATTGCGCAACTTCGTTTACCAATCGGTCACCCAGCTTTATCACGGACGCCGACCTTACAAACGAGGAGGACCAATGTACGATGTTACCAATTTTGTTGCTGATTTCCTGAAACAGACAGCACAGCATTTTTGTGATTTGTTCACTTTTCCATTACGCTCGGTACAATATGTGCTTTTTATGATAGAGCACTGTTGGTTCATTGAAACAAAGCCAACGAGTATGCCTTGTTTAATAGCGATTGTCCCAAATAAGGTTGACAAGTACGCTCTATCAACATCGTCGAAACGATGTAAGAGGCGGTCATGGACATGATTGGGAAGCCCAAATCGAGAACCATGGTTTCTAATGCGAGAAAACAGCCTTGCAGTATGGAGTTCCACGCAATAAAATCCCATTCATTTGTATCGTTGATAAATTGAGTTGCGTACCAAGCCGAGCTGATAACATGATATTCCCATATATGATTCAGCTGTATTTTCTGCAGTATCAATTGCTTGCCAAGATACACTCGCCAGTTGGTAACGGACCCCACTTCAAAACAACAGCAAGTCTGGACAATTTGCCACGTCTCGGAATCCGTATTATCAAAGAAGATGGAAAGTCAATTCGAATACCATTTCTCTTTAATTTAAACCCTCTTATTGCGGTGTATAGGAAAAAAATAACTTACTACAAAAAATATAACACTAAATATTATTATGATTCATATGCATGCCAAACACATGTCTATACACGATGTAGATACAGAGATACATGATAAACAGGCGGATGCAGTGTATGTGAGTTGCATAACTGCTTAGTACACGATCAATGACTGCGCACGGACGTTTGACAGTGTAATCGTTTAGTAACTGCTACTGATTAGACGGCAGAAGGAAAAGCGGACGAGAGATATACTGCAAGCTAGATTCATCTTGGCGCTTGCGGCGCTCTGTGGGCTCTGTAACGTTTTTTGTCGCATACAAAGCATTCAACAGCCGGATTAAAAATCACAATGGCGGCACAAACAATAAGTTACAACAGAGACTTGGCAGCGCAGAAGCAGATACGGTGCAGATTACAAATGATTATCGAAGTAGCAAAACATGCCCAACATGTCACCATCCGATGAAACTGCACAAGTATCGTATCGATGAAAAGCTCAAGATGGCAAACGGTGCGCTTCGGTGCATCAACGGCAATTGTCTGCATCATCGAAAAAGCACGTTTGGACGTGATGAAGCGGCGGGTTACAATATATCGATTATTGGTGTATCCAAAGCAATATCGTCCGACAACAAGCCACTGCCCATCTTCTCGCCATCAAAACACCGATCTTTCCAAGTCGCTTCCCATATGAAGCAGTACCTGACGTGACTCTAGTTCGCCGAGCTCATTAGTCTGCAGCGCGATGCTGGATAAAAAATAACGAACGCTCGTATTTTTTCATTATCAGTTTTTTATAAAGAGATTGGAATACCCGCGTCAGGAATTAGAGATGGTTAATTTGAACAAGCGCTGTTAAGCTGCATTTGATAGCTGAAACTATGTCGTATGACAACCTAACTTACAAAATGGAAGATGCAAGTTCATGTTGTCCTACCTATTTTTATGTTTGTAACTAGGATCATACATAGCACTGTGCATACCCAAATTACTGCTGGCGTGTTCTGTGACCACAATTGCGGCAGCACAAAAGCTGATGATGTATGCTTTAGGGGGATGCAGCACTGACATTACATTCTAGACTAATTCGGGTGTCTAATGGGCAGTACTTTTGCTGAGCCACTTGATACATGGCAGAAAATATTAGACCTGAAGTCAAGCACAAGACCTTGAAGGAAAAATAAATGCTGCCTAAATGCATGCAATGTGTTGCACGTATGTGGTCATCTTGTGGAGGGATTCCAGTGACACTGAAACAAACTTACATTTACAAAGCCAAGGAGAGAACGCAACCAAGCTAAGTCGGGAAGATAAAGTGGTACAGATAGTAACAAACAACAGCAGTTAGTAGGATTAGTAGACACTATATTGAAATAAAAGAGGTGAACCTAATGTTTTTGCTTTTGTCAATACTTTTACTGAAATTCTGATTCAGTATGTAATAGTTTTCCTTTTCCTAGTTTAATGTCGTAAAGTATACTCCATCTTCACTGTCGTACTTTTCAATGTATGCCTCTTCAAATGCTACTATATACATATATATATATCGGCCGTATAATGGTGGATATTGGGCTGGTTATTCCATAAATATCAGCAGCTTGTGGCCCAGCAGCAGCAAACTTGTAGATTGACCTTCTTAGTTTCTTTCTTTACTACATAAATACAACAACCAATAAGAGGATCAATGAATCGTAAATAACGGAAGCAGACAAGTTCATTCCCTTCAACATACAGTGTGATTTGTTGTATGAAACAGTTGAATGGACCAGTCTAAACTCACATCATCGATTACGTTTGACAGAAAGAAGAATGCGAATCAGCCATAATGTCAACAAGAAGCTGTGGGGATACTGGGCGAATGGTTCTAATCATCCGGATCCACAAATGTACTACACAGTATGAGAAGAAAACTCAACACATGTGAAACGGATCAAAAACACTAACATTTCTGATTTTTGTAGATTATCTTGTCTATTTCGCACGCCCTTTTTTTCCAAAGGAAGTCAGAGAACAACAAAAACGTAAAAGAAAAAGTCATCCAGTCAAACTAAGATCATTCCACTATATCCCTACCAACCAGCTGCCCAACCTGCTGCCCAACCTGCTTTTCCTTTTGTTGGATGAGAGAGGGGTAGGCTGATACGCATACGTAAGCGGTACTCATTGTTGTTTTCCCCTTCTGATTCATGAAACACCCACGGTACAAAAAGGTGGAGGATGACTTGAAGGACCACACTTACGGACGACGGGGTGAGATGATGATAGCTCCCACGATAAATGAGTATTTTCTACCAATATTGATACTGCTCATCCGTGCGAAACTTATAAGCACTTGTATTGGCTACCTCTTGTCCATGTTGTCTGTCTCTACTGGTAACACATCGTTATGGATCCCCGTTTTGCTCTTTGGGAGAAGCCAAATGAGATGCCCACTGTCAACAATGATTTAGGCAATTTCGCTATCTTTTCACAGACCGATGGCTAGCTACTGATCGTGTAACAAGACTTTATTCTTTTCCCTCCATTTACCGAGGATAGCAAAAAGACACACAAAAAAAGTGAGCGAGGAAAGATAAGAAGCTTATGATACGGACAGGTTCTAAAAATGGCTTTTTAAATATGCAGCACCGATACCTTATTATTCGAACCTTTGAATGCAATCATAAGGTTTTGTGATTTATCAAGCTACTTTGCGCTGCTTCAGCGATGATAGTCGTAAAGATAACGTCGCCATTCAAATCCGTAGAAAAAGTGGCTACAAAAGATCTGAAGCTTCTATTGATTTGGAAGCAGCTTCTGAAAGATAGAAAGCGGCAAAAAAATGAAAAAAGGTACGACTTGCGCGTATCTCGTTATTGCCGTTCTGCTTCAGCCAATAAGATACAGTTTGCATGTGTATGGTCAGTATTTGTTTATGTCTGTTTTTATATGTAATCACCCGAGCATTGGGGAAAGCAACAGCTAGAGAATGATAGACTTATTTTGTGCCGTATCCTTTTCATTGTCACAAAGCAAAAAGGGTTCAGGGTGCTGTTAAACATGCACGGTCTGTGCGACAATAAGGTTCAGTATACGCACACTTTTGATTAATATCATTATCCAAAAGACGAAGGGGTAGTAGGGTGGGCTGAACAAGATGTTATAACAAAGTATTTCGATTTTCTTCAGTAAGCTTTGTTGAAGCAAAGGACGGTGCTGGTGGGCATAGTGCTGCAGCAAAGAACAAAAACAAAACGTTCTACAGGATAGTTTCTCGGGAAGGTCATTTGCTCTTATGGTATCTGTCGCCCACTTATCTCTGTCGCAACAAAAGCGTCTATACTTGGGTTCTCTGTCCCTCTCGTGATTTCTCAGAAGCAAACGAAGCACAAACCTTCGATTTTGTGCTACGCCAGACCATACGTCTTGCAGGCGAAAACTCACTTGTGGTCCTTGGCAACTTTACAAATACGGAAAGATGTGTCCAAACGACACAAAAAAGAAAACTTCAGAGCGTCGATGGTGGTCTCCCTTCCCCCACCCCCACCCCCAAACTTAGTAAAGAGACAGATGGGCCAACCGACTACAGCAGCAGTCAGATTATGTATTATCGTCTTTAATTTGTTCGGCTTCTTTTGTTGAATGTCAAATTTGTTTGGCATGATCCAAGAGTCATTATACATTTTGATTGATTTCAACTTTCTTGTTTTTTATTTACCATTTGAAGTAGAATGGGGATAAAACTAAATTAAAACATTTTGACCGTTAAAGAGAAGAAAACAATGCATGCTGGACCCAGATGTGCGTAAATGGTATTATGTTGCTCTAAATATACTAAATCCTCCTCCATTCTGCCTATGAACTGAGCAGTGCAGGTTATTCGGCAAGCAAGCCGTTCGTGATCCGTATCGCCATCACACACTGAGTGGCTGTCTCTACCACAAGTATGTATGAATTCATGGGGCTCATCCTTTGGATGTTTTTTACATGGCAGTTTGTACTTCATACCTCATTTAAAAACGAAACTACCCAATGAAACAGCTTGTCTTGGGCCCCCAGCCCTCATTAGTTTCTAATGGCACATTAAGAAAAGCACTCACACCCTGACGTGCTACCTACCACAGTGTTTTGGGATAAAGTTTCCCTATTTAATCGAATCAAAGAACCCTTATGCTTCCCATCATATTTAATGTCATATGAGGTACTTTGTCAGACAGAAGAATATGTTATCAAACATCCAAAAGGATAAAAAAGATCCCCAATCAAGCAGCAAAGTTTATCCTTTATCCGTTTTACTTTTATTATGCTGCTTGTTGCCAAGTGGAAATACTACTACTGTGATGGGCGTGATATGGAATAAAACGAGATTCTCAAAGGGCGGGAAGGTAAAATACATCAAGTAAAGGAACGAGGTTACCCTCCTCCTCACATGATAGCGAATCGACCTCTAATCAACTCGTGCCACCCCAATCTTCCTTTTTGAGCTGAAATGTGCGCATGACAGTAAAGAAGAGCTACGAAATACCTATTATGGAACAGGATTGTCAAGAAAAATTGCAAATGATAAAACACTCCTTATCTCGCCAAATAGAAGCATCGGAACGGGCGCACAGAAAAGAATAGCTGGTATTTGATCCGAAAAAGAACTAGAGCATGCAGTAGACCCATATATTGGTGTTGCGTCTACTCTCTCGTGTGTGCCAACTCAATGAGCTGTTGTGTGTGAATTGGAATCGCGTCCCAAGCTTTTGTAAATACGGTATAATAACTTATCGTGTGGCAAAGTTTATATTACGCCCATACTGGTTGTGCGTGATGCATGCATGGGCCGTGCAACCTTGAGAACTTCCCAATGATAGCGTCTGCCACTAGTACTTGTATTCTCTGAGGTGTCTCAAGCCTTGTACAAGAAACCTCAACCCTACTATTCGCTATTATAATACCACTACTTTAACTATTCTCTACTATGACATGGTGATGATGGGCAGATAAAAGCTTGCTTTCTAGCCAGATCAGAAAATAATCTCACGCTCTCTTTTTCTTTCTCTTCACATCTCTTCTTCTTCTTTCCTCACAAACCATGGAAGATAAGACCTACGAGGGTCCTCATGACGCCGGCGTGCATATCGAGGAAGGTGGAAGGCAACAAGGTGACGGCTTCTTTAGCAGCATACAAGCACGCTATGCCAAAGTTGATCCAGCAAGCTATCTGCGTCGTCCTGACGAAACAGGTTTCCAATACTGGGGTCGTCGTCTCGGCTCCTTGAAGCCTGTTGAGCTTTTGCTTGCTGAATATGCAAATACCGAACTGCGACAGTACTTGAACGCGTGGCAGCTTGTCTTCATTGGTATTGGTGCTATTATTGGAACTGGTAAGTTGTACTGCAGCATCCTATTAGTATTGTAGTCGCTGTCGATTCCAGTTCTTCATTAAACCATGAGAGACGCCATGGAAATCAGCTGTGCGGCAAGAGATGATATACAGAAGAAAAGCATGCTCTATGTTGATGATATTAACTCACTATTTTCCACCCATAGGTATCTTTGTACTGTCCGGTCAAGCCGCCGCACAAAATGCTGGTCCTGCCGTTACTGTTTCATTTATTGTAGCTGCCTTCGCTTCAGGTATGTAAACGCTTACGAGTCCTCAAGGACGGGCTCATATCTACCACTACAGCACGGTATATTAACACACTACGTACTTGTAAAAGCCTTTGCTGCACTGAGTTACTCTGAGCTGGCCTCTATGATTCCAGTATCTGGTTCGGCTTATACTTACGCATACGCAACCATGGGCGAGGTAACTTACCTAAACAAATAACGAAAACTTGTATTCCTCTTTGTGCAAATACTAAGCTAAAGACAATTGTCCTATTAGTTTGTTGGTTGGACCCTTGGCTGGGATCTGGTTCTCGAGTATATGGTCGGAGCTGCTACTGGTAAAGTAATCCACATCAGCTACTCTTTCTTTAACGAGCAAAAGAAGCTTTATCAGTATATTCTCTTCATGTGCAACGTCAAGTTACTATCGCTATATTACTTACCACATTGATCCTCACCACTCTTTTATTATTTCTGTAACAATAATAGTTGGTGTCGGCTGGTCCGGTTACTTTAAAAAATTCTTTGAAATATTCGACATTCACTTTGCTAACAGCTGGACCGAACCTACCGTCATTTGGGAAGAGAACCCTGCTCGTATCTACTATGCTGAAGGCCATGCTTTTAATGTCCCTGGTTTCGTTGTCATCATGCTTGTAACCATTGTCCTTTGCGTTGGGTATGTCTCTCATTTTAGAGTCTGTAAAGACATCATTTTTGCTAACACACTTGTTTTCACTTTGCAGTATTCAACAAGCCTCATGGGTCAATACCGTCATTGTCATTATCAAGCTTGTTGTCGTTGTTATGTTTATCTTTGCTCTCTGCGGTTTTGTTGACGAAACAAACTACGATCCTTATGTGCCACCAAACACTTCAGGCGACTGGCATTTCTTTGGTGCTCCTGGTATATTTGCGGCTGCAACAACTGTCTTTTTCGCATACATTGGTTTTGACTCTGTCACCACCGCTGCTATGGAATCCAAGAACCCCAAGCGTGATTTGCCTATCGGTATTATTGGTTCCCTTATCGTCACTACTGTCCTTTACATTGGTTTCTGTACTGTCATGACCGGTGCTGCTCATTATACTGAGCTCAACACCGCTACTCCTGTCATTACCGCCATTGAATTCGTCGAACTCCGTACCGAACGTAGCTGGTTGTGGCTCAAGATCATTACTATTCTTGGTGCCTTGGCTGGTTTGAGCTCCGTGTTGCTGATCACTATGCTTGCACAAACCCGTGTGTTCTACTCTATGGCCAAGGACGGTCTGCTTCCCGCAGTATTCGCCAAGGTCCACCCCCGTTTCAAGACGCCCTACCTGGCCACTATCCTTGTCGGTACCATTACTGCCTTATTGTCTGCTATCTTGCCCGTCGACTTGCTCGGCAACATGACCTCTGTCGGCACGCTTCTGGCTTTCTTCATTGTCCACGCTGGTGTGATTGTGTTGCGTTTCACGCGTCCTGACGTTGAGCGTTGGTTCAAGATTCCTGGTGGCAAATACTTCTTTATCGTTTTCCCAGGGCTTGGTATGGTCATTTGCGTACTCTTGATTGCCGTCGCCGAAGTCTCCACCATTTGGCGTTTGTTTGTCTGGATGGGTGTTGGCTGGATCGTCTACTTTGCATATGGTATCCGCAAGTCCAAGTTGCATCGCGATCCTATCGGTCGCTTTGCTGAGGTCAATGCCCATCCTGAGCAGTCCAAGGAAGAAGTCTATCCTGTCCAGGATTACGACTACCAGGACCGAAGCTAAACATTCTTCCAAAACTAACTCTTTCTCCTTCCCTTTATTTGTAATACTATTTATCTAGTTTCTCTCTCTTACCTTTTCTTATCACTCTCTAATTCCATTGTTATTTACTAAAGAAGCCCAGCATTTCTTTCAGCTGGCTTCGCTTACTCTCTCATTCATAACATGACAAAACCCACCAACACAGTTATACATATGTACTAGCGTCTTTTTTAACCATGCAATATTACTTAAATAAGCTTCTATGCTTTTATCAATAGTAAAAAAAGACATAATGGGATTTATCTAGAAAGCTCAATAGTTTCAAAATAGTTTTCGAGTGGAAGTAGAATTATACATTCAAATTGTAGTTGTATGCAAAACAATATTCTATACAGCCATATATGTATATACTTTTCGTTGTGGTTGTAGTTGGTCGTGATAATTGAGGATGTATATTTGGAGAGAAGAGAAGGCAGGAAAGAGCAGGTGAAAGGGAGGTATGTCGTCGTCGTCGTTATGGTCACCGTTGTCAAATAACAACTGCTTTTAGATCTTGAATCCAAGATCGCGCATGCACTTGAGGTGAGCGTTAATAAGATCCTGGCAGTTCTCCTCGCCATTGTCGAAAATGCATCGATCACGGGCCTTTTTGGTTTCAGGACAAGCACAGCATGGCTTGAGCGGTTTTCCGTCAGCGCCAATAGGCAATTCACCAGAATGAGTTGATGTGGTCTTTACAGGTTCGGCCATGGCTGAGTAATCAAAGAAAACTTTAAAGAGAAAAGAACTGTGCGAGTTATGTCAAAGGGGCCGCTCTCCCCCAGTTTTCGGTTGACTCACCCCGCCTCTTTCGGACAATTTTGAACCCGAGTCTTCCGATTCTTTCTTCTTGACTCTATGCGTCATCCGTCACCAAGAAGTCCCAGCGACATGAGGATATTCATAGAATTATCGATGGTTGCCCTCTTTTATTTTGAAAAATAAGTGTTTGATGTTGTTAAATTATATTCTTCTTTAAAATCATATAATATGTTGATATCGCTCCTCCGCAATATGACGATATTAAATGCTTACTGAACGTTCATTCAGAACTTACCAGAATATCATGTTCTTAAAAATCGCCCATTCTGAGTGGTTTAAAAAATATGAGATGCCTTTAAAGCAACACAGACTTGCATTCTACTTACAACTAAGTGTCGCTACGCTGCCTTTGTGTGTGTGCATGCCAACAGAAAAGAACATCTGCACAACAATGCATTTGGCGGCTCTAAAAAGAGATTGTCCTAGCAAAGCGCCTCTTTGGCAAAAGATTCTTATCGAGTAGACGAAAACACTTTATTTTTCAATAAATACGAACTATGTCCTAAGTAAAATACTTGCATCGCGTCAGATCTGGAAAGGTCTGTGGGCTAAAACGATCCTGGCTGGGCAGCAAGGGAAAAACGTTATGGATGAGTGATGGAAACTTTTGATGAATTAAGTTAGGGTGGTGGCGGTCGAGATAGATAGGAATTCACTATCGAGGTTCTTTTTCATTTTAGGGTTACATATTTTAGGAAGAGAGGAGACTAGCTTGCTTTGAAATACTGATCTAGTTGCTGATGATGGTATTGATGGTGGTTTGGAGGGGGGTCGGCGGTATCCAACCGTTTGATAAGGGATTATCTTGGATTGAAATCAGTACATGCGTTAAAACCTTCCTCGGGATGGCAATGTTGGTCTACTTTAAAAATAAAAAGTTGGCACACCTGTGGTCATACACGTCGCCAGTATTGTCGTATCTTGGAGCTGATGAGACATTTTTTTGGAAGCTTATTGAGAACATATGATATCGGATCGATAGTGTATGGGATAGGTTTGCCTAGTAGATGCTCATGTATGTTCAAGCACCATTGGAAGTGGTGGATAGTGATGGTGGCGATATCGTCCAGGCACCAGATTCTTGAAAATGGAAACATCATGGATACAAATAACTCAACAATGCTTTAAGACATTGTAATGTGTGCTACAGCGTGATTATAGTCAGTCATGAAACCCGTCATTGTAGCAAAGCATTGAAGCGAACCAGCACAACTAGCATTGTTTGCAGCTTGTGCATAACTAAAAGCCCATTGATTAATAATGTTGGTCATCATTGTAGTATTCAGGATCTGAGCACACAAAACAGCGGTTATTTAACAAGCTTCATTGTCAGGAATAAATAAGGACTAGCATAATTCTTATACAAGAGGATCTCGTAGTAGTTCTTTAGAAATGCGACGTTCTTGTTTATCCTCGCATTTACTGTTGTGTAGCTCTGTGGCTGGTAATCCAGTCGGTAACCAAGGGCAAAGTGGAGCCGTCTGATGCTTAGTTGATGCTGCTATAAGGCTCCTATGTCGTAAAGACTTCATTGATATGCTACTAGAAGTGATGGTTAGCAAGAACAGAAAAGTGGTTTGTGGGTGTCTCCGCTTTGCGGCCCTGAGGATCATTGTTTCGGTGCATGAATCAAAACAAAAAAAGAGCGCAGAATTTTATTCCCCTCAATACCACACCCTTTTTTGTTTTTCATTGAACGAAAATGGAGGAGAGTAATCAAGTACAGCAGAATCAAGTCCAAGATCAACCAATCGAGGTTCACGATGCACAAATTGATCACACTGCCAAAGATTGGATTCAAAATCAAGTGGATGCTGAAGTGGTTAGTTTGTGTGTCTTTCTCTCAGAAGAGGGGGGGGGTTATCTTTATTTTCATTCTTTTGCCGCAGGTGTGTCAAATTGTGTCTGTTAATCTCAAAAACACTTTTATCGACAATAGAAACGCGTACGAGACGCAGGTTCGAGTGTTTTGCCTTATAAAATCATCAACTGTGGCGTCGTGCCCAATTTCGAAAAGAAAACAGCGCGTGCCATCAATCGTATTGAACTCGATACCAACGTAGATGTTTCCAAAATCGAACAGGTAAAGAAGAAAGAGAACGCTTTTGTAAAAGCATGTCTACAAGTGTACTTTGAAATCTCATATGTAATTAAATTAATTTTAGGTGATGGTGTCGCCTGCTGTTCCATATCCACACAAGCCTAATTTCAACTATGTCAATGTAAGTATTCATCATCGTTTTATATTGACAACATTCTTAGACCTAACAGCAACCATGACTACCGCTACTTGCAGTTGATTCTTGTTTCCTCGCAACCTGTTCCGTTCCTTGCACCCTATCTCTACCAAACGAACGTACAGGTGACCCAGCCAGAAAAAGAGCAGGAAGGACGAAAGACGATTCCCAGCAAAGAAGTCGTATTGAAGAACGATCTGCGCGAGTTTTTATTCATCAACAAGCGAGGAATCCGTGCACGGTTTACCATCCATGCGTATCATGACGTATAGAATATATAACGAACGACAACAACAGCACCCGCTGTACCTCCCTACTAGCATCATTGTACATTTGTATGTACTGTATATACGATTTTTCTATCGACTAAAAAAACGCTATTATATATTTTTCTCTTTATGGACACAAATCTAATGGGATAAACAAACTAATTAAGCGCATTTCATGGCAATTCAATTAAGATAACCCCTGAACACGACCAATTCATTCGGTATCTTGTTGATAAAGTTTGCAAAAGATATTGTATATCAGTTAGCACAGCAATGCGACAACAACAGTATGGTGCATCCCGTTTATATTCGCCAAAAAGTAAACTCCAATAAAAGACCGAAAAGTTAAAGTTTTGCTTATTTGTTATTTACATATCTATTTAGAATAGTTATTTGAACTCGGTTTACTTATTTTGTTTGTAAAAAAAATAATCAGTCATCAAGTTGGCCGCTTTTGCCGGTTTTTGGCCGAGGCTGTATAGATTTGAAACACTGAACTTAAGCCGTATTTAAAGCTAGGATCGTTCTCAGCCAATAGAGTTGCGTCTTTACTAGTAAGAAGTCGATAATACACAGGTATTTTTCTGTGACCAGCCTGTGACTCATATGGCTGTGCATTTTGTGACCTGAGTGACCTGGAGCTCCTGATACATTGAGACATACAGCCGCAATATGTCTGGAGAAGAAACGGATAAAGAGGTCCGTAAGTTCTCTCCAAGAAAAAAAAAATGAAATCGCATAGGCGCATAGGCGTAGCAGCATTGGCGATTATAAACGGGATGCACCATAAACCATCATAGAATTCTTCCTTTGCTTGTTTTTCCTCTACATAAACAGTATTTCCTTTGTCTCTCGATTGTTTTAATTTAAACCGAATGCAGCTGTCAGCTTGATAACATGCTTTTTCTTGACGTATAGTATAAACGTTTGCTGGGCAAATATTCATGAAACTTTCTCATATTCTATGTAGATATAGTATGGAATATCCTATATCGAGTAAGTTCACTACAGAATTCTTTGATTTATTTAAAATCTGGCTGTGATCTATGACCAGGTTTAAACAGAAGACGTATGTATAAATAAGCACAAATTAATGCTTCTTACGGGCACGACGTGTCTCGCCTACATGCGCCATCCAAAATGGATACAATAGATTATATTAAATCTACTTTAACCAGTAGAAAATATTAATATGGCAATGAGGCTGGTGATATTTGCTATCTTTAATTGTGTTTGAGCTAGTTCTTTTGAAGGAATATGTGCAAAGAAGCCTATAAAGTCTTTGTACTGTATATGCAGTACTGCACATGTTGAGTCGTTAAGACCAATATTTAATAATAACAACTCAGCTGAACCCTTGGATCGTGACAATGGTGATTGCACCCAGGCCGCTCTTCCTGGACCATTGTTGATTTTCATCAAGCAGACAAGCAAACATAAAGTGCAACCTATTTTATTTTTCAAAAAAAGTACCATCACTATATGTAAAAGTACGACCAGAATCTAAAACAATACTTCCAACATTTATAAAATTGCGACTTTTGTGTGCGACCAGTTTCTATCAGCTTCACTGTAATTTAACGTGCATGTAGTAGCCTGATTTTTTTTTATTTCCATCTAAACGTTTGATTTGAACCAAGATAATTCAAGTGGATCGGCTGCATTTCCTAAAAATGTCTACTGTTCTTTTTTTCTATGCTTCTATGAAACATGAACCCAAAGAAAAGGGACCTCCATGATTCAAGAATGGCAAAGATAACAATAACCTCATCATCATCATCTCCGATGCGACACTATCACGAGGCTCAAAACTCCTCGACTTTGCACTGTGTCGTCGGGATTATTTTCTATCTCTTCTGCTACTGCTATTCTTCCCATTATCTATCTCCCCACTCCACCATGAAGCTCTCATTCAACGATGTGACCCATAAAGAACGCGTAAGTTAATAACTTAATAGCACTCAAGGAAAAATGGACAAACACGGTTTGCCGTTGGGGTTGGGGGTGCTTGTCTGGCTGTTGCTGCGAAATAAAAAGAGAGAGAGAAGAGAGAAAGCGGTTTCTCTTTTGATTGGTACATTCACGATTGATTTTAACACATTTATAAAAGGGTATTCTCGACCGACAATATGACGGATCGCCCTTTGCACAACACCAAAAGGAAACACCTGACCAACAACAACGCGAACCGACCGAACTGGCCATTTTCGACTTTGACTCCACGTTATTCTATTCGCCCCTATTGAGCCCTACGCTATGGCATCCCACACTCGTGCATGCGTTGACGACGGAAAGGTTTTTAGGCCCAGGATGGTGGCGGGATGTACGTAGCTTAGAACTCGGCGAGGAAGTAGAAGCCTCGGGTTGGGAAGGGTACTGGAATCCGTCCATTCTCAAAGAAGCACACGCATCGATCAAAAACCCCAACGTGCTGACAGTTGTGTTGACTGGCCGTCGAGTGCATCCATTCCACAAAATTCTACCACGCATGCTCGCTTCACAAAACTTGGCGTTCGACATGGTGTGCATGCGGCCTGATCCCGAAATCGAACACGGCCCATCTGTGTTTTCGTCAACAATGGATTTCAAGCAGGCGTATATATTGAATATGCTGGAAAAGGTTCCGTCGTTGAATAGGGTCGTCATGTGGGACGATCGGCTGCATCACGTGAAACGCTTCCGCACGTTCCTGGATAACCTCCGTCATAGTCCTCGTCTCAAGAGCCACAAGGTCATTTACGTCCAAGGGATCCGGCCGCGATACAATCCAGAGTGGGAGGAGGCGGTGGTCAACTCGATTCTCGATGGGTCGGCATATACGCTGGTGCCCATGGCTGCTTCGACTGTCGTGTCGTTGTCGTCCGAGGCTATCCAAGAACTCAAGAAATCATTCCCTTACAGGGTGCGCACCGAATTGAGTGGTGAGCTGCCCGTGTTCTTTGGCAATAATGTGGTTCTTGCGAGCAAGGATTTGGCAAGGCACAGAGTACCGCTCGGTGGGATTGGCACAGAGGTCGATATCAAGATCCACAGCGTGTCGTGTTCCAGGTCCTCCCATGGGTTGCAGCTGTTGGTGACGGTGAGTAAGGCTGGCATGAATCAGTACAGCAAGGATGTGTATCCGCTGCCGTTGTACATCAAACCGTCCGAAAGAAGCACAGTGATGAAGTTGGAATATTGGGATTGGTCGCCGACAAAAGTGGATGTAGTGGTACGGGGCAAAGTCGACTATGGTTATCTTAGAGGAATTGAAACTTTACGCAAACCTGGTAAACGGGCCCATAACACCTACTACCGCTAACTAAGCATGTATACCCTTCTCCCCCGCATAAAAGCTCAGGTACCTCCATCATATGCACCTATCTTCCGTCTTCCACTTCTATCGCAATTGTACCATTACATGGGAAAGCTTCCGATGCATCCTCCATATTACTCATTACATGTATACACACACACACACACAAGCACACTTCCAATACATATCAAACACGCAAAACAAAATGGCGTATTTTCTTTTTTTCTGTTCCTTCATTTGCAATCCCTTTCGTCAATATATATTTTTTTAAGTTGAAAAAATAAAATAAAAAAGCTAGGTTTCTTATCCTCTTTTTCTTTTTAAGGAAAAAAAGAAACAAAGTATGTTGTTTAGATTGTGTATTACTGTTATTGTCATTATTATTATCTTATCCCTTGATTAATAGTGTGTGTCATTATTGGTGGCGCCGTAAACGATCCACCTCACGTTTTAAAGCGTCGTTCTCCCGAGAGAGCCGATCACGTTCACGGAGAGATGCGGACAAGAGTTGTTGTAAATGTTCCACAGTATCATGGGTTGTCAGTGTCGTTTCAGGACTTTTTTTTACATTCATCATCATATCGTTGAGTAGAGTTCGCTGAGTGTCGGTCTGTTTCAGCAAGGCTTCCAGTTGGGTATATACAATAGCAGGCACACCACCAGCGGTATTACTGTTGTCATGACAAGTTGTTGTTGCACTTGTCAAGAGTCGTGCGGCGTTGGCAGTAGACTGATGATCGCGCGATAATGAAGTGTAAGGTGATGTGTTGGGCGATCCGGATAAGGAAGAGATGGGGGACTCGACATGTTCGTGTGGGTGGGTAGATGGAGTACTGGTGGTGATAGTGTTGTTATTGTTGTTGGGTTTGCTTGTTGTTGTTGAAGTAGTAGTACCGGAGGCACTGGATGTAGTCGTTGTGTCGCCAATCAGTTCGAATCGGCCCTTCTTGCGACACTCTGGGGGTAAAGGTCCTCCTGGTCCTGTAGCTATTGCCGCTGCAGTTGCTGCTGCCACTGCTGCTTCATTGGATGCTGCGGGCGGGTTAGACGATGGTTGTTGTTGTTGTTGTTGTTGATGGTGGTGATGATGTTCCCGGCCTGCAGGATTTTCAATCTCGACAGAAAAACGACTCGATTTCGTAGAACTCGTTGAACTGTTCCGCGGTAGTGATAAGCCGGATGAATTTGAGTTTTCGCGTGAGAGAGCGCTTTCGGAGCCAGAGGATGGATGTTGTTGCTGTTGCTGTTGCTGTTGCTGTGATTGTTGTTGAACTTCGAACCTTGACTTTCGTTCTTGAAAAAAGTACAAAAACGTTAAGTAACACTTTTTTTCAGATAGACGCCATTATGTAATACAACAATTACTTACCACCTGTTACACTGTCCTGACTACATAATCGAGATAAGGGCAAAGGCGCGATGTCCGAGGACGACGATGTTGAGTTGGTTGTACTCTCTGGATTTATACTAAAACGGCTCTTTTTGGGCTGTTGGGGTGGTTGCTGCTGCTGCTGCTGTTGTTGTTCGTGATCTGGCTTGGGCGGGTCCCGAATAACAACATCGCCAAACGAAATATGCTTTTTGCCATTATTGTTGTTGTTGTTGTTGGTGGTGGTGGTGGTATTATGAGTAGCTGCAACATTAGCGGCAGCGGTGGGCGGAACACTAGCAGGAGGCTCTTCAGTTGAGGGCGTGTCGAAATCCCACTGCTCTGTAGACTCAAAGGTAATAGCCTTTTGTGGCACCCTTTTGTGGGGCCGCTGGTCCAGGGGAGGAACATGGGCCAAAACCGACTTTACAAGATATTCCTTCTTTTTCGCCTGTTTGAAGAATGTGTGATGCAGTAGCTTTTCTGCTGTCGGTCTGTTTCAATTTCCGTAAAAGTAATAGTAGTAGATGTAGTCATAGGCAGTTAATATAAAGTCGTCACTTGATAGTTAGAAAAAACCATGGCAACACAGGGCAAACATGTAAAATTGTATGTAATAAGGTTTCAAAAGTACCTTTTCTGGGGATCTTTTTGAAGACAGCAGTCAATCATATCCTTGAACGCTCTTGAGTATTTGTGCACGGTCGACTCCCGATCTAAGGTCGGGGGATCGTTGGACAAGGTCAGCATGAGGACCTGGTGACAATACACACAACGCAGTTATATCCGAGCCAAGGAGGAAAAAGAGAAAAAATGAATCAGCTTATACCACTACTACTACCACTACTACTACTACTACTACCACCCTCAAATCTCAAACAAACACACACAAATACACGTACCTTCATGGGAGGAAATTTGGCAAACGGGGCATGGCCCTTAGCCAACTCGAGAGCAGTAATACCGAAACTCCAAATATCGGCCTTGTAATCATACCCGGCTTGTTCCATTACCTCGGGCGCCATCCAACATGGCTAAACAAGATGTTTGTGTATGTGTGTGTGTGTGAGAAAAGTGGTTCACCGCAGAAATATAACGTCATTCTCCTGTTCACACAACACCCTAGAAACACCACACATTCTCTCCCCGAAAGCAAACTATTATTACCGTTCCCACAAACGTCTTTCGGACATCGCCATTCTCGGCCAATGAACTGGACACTCCAAAATCGGCAAGCAAGACACCGCCATGGTCATCCATCAATAGATTTCCCGCCTTTACATCACGATGAATGTGACCATTCTTGTGCAGATACACAAGTCCTTCCAGTGCTTGCCTGAGGATCGTAGCAATCGTCACTTCTTCAAACCCATGTTGGAACCCTGTCTTGATAATGTCCAAGCAGGAACCTACATATGTCACCCCCCCTAACAGTTCAGTTTCCATCTGGTACCCAATCCAACAAAACACAATCTTCCCTTCTAGATAAATGAGATAGAAAGAAAAAAGAAAGAAAGAAAAACGTTACCGGCAGATAAATAAGGTGTGACAATGTACAATTTGGATCCATTCACAAAAGAGCCATAGACGCGTAGGACATTTGGATGTTTGGACAAAGCCATCAGGGCCGTTTCTCTCCTGAGCTCGTCAATCTGGTTCCGCTCAAACATGTCCAGATCAATCATTTTCAGCGCGACTTTTCGCTTGGTAGGCTTGTATACGGCGCCGTACACCACTGCCGAAGAGCCATAGCCAATAGGTGACTTGAGTTCAAAGTCGTCGAGTCGATTCGCCCAGTTGGTGTCTGTTGTTGCAGAGTGGAATGAGGATGCCAGCGACACACTCGACACATTGGGATGGGCAGAATGTAACAGTGAGGTTGAATCAGCACTGTTACTATTATTATTATTATTATTAGTATTATTATAGTCTTGGGATGATCTGGATGGTGGAGACGCAGCTTCAGAGAATCGACGAGCCATGTTGCTGGAAAGAGGTGGGGGACTGCTGTGACGATGGTTAGACGAAGATGTTCTCATGAGACTGCCAGATCGAGGACGAGCACGGTCAAAGGAGGAAGAAGAAATGCTGCTGTTGTTGCTGTTGCTGTTGCTGTTGTTGTTGGTAGACCCCTTCAGGAACGAAGGCGGCGATAAAGGGGCTTGCGACATCGAATACGTTAGACTGTAGTGAGTAGTTGTTGTTCTGCTGCTGCTGCTGCTGCTGCTTCTGCTGCCGTCTAGTAGTTGTTGTATCTTGTTCGTATAGACTGGTCGTATTCATCCGAAAACAGAACAAAGAAAGGGTTGGGGGGGGGGATGGCCGTTATTTTATCTTCTTTTTTTTCTTTCTTTCGTGTTTGTTATATGATCGCTCTTTTTCTAGTTTCTTTCGGCACTCAAGGGGGCTGTTTTGTCTATGTCCTTTTTTGTTGTTGTTTTGAGAGCGGAAAAGAAGTGAGAGAGAAAGAGTGAGTGAGAGGAAAAGAAAGAAGAAAGAAAGTGTGTGTGTGAGATTAAAAGAAAGTATAAGAATAGTAATAATACGACAGACCGTGTCGTCGGTCTCTCTCTCTCTCTCTCTCTCTCTCTCAATCACCAAAGAAAAAAAATTCGATCTCCACGTTTCAGAAAAAAAAAAAAAAGTGCGGTTATGTTTTATTAGCACTGCCACCAGCAGCACTGCTACTACTACTACTACCACCGCTGCTACTGGTACGAATATTTTCAATTTCCCTTCGGAGTGCCTCGTTTTCCCGTTGTAAAGATTGATTTTCCCGCATCGATGCCTGCAGCTGTGTCTCCAACGTATCCTAAAACAACAACAATTAATATTTTAGCCATGTTTTGCAGCATTGTTTTCCCATATTAAAAATGTACAAAATAGCCCATTTTCCCTTACCACTGTAGATAAAAGTTCGTCCATATTACTATTGGGTCTAAAATACCAACCGGGAATCATCATCATCAGCATCAATCATCATCTCAAAAAGATATTACCATTGCACGACGCGCCTTCCCCCTCTGATTTCTGTGTGTGTGTACCCGGACTCATCTCTCTCCACGACGCACCGAGCAAATAAACTTACCTTTCCTGTGTATCGGATGATCCGGACTTCTTTATTATTGATGATGATAATGATGATGATGCTGTTGTTGTTGATGATGTGGTTGATTTGAGTATGCCGGAGAGTTCTTGCAATAGATTTCGTTGCGTTTCGTTCACTTTGATGAGTTCCTCCATATGTGTTTGAAACGTGGGCAACGCTTGATCTGAGCCGAGTCGCAATAACTGGCCGCGCGATAACGATGACGAAGGCGATGTGCTTGACGATGATGAGTATTCGTACGGATGCAGCACTGTACAGAAAAATTTAGATCAATAGAGTGGCCCCACATTGCTTAAGAGTACTAAAGACAGTATTACCATCTGATTTCTCGTTATTGTTGCTAGCACCACTGCCACCACCAGCACCACTAGGTCGACCCGATTCAGACGATAGCTCGAATCGGCCAACTTTTCTGCTGTGATCGTCTTTGGTATCTGTTAAAGGTTGGTATCTTGCCGGCAGCCGCGAGTGGGATGATCCGTCTCGTGTTAAAGCATGGCCATTCACCGACGACAATGAATTATCACGCGATAACGACAGGTTATTTACTGCGGCAACAGCAGAGAGTTGTGGCGACGCCGATGAGGATGTCGTGCTTGTTGTTGTTGCCTGATGATGATCGCCATGGTGCACCTCAAACCGGGATTTACGATCTAGCGTGCCTGCTATATTATCATGGCTAGCTGATTTAGAAATCGGCTTGTCAGATGATGTTGATGATGCAGTCGAGTCTGCTGTCTGTAACTGTTGTTGTTGTTGATGTGGTTTATCTTGCTGCTGCTGCTGCTGTTGTTGCTGTTGCTCGGATTGCTTATTGACGCTGAAGCGGCCTTTCTTAACACCTTCATCGGAACTGTTGTCTGTTAAAGGCGCCAACATCGGACTATTGTTCGTTTCTGAAACGCTGGCCTGACGTGAGCATGGGATTGAAAGATCGCCGGTTGCTCCTCCTCCTCCTCCTGCGGGCATCGAGGGGACTTGTTCGCGCGAAGTTTCTTCCACAACAAACCGAGACTTTTTGGTAGGTGCCACAACTTCTGCTTGAACAGACGCTGCATAGGGTTGAGGCGGATTTTTCACGACAACATCTCCAAACGAAATATGCCGTCTTCCGCCTTGCACCTGTTGTTGTTGTTGTTGTTGTTGACTAGTAGATTGTTGCTGCTGCTGCTGCTGCTGTTGTTGTTGCTTGTCTTTCGATTCTTCTTCAACGTCATCGTCTTGAAAATCCCACTCATCAGTCTTTGTGATCGAGATCTGGCGTTGAGGAATCTTCTTGTGTGGACGCTGTTCAAGGGCTGGCAAGTCCGTCAATAATGTTTTAACAAGATAGTCACGTCGCTTCGCCTGCTTAAAGAACTGATGCTGCAATAACTTTTCTGCCGTAGGTCTGATTATACAAAAAAAACATTAGATTAGATCAGTATATCACACACACACACACACACACAAGTAACCTCGTTTCATTACTTACCGTTTTGAAGGATCCTTGTTGAGACACAGATCAATCATGTCCTTAAAGACACGTGAGTATTTGTGTTTTGTGGTTTCCCGCACTAACGTAGGTGGATCACTGGACAGCGTCATCATCAGCACCTGTTATACATAAACGCAAAGGTACACACACAACAGATGCAGTAGTATGTAGAAAATGCAATGGATCCCGTGAGTATAAATAAACAAGAGATGACCATTGTTCCGTTCCGTTCCTTTTCATTCTTACCTTGAGAGGAGGCAGCTTTGCAAAAGGAGCATGGCCAGTAGCCAGTTCGATAGCAGTGATACCGAAACTCCAGATATCGGCCTTGTAGTCATAGCCGGCTTGTTCCATGACTTCGGGTGCCATCCAACAGGGCTTAAGAGGAAGGACAAGATGATACAAGTTAGCATTATCATCATATTGTGTGTATGCGACAATGTTAATATCAAGACTAATAAGACTAATAATAATTTTTTCTGCAAAAGTAAAAAAAGCACCACGTGGTATGTGCAGACTCTCCTCCCCTCCCCTCCTCCGCACACACACATAACAATCACAGTCCCCAGCGTTTACGAAATAAACTTACCGTGCCTACAAATGTCTTTCGCACGCCTCGATCACCCGTATCCATCAACGAGCTCGACACGCCAAAATCGGCCAAGAGGACTGTGCCATCCTCGTCCATCAACAGGTTACCGGCCTTGACATCGCGATGGATATGTCCGTTCTTGTGCAAATAAGCCAGTGCCTCCAGCGCCTGTTTCAGGATCGTGGCAATGCTGAGTTCGTCCAATCCTTCACGGAAATTGGTCTTCATGATATCCAAGCATGACCCTACTCGTTTTTTGAGAGTTAGTTTGTTATGTAGTGCACATACATCTTTTGGGTGACAAAAGCAAAAGCACTTTTTTTTTACCTCCTGCAAGATACGGAGTGACAATGTATAATTTTGATCCGTGTACGAATGAGCCCAGGACGCGCAACACGTTTGGATGTTTGGATAAGGCCATCAAGGTGGTTTCGCGCTATTTAGAAAATTTGCATTTGTTACCACTTGCTGTTACTCCCCCTAATAAAATGGATGGAAAGAAAGGGAGAGGGAGAGAAAGAGTATATAATAGATAGTTACTCGAAGTTCATCGATTTGATTTCGTTCAAACATATCCAAATCAATCATCTTGAGAGCCACACGATGATTCAATGGCGTATAGATAGCGCTGTACACGACTGCTGACGAACCATAGCCTACAAGTGGTGGTAGTTTTTATATATATCGTCACCAGTGTGTAATATGTTTTTATGAGTGAGCCAAACATTAATGACGAAACAGAAGAGAAAAAGAAAAAAAGACAGTACCGATGGCTCCCTTGATGACAAAGTCATCAATGCTTTGAATGACAACCTGCGAATCTGTCGCCGAGGGGATCGGCGAAGCAGGCGTCGATTGATCTTGATGCTGCACGGTCGTTGATATTTTAAGACTGTTGAAGATATCGGCTGCGCTTCCGATCGACCGCTTTTGTTGCGAGGAAGAGTGATGGAAGCTCGAAGAACGGGAGACGTTGTTCGTGTGTTGTTCGTTATTGCTGTTGTTGTAGTTATTGTTACTACTACTACTATTACTACTGTTGCTGTTGAGCGTTACTACCACAGGTGCATCCGAGGATTCACTGCTTTCGGTGGTTAGCATTTAACGAAATGCCCTTTTTCGTTTCTTATTATCGTAGATTTCAAAAGAGAAAGAGAGAGAAAGAGAGAGGAAGAGAGGGGTGGATAGAGAATAGTAAAAGTATTAGTGGTTTATTAGCGGTGTGCGTGTGAGAGTAAGTAAGTGAGTGAGTGAGTGAGTGAGTGAGAGACGAAAAAATAAAATAAAATAAAAATTCCAGCTATTATTTCTTCTGTATGACACGCGCGCCTAATGCTTACTAGTATAACACTCTGACCTATACCACCCTGACCCCCCTCCCTCACCCATCCTTTGGGCATGGCCTCACTTTTGACAAACCACTGCACTATTAGCAGAGCGTTGTGTGTTTGTTTCAGCTATTTTCTTGACGAGTTCACTTGACACCCTTGTCTTCACTCTTGCTTTCCGGCTAAATGTTTTAGGCAGCAACAATAAATTGCATGCAGGAGTAACTTTCGTTGGTATAAAAACATTGGGAAAGACTTTTTTTTTCTTTTTTGCTTGATGGGGTGGTGGTGGTGGTAGTGGTGGTGGTAGTGGTGGTTATTGCCAGTGTTTGTGGTTTGTGTGTGCGTGATAGAAATGCTATTGTGAGTGACTAAGTGGAGTGATGTGATGTGGTTGCTTGTTGCGGGTTGGAAGACAGGGATCAAGTGAGAGAAAGAGATAGGAAATCATGGTTAATAGTATAGAGTAGTTTAAGAATAATGGAATAAGAGGGTATGGTTTGTGTGTGTGTGCGTGTGTTCTTTGTTTTTTCTTTTTAGATGAGCTTGCTTAGGGTTAGAGTTGTTGTTGTTGTTGTGAAGAAGGGGGAGAAGTGGCCAGACCAGCAGGCGACTCGGTCAATCCAGCTACGTCGGAATACATTTGTAACGCTCGCAAAATATGCATCGAGTCCACCTCAATTACCTCGCCGAGCTTCTCCAGCACGTTTGCGAAATGTCCGACCTTGTGCAAGTAGAGCGTCGACACCGCATTCTATAATTATAACGGATCAGCAAGACAGACAGCTTTATAAATAACTCTATCATTACTAGCACATGCTTAAGAACTAACCTCGACCCGCGTAACAAAATTTTCCATCAACGTCATGAGTTCTTCGTCGCCTGCATCATACATGATATGTCGCTCAATCATCTTGCTCATCGTCGTGCTTTTGTTCGTTGGTCCTTGCTTGCTGCCTGTCGTCAGCCGTTCCAACCGGATCGCCAGACTGTTCAGTGCACAGACAAGGTTGGGGTCGATCGCTCGGTTACTGATCAGACTCGAGCTGCTCTTTGGCTTGAACGACATGGTCGATGGTCGCGGCGGTAACCGTTTCGCAAAACTGTCCTCGACGACCCTGACAGCCGGATCAACTGGCTCAATTTCATCCACAACATCGTCGTCGTCTTCCTCTTCTTCTTCTTCTTCGGTTGGTTGGGGTGATGTGGTCCGTGACGTTTCTGCTGTACCAAGAAGACGTGGTGATGCAGATGGTGATTTAGCTCGCGTGCTAGCTGCAGCAGGTGTGGTCGTGCCCGTTGTGGCTGGTGTTGCAGCAGCAGGCGTCGTGGCATTGGTAGTGGCGCCTTCTTCAAGCATGGCGTTCTGCTCTTCCAGTTCCATACGGCCGGCAAGCTGCTTTGGATAGACCAAGCTCAACATTTCTGGCGTTTCCAGACCCTTCAAACGACGTACGCCCAATTCCATCACATGGAAACCCAAGCGTTTGAGCTGCTGGATATCGCGACTGATCAAATAGTTGTTGGCCGACGTAGGCATGTCGTCCATCCCAAGCGTATTGTCGTCCAGGACACCGGGGAAGTTGCGTAGCGCGGCGACAACATCGGACGACGCGCAGATCTGGCCACCGTCGGCTGCGTTACAGATACGGCTTGCCTTGTTCACGACAGGACCGAAATAGTCCATACGGCTCGTGATTGGGTTGCGTTCAAACACAGGCGTGCCCCAGTGGACACCCATGCGCACAGACAGACCGCGGTAGATCATCTGGCCTGTTTCCTGGTCTGTGATTTCACGTCCTTCCGCGGTGCTGAGAATACCTGCTGGCCAATCCGCATCCAAGAGCTGCAGCTGCACGGTGAAACACCACAGTAACGCTGACGTGATGTTTTGGAAACACACCATGAAGGCATCACCTTCAGTTTTTACTTCGTAACCACCGACACTACGCAGCGTTCGTCGCATGACTGCATCATGGATCTTGATCGCGGACCGCATGTTTTCCGGCTGCGTCTCCCAGAGCAATGTGGAGCTCTTGATATCCGTAAACACCAGTGCGACCTGGTTGATGGGCGGCGGGACCTCACGATCCAGCCGTGCCAGAGTCGAGTCGCCAGGCCCTTCCTTGCCTCTTCGCCTATAATTGCCGACGAGCGGTAGACCGGCGGGTCCAAGTGAAACATCGTCCAACAAAATCCCTGCTGCATCCGCACCCGCAGCGCCACGACCAGGACCTCGCAAGTACCGGAACCGCTTATCGCGCTTGTCAAACAGATCGCCAACACCAATGACCATGACCATCAAATCCTTTTCGGCACCATACGTGATGGCAAAATCACGCAGCTTTTGAGCAGCGGCCATCAAATCATCCTTTTCCGTTCGTGCCACATCCACCGCCGTCTGGTAATTCATGCGTTCCCACAGCCCGCGCGACGCCATGATCACAAACTCGTCATTCTCAGTCAGTTCGATCGTCGCCACATACGGGTTGGCATTCACCACTGGGATCAGATCAAAGTAACCAAACCCACGTGATACCTTGAGCTCACCATTCAGCTTGCCGGTGTTGGACACGAAACCGCCTGCGGCCCGTATACGCGAAATTTCGCTTGGATTCAGTGAGATATGCTTGTGTGTGATTTCGTAGGCTTGGCCGTTGTTGCGTGAAATGACGGCCATGGCATCACCGACGTTGGCCACATAGAGCTTGGTGCCTGAGATATAGCACACCACCGCTGACGCACCCGAATCCTTTTCATCGCCAATCTGGCCGCCAAGTCCCTTTTCGAGCGACAGGAATGATCGACGCAGTGCGCTGACAACGGTGTCGTCTTCCTTGAGCTTACGCAGTTCGCTCATGACGTGGTATGTGAGGTGGTCGTTGAGGAATTTTGTGAGCTTGCAGCCTGTGCGTGTGCTCTTGCGCCCGTCAAATAGACCAAAAATACTCTCGTCGTCATTGTTGCGGAAGCGCGGCATGACCAAGTCCCATGTACCCAAGTGTTCGTTTGAACCGAGCCAGTCGGCAATCCCATACGCCATGTTGTTGACTTCGGAAGGCGACGTCCGCACACGACGATCGGGCGACTCTTCGGGAACGGATACGCCTAGAATCGTGATATCCATCAAGCCCAACATGCGAAGTCGCGTAAGTGCACTAAAGTCGGCCAGATCCTTTTCTTTCGGCCCGTGCGCTTCTGGGTGCATCTTCTTGATCTCGAGACGCTTGTTGCCGGACAGATTCAAGAACTTTAAGCTCAAATTCCAATTCCTGTATGTATATATCAATGAGTTTAGAGGCAAATTGGTTTAGAGAGAAAAAGGGATAGAGAAACACTTTACCAGTTCCAATCGTAGGGCCAATTGGCAATATTGTACTTTAGTACATTGTTGCCTACATCCAACACCAACAACTTGCGGAGTTTGCCGATTTCTGCAGGCAGTGTTTGGAGCTTGTTGCCGTTGACAGCCAGGACACGCAAATAGCTCAGCTTTTCAATATCGTCTGCCGGTAAAGAAGTCAGATGGTTGCCGGACAGGTAGAGTTCGTAAAGATGCTGATGGCACAAGTGTTCCGGTGGGATTTCATCGAGATCGTTGAATGACAAGTTGAGCGTTCGCAGTTCGAGGAACAGCATCAACGGCGACCAGATTTCGTTGGTCAAGCGGTTATCACCGAGGAACAAGCGACGAAGCGAAAGTGATAGCGGTGGTGGATGGTTGCGAGGGCTGGCAAAGAAGGATGGCGGATTAAAGTTTGGAGGCGATTGGAGCGTGCTTCCTGGACTGACGGCCATGTTGTTATTGTTGTTGTTGTTGTTGCTTTCGTCGGCGGCAATGGCATCTCTAAACGCGTTTGCTGCTGTACCCGGCACCATCCCCTGACCGGCATGTCCTCCCAGTGGACTTGGAAGAACACCGTCAGATGCATTAGCCACGACCGAGGGCGGGACCACGGCATCGGCTTGTGGTGCCAACGGGAGATGCAGTGCGACACCTGGTGCAGAGAATGGTTTGGGGAACGTTTCGAGCAAGTTAGACGAGCAGTTGAGCGTCTGCAGCGACGCACAGAGCCAAATCTCCTTGGGCAGCATCTTTAGATTGTTCTTTTGGGCATCCAGCACCTTGAGTTCGCTAAGCTTGGAGATTTCAGACGGCAGACTATCCAAAAAGTTATTCTGGACCGACAGTCGAAGCAGCTTGCGAAGCGCGCCAATGCTGGTTGGAATTGAATTGAGCGTGTTACTGTCCAAGACCAGTTCTTCAAGCAATGGCGTGTACAGAAACACATCTTCAGGTAACGACGAAAGCATACAGCTGGACAAGTCGAGATCGGTCAGCATGGCGCCGTCATAACTCGTTGCTATGGGAGCCGGTATCCCAGTGACAACATTGCTAGATTGTTGTTGCTGTTGCTGCGAACCGCCCAAATTGAACTGTGTGAGATGATTCTTGGTCATCTTGAGCTGCCGCAAACTTTTGAACTCACAGCCAACAATACTGACAGCATTGTACCCGACAAACAGAATCTCAAGTTTTGGCAGCTGCGAGAGCACGTCGAGCTCAGTGATCAAATTCTGTCGAATATCGAGTTCCTGCAGATTCTCCAGCTTTGCAAAACTGTCGGGTAAACTGCCGGAAAATCTGTTGGCGATTGCAAACAGACGCACCAGGTGTTTGAGGTTACCGATTTCGTCGGGGAAGGATTGGATCTTGTTGAAGCTAATGTCGAGGTAGGTGAGGCTGGTGATGTCGCAAATGACTTCGGGGAACGTCGTGAATGCATTGTTGGAGACAAACAGCATTGTCAAGTGTTTAATGGAGGCAAAGGATCGAGGAAGCTTTTCGAGTCGGTTGTTGTATACGCGCAACGTTTTCAGTCCGGCGAGTTCTTCGAATCGTGCGTGGTTCAGGTCGCGCAGCCGGTTGCCGGATATGTTGAGGTGTTCGAGGCCACGGACAAAGCGGATGGATTGGGGTATTGCCACATAGTCATTGTTGGCCAGCCACAGTTGTTTCAGGTGGCGGCACATTTGGATAAAGTCAACGGGTATCTCCATTTGCAGGTTTTTCGACAGGTCGAGCGACACGATGCGCTGGGCGTATTTGTACAAGAAGATTGGGATTGTCGGGAGGTTTCGTGCTTGTAGATCAATATGCTGGTGTTCGCTGTAATCGGCATCTTCGTGTGTTATCGGCGCCATATTCTGGCCAAATACGTATCGCAGCAAGTATGAGTTGTCTTCGCGGCCGACGTCTTCAATGTTGTCCTGTTCGCTGTATCCCATCTGCTCGAGTAACGTCTTTTGTAACTGCAAAGGCAGTTCGTTTGGTTGGAGGATACGCTCTGCATAGTATCGAACATTAGGAACCCCAAACTAACGTTTGAAATCAGGAGTATAATAACGCATTTACCTGATTTGTTTCGTTTAATCATCAAATTCAGTTTGCTCAAGTCAGGCATAAAGAACTTGCTTGCCAGTCTTTGCACGATATCCTTGGCTGTGGTTGACAGTGGGAGTTGTAGTGTGGCAAACGTGCCATCGGGTCGGAAGATACGAATACAATACTAAATCTGGCTTGTTAGTTTGAACGTATTAGCCATTCTTAATAGTGCTTTGTCCCAAGCTACTTGCATTTTTTCTTGGGAAATCGTATTTTTGGGGTTCCATAAGAGAGTATCCGTCGTATTCCGACGCTTCGTCGTCGATCAATGTTGCAGATTGTATGTCAGATCCTGGTATGCTTTCAGCTGGTTGCACGGCCCAGCTGTCCGGTGGAGCCCATGGTTCTGCAGAATCCTGGTTCTAAAACCATACTTCATTACTACTACTACTACTACTTTTACTACTACTATCACTACTACATGCTGCTACACCTGCCCCATTTCCTTTGTTGCTGTTTTTACCTGTATTGGGTTTAGTACCGGATGTGCATAACCGTTGTTGCTGTTGTTGTTGCTGTTGCTGTTGCTGTTGCTGTTACTGTTATTGTGATTGTTGTTGTTGTTGTTGTTTTGTTGGTGTCCAGAATAAAAATCGGGATTTACAATGCCTTCCATACTGCCAAAGTTTTGGTCGACGAACACTAAACCCCCCATCCGCGGCATTATTGAGTACTTTTTTCACCACCGCCACCCCACCCCGATGAAGCCAAAACACGAAATCCAAACTTACACTCCATGTTATCCTAATATTTGATGAAAAAAAAAGGATAGAGTTATTTGCCTGGGCGTCTGAAGCATGTATAATTACACTCCTCCCCCTCCCGTCCGCTCTTTACCTTGCTTCTGAATCCGCTATCCAGTCGCCCAGTACTCGAAAAGCTGCCTTCTGATTTCTCACGATCCTTTCCTTTACGACTTGCATACGATCCAGCCGACTTTTTTCGGTCGCCATAAGCAGCCTGGACATTATAGTAACTGTTGTAAGGTGACCGTTGTTGTTGTTGATTTGCAGAAGACATGGTGGTAGAGTCGTCCATGGACGACGCGTCTAATGGATGTGGCTGTTGCCGAAATTCGTACTCGTTGGATCGTTTTCGAGGATGAAGTGATGTCATTGACGTATTGCCGTGAATGCCACCTCCTCCCGTTGCTGCTGCTGTTGCTGCAGAAGGCACCGGACCACCCGCCGCGATACCCACTGAACTCGTCAATGCTGTAGAGACGGAAGACAAGTCAGATCGGCCTGCTTATATATAACACCATACCCAATTTTGTGTGTGTGTGTGTGTGTTTAAAATGCGAAAAATAACAGATCCGGCCCCAACACCACAGATTAGAAAAAAGACATTCATCCTTTTCTTCTTATGTACTCATTCAGCCCCATTCCCTCTCCTCTCTCCGGTAATACAACCCCCCCCTCTCTCACTCTCTCTCTCCCTCTGTGTGAGTGTCTCGCTTCTTCTTTCTTGCTTTTACGCTCCACTATAACCTCCCGTTCAAAGAGGTTTTTTTTCCCACACATGTTCAGTACTTACTCTTCTTTTTACCAAACCGAAACAACGGTTTCTTTTTGTCTTTGGGTGCTGAATAAACGGATAAGAGAGCTGGATCAGATGCTACAGCCAGGGGTAATAACCGTGTGTGTGTCAATTTAAAGCATGAAATACAATAGATGTGATAATGCATTTTGTCTTACTTTGTTGCTGTGGTGCATGCGAAGACGACTGTTGCTGTTGTTGTTGTGATGGTGAAAGTTGTTGATGCGGCGATAGATATTCATAGTCTTTGTATTCCGTTGAACCAGAACGTTCATGTTGGTGAGGAAGGGTCGTTGATGACGCCGATGGTGATTGTGATTGCACTGAAACACCATCGCCAATGTGTCGTCCTCCCCGAGGGTACGGAACGGGGTTGCGTTTCTGTTTGCCTTGATGGTTGCGCGGCGGCGTGTGTCGAGCATTACCCGGTATCATTACGAGATGATGTTATTTTCTTTGTGTGGTATTTTTCCCCCTTTTTTTTTAAGAAAAAAGTATATCTCGTATGTGTGGTGTGCGGTTATAGAGTAGTAGTTGATGTTGGTTTTATTGTTATGGAACAATAGTAAGCTGTTTTTCTGCCGTCGTCGCCGTCGTCGTGTTAAAAGAAAAAAAGAAGAGAGAGAGAGAGAGAAAGAAAGAGATAGATGGATTGGCGCTATAAATGTAAAAGAGCTTGCCAATGTTGGGGTTGCCCTTGTTGATGATGACGCGCGCGTTGCCTTATTTTATGGGGGGGGGGAAAGAAAAGAAAGTATAATAAGTAACCGAGAATAAAAGAGAGAAGTTAACGCAAATATTTTTTTTTGGCGGATATGTACGTGATGTAGTATGAGTCCTGTGTGTAACAAAGAGAAATAGCCGCCTTTGTCTTTCTCTGTCTCTTCTTTCCCTGTGTTGTATAGCAGTGCTAAAGGGCTTCGAATCCTTGCTTTTCTTCTCGAGTCTTGCTTTTCAACTTGCAAACAGTTGAAGTCTTTTAGACAAAAGTACAGCAGTGTACACCTCGGATGTCAAAAGATGACCGACCCACCCCAAATAAGGCGACCAAGAAGGGCGGGGGCAAAAGAAAGAAACGTGTGTAGTTTTGTGATGAAGCGATCGCTTAAGAAATAGTCAAACTGTTTATTTTTTTTTCTATCTTTGGCAGCTTAACCTACTTTCTTTCTCCCTGTCGCTTGATAGTAAAAAAATCAACAGTGTTGTCTGCCACTTGATATGAAAAGGAGGTGTGGGGGGGGTGAGAGGATGAAAGGCATCTACGCACTCCTTGCAAAGCAACGACGATGCGGTGCATGAATTTATAAATTATGTGTCGCTGCCGTTGCCATGAGAACAATTATTGCAGCAAAACTCATTGCTACAAGCACTATCTATCTATTTGATCATTGGGTCGTTAAGTCTCGTAAGTTCTGTATCCGACCCGCTAGTTACTAGTGATGCCACAGCATTACCATTACGGGCTGTAGCAACAAATCCAATGTTGGGCGACATTTGTAACTATGACACTGCTGTCAATTTTTTAAAAATGTGTTGTTTGCAGAAAAAAAGTGTCACGATTCTAGAGCAACACGGTGTGTTTCTCTCTTGTGCAACTTGTTGGTGAACTGTAACTTTAAAGAAGGTTGTAACTGTTTGTTACATGGCACGTTATAGTGGTGCAATAAGTGGTACATGAGTACATTGGTATGATTACCATGGTAACGTCAATGCAATCAAATATGTTAATTATAAAGCACGTGCTTGCAGCCAGAACGAATTACCTACTCTGTACAGACATATTTAACGCTATCGCTGTTCCTTCCGCGGAAGCAGCCAACAGGCGGTGGTGTATCATAGTAGTAGTAGTACTTTGTGCATGTTCGTAAATGGTCATGTATCTTTAAGGTCAATAAATATCACATCTTCCAACAGCAAGTCTTCTCTCTCTCTGACTCACAAACCGTGCTGTTTTGCTGCTTTCATAACATCATCAAAGGCACCCATGCCACCTCCGAAACCCAAACGCACTTATATTACCATCCGAGAAGTACCTGCACCACCAGCTGTACCCGTAGGCGTACCTCACATTACCAGCATCCACGCACTTATCGCCATCTTTTTTAGATTCCCTCTTCTTTGCATATACTTTTGGGACTATATTAATCAACTCTCCACACGTCCACATCTGCACACACACACACACATCCAAAAAGAAACGCCAAAAGATCTATCAACCAGTCAAAGAAACAAAAAAAAAAAACGAAACTACTGTAGCATTATATTAGCTTTATTCATTATTCTTTTCTATACATACAACACCAATCAGCAAGAGCAACATAGATAAAATTCAGACTCTGTTATTTCATATCCGCCCCATTCTTCTTATGTTTACAGTATATGTTATTGTGTTGTAATGAGGAGAAAGCTGTGTGTGTATGTAATGAGTGCACTATGTGCCATTCGTGGTAGTAGACGGGTCGGCCTGCCAATCCGCCTTTTTTGTCTCTGTTAGCCGAGTGTCTGCCTAGTAAGCAGAAGGTCAACAGCTCGGTTCTGTTAGAAGGCACTTGCAGAAGCATTTTTCTTTCTTTGACATATAATTTTTGTCGTATTGCAATACCCGATTATATTAATAACCGTTGATACTTGTACGCAACATCAATCATCAACATCATCACCTTTGTTACTATTATTGAATCCGCAGCTTATCATTATAATCATGATTATTTCCACAGCATTACTTTGTATACACTTGATTTAAGCAAAGAACGTACTATGGGTAATCACTGTTAGCAATGGAGTACATATGTGTCAAAATAATTACGCATCACAGTTCGAAATCGTCCAATGAATAATCGTTTGCCATTGAGAATGTCAGTATAAGTCACACATTCTTTTAAAATAAACTGATCACTCGGGTAGAAACGAAAATACACAAGCTCCTGAACAGCGTGTACTTGCCAAAAGATCATCTTTCTCTCAGAAGTAAAGTTGTGGCACACGTGTCGAAGAAATTGACACGTTAGCAGATATGTCGTAGCTTGACTCACCCGAAGTGATCACTTGGATTAAAGTAAAACGCTCGTCATTTTGCGGCAAAGACCACAATGTATACATACGACTTTTTTAAACATGATGAGGGTTATAAATCCCGCCGAGCTACAGAAGGCTATATCGCCGAATGAGGCCGAGGAAGAGAATAATATAGACGGAACAACATACGGTAAGTTTGGATGGGCCACGATGATTCATCGTGTATTTATTCTGCTGGTAAAAACAGCCATTTTTTATAGATGTGATAGACTTACTGCACAAAATTCATAAAAAATGTTATGATAACATCAATCAATCGTGCTGTTTTGACTGTGTACTGACCCGGATGATCTATTACTATTCACGAGGTATTTCTTAACAAGAACGCTGCATTGTGCTGTTTAAACCAAGCTGACGTTGTGTTCCTGAGAGATCACAAAAAGCGACGAGCGAATCTTTGTACATAGACCGCTTATTCCCATATTTGCCAGTCACCGGCTGCCGGCTTTTGGAAAAAGAAAGCAGTAGAGATCAAACTTGAGAGTACAAAATGGCGACAATACAAAGACTATTGTTAGCAATTGGTGAATTGTTGTGCCGCCTTCACTGGAGTTTTCACTCAAGCGAGCTGACATGATATTCTCGAATAAGCTACTTGGGCACAAGACCACTACTTACTGCCTGGTTTTCTGTTACTTTCGGTCAACCACTAGTATCCAGGATGAATGGTCCGTAGCCCTACTGGTATCATTTACGTTTACGAATAGTTGCCTTGTTCGCTCCGAAGAGTCACCTGTCTGCTGGACACTGCTGATGCGCAGCTAGTCGTCGCTACGTGTTTCACTTCTCTCAATATGGAATGTTGTCAAACTTCATGTACATAAGATACCCGGCTTTAGTGCTTTACATACCTTGAAGCTCAGCTCAAATGCTACTCGACCCAATGTCTATACCACCTTCACTCTTTTAGAAGTAAGTGGTACCATATATAACAACAAGATCATCAATGTGTAATGGATGGCATATTCAGGCGGGTAATGATATCAAGCGACTATTACGTAACAATTTATCAACAAGATAAGAAACAAGAATTTCTTTTTTGTTTAGAAAGAGATACATCGAAAGAAGAAAGTAGTACTAGTAGGGGTAGTAGTAAGAGTTACGTGAGAGCGAGAACACTATTACAGATTGGTAAAAAGCAATGGGAAACGGGGAAGATGGGGCGAAGGGAATTTGAACAAAAGGGAGAAAATAAGAACTGTAGAGATAATAGTAGTAATAGTAGTAGTAATAGTAATAGTAGTAGTAGTGGTAGTAGTAGTAGTAGTTATAGTAATAAAAATAGGGAGTATATGAGGTGTAAATAGAAATACGAATATGTAAGTTAAAAGATGACATGCGATATATAACGAAGCGAAATGAACTTTTTTGTAGTGAATGTGTTGGCTACTGCATCATGGTTCCTCCTCCTCCTCCTCCTAGAGAAAAGATACCCGTGGTTGGTGCTGGTGCTGGTGCTGGTGCTGCTGTTGTCGTCGTTGTGCGGTCATACAGATTTGTCGGGTATCCCGCATGATGCATGAAATAGGGTGGTGACGGTACAGAATTATGAGACCACATTGACCAACCATCCGAGGACGAGTCGACACTGTTCGTGCGTTGTAAATGCGGTGGTAAAAATGACGATGGGGTTGTTGAATGAGTCGTCATTGTTGCTGTCGTCGACGGTACTATGGGTCCACAGAGCGTCCGTACATCCTGTTCCATCACGCTCACCAGCGTCTTTGCCCGTTCAAAATCGTACATGTATGTGATTGATGATTTGGAGATGTCTACCGATAACTGCAAGCATTGCCTTGCAAAGTCTTGGCATTTCTCGTCTTGGTAGTTGAGCAGTTTGAAATAGACAATGTTGGCAAACAGAAAGCCGATCAATGGGACATTGCACTCGTCTCGCTGTTGCGACATGTACTCCAAGATTTGGGTGATACTGTTGGCGGCATCGATGCAGGTATACAGACATTGCACGGAGAACGGCACGCTTGGGATATGGTCGGATGGAAAGAAAGCCTGATACAGTAAGATCTTGTTGATGTTGTAGTAAATGTGGACATTGAAAATACAGAAGCGTGCAAAACTGGACACATCAATGTGGTAATGCTGCTGATTATGTCGGTCGTTGGCGTCGTCGTCAGTCATGACAGACGGTGGAGTTGCACCGCACGACGAAGATGTGGTGGAGGATCCAGTCTGTGGACTCGTAACGTATGAACTATCTGGGTTGCGCCATTCTTCCGGCAGGCTGGCGAAGAATTCTTGTAGCCGGTCTTGCATAGTTAAAAGGTCAAGTGACAGATTGGGATCGGATTTGGTGTCTTGTGCTGCCACCAGGCGTGACATGACATCGTGCCGTAGAATCTGGAGGCGGATCATGTAATACCAAGTGCTCCACACATAATAGTCTACAAGCTCTTGAGACGGTGAACCATTGTTTGTATCCGTATCCATCATCACCGGCTTCTCTGCTGGTGGCGGCAGGGGACAGCATGGGTAGAACTGGCTCGATTCGACGGATGCACTAGAACCACCCTGCAAAACACGATACCACGTGTTGAAATAATACATGCACCACACCAATTTGGCTTCGCTCTCCGTGAATTGACGATTGCTGTCATACAGACCCAGTTCACGCGCCATGCTGTACGCAATCCATTCGTAAATATAGATCACGCCCGAGTAACCGTTCTGATAGCTGCAGTAGGACAAGAGAATAGCAGCGCGGCAATTATCCATGGAAGGTTCCTCGTCATAGCATTCAGACAAGAGCTCGCGGCCCTTGAGGCAGTACGCAATGGATAACGCCTTACCCATATTGTATTGCGGAGACTCGTGAGCGGGACGCTTACTCCACATGTGTAACTGAAAGGCGTTACGCGCAGACATGGCACAGATGGCATAAATCAAGACCTTGGAGGGCGGGTTCGCGGGATCGCGATAGCGGGCCAAGAATTCAGCGGTGTCAATGATGGGTAAGCGTATGGCTGAGCAACACGGCGATCGGCAATACAAATCAACGAGGTTGTCGGTGAGCTCGTCCGATATATCAATGGGATAATCTTGGGGTAGTGCATGCGTTGGGTGTGACCACGAATTCCAGACGGCAAACGAGAAGCCTGACGAGGTGTGGATTGAGCTTGTATCATCCAATTCCACGGACTGTGCTATCCGCTGCCGCTCATCTGCAAGCGAAGGCGATCCGTCATCGGTCTCAATGTCATTGTCTTTGTCGTGTGGAGCTGGCGAAATGTGCATTGATTTCTTGAATTGGTCCACGAGCTTTGACAGGTCGTTGTACGAGTTGACGTTGCTTTCAACCGACAGACCGCGCCCCGTTGATGTGATTTTCCATGCAAACGGCTGCAACGGCTTCATCTTGAACGAGTTGTTGGCGCGCTGACCAAAATCTCTGGTCTTTTGAGCAAAGTCTTTGGCCATGCGATCGATGGATTCTTGCCATTGATCCATGATCTTGTTCATTGTCGTCAGCACTTGGGAAACATGATTGGCTTTGGGTTCAGTTTTCATATAAATACATTCGAAATTATTGGCTTCGCAGCGACTGCAGCGTGGTAATGTAAGATCGCACTGTTGCAAGTCTTTGTAACATTTGCCACAAGGGTACACCGAGAAATTGCTTGTGGATGCTACGCCTCGCTTTCTTTGAAGCTCATCATCTGAGGTTATATCAGACGATGCGATGGAGACGGACGACCGAGTATCAGAGCGAGTATCTGATGCCTCTTCCGAAATAGACGGCGCGGGTGACGACGTTGATTCGACTTTGTCTACAGAGGCGTTACGCTGAGCGAGTCGTTGCAATGAGATGGTCGCCTTGAAATCTCTGGCGCCTTCAGCCGATTTGAGACGATCACCAAACTTGCGAATCCGATCGCCGAGCGTCTCTGTTGCTTTCTGGAGTTTTTTAAGCGTTGGTGCTGCTTCAGGGTAAGTACAAGTAATGCCACGCCTTCGACACCGAGAGCACGCTGGTTTTTGACGATCGCAAGCATGTCTAGATGACGATAGGTACAAGGGGGGATTGGGGATTAACTTTATGTTAAAAATCTCGGGTTTAATCTCCCACCCTCTACTTTCTCTCGAATCGCAATCTTTCTCCATTTTTGTTCCTCCTTTTAATCCACAACGGGAAGTAGAATGCGTGCCTAAAACCTCTGCAGCGAAAACATGCTGCGCCTAAATTGTTATTGGACTTGGAATTATTGATGCTGTTATTGTCGTTGTCGTTGTTGCTGTTATTGGTGGCGGTGTCGTTCTCGGTTTTATTTGAGGATGAATCAGATGCATCAGCCATATACGAAGTCGGAATGGAGAAAGGGGGTTACGAAATGGTGTTCAATTGTTGTTTTTTTGTTAACACGGTGCGTCGTTGTTTGTTATGAAAGCGTGTATGTAGTGCCCCGTTTGGTATGCTGCGTTTTATATGCTTATTTGTATAAGTTTCTCAGCGCGTTTAGAAAGGTAATGGGGTGTGTATACAAATATATATTCTCGCGGGTCAGAGCGGAAAATAAGGTTATGGTGTATGGGTGGCAAAAAAAAAAGAGAGAAAAAAAAGGGAAAGGAAGGGTTAGAAACTGTTCGAAAGCACGCAAGAGAACTCGTCCTCTTACACAACACAGCCCTTCTCTCTGGAAATGGTTTGCTCGGTTTTAGCCAATGGGATTGCTGTTGCCGGTATGAGAAATGGTTCTTGGGGGGATCGAGGGGGGTGGAGGGGCGGCTAATAACGCCTTTGGTATATCGTCAAGTACCACCACAGCCAAACAAAATATTCTCGGCGCACAACATCCATCGGAAATAGGTTGCCCCTTCAACTACCGCTTTTATTGGTTGTAAATGGCGGTTCCGGACCGATGCCGAAGCGCCGGGTTGCCATAGCAACTACATATTCAAAAGTTTTCAGGATGGTGTATGGACAACAACAATGTACCTGGAAGAAGCAAACGGTGTACTTCAAAGAGGTCCATCTACAAAGCACATTCCAAAAATGACACTTTGTTTACCCGTGTATAAAAGTCGCGAATTTCGGGTATTCTTTTAACACGTAATATAGCAGGCTTCAGAAAGACTAAATGTGGAAGAGCCAGCCTTCCAACCGCCCTTTCTTATTCTTGAGGGCCGGTATAATTTATTCCTCATTAAAAATCATTTATCTATTTGGGGCAGAATGTAACTTTATAGCCATCTGCACGGCACAGGTATGTGGATGTAGCGTCGTCATAAGCATAAGCTAGAAAGATGATGATAATAAGAAGTGAGTATACCCGTATTAATTATCTCCATTAACTACAGCCGTCACTTCCGTCAAAGTTCGCTGAAAAAAAAAAGCTAAAGCACTTACAGTACGCATCAGGGCACGCGGATTTGAATAGTTTGGAGTACTCTGATGGTTCACACACGCCTTCAGGATAGTCACCAACGCAACAGTGCTCGGGCGTACGGAATTTACTGCATGCGCTCTTTGGTCGGTTATTACATAAGAGGAAAAAAACGATGTTAATAAGCTTCTTTAAAAAAAACACCTGCTCCTCAGGGAGAAATGATATACAGCATTATTTACCTGGCAACCGACAACCTTGCCATTATCATCCTTCAGCTCAAGCTCCGTAGGACATTTAGGTCCTTGTGTGCAGGTAGGTTCGCCACAGCGACGGAAATCCTCGCTTGACGTTTTGTCAGGGTTGATGGGCTCCATCTTCATCGGTTCATTGTAACCATCCACCAACGAGATATCGTAGTAATCATCACCGGCTTGGTCCTTGAACAATACCTCTGCTAATGAGGCAGGTGCCCACATGCCAGCAAAGTTGCATTCTTTGCCGCTGCAGCTACGGCGACCCCAAACTCGGCCAGCCCAGTTGGGTTCAAAGGTAAATGTGTGTTTGTCACCAGCATCCACGTCGACAGAGCTACCGTACAAGTCGCCGTTCTCTGATTCGCCCACGACAAGCTTGTAATTGCAGTCGTTTTGCACAACAATATAAGGATTGGAGGATCGTTTAGTGTTGATGTTTGTTGAGGAATTGAAAGAAGGTGCGCCTGCGACTAAGCCAGAGACTGCAGAAACGACCATCCAAGTGGCAGCAGTAAAGATCATGATGATGTATAGGTAAGAGTGGGAGTAGAGATCAAACGGAAAAGAGGAGTAAACCCATCTTCTAGTGGATCAATCCGCTTCTTCTTATACTTGTGATTCGCGTGTACTGACAATGGGCCTGGACTCCATCTTCATCTGCTTGCACGATCCCGTTTTTCTTTACGCATGGTTTCAAACAAGTTATCAGTCAGAAAGCGGCGATATGTTTCACTCGTTTCTGGACATTCCCTGAAATTCATTCGGTTTCTTGTTCCTTAATTTTTTTACCAAGGTACAGCACGAATTAAAAGGTACCACCCGTATCCAGGAATCGGCTCAGACGGCTGCATTGACATCCGTATAATTCATGTGAAGGATGCTCACCTTGTGCTACCTACTAACCATTTTTACACAACCGTTATAAAAAAGGTTTCTTCTATCAGAAAGTTCCCTCTCTCTCTTTCTCTTTCAGTTATTCTGCCTTCCTCTCCGTTCTAAAACAGTTCCTATAACCTTGACTTTACGAATGCAACAAGAGACGTTCACCTCAGCAAAACTTAATCTCAGTGAAACACCCGCGTTCACAGACCTATCCCGCTGGCGATTACGCGTTGAAGAAGGCGCCCAGACCTGGCATTATCTTGAAACAGACGAACAATGTCGCGCGTGGCCTCAAACATTTTTTGACAGATATCATCTCGGCTTACCCACGGTAATGACACTTGTTGTCAAACTTCCCAACATTGGACCAGCACCACACTCGCGCGTACTTTTTTAGAACTAACTCATCTACACCAACTTTGTAAAAAAAAACAGAATGCAGCACCATTGCCACGTGGTAAAACACCACTTCAGGTTGCGCGCAATGGTTTTGAATTCTATCGACAACTTCAAACTGACGATGGTCACTGGGGAGGCGAATATGGCGGACCCATGTAAAGTGAACTTTCAGTGGGGCGGTGGGGGTGGGGCGATCTGTCATTTAGTAGACAGCTTTGTACGTGCTATGTTTGACACACAGTAATACGAAACATATGGTTTTCTAGGTTTTTGATCCCTGGTTTTACTATTGCCCACTACATTACGGGAACGCCTGTTCCTGATCCAATGCGATTGGAATTGATTCGATACATCTTGAACCGAGCACATGCAGAGGATGGTGGTTGGGGTATCCACATTGAAGGCATCTCGACTGTCTTTGGCACAGCATTGAATTATGTGGCACTCCGTATTCTGGGTTTGGGTGCCGATCATCCGGCATTGGTCAAGGCCAGAAATACGCTTCATAAGCTGGGTAAAATATCGCACTGTTGACATTCTTCACACGCATAAACCACGCATTGCTCACTAGGTCAATCATTACAATTACCAAAAAAAAAATAGGTGGTGCTGCTGCTATACCTGCTTGGGGAAAATTCTGGCTGTGTGCTCTGGGCGTATACGAGTGGCATGGCATGAATCCAGTGCCTCCCGAACTCTGGTAAAGTTGTCAACCTGCAATTGATGTTTTATTCTTTTCTTGCTGAGGGCAAGGATAGGGCGAAACAGAATTACCAAATTCTAGTAACTCACATTCTGTATTATAAATATCTCTCCTTGTTTCTCGACTAATAGGTGCATGCCCAAGTTCACGCCTCTTAACCCGGGTAACTGGTGGGTACATACTCGCATGGTGTATCTACCCATGGGATATATATATGCTTTGCGAAAGTCGGCACCGTTGACCGAATTCACAAAATCCCTCCGCGATGAACTTTACACCGAACCCTACGACCATATCAATTGGAACAAACAACGCAACAATGTCTCTAAAGCTGACTTGTATACACCTCACAGCAAGTTGATGGACTTTGCCAACGGTAATCTCAAGAATTTCAAAGCACGCATTCCGTATCAATCATAGTCAGGCTACTAAATACTTTTTATGATACATGTACAATTAGAGGTTCTCACTTATTATGAGTTGTTTCCGGCCAAAATGAACTGGTTGCGTAGTTACGCTCTCAAGGAAACCATCGAGCAGATTAGGATGGAAGACGAAAATACATCCTACTTGGATATTGGTCCAGTGAACAAGGTTATGAATTGGCTGTGTTGCTACTATCACTACGGAAAGGACTCGCGCCAATTCCGCGAACATGCGAAACGCAACTTGGACTTTATGTGGATGGGTCCCGAAGGCATGATGATGAATGGTACCAACGGCAGTCAACTTTGGGATTCCAGTTTCATTATTCAAGCATTGGCTGAAGCACAATTGGCCGATGTTGAAGTATACCGTCAGCATATGATCAAAGCGCTACAATTTATGGATCTTACTCAGGTTGGTGATCAAGAAACGGTTCTGCAAAAGATAATTAGATGACTAAATATCTACGTGTATGGCACACACATACACAATGCATCCAGATCAAGCACAACATGCCAAACTATCAAAGATGTTATCGTCAAGTCTCAAAGGGTGCCTGGCCGTTCAGTACACGTGACCAAAGCTACACCGTATCTGACTGTACTGCCGAAGGACTGAAAGGCACCATCATGCTGCAACAAATTCCTGATATGCCACAGCTTGTCAATACAGAACGACTCCGTGATGCTGTCGATGTCTTGCTCACCATGCAAAACAAAGACGATGGCTTTGCTAGCTACGAGGACATCCGCGCTACTCACTTGCTTGAATTGCTCAACCCTGCTGAAGTGTTTGGCAACATCATGACCGAATACAGCTACCCTGAATGCACCACAGCAGTGCTGACAGGCCTTGCTGCTTTCCGCAAAGTTGATCCCGAGTATCGTAAGGACGAGATTGAAGAAACGACTCGGCGTTGCTTGAAATACATCAAAAATGTCCAAGGCGAGGATGGATCTTGGTATGGCGCTTGGGCTATTTGCTACACATATGCTGCCATGTTTGCACTTCAGAGTCTTGCCAGTATTGGTGAGTTTTATGAAAACAGGTAAGAACCAATGATATTTTCTTCTATTTAATCCTTTTAGTTGCTATTCATGAACGTCCAGACATGATTGATACTCACTTCAAAACATTTATCATACAACTACCCAGTGGAAATGCTCGAAGAGGCTGTGACTTTATTGTCTCCAAGCAACAAGAAGATGGCGGTTGGGGTGAAACATACAAGTCCTGCGAAACGCACACTTATTGTCAGAACCCAAAATCTCAGGTCGTGAACACTGCTTGGGCTGTCATGGCTCTTTTGGATGCCAAGTACCCGGATGAAGAGCCCATCCGTCGTGGCGTCCAACTTATCATGGAACGTCAACAAGCCAACGGTGAATGGCTTCAGGAAAATATTGAGGGTGTTTTTAACAAGAACTGTAAGTTCTTTTTCTTTTTACCTTTAATAAATTTACAAGTAATGGGCAACAGAGAAGTTAATATCAGCAAATCTCATTGTAGGCATGATTTCATATCCTAATTATAAGTTCGCCTTTAGTATTTGGGCCCTCGGCAAGTACGCAAAGGCTTATGGCGATAAAACCCTTCTTCCTTAAGTTACTAGCATATCTCTTAATTCGCTGTATAGCTACCGTTACTCTTACTAATAATTACCTGAACTATTCTTTCTCATTATGCTATCAAAGAAAAACATTCCTTTTGAGGTGTTGTTTAAACACGCAAAAAATTGTACTTTTGTAATAATAGTCTGGCGTTGTACATCCGCTATATACTATAGCAGGATCTTGGTTGATGAGGACTACTTTCGTAATGAGTCTGGCTCCTGATGCTCATACACGGTGACGTCCTGCCTTTTGACAGTGTACATTGGAAAATGAGATATAGGTGCAGTCAAACTACTACAGTGAGCCATGGCTTGTAAAATCCAAAGAACTAGGAGTCTAAAGTATTTGCATGGCTATTAACAATCATATAATTGACTTTGACTAAAGCTCATATTGACACCTTTGTAAACTAAGCTTAAATAACGCTGCAGTAGCTTTTAAATACGAACGCAATGGAAAGATTGTCATAGAGAACACTTGTATCGAAATACGTGCAGACATTAGCTTTTCTAACCAAAAGTTGCGAGCGGGATTTCTGATGGACGCTAAACCTTCAACAACCTAAACCCAGCAACCCAGCCTTTTCTCGCCTTTTACATACACCATAAATATATATTGAAATGGAAGAAACACCTACTGTTCCAGAAAATGAAGTCTTGTCACTCATCATAAGGTAAAAAGCGATCCCTTTTTCTCATATAAATATAATACACTGTGCTTAAATTATCTTTTCTTGCTGATTATAGTCAGTTGATTGCTTACGGTTACTCGGCGATTGCACAAAGCGTTGCTGACGCGACTGGTGCAACTGCTGACATGACACCGAGCCACAAACTCGCTGATCTGATACAACTTGGCAAAGAAAAAAGTAAAGAAAGAACTCAAGGCAAATAGGATGCAATTAACTTAATTAGTTTATTAATGTATCATATATTAGTGGAAAGCGAAGGATCAGACGACGAAGAGTTTACAGCAGGCAGGACAAAGATCGCGTCCGATTCAGCACTACCCGATTGGAGTAAAACAAAAGGCGGATTTGATCCCGATGCCATAAAGAGTGCGAGTAAATATCTATTTAAGCGATACAAAATAAGATATAACACCGTAGAGTATTGGGCAAACGAAAATCATATGGGCTGACACGAAGCTATTTTAATCAACTACCTTTTTTTTCCTCTGTATCAGTGAGCAAGATGCCACCCAATTATGTACAACTCTACTATACACAACACAAAGGACCGTGTCGTACAGCAGCATTTAGTGCAGATGGTCGATTTGCAGCGACAGGCTCGCATGATTCGTCTCTCAAAGTGCTCGACGTTCAAAAGATGAAGAAACGGACGGGTGAGGCTGGCGACAAGCCTGTGATTCGAACATTATACGACCATACAGCACCCGTCAACGATCTTTCTTTTCATCCAAATGGCTTGGTCTTGGCCAGTTGTGCCGAGGATCAGAGCGTGAAATTGTTCGATTTATCAAAGTCGGGTGTCAAGCGATCGTTCCGTTACTTCCAGGCAAGTAAATTACTACTACTACTAGTGGAATTATTCTTTTAAATGTGTGTATGTGCATCTAATACCGTGACGAAAATTTCAGGACTCGCTACCAGTCAAATCAATCAGCTTCCACCCATCAGGCGACTTTTTGCTCGCAGGCACGGAGGATGCAGCAGTACGGATATACGATGTAAAGACGCTCCAATGTTTTACAAACTCGAAAACGGCCGAAATGCATCGAGGTCCAATCACCCAAGTTCGATATTCGCATAGTGGAAAAATATTTGCTACTTCATCAGCAGATGGTTCAGTACGCATATGGGATGGTGTGTCAGGACAGTGTGTGCGATGTATCGAGGGTGCTCATGGTGGTGCAGCCGCATCCAGTGTGCGTATCATGCGAAACGAACGATTTGTGCTGACAGCAGGAATGGATTCGACTATGCGTTTGTGGGATATTTCAAGTGGAAGAACCGTGGTTGAATATCGAGGGCATGAGCAGGTTACACAGATGTTGCAGGTAATGTATCTGTAGAACAAATGTGTCTTGATAGATGACCGGTGATAATGATTTGCTCTGCTAACATGAACCAAATTCTTCGGCTCTCCTGTGCGTGTATGTGTTCTTTTATAGCCTGCCTTTACATATAATGAAGATTTCGTTTTGATTGGTGATGAAGCATCAAGCAATGCTGTTTGCTATGATACCCAAACGGGCGACCTACTTTCCAAAATCTCGGGACAAAACAATCTGGTGCGATGTGTCGTACCATCTCCAACAGACAACGGCATTCTAACATGCAGGTAAAAATCAAAAATTGTCCAAGAAGGAATGGATGTAAAGCAATAATACCATTTATTTAATATGATTATATTCCACGTTTTGCTATCTTTATTAGTGATGATTATCGAGCAAGATATTACATGTCAGAATTGGAGCAATAGTACTTTACAAACCATTACCATTAAAAAATCACCAACATTACTACTACTATATAGTTTCATCATTTTCATTATCATCCCCTCCCTCATCATTTCATTGTTTTAATGACAAAAAAAACTACAAAATTTTACTTTCGAGCCAAAGTAGATACATCGTGTTTTCCATTGCAGCATTGGCGGATGTTAACAAAATCTTCGTCGTCGTCGTCGTCATCAGCATCTGAAAAAATACTGTCTTGTGGTGAAGAAGTGCTGCTACTACTTCCTTGAAAGATGGAACTATTCAAGAATGCGGTGCTGTAGGTTGAGAGTGTGTTGCTGCCGGATAAGGTAGAAACACCACAGCTGCTACTGCTGTTGTTATTGTTGAGAGATGACATGCGCGCAACAACATGATGATCAGATTCTTCAACTACGAGTCCAGGACGTCCCAGTAAATAGCATAATGCTGTGATCCATTGGTGGTGCTGGTCCATGGTTTGAGCATGGAGCATCAAATCCCTGACAGACGTGCGAATAAGCAGATTTGATGGAACGGATGAACAAGGGTTCTCCGTGCAAGGAACTGACCAAACATCCTTGATGAAAGCTTTTTACAAAAGAATAGATCATGTGTGCTTCATTGTTAGAGTTACACAATTCTTCTACATTTGATCCATGATAAATATGAGTGTTTCTCCTCTACCTCGTTTAGACTTTGTTTCGTCATGATCGATTCCTGGCGGCTTTGCACTCCAGTATAATGTTCTGGTGTAAGGGTGAATCCAAACAAAGCGCATATGCCCTTTGCGGTGTGAAATACCGTTTTTCCCCCTGACGTAGTACCGAGTATGCTTCCACATCCAACTGCCAATCATGGTCTGTGTCACAGCTTCCACGATGGCTGGATCAATTGTGACATTTTCGTGGTCGCTACCAGCACCATTTCTCAATCCTGCGGCTGTTGCTTCCATCTCGTTTAAAGTGTTCAGCTTATTAACAGCTGTTGTTCGTGAAGGGCGTCGTTGTCGTTTGGTGGTAAGGCTATCGGATACCGACGTGATTGGAAACACTGTGTCTTTACTAGAATTACGATCCTGAACAGTGACAGTACTTCCTCTGGGCGTTGCAATGGAAAACGACGGGATTGGTGTTGGTGGAGGTGAAGTTACTGTATTGGAAGCACGTGACGGAGATTTAGGCAAGGTGTCGTTGTATTTGGATGCATATTCCAGTAGTTTCGATTTTCCAAGGGATCCAATTGTTGTAGGAGCAAATTCCACATGAGGGGAATTCTTCTGCTGTTGCTTTGGTGGATGTTCTGCTGAAGATAATGTAGGTGGCGTGGATATAGTAGCTACAGGACGCACAGTGGTGGCTGTGTTAGATCGCTGTTTCCGATTGAGTAGAGTTGTCGATGTCTCATGGAGAGCACGCTTGATAGGCTCAAGGTAGTTGTGTCGTTGGGTTACTCGTTGTTGTTGTTGTTGAGCTGATCTTGAAGACAGCAACGGTTCGTCGACGTTGCTGCTACATTGGACGACAGCATCTACAGTAACCACGGTAATAGGTTCGTCTGTCTGCGTCTCTACGTTGATTTTATTCAGCTTGTCGGTTTGTGCTTCACCATTTTTAATAGTAGTGCTATTGCTGTTATTGTTGGTGTTCGTGTTCGTGTTGATCCCAGAGCTTTGGAGCTCACTGAACAAGGAATTCTGCATGTGTTTCCCTTCAATGCCAGAGCCTCCGCCATTATCACTCTCCTCCTTATCAGCAGTATGTTCGCCATTGTTATCATCGCTTTCACCGCTCTCCGCAACGTGGGTCATGCTATTGCGTTTTTCTTGTCGAGCACGATAACGTCGATGCTGTTTTCGTCTATGAGACTGGTTCGTCATAGAGTCGCGCCGCAGATCTTCGATTGTTTCTTGACTCTCGGCCAGCAACTTTTTGGTTTCGATCCCATCCAGCTTTTCCTTATGCAATGTCGTGCGTAAGCTCGAAATAATTTCCTGCGCATGAGCTAGCGACTGTTGTAGGGTTTCTTTCTCGAGGTGATGATGATGATGCTGTTGTTGTTGTTGAGCTATCGCATGTTGTTGAGGGGGTGATCCTGGAGGCGTTGTTGTTGGCTCGTCTGTGCGTGATGATGGTTGTGGATCAGGTGGGAGTGCGGATTTGGGCGGTGGGGACGACGAAGCTTGGTTTTTGTTGTCTGTTGAAAGGGCTACCTTGTTCTTCCATAGATTGGTTTCCGTAGTGGCCGTCTGCAATTGCTGGTGTAAATGGGCGTTTTCCTTTTTCAGTGCTCGTAACTCCTTGACTAACGTGAGACGATGCTGTTCGAGCTGTCGTGCGGCATTGTTTGTTTCCTGTTCGGTTCTACATTGTTCCGCAGATTTGTTGTGGATTTGTTCAAGCTGCTTTTCCAGCCGAGTGCATTCGGCAGACATCCGAGATAGCTTGGTGTTGGTCGTTTCGAGATGTTCTTCTAACTCTTGCTTTGCAAGCTCCAAGTTCCAGATTTCGTCTTTCATACCATCTAATAGCCGTAGCAGTATTACAGGTTGTTTAATTTTTAAATTTATCCTAGTTGATGAGTATCCGCACCATCATCTAAGTATGATAATGGTGATGATGATGATAGACAAGAAAAGAAGATGGCACTACACACCTTGCTGTTTCTCCAGTTGAAGACGCTGTCGCACCGCATGCTCGTGTTCTTGCTGCTCGGACGCCCAGGTTGCTTCTAGTTCCTTGACTTGGCAACGTAATCTTCGTACTTCGGCAACAAGGCTACTGCCAATTTCCGTAGCAAGATCTGCTGGATGCTGTTTTTGTTGTTGCCTTGTTGAATTGACTGGTGGTCGCAGTTTCTACATATACGAATATATCACATTCTTGTTTTGAGCAACAGATCGCATACGTGTACTCACGAGTGACGCAAAGGCAACGCACAAAAGTGATACAAAAAAGTGCCACATAATATGTATGTGTTCGTATGCTAGAATGCTACATACCCTTTGGGCTGCGGTGTCGCCACCATTTGTGTTGTCGGGAATCGCTAGGCTTTCAACCTCAAAAACATTCTTTAAATGGTCTACTGTTGCTTTTGATGCTAAAGTGTCAACAAAACACACTATGTACTCAAGACATGCTACGTCAATAAGTGATTTTTAAGACATGCTTACGCTTATCACACGATGTCATAGATTCATAGCCTGGAGAAAAGTCGCTGTTCCCGTACTGATGATGGCTGTAAATAGAAGAAGTCATATCAAAAAGGAGGCAAAAAATAGAATGCGTGCTGCTTTTATATTGGTGTGTATAAAGAAGAAAACAATGAAGATGAAAACAAGAGAGAGAATAAGGGAAGAAAAGAAAGAGGGCGTTTTTAAGCGTGACCCATGCTTTCTATCAAAAACCACAAAGAGGGGAAAATGTTTTTGTGTATGTTGTATGTGTCAAGTCGCATGACTTGGTTTGGGGTTGGGAGGGGCTCTTGAGAGGAAGAAGAAGACTAAGTAAGTAGATGTGAAGGGAGGGAGATATGCACAAGACAGTTTTTTATGATAAACAATATGCCGAGTCATTCTACTACACGCAGCGACTATAACACATGAACAAGGTGGATCTTATAATTCGGCATCCACAGCTCTGCAGTTGACGTTGCACTTTCGCAAATGGTCCTTGACGTTCTGGATAGGCACCTCGCGGCGATGGAAGATACCTGCGGCCAAAGCGGCTTCCACGTTGGTCTTTTCAAACACTTCATCAAAGTGTTCGACGCATCCAGCACCGCTTGATGCGATCACGGGAATGCTGACTGCAGCCTTGACGTCGTTGATCAACTCCAGCTCATAGCCCGAGTTGGTTCCGTCGCGGTCCATGCAGTTGAGCAGGATTTCACCGGCACCCAAAGCTTCACAAGCAGTAACCAGCTGGTGGACATCGATATCACGTCCTTCACGACCGCCCTTGACTGTGCACTGATACCAGCAGTACTCCTCGCCGTTGGGGCCCTTTTGGCTGTTCTTGACAACGCGGTGGATGGTTTCGCTTGGGTCTTTGACATACACCCGTCGAGGGTCAACCGAGACAACCACAGCTTGAGCACCATATGCCTTGGCAATCGTCTCAATGGCCGACGTGCCATCCTTTTTGCAGCCGTTGGCAAGGTATTTTTCAACTGCATAAACCGCATCGCTGCCAATCGAAACCTTATCGGCACCTGATCTAAAGTACTCGCCTGCAACTTCAAAGGCGGGGTGGATTGTGCCATCGGGATCGACCACATCGCGGATACCGCCACCAATGGTCAAGGGCACAAACACCGTCTCAGAAGTGCGCTTCAACACTTCCAACATTGGCAGATCTCCCAGAGGGCAGTTACGGAAACTGGTAATGTTCAAGAACGTCACCTCGTCGGCACCTTCTTCAAAATAACGTCGAGCCAGATCGACGGGCTTGCCCAAGTTACGTACGTCGTTACCATCGCCTATCTTTTCACGGACATCATACTGATCACCCTTGGTCACGACCAAATCGCCATTGTCGTTCGATCGTACATCCAAGCATGCAATGATACGCTTGGTCAAACGGTTTGCTGGTACTACGGGCTCCTTCACGACAACTTTGGAATCATCAACAATGCCCGTGCCTGTCAAGAACGAGCGAAGCACACGCAAACCGGCATATCCACTCTTTTCGGGATGGAACTGTGTTGCGAATACGTTGCCGCGCTGGACTGAGCTGACAAATACTTCGTCGCCGTATTGGGTGGTTGTCAAGACCCAGTCTTTGACTTTGTCGGTATAAGGGACGGCGAATGAGTGCACAAAGTAGTATTCGGAGTCATCGTTGATGCTGTAGTTGATGGCTTGACCGCTGATCGTAGCGTCGTCGGCACCTTCGGGCGTGCTCTTGAGCACTTGAGCAGCGTTCCAGCCCATGTGAGGAACGGCTTTGGTATCTTTGTTGAATTCTTTGACAATCCCTGGAATGACGCCCAAACCGGCCAGGTTGCTTTCATCGGAACCTTCAAACAAGCTCTGCATGCCGACGCAAATGCCCATGAATGGTCGTCCAGACGCAATGTACTCCTTTAAGGGTTGTGCATAGCCCTTCTTATTCAGGGCTTCCATGGCATGACCGAATGCGCCCACACCAGGGAAAATAAGTTTCTACAAATATATCATAATCATTACTGACTGCAACTTCGTACCTATTTTTGGTTGACAGCTATCACGCGGGCACACTGCTGTCGACGAATCGCTTGGTTAAAAAACTTACGTCTGCCTTGAGAATGTCAGAAGGATCTTTAACGAACTGTAATTCATAGCCTAAACGGTTGACAGCGTTCACCAAGCTACGGACGTTGCCGGCACCATAGTCGAGCATATAAAGGCCAGGCATGGTTGTAAGTATGCGATTTTAGTTTTTGTCAAGGAGCTGATCAAGCCTCGGAACGAGGGAAGCGGGGGAACCTTTTTATACCAGTGCGTGGCTTATCAATTTCGGTCGATGATGTTACAGTCAAATTAGTGAGTCATCCTGGATCAAATTTCGAATGCAAACTATCTTTATCTGCTCGCTCATTAACCCCACACGCATTATCTATCTTAGCTCGCACCCCTTTTAGGAAGTTACAGAGAGTTGTCCCAACTACTCGGATCACTTGTGTCGAAGTTACTCGGACTTTTTAAGATCATTTGTTTGATTCATTGTACGCCACGTATTGGTAAAGGAGAATTCGATGCACGCACTCATTATGCAGCAATATAAAGCATTTAAGTAAAGGTGTTTGTTTGTGCTTTTATTACAGCGGAAAAATAACAATCAACATCGCTGTGTTGTTTCATCGAGCATATATCGCAAAGTAATGTTGTTAAGCAAGGAGTAGAAGGGAGAAAGAAAAGTGTTATGCTGCTACTACAAGCTGGCTATTTCTTAAAGTCGACTTCTTGAGGGAACACTTGGCATGCCTTGCCAGATAGCCAAGCATCGGCTTCTTTGCGAGGCGCGTAATCGGGAAAGTTCTTGCGCTCTTCCCGCTTGACTTCGAGATCGATCTTCTCCTTCTGCTTGCGTTCTGCTGCGAGCTTTGGACTGAGTTGGCCATCGGCGGTGAGTGCCATCATGAGCTGCGCAGGTCCTATATATCAGACATACATTAGAGTACGATATATTAATACAAATATGTATATGCACATGTAAGTGTTCCAGAGCAAAGTGAAAGAACGCTCTTTACCCAATGGGAGACTGTCACCACGATCCACTTGCCAGGTATGCCAGGTCTTGCCATAAGTTTTTTGCAGATCCAAAAGAGCCGCCTTTTCACCTTCCTTGGCACCGAGTTCAGGCATTAATCTGGGCATAGGCAAAGCCAAGCTGCCACTGCGGACCTCGTAATCGTGTGAATGCCAATAGCGCTTTTCTTCCACAGGAAGCTCTATAGAGCAAATAAACAAACAAACAAACAAATAAAAATCAGGAAGGTTAATATGTTAGTAAACATTGGACTCGCTGTCCATTCGCTAACCCCTTTTACGAAACTAACGATCAAACAATTTCTCCGAAATGATGTATTCGATGCCAATCAGACGAGCGTCTGCATCGGGTGAGTCGTAGATGATGCATTGACGGAAGTCCTCGTTGACGTGCGAGCAAAAATGATGCGCATGTACTTGACGAGTCATGTCGTGACCGTAAATGTGGAAGCCGCACACATGTTCACAGATACGGCCCAAAGGCTGGAAGCTTTGCAGAGCACCTGAAGTGGCCGAAACGGCCTTGGATTGAGTAGAGAGAGGCTCACCGGGAATGTCACTCATGTTGGATATCTTTTGTTAAAGGGTACAGAAATGAAAAAGAAATTTGACTCTTTCGCATTACTGATCATGCATTATATACACATTATGTTTTTTACGGAAGGCTCTGCTAGACATCATCATGACGCCTTTTATTTCGGTCTGGACTGTTATTTCAACGAGACTTATCACATACACCCTTGTTTATGTCTCACACAGTGGCATGAATTTTTAAATCAATAGGGAGTTTTCAAACGATGACATGTAAACCACGTCAACTGAATTCATCATCATGATTCCCTTTTCGCCGCGGAAAGGCTACTTGTCATCATGATGGCCACAACAACAACGGCAAGTTTTACAGGAACTCTGCCAAAAAGCCGCAAAAGGGTCTCAACATCGTCTTCATCAGTATCGTTATCAGCAGCATTATCATCACCATCTTCTTTTCCGTCCTCTTTGCCACCACAGTCTGAGAGCAGCACCAGCAGTAGCGTTTTAATTGAGTACGGAGGGTACTACTAAAAGAGTAAATTCTTTGCAATAGAAGCAATGTACTGTATATACATGTGTAGGGGTGGCGGTGAGTGGTCGGTGTATGTGTACATCTAAAAGTATGCGTACCTAATATATTTTCTTCAACTTGGCGGAAAAAGATTACGGTTGCGTTGACGGAACACATCGAGCCTGTAGTACTACATTACTGCATGAGAGTATGGTGCACGCCATCTTGACCGTTCCTCCAGCAGACGCAGCAATATGTAACAGTATAATCGATAGTCGGTGAAGATTTCATGTAGTACAGATTCGCCATATATATTTGCCGAGCAAACTAAAGCTTCTGATTGGATTATGTTGGAATCGAACCTGTCAAATTTCCCCAGCACTTAACAACTTTGAGCGACGGTAACTTAAAACTTTATTCAAAAAAATCGAAACCGACAACTTCTTCTCCTGGTCAAAAGGAAATATTTTTATTGGTTTAGGATTTAGGTATGAGGTGATGAAGTGATTTCACAGTACTTTAAGTTACCCATAAGGTGGTATGGTTTTATATGGCGTGCACCACACTGATAAAGTAATGCGACTGTTACATATAGGTCAACACGTAGCATTCAGGGGGGGGAATAGATTATTAAGGTACCTCATACACTTTCCCTTTGGCCTCGTCTTCTCCTTAACGGGTCATCATCATGTCACTATCGTTTAAGCCGTCATTGATCGCCGTGTCCATGAGGTTCGTGACGGCTTCAGGAGCCATGTAGCTCGGTGTGCCGAACTATACCATAGTCATCGAAATTTAGTAGCTAGAAATTTTCCTTTTGACACCTTGTTTTTCATATGATAGTATCCTTTACAAGTTTGAAAACCCACTCTTCTTTAACGTTTTTTCTTTATAAAATAATAACCTACGATCCCGTCTCTTTCGATACAGTTCTGATTTCATCGATAGCCTTGGCAATACCGAAATCGATGATTTTAACTACGCCCTTCACCAGGACGAAATTACTGGGTTTTAGGTCAGCGTGTACGATGTTCTGCTGATGTAATACACGTACTGCCTCCACCATCAAGTGTGCTTTGTTTGCTTGTTTGTATGTTAATAACAACAGTAATATTTGTGATCAAGACAAACAGGGTACACCTCTTTTCTTTTCCTGTTCCTCGATGCCCTTTGCTGTCATACTGTACTGTACATATTAGACTTTCATACGTTACCTTTTTCCAGAAATACTTGATTCTGTGGATGTTAAGATGGTCTTGGCAAAGCAAGCTGGCAAAATTGATTTCGCCATACTCAAAGAGCTAATTTATGTGTGGGAAGTGTTCAGGGTTAGTAATTACGCGTTCGATCAAACACCACTTCTTTCGATTACCAAATCATTAAATATACAATCTCCACCCTCTATTCAATATCAAACTTACTATGTGTAACTGCCAGCTGGTCCTGCAGAGCTCAAACGCGTACATGCGTGTAACGGAGTCGTTCCCTTGCAGCTGTTGGAGAAGCTCTACTTCTTCAAGGTGTATATCGAGCCGGGAGGGATCGGTAACATTAACATTTTTCAATGCGTACTCGGTCCGGTCGAAACCCATAACCTTGCACACACGACACGAACCAGTGGACTTGACATGATTGAATTGGATATACTGTTTACCGTGAAACTATAGAATTCCATTAGTTAGATGTGCTGTTTAAGCCTCTTTGACAGGAGATCAAACTTTTACTTGCTCTATCTTCTTGCTCATTCCTTTCAACAACCCTACACAAATTTTGCTATTTACCGTAAACGTGTCGACCTCCGCTCCTGGTGTTATTGCTCCGAGTGACGGTAGTCGAGCACCGCGTTCTGGTGAACGCTGCAGAAAAACCTGCCGAGCGCTCTGTTCCGTCCGGCAAGAAAAAGACGAGCCACCGAGACGAAGCTCCGTAGGTTTCGGCACGAAGCGAAGCGGAGGTGCTCAACACCGAAAGTGTGCAGGTGACTACAAATGCTCTACATATAGAGAATTAGCAGCTATATTTCATGGAGAAGGAAAATCAGTCCTTCCATAATATCCGCAAGCTCATAGAGAGAGAGTGTGTGTGTGTAAATAATTACTCAAAGCTTTCCCCGATTTCAGGGGTATCACCAGCGCGCTTTTGACCCGTGCTAGGATGCATGATGGAAGCCAGGACTTACGCCCGGAGGCTGTCTAGGGTGAAGAGTATGCCGTTCGCATGAGGCGATGCAACATCAAAAAGATGGATACGGAACGTAGAGTTAGGGAGAGAGAGCAAAGAGGAATAAAAGAATATTCAAAGTATTTAATTTTGACGGCTTCCTCTAGGTCCATTCAAAACGAAATCAAAGGGCACATGCATAATTCCCGCGGCCCAAGTTCTGCATCGCACGCCTCGCAACAATGACATTTGCTGATAGGTTTCTTTGTGGCACTGCGTATACTGTGGTTAGTAAGAGTAATTTCACATGTCAAGGGCAGTGACTCGGAATGCTAAATGACTCATTTCATGCACAGATAATATTTCCAATGATGTTTTTTATGACATTGATGATGATACATCAGTGAAACCTTGCAAACACAGCGAGAATAACGGAGATGTCGTCCGAAATGTCGAAAGAGTGCACTTTAAGAAAAAAGCTGCGTCGAATAAAAACTGGCGAGCCTGCCTTGCCGCGGTTTGGATGTGTTACATGTTGACGAGTGAAATTGAAGACGCTGTCTAATGATAGTAGTGCTGAATGTCTCAATAATTGGGGAAGGTGTGGAAAGACAAACAGGATATCACAGAAAAACAGAATCAAGAGTTGGTTGGCGGAGCTGGCGAAGATCATCATGCAGGCTCACAGCAAGTTTATGCATTGAATCCCAAAACGTAAAAATACCTTTAACCTGATTTGGATCCCTTTGATTGTATTTACATGCATTCAAAGGCATTGTAAAGACATGTAAAGGCGCTTTGAAGCTTTTTACATGTTTGATGCGTAGCAGAGGCATGCACTTTTGATTATTCAACCTAATGCATTCACTTTTATTGCAATGACTGAAAAAAAGGAGCCCCATGTAGACACGTCGAAGATACTACATAAAAGTAAATTGTATGCGACTATACGCATTGACCACAGTCTCTACTACTGTACTGGTACTACTAGTAGATCATTTCCCTTTTTCCACACAGCTGATAACTGTTTCGGCTGACGAGCTTATTGGATGCGACCTTCTGTATGTTGTAAGTCATAACGTTAAGTGTGCTGCAAGTTTTTGCTTACGACATGATGCTTATGCGAATCCACAAGAACTATTAATGCATGATAGATGACGTTTCCCGCATCAGTAACTTATATGCAATTGAATGTTTCAGAAAAGACAGTATATAAAATTAAGATCATGTAAATTAAGATGATTGGGACGATGATGGCTATGGCTGTACTAAAGTACGCGATAGCGATTTCTCGCTACTGTATTATACATATCTCGATTTTTTATAATACGCTTCTCTCAAAGGCACTTAACAGACTTTTATGTCCGGGCACTTCACCACAGCGTAATTTTTGAATGACACGTTATCTCTTTCGTACGAGACGCAGCATTTTCGCATATAAGGTCTTAAGCGCCATTTCAACAATTTTATTAAAAAAACATTAGGTGTTATATAGCGTAGTGCTGTGACATTTAGCCTTCATTTCAAAAAAAATTACCTTGATGTCAATATGGATACAACATCCATCCATTGCAAAGCGGTAGCCCAAGGTATCATAAATCTCATTTAAGCTAGCAAAATTTTCCTGTGCCAAAGATCACATTTCTGTTCATGATCAGGTTGTCCAAATTGCTGTTTCTCACGGTCAAGATCTCCATGAACACTCCTTGCAGTTTTTGCTATCATACCAGCAAGTTATGTACAGAAATGTTACTATGGCGTGGTTTGGTGGCGTCTTCCATGCATGGCAAGTTTTTTTTGCCTTACATTTTGAGATCAGGTCGTTCCTTGGGGTTGTTATTCTTCATCCATTATATATACTTTTCTATCGTTCCTCCATACTTAGCGAACAATTACCTATAACCTTATTCCTTCCACATCCTCATAAGTTTGTCTAAATTCTCTCGATATAATCAATCAACAGGTTAATGTAGAGAATAGGAGCTTCTCCACGTGACGCCTATCTCGTCAGCACTAAGTATATACGTATGCAGGACTAATGAAAGGACGGGTATGATTAAGATTAATGGCTACTGAAAACGAGAATTATTGATTGTCGTAGTAGTTGTTACATCCAGAAGATACGTTTCCTTATTTGCGCACTGCTGATCTCAATCTTAAACATTAGAAATTATTCTTAATAAGAAAAAAAGGTATACATTTTTCGGGGAAGGGGAAGGTTCATTTCTGCTCTCCTTTTTATATTACAAGATAACTCATTTATTGATTAGTCGCCCACACCACTGTATTTCTAGACGCAATGCCTCAAGCGTTGATGACCAACATTAGCATCGGAGGACGATTTAGTTCATAGATGGATCAATCGCGAAAGGAAGGACGCATGAATGGAAGAACTACTACGGCGCTCATGCAAGGTCACTCTTTCGCTTGTGCTGAGCTTGATTGCTCTTTTTTGCTGGATGGTAGTATCTTTTTGTTGTGTCGATAAACTGTAGATACAGTACAATAAACTGGTGTTGTTTATGGTAGAGTAAGGCGAATGGGATAATTACATGTCACCTATACATGATACATTGTGCCGACGTATCCTACTCGCTTTTCATCTTGTGCATGATACTCCCAATCTGTTTTATATGTTTGCTTGATTTTGCATATGTATAATCATCTTCGTATTTTTGTATATATTCTAGCAGTAACTGATGGGTGATAGCTCATACAGTCGATTCCCTAAATTTCACATCCGTTAACTTTCAACCTTCAATAACTTCACCAAATCTTTGGGAATGGAAAAAATAGCATAGTAAAACTTTCCAATCCCGTGTATTTCACTTTCAATGTATCATCCACCAGGGTTGGAGCCTTATCGGGTTATAATAAAAAGCGCTGCTATATAGCTTTTAAAAGACAAGCACTGCACATTATTTATTTCGACTGGATCGTATAAGATTGAATATGATATTTAAAAAAATCATCTTAAAAACAGCTATCTAAAGAGCTTTGTCAGAGCCAAAGATCGGGTACACTTGTATCTGATAAATCTGGTTTCCGCTTGTGCAACCACTCAACCCGAATAAAAGCCCCACATTGATGTGTACAGGGAGCGGGGGAAAGCTTTGTCCTTCTCTCTCTTTTTCCCTCTTTATTATTTTGCTCTTGTTCCATATCATGCAAAACATGGTTGCTCCTTTTACAAACTCTCAGTATGGAAAATTTGCTACCACCTCTCGATTAATATCTTGTCTTATTATCGAGAATTTAGCCACGGCCTACTACTATTCTTGCCCTGAGGAAGAACAGCAGATGGTAGGCTTGTGTCTGGTACTACGAACACGACGCGATTCTCGGGACGAAGATGAAAAGCATACTTCACTAACTACTAAAGACCTTTTGGCAGTGGTTCCTTTACGTGGCATTCCCGAACTGAACTCCAGCGAAGCTGCTGCTTTAACCCTCCCTAATGGTGTCCAATGCCCTAAAATCGAACTGCTTGATCCATGGGATATGCTAGCCCCCCATATTTTTGGTCTCTACTGTGATGACAGCTCTCCAAACCCAAAACATTCCCAGGGCGTCCGAACTCTGGTTACCAAAGCGCTTGAGACGATAGGATTATTGAAAGAAGATCAAGATATAATGGTTGGCTATGATGCAGTACAGCTGTGGACCAAGTTCTCGCGTGATTATGGCGTATCTGAGACGGAGGATTCAAAGGCGATTGCATCGGAAGTAGCCAACTCCATCATCCATCAAAGTAAGTAAAAGTTATTACGCTAATTCGCCGATGTTTCTCGTTCCTCCTTGATTGACTGTTACCTTGTTTACCAGCATATACTTATGATCATCCAAAGCCATTACCCACGCTCGAGTCACCACCCTACCAGTGGGAGCAGCTGATATTTGAGGGTCATCCATATCATCCGGTATGCTCAAGCGAAAAGATATTCCTCGGGGACATACACGAAGAAACAACCATCCTACGAAAACTTATCGAACCTCCATTTTCCTTTAATTCTGTGAATCAAAATCACGTTCATTAGATGCACAAACTTCGGATCAGCGCGCCACCATTACCGCCTGTGGAGCCAGGACAAGTGGATTGGGACACTCCGAAATTGCGTCTTGTCGCGATCCCTAAAGAATCCATCACGCTTCGCGGCGATTTTGAGCAACGCGCTACGCCCTTGATCGACGCCATGTTGCAACCCACGGGCAAAGTTCAGGATCAGCGTGCCAAATATGCTGGTACCCATGTCTTTATGCCTGTGCACGAGTTCCAGGTACCCAACATCCAAGCCAAGTTCAAGGACGCGCTTGTATTCCCCGAAGCCAACAGCGTCACTGCCCACTGCTTGACATCGATTCGGACCGTTGCTGTGCCAGACGTTCTTAAAGAATTAACCGTCAAGCTGTGCGTAGGCATCAAGGTGACTTCGGCGCTCAGAATCATCTCCGTGTATTCAACTTATTTCGGTCCTGGGTTCTCGACACATGTGGTCCCTCGACTTGTGTATGACCGCTCGATTTTGACAGTGGAGCGGGATTTGGCAAGTGCTATTTATCACCATGACGATCCTCACGTGGCCAAGCATTGCAGCTGTATCTTGCGTGAAGCTGTGGAATATCCATCCAATCCAGTGAATAGTGATGCATTTGTTGTGACGGGTGCATTGGTGGAGAAAATCCAAAAGCCAGGTACGGACGAAACGTTGGTTACGCATGTCTGGAAGTTGGACACGGAGGAAAAGCGTGCTGCTTTTTTGGACAGGTGAAGTATTGTTTTTTTGTACTTTTGGAGGCAGTAACTTGTTATCGCGGAAAAGAAGTTCGGGTATGAATGAGCCGCTTATGCCATCATTGCTACCATTCCTTATAGATATATTGAATTGGCACTCAAGGCATTTATCCCACCATGCCGTGAAAATGGTGTTGCCTTTGAAGCGCACGGACAGAACACGGTGGCACGATTTGACAAGGAGACGGGAGTATTGAAGGGTTTTGTGATTCGTGATTTTGGTGGCCTTAGTATCCATCGCGAAACACTGGAAAAATCATGTGACGCTGAGCTAGATGTTTTGCCAGATAGCTCTATTGTTGCTGAATCCATGGATCTAGTCTACAATCGCCTTTATCATTCCTTGTTTCATACTCATCTGCAGAGATTGATTCGGGTACTGGGCATGCATCATAATGGCCGTGGCTGGGAAATGGTGCGTCGCTATTTTACTGAGCTGGTGCCCAAGAATGATCCCATGTACGCTTATTTCATGGAACAAAGCAAAGTATCGGGCAAGTGCCTGATATCCATGAAACTGGACGGTCTGTACCGTGACGTAAGTTATATGCAACTGCTGCCGTGATGGTCTTCCGTTATAAACAGTCTCCAAAATATAAAAAAGATATGCTCACATTTTTTTTCACTTATGTATCCCAATAGGACATCTTCCGACCGTTCCCTAATGTTATCCTTACTCCAAGACATGCTTAACAAACCTACTATATTAATTATATTCTGTATTATAAATAACTTGTAATTGTAGCTATATAGAGCTACCAAAACTGTACTGCAGTAGAATTATACTATTTTATAATTTTGATATGGGAGTCATAAGAGGTGTACATGCTTTTGAAATTTTTTAATACCAAATATATGCTTTACTGTGTGCAGTTTTGGCTTCTGCATTAGGATTTCAACGTGTTTTTGACACCTGAACATTGATTAAATACGAACATATCATACTGTTAGTAATTGGGCTTCATTCATATTGCATTACTGTACAGAGCAAGGCAGTGAGCTAGGATATCGCTTATTAGTGAGAGTAACAATTGTTGGCATATATATACGATTACTCTACTGTTGACTACTCTTGAAAAAACTTTGTATCCGGGACACAGAAACGTATATATACTGTACACTGTATTTTGATGTTATTACTGGTGGAAGATCTTCATTTTTATCGCGATGTGAGTATAGACAAATAAAGAAATGACAGCACTATACCCCATCAGCGTAGGGTTTTTGCTCGTATGACAAAGAAAATACCAAGTGATGGCTTATCGACATCAGGAATAGTGACGGGGCCAGACATATGGAAGAGAAAGATTTCAATGTAATCCCTCAAAATCAAAAACCACATCATCGGCCAGCACGCACGTGATGGCTACCGACCCTACTTCATTACCTGTGTTACAAATAAACAATGCTGCATCATAATGCGTTATGCTATCGATCTTTAGTATGCCTTGTAACAGTTGTACCCGTAGCGGGCTACAGCCTGAAGATCCGTCACGGTGTTGTCAAAGGTGGGCGCAGTGGTACATTACAACAGTATACAGTCTTATGGAAAAGAAAGGTGCTCTGGATTGAAATCTGTCGGTGGTCCGTGTAATATTATCAACCAAATAAACTTACGTAACAGATGGATAATGATGCCATTAGTTTGAGTTTAAGACAAATGATGAGCTAAACCCCTACTTGTAACTTATTATGAACATTATATATTCGCCAAGAAGAAGCAAGAAAAAAGTATGCAGTGACACCATGATTCTAGCTAGCAAAGATCTCGTACATAACACTGCGCGGATACTGTGTAGGTCACCATTTTCAAGCAAATAACATTGGATAGTGCCATTATTTACAGCTATAAGCAACACTGCTCCTTGCTTCTAATCAAAAGTTGTTGTTTTTGACCTACTAAAGGGTTTTAGAAATCTTCAAGGCAGTTAAAAAGGAATATATAACACGTTTTGACCTCTTTGCATAACCATTGATGCAATCACATGGAATTTGACTCTGTTGCTTGAACTTCTACCCTGTATTGACTCATAACTTGGGTCCTATAATGTCAAAACAAAAAAGTATTTAGAAAGGTCAATTGCCTATCTACAAACCCAAGAGTAATTCCCGTGTATCATAGTTACATATGTTGTATCTCGAAGTTGCCCGAGTCAAGCGAGAATTTTTCGCTGCAAAAGGACGGTTTCATTGGTCGGCGATCAGCAGTCTCGGTCACTCCGATTTTCATCGAGCTTTAAACTTCCTTGAAACACAGCAATAAAGCTTCCTTTACTTTTTCTTTATCTTATATATAGAGGTCTTTCTCTTTCTATTCCCCCCTACTCTACCCTTTTGATTATTTCTCTCCCCTTCCTCCTTTGTCGGTACCCGTACTATAAACACTCTCATGGACCACGATCACGGATCTAGCCAAGACACGCCGTATAACATTAATATACCCTATGCTGGCGCATTAGCGGGTGTTTTGGCAGGTCTAACCGTCTTGCTGGCGATCCGGCACTTTGTCTTCTCCTGGAATACATCCCGTAACAGCGGATATGTCAAAGCGTACAATCGATGTGAGCGCTTCATAGTAAACAAATTTAGCTACACGTTGAATGGACGGCGCAGTGGGCCGTGGCTCCCACCCATTGGCCTCATTCTCATAATTATCATGCTGTTGTCAACCGCCCTGCCATTATTACTTGTCGACGTTAACCTTTCCATCAACTCGAACCGTGCCGGATTCTTGGTTTTGGCACTTGTCCCGTTTGTGCTCGCGTCGACCGGTAAAAACTCTGCCATGGCGCTTGTTACAGGCATTTCACCCGTTAAACTCAATTACTTGCATCGAATTTTGGCAACCGCTATTGTTGTACTGGCAACAATCCATATGGCTCCGATGCTCAAGTCATGGTCACGGTTTCCCGCATTTATGCAATCCAAATTGGAAACTGAAAAGGTCCAGTATGGTCTAGGCGGCTACGGTTGTCTGTGCCTTGTTTTCCTCGGAAGTCTTGGTCCGGTCCGACGCTTTTTCTACGAAGGGTTCCTCGTGTCCCATCTTCTCGCTTTTGGATTCATGGGTGCCGTAGCGAAACACACTCCGTATGCCATGCGCTACTTCTTTGCGGGCTTCGTGTGCTATGCAGTGAATGTTTTGACCGGCTGGTTCGTTAAGTCACGTGTTGCACGCGCTCGCTTTGATGTCTTGCCGAATGGGTGCACAAGAATCTCGCTGCGTCTTTCGAGTCCCTTGCTCCATCGTCCTGGTCAATATATTTACGTCAACTTGCCTGCCTTGTCGTATTTTCAATGGCACCCATTTACAATCACAAACACCCGTATGGCTGCAGACAGCGCTTGCGACATGGTGGAAGTACATGCATGCGTACGTGGCAACTTTACAAAGAAGTTATATGAACGAGCCCAACATGGCCAGGAGTGGACTGCATTTATTAGTGGACCCTGCGGCAATGGTTCTATCGACCTTGAACCTACCACAATGCTCTCATCCCATAAATCCATTCTGCTGCTTGGCGCCGGTGCTGGTGTCACATTTCCTATTCGATTACTGCGCGATCTAGCATATACGTTATTTGAACTGCCCTTGACACGCGACTACATCACTCAGGAAATATATTTCTGCTGGTCTGTTCGACACGCTGGCGAGCTCGAGTGGTTCAGGCAGGAACTGGAACGGCTTTTGGTCGTTTTTGAAAATGCTCGACGATCTGAAAGCCGCATCCCGCGGCTTACGGTCAACCTCTATGTCACCAGTTCGGACGGCGATGCTGCCATTAATGAGAAGGTGGATGACGAGGAACAGCACCAGAATGAAGGCAATGTTATGCTTCAGGCAACTTCAGACGAGTCAGCAAAGCCAGCCATGTATCTCAATACCCGTATCAAGACTAAAGCATTACTCAAAAGTCTTCATGATCGATCCCCTGGTGTCTTTGGTAAGAAAGCAAAACAGATCACTTTTGTCAGCCAAGCTACTACAACAAATAACTGACGACTCCTATTTTTGTCGATAGTTTGTGGACCATCTGGGTTCAACGCCCAAGCCAAGAATGCAGTAGCCGGTCGAACGTCGATAGGTTCTGGCCCACATTTGCATTGTGAAGCGTTTGAGTATTAAGTAATTTAAGTATATTCCCCCCGCCCTCTTTCTCTCCATTTGTAATTTGCCCCAATTTGTTCTGTATTAATCTTCATCCTCATCTGTTTGTTTCGTTTCCCTTGAAACTGTATTTCAACTTCCCCACTGGAAACACTGTAGTTTACCGTATACATATTACAAAAATATTATATATATATTTCTCATTACTTACAAAACAATTGAACACTACATCGAGTGATACGTCTAAAACAAAAATATTAAATAGAAAATTGAAGTTACATGGATTGAGTGTTATCAAGACACTTTTCAAAAGTTGGGGAATACGCATAATTGAAGATTTCTTTTTAGTTAGCAGAGTTGGCTTCAGCTTCCTCGCGAATGACAGCAGCAAGACGACACACAGCTTCGTCCATTTGATCCATCTCGATGCAGCTATATGAGACACGGACACAGGGTGTTTTGTCTTGAAGGGGCATGAAGGCCTATTATAGTCATCGATAAAAATTAGTCACCGAATAAAACAGAAAGAAAGCAAAAGGCAACAAGACTTACCACACCAGGAACAGCCAAAACATTCTTCTTGACTGCCTTTTGCAATATCAGCTCGTTCGAGTCAGTGATGCCACCCAACAGGCGAATCCAGACAAACATGCCAGAGTCAGGCGCAACCCATTCGGCTAATCCCTTCAGGTTACGGTCCAAACACTTGACAAAGGCATCGCGTCTTTCACGATAAAATTTGGCGACACTGTCAACGTGCTTGAAGAAACCATCGTGACCCCATTCGGCCAACAAACCATAAGCCATCAATTGAGGGACACCAGCGGGTTGCAAGTTCGTTACCATGGTGTGCATGTTCATCCGCTCAATCAAGACCTTGGGGCCGGAGACCCAACCAATACGAATACCGGACGACAAAATCTTGCTCATACTGTCCATACGCAAAACACGGCCGTCCACATCCATGGAGAAATACGAAGGAGTGCGCTGGGTGTTGAATTGGAGATAGTAGTATGGGTCGTCTTCAATGATGATGATATCGTGCTTCTTGCATACTTCGTAGGTTCGCTTCTTGCGTTCCAGCGTAGAGCTGACACCAGTAGGGTTACCGCCGACAGGAACAGTGTAAAGAACCTGAGGACGGGGCTGGTCCTTCTTGCCGCTGGGGTTTGACTCTGGCCAGTTGGACAAGATCTGATCAAGGGCTTCGGGACTTATACCTTGGGCATCGGTGGCAACGGGAACCAAATCGATAGGCTGAGTCTCAAGGAACGATAAAGCACCAGTATAAGTAGGCTCCTCAACAAGCAAAGCACTTCCGGGTTCAGCAAACATTTCCAATGCCTAATTGTTAAGAATATCATGCCACCAATGTTAAATGACCAAAGCTTCAAGATCTGTCAAAGGGGATTCCGAATATATTTCGTACGGCAAACTAACCTTGGTCAAGAGATCCTGCGAGCCAGGACCCACAGCCAAGTCAAATTCCTTGCAAGGTGGAGCATGTTCCTTGATTTGGAGTTCACGCAACCACTGATTCAACTGAGGCAAACCGGACTATCGTGTAAAAGAGCGAGGTTACCCGTGAGAAAATTGAGTATAAAGTTTTGCTTTCTTTTATATAAAATACAAGGAAGAGAGGCTTACAGTGAGGTCATACGACAAACTACGTCTGAACAAGTCATTGTCAAAAGTGATCGTCTCTCCGGACTTGAGTGTGACACTCATGCTTGCATAGGGGAACGTTTCAGGGTTGGGTTGACCAGCACCCAAGGAGAGCTATCACAAAAATTTACAGCCGTCAATTGGAAGATTAGATGATCGCCTGTATGTATATGTAACAGCGCAAAAATTCATGTACCATCTCCTTGTTGTTCATGTATGGCATCAGGGCACGAACTAGATTAGTGGTAAATGTTGTCAATAACTGATAAATTGTGTTTGTTGATATGGCAAAACTTGTTGCTTACTGGCTGATGGGTTGCGAGCCTTGCTGCGAGTGCTAAGGAACTTTTGATAATCCATGGTGACGAGAAAAGACGAATGGAAAGCAGAAAAAAATAAAACGGGAAAAAGAACATCAGCGTAGCATTTGATTTATAGGTTCTCGCTATGTTTTAGATCTCAGCGTAACGTATAGGAATCAAGATCTGCCTTTTTTTTTGCTCCCGAAGCTCGGAGAGTGGACGTATAGCAAGAGGGAAGGACAAGAGAACTGCTTGCAATATGACGCGTATTTACGTATAGTGGTAGGTAATTAGTAGCCGAGGGATGCAAAAACCTCGCACGCATGATTTGATTGCTGGCCAGTTATCATGGTGAGTCATCTGTGTAGAGCTGTCCTGCTTAACAAGCAAAGAGAAGAACACACATAATGCAATTCTACATAATTGTGTAACATACACTGTAGCATTCTGCTTAGGAATATACGTCAAAAAGGATTATTTTATATAATACAGACAAATAAGTTCGTAGGGAATAAAAGAGTATAAATGTACAGCTGGGAGGTGAAAGGTGGGAGGTGGGAGGATGAGTTGGAGATTTTTCTTAGTGATCGTGCTCGCCAGTAAGGCCGCCCAGGGAGCGGAATCTGCCAAAGATCATTTCACCAATGAAAACGCCGACAACAATGACAAGGAGGTATCCGCCATTACCTGTCATTACAACCATCATGAGCAAGTAGCTTACAAAAGACGCCAGCGCCGTGAGGAAGCTACGAATTGTATCGATTGGCCAGTTGAAAGGTGCTACGCGTGGTAGTCGATGAGCTTCGGGATACGCGTTGTAGTTGTATGGAATATTATTGGATGTAGACGATGAAGGTGTATCAATAGGAAGATCGCCGCTTGTTTTCTAAGATGCAAGCGAAGGCGGTTGTTAGTTTTCTGAGAATAGATACAAGTGCACGAATCCTGTAAATGTCCAAGTTACCTCGGGTGCTTTTGTTGCTGCTTTAGCAAACAAGCCTGCTATCCGTGGCGTCGGATTAAATCCGTTGTCATTGTAAGTATTGATGCCATACAGGCGTTGGTACCGAATGTTTGCCCAGGAATTAAAATACGCTTCGATCGCAAAGATACTGCGCGAGAGGATCGCAATGAAAAGCAGACCAAAGCAGGCACCGATATACGCTGGTTCGGCAGATGGCAACCATGCGTCGAGCCATATAGCATCACCGGAAGAAGACCAATGGAAAGTGCCCATGCTCATCGAGCTGTGGTCCATCGAGTCACTTGTGCTGCTACCTCCACTCATGTCCATTGTGTACGCGTGTGCTGTTTGTAATATGTGGTGAAGGTCAAATATACAATAGTGGAGAAGAAAGGAAGGTTGGGTCGGGGTGATCCTAGCGTTGGTTTTAGGCTTTTTATAAAAGATATAAACTTCTCAAAGTGAATTTTGAAATCCAGATCCGCTTGATTGGAGGAGCAAAAATCTCGCATTGTTTCGGGTTCCCTTGGTGTAACCGGGTAACCAGGTTCCGTCAACTGACGCCAAGTGGTTAATTCTTCTTGCTCCCTCTAAGTACTAGTGCTTTTGCTCCGATTGACGCGTCTCTATACAAGGGTCAATCCGATGAGTATGTGGCAGCTTAGCCCAGACCACTTGAATTTGCGAAATTGTTATATCGCTCTGACTAGAAAAATAACGTGTTGCCAGCAGTAATCTCTGGCCCGGTGCATATTGTAGATGTTTCTCACAGTCATCATATGTTATGTTAGGTACCTTGCAATTATAAAAGTACGACACCGCAAGTGAGATCCCAGAACATACACCATTCCCAATGCGAAGAGACGGAGCAACTAGCGGTGCCGTCTTTATCTTAGTAAGTTAGTATATATACTGTCAGAGTGAAAACACTACTTTTAGGTGCAGATCTCTCTTCTTAAAAGCATTTCATGAAAACTGGAAGCTGGCCTGTTATTATCTTTGGGTGATGATGTTGTATATTGAGCCATATGTGAGCGATGGGAAATCTTTCTGTCACGAGTGATGTTGAAAGTTTTGAGCAAATGAACCAATTTTCTTCGATGCGGCAATGTATGCAGGGTAGTGTATATGCAGATCATTTGAAAACCCAGTATCCACAAGCAGTCTTCTCTTGATTTCGCTAAGCCTAGTTTTTATCGACTCCTTAAAGTATATACCGAGTACCTTAATGTTATGAAGGATTTAAAATATCTTTTTTGCCAAGATTTGTTTTGAAATAATTATTGTGTAGGCATTGATTACCATTATCTGTACGTTTCGTAACATGATAACATAAAGTAGCAAAAAATTTCTCGAACGTGGACAGCTGCAAATGATCTCGAGATGCACGGTACACTGCGGCTTCATGCTTTCTTTTAGAAAGGTGCCGAGGAAAAGAGAGAAGGAAGGGGAGAGGCAAGAAATATATGCCTGAGCGCATATTCTCTCAATACGAAGCATTACATTTATATAATAAGAGTGCAGTACAGCATTAGAAGCATAGTAGGAGTGGCATGTATTGAAACATACTACATACGTACTCAATGGCAATTTAGAAAGTGATTACGTAGCAAACTGTCTTTGGGCTCGGTAGAACTGATAATATTCAAGGTGTCGTTAAATACTAGGCGGCATTTTTCTGTTGATACAGTACGTGATTGACCTGGTAATTCCAGCGACCACGATAATACCAACAATAGTTGTACTTGTACTTGGCCGTTGTGTGCTTCCATATACATTAGTTCTTGAAAGATTAAGTTTTAGCTGCTGAGTGATGATCGACTAAAACATTCCAATTGTGCCTGTCCTAATAAGTAGCTGTGGTTTTCGTTGTAAAAAAGAGTTAGCTTCTGGTGAATTGCCTGATGCATATTCTTTTTGGTTACGGTTATAGTATAAGCGCCACCGATGATTAACGTATATCTTATACGCTGAACGGGTTTAATATCGTCGCGCATCATGTATTACGCGTTCTATGTTGGATTTACTATCTTATGTTTTGTTGCATCTGATGCAAACTATTGTTATGCTGCATTAGTTGCGTAAGGTCCAAGATGTCATTCACCTTTTTTTTTGGTAGAAAAAATCCTTCTGAAGTCAATCATCTTTGGTGACTTTTCATTAGAGCTTTCATTATTAACTTCTTTGATTTCTTCAAGTTCCATTTGTTGCTGTGTTATGTAAGTTTGCTACTTGCCAACGCCAAAAACCTGGGAGCCTCAGTGAAGCTTGATCGATAACAACAACAACAACGTGTCGTTTACGCCCTTATTGTACATTCTCAAACAGAAGGAAAATGGATTGAATTGATCTAAACAAACGACATCTGTCATATCACACAGGCACATATAGTAGGAGCACAGCCAATGTTACCTCCCACCCCAGAACGATACTGTAAAAGTGAGCACATTATATAATAGCAGTGGTAGCGGTAGCGCTCTTAGAACTATCACTATTAACTTTACCTTTGTATGAAGAAATTATCACGTTACTGTTTGTGAGCTTACGGTTGACACGAAGCAAAATAACTTGAACAACATGCGGGTGACGATAAAGAATTGACATCAAGGCCCAGCCACATTGTTTTTCTGACATATATCCAATAGTACGTGCTATAACTGAGGAGCTTGCTGTAGTAGTATATAGCAGTACTACCTGCAGGATATCTGATATTTAGTGAAGAGTATTACAGGTAGTAACTATTATTGATAGTGCGAAAATTTGACAATGGAACAGTAATTATAATCACAAGCAGCTGTATTAATATATAAAGGAGAGAGAGAGTGAGTGATAATGCACCGGAACCGCCAAGAACGGAAATGGCATTTCCGAAAACAAAGTTCTCGTGACACTGGGCCTGGCCAATGGCATCCTCAAAAGTTCGTTCTATTCCACTGTTTCGAACCAAGGTAAGTTTCTACTCAGCCTTCTTTTGCTTTCAACTTATTTCCCGAGATAATCAACAATGGCAGCCGACACAATAACTAATGACAAAGCATTCACCGAACAAAAGTTACAAGCCGTTGATCTGACAACGGCTGAGAATGAGGAATCGCCGTCTGCTCTGTCGTCTTCTTCTCTGTCACCACCGTCGTCCGAGCAACAACAGCAGGAGGACGACCAGCAACCACAGCCAGCAAGCATAGGTATCGTGTACTTTCGCGCTTCAGGCTATTGTTTAGGCTTGGAGTAAGAGCAAGGGAATTTTTTTGATTGACACATTGATATTTTTTCCGTTATAGAAAGCGAAAGGGGTGGTTCCGAGGAAAATACAAGATCCTGTAATCAAGAGGATCAAGGCGCTGTAGCCGCAACCGTTGCGGCAGCTGTCGCAAGCGTGGCACTGCAAGATACCGCCGTCAATACAATTAGCAAACATCGGCCTACACCGATCCAAACGGGCAAGGCAAATACAGAAGCAGAGCATGTTGATGGCGATGGTAACAATGCAGGCGATATAGAACCACCAGGACCAACACCTCCTCCAAAGAACACAAACATGGCAGACTACTTGACACCACCTACGCCAGGTGTTCTTCCCATGGCTGATCCTAATTATCGTCGGCAGCTCGAGGAGGATGAAAGACAGGAGCAGGCCTCGCAGTCCAACACATTCACGCCCGTCAACATCGATCTGAAACGAGTCAAGGCAAACACACTTAGTCCAAGAGAGCAAGAAGCTGCAGGTAGGATGATTACTATATATCTTCACTAGCGTTCGAAGAAAAAAAGATCGAGCAGACTGATGTACTTTCTACCTCTGGTGTTGTGGATATCTACAAGATGAAACGATGGCACAAGGAATCTCTGCCCTTTTCAACAACAAATTCTCGCATGCCAAGGGTATCTTTGAATCCCACGCCCATGAGTGAGTGGAAAAGCCTTTCTCAGTCCAATTACTTGTTCTTCTGTCGAGCCCATATTTAGAACAAAGCTAATGATGTGGTACGATAACAACTGTGTTGTATGATATAATTAGAGACGTCTTGCATTCACTTGGTCTAGGCTCTATGGCATTTTTGAAAGGTAGATCCACATGAACTGTCATTTTTCAAAATGAAATTTTTGTCAACTAACGTTTTCTTGTTTGTTTATAAATAGCTATCACTGTAAGCTTCGACACTTTTGGCAGTTTTTTTTTCACACACTCACAATAGAAATAAATGCCGGTCGTTCCATCCCGATTTCGTTGTGTGACGTTGATATTCATATAGTCTGCAAATCCGAGAGATGCCGAGGTAGCCATTGCCAGCTTAACCGAGACATACCAGTTTGCTCAAGCACAGATCGAGGCAGCACAAGCCAAGAAGCCGCTGAAAGATACCGTATCGCACATGTTTACAAACTTGATGGGTAGCAACACAACTGGACTGCCTACGAACACACGACCGCTCAGCCAGGACCAGCTTAAACAGCGACCCACGTTCATGCCGAATGGTGCCTTACGTGCACATATCATCAAGGCCGAGTGTGGCTTGCTCATGAGTATGGTCCACATGTCGCAAGAAACAGTGCTTGGTTACTTGAAAATGGGATTGAATCTGCGTAGAGGTAAGAAAAGTTAATTTGGATTGCATATCAGGCTCTGTTTTCCAGAGAGACATATTGTATTAACTAGCATCCGTTCGCAGCCTATAGCAGCTATAGCTTGGTCTGGCAAGAGTATAAGCGTATGGGCCAAGATTTCCATAAATACATTGACGAGAACACTGTCTCTGCAATTCAATTTGGGTATGTGACATAGGGATGTTGTGCTTTAGGGGGAAGAAGTGCTTACAAAGTGACTTATTTACCCCTTGTCGTTCTTTAGCATTGGATCTGTGCATTTACTATTGTCATCATTGCCGCCCAAGATCCTCAAAATTGTCTCAGCCTTTGGATGGAATGCGGACAAGCATCTTGGATTTGCTCTTTTGAAATTGTGCCTTGAAGGCAGGCGTATCCGTGCTCCGCTTGCATCAATGATGTAAGTTGCAAAGACGCTATATAGCTGTTTGCCTGAGCTCTCATGCATACTTGTAACGTCTTAGGTTACTTTCGTACTATGTTATTTTGACATCCCATGCACCGCTTATCCTAAATCGTGAATTGATGCAGCCGGCTGTAGATTGTCTATTGGATGCGCAGAAAACGCATCCAAGTTCTGCTTTCTTTTTGTATTTTGCCGGTCGCGTCTCGCGACTCACACGCAGTATCTCCTTATCGACACAATCATTCGATTACACCAGCGATGTCAGCAAGGGAGAGTGGGCAGAGGTATCGATGGGCCTTTTAGCCAGTTACGAGATTGCATTCAACTCGGCAATGGAACTCCAGTGGGAAGATGCAGCTCAACAACTTGAAGCACTCATTCCAACACATACCAAACCAGCCTTTATCAAATACTTTTACGGCGTATGCATGGAAATGATGGGTAACCGGAGCGAAGCTATTCTGGCGTTTGCTGAAGCTCCCAAACTTGTCAGTGGCAACGGATCTCAACTCGAGCAGTTTATCATCAGCCGCGTCAACTTTTTCGAACGAAGTGGATATCAAGATCTGGATTTCGTATTGCCTGCGCTTGAAATCCTGCTTCTTTGGAACTCGCTAGCAAATATGAGTGATGAGGCATTGGAAGTATGCTTGGACAAGGTCGATGAAACGCTCAATAGAATTTATGACCGAGAGAAGCGAGAGTATGAAATTCGAACGGTAGAGATTGCTCCCAATATTGCGCCACCAGACTATTACGATCAACGAGCCACGTTGCTTCTTATCAAGTCATCGATATTAAATGCACTGTCACGAGGTCGTGAGGCAATCCCACATTTAAACTGGATTTTGGATAATCGTAAACGAATCTTGCATACCAAGTGGATTGTTCCGTTTGCTTACTGGTATGTAGATAAAGTATGAACCACAATGTTCTCTTTTGGATATACTAACCAACACTCTTTTGCAACAGGGAATCTGGTGTTACATGCTGGTGTATGGAGGAACATGGTCGGGCACGCTCGCTTTGGGAGGCAGCACTCAGTTTCTCTGGATATCCTTTGGAATATCGATTGGCCATTGTAGGTTTCTCGTCACTACTTGATAGTTGCTGCTACATGGCACGTTTATATTGCTGACATTATCTCATTTGATTTTTCTTCTTCTAGCGTTTAAATCTTGCAATCACACACGCCAATGATCTTGGTATTCTAGCATCTGAGACACCAAGACCTGAGAAAGGAATTAGCACCAATGGCCGCAAACGATTATCCCTCGCGTCGAAAATGTCGCCACCTGACTCTCCTGATTTGGGCAATGGCAATAGTCATTCCGATCATCCAAAAGTTGAGAGCCCTCCGCCTACTCCCACTACTACATCAACATAAAGCACCCTGCCGCTCTACTCTATACACATATCCGTTAAGCTGTTTATATTTTGATAATAATTTGGTTATTACACTCTGAACTTTCATAGTTGTCTTTTTAAATTAATGTTACCTTTTCCGATACTATTTGTAATGCATGTAGATAAGTGAAATAGATGCTTTATTGATACGAAAATAAAGCTTCCCACCTGTGCTCTGCATTGACACTATAATTCCCCACTTTTCCCTCCCAGTCTCTACCAAATTTTATGAATTTAAAAGAGTAGTGTTAATGATGCAATATGACACTACAGTATATTTGTTGATACCAATGCTAATGTGTGGGATATGTATGCTAATTAAGTTACAGATATTTATGATGATGACGGCTTTTGATGAGGATCAAACCCGCTGTTTACTACTACTTCTGAAGCGTCCAGTAATCCAAAGCACCGGGCCCAGTGATCGTCCGATACCAAAGTGCCATATAATCCTTTCATGTGACTACCAAGCTATATATGCAATAAAGTTTAATCTAGAGAGTCCCAATCTTCTTTGCGTGATTATTTACCTTATCAAGATCCTGAATGATATTCTCCATCATGGCTACGTAGGCATAATACACCATGTAACTATCGTCGGAAGATGCGTTTGTCGAGGGCAACACTTGCTCGAGCTTCGTCATGAGAACTTCGCGCGACATTTCAGCTGGTGGCAGATAAGGGGGTAGAGGTGTCTTGAGCTGCAAGGCGGATGCGAGGAGATAGAAATACAGCAGAATATTGCCTGCCATGTCCATCCATTCTTTGCTTGCTGGAAGCATTAATGATCGACGCACCTGGATCGCCCACACATCCTTAAGAATAACAATCCGCATCGACAAGAATTTGTCCAGAATGTTTTGACAGGACGTTAACATCGATTCGTATATCTGTACAGGGAAGGGACCTTTAAGTCGAGGCTCGTTTGGTGCATGTGTAAGAAGTTCTCGTAAGGTGACCAAATTGACTTGCAACGCTAGCTCGATCTTTTGGAATTGTGCTGCCCGGATTTTATTGCGCGCTGCAAGGGCTTTCATTTGCTCGGGTGTAGGGGTATAGTCAGGTCGATTATGGGTATCGTAGAACATTTCTTCAATCAACAGTGAGTATGCGTCTTGATTCGTAGCAGAGGACGTTTCCGAGTAAACGGATACGAGTTGCTTGTACAGCCAGGAGAGATGTAGAAGAAGATCGGATAGTCCCTTTCGCAACTCCTTTCTTGCTTCATACCTTTATAATTTTAAAGACGAGTTAAAAGATGGATTCAGAAAATCAGTCTCAAAAGAGATATACTTACGGCCAGATGTAAGCAGTGACAATGAGACCTATATACCGTGATTATTAACATAATGTGTTTTTTGAGCAGCAAGGTAAAGGCTGATGTTGTATCACTTACCAATAATAACACCCAGCGAAACAGAGACGCATCGCTTCCATGCAAGCTCATAAACATAGCTCATTGGATAATCTTCCCGATGGTTGTAGCTATACAACACTATAAGATTGTAAGCAAGCAAAGCAAACTGTCCGAACCGGCCGTATTTGTGGTTCAATATAATATGGAAGCATGGAACTGAGAATGCCCAAGTTATCAATAGCAAAATAAGCGGATGTGCAGGAACAATTGTATAAACAGCAGCGGCGACAATACATCCAAATATCGTGGCCAAAACACGGAGAACAGCAACCACGTTTGTACCACCTACGGTAGGCGAGCTTACGGTCATAATCTACATCAGAAATAATTAAAAATAAGCATCCTTGGTGTCGAAATACGAACGCTGTATAATACTATATAGGCACACATACTGAGATCAAAGTCCACTCCATACGGAATTCGCGAAAGTAAAACTGGGTAGAGGGTATGAAGGCAAGCATTCCAATGGCGACAGAGACAACACTAGCTTTGATAGCATATTTTACTGTATGCGATCGGAACCATGAGAAGAATCCCCAAAGCTTCAGGAAAAATTTTCGGATTCGAGTTGTCGGCGAGGGTGTTTGCAGGGTATTATGGGTGTTGTTATTGTTCGGCACGAAAACTTCTTCAGTCGTTTTTTCATTCGATGGAAGATCATCGCCCGGTCTCCGCGCTCTTGCTAATAGAAGAGTGAACATTGTTCAACCGATTAGACCAGCCTTGACCACATATGATACAAAAGGAGAGAGAATCGATCCTTACTAAACATGAGCTTAAAGACGCTCTTTAGTCGCTGCCAGAAATTGGTGGGCATTTCATAGTCGTGTCCATAGATACTTTGCACATACTCTGTGAGGACTACGAGCTCTTTGGCGAATTCAACCATGCAAAACACAAAAAAGTACACCAAAAAGACATCTTCGGCGGGAAACTGTTTCATGAGATACGAGTGTAGCTGGCTTGGATCCATGTTCTGCCACGACTCTTGGCGCTGTCTCTTGTTGCCGTCGTGGTTTCGCTTTTTGCGACGATACAGGTGCATGAGAGCGCGTTCCTGAGATTCATCAAAGACTTCTAAAGCAGTGTTCAAGTTTTGCTTCATCATTTCAAAAGACGGCGTTCGACTCGTAACATTCCCAGTGAACCGAGCTTGCAAATGGATTATGGTTTGCTTGCACGTATAAGCCAAAGATTTCATGGGCGCCCTGACGGTGCGGATAAACTGTACCAGTGCACCTTCCGATTCGCCATCTTCCCCAGTCACTTCTTCCCCGAATGATTGCGTCTCGAGTGGCGATTCGGGTACCGTACCCAAGTCGTGCGGATGATGTTGAAGGATGCTAGTAGCCGAGACTTGTCGTTCCATCGGCGCGGGAGATGTGGGACTTTGCACAGCTGGATCAACCCCTTCCATGTAAAACAAGTTTTGCTCAATACTATGTTCCCGGCGCAGCTCGTGTTCCATCTTCCGCCTTTGATTATCCGCCTTGACATTAATCGTTTCGCGTCGTTGTTGCTTTGCTGGTCGCTGCTGCTGCGTTTGTTGCCGTTGCTGCGGTTGTTGTTGTTGTTGTTGCTGTCGTGACTCCCCGGGCCCTGACTTGGAAACAGTCTGTTGCTCGGTTTTGATCTCCTGCATCGCTTCAAATTGAAGGCCACAACTGCTGCGCAATCCGCTTATGTGCTGGGCCAAGCGCTGAAGACTGGTGACCGTCTTGTCATATCCATCTGCATGACACCACATTTCCATACTGTAAAATTCGAGCTTGGCTTCCTTGAGTGAGTTTTGCAGAGCAACGAAACTGCTGCGGTGGGACTTGATTGCATCTTCAAGTTGTTTGTTAGCTGTAAATTCTGGCAAATCAGCGTCCATGATAAAGGTTTTTGTCAATAGTTTCAACAAAATACGGATGGACATGAGCGTTGCATCGATATCAGTCCTTTTTGTTTTAGATAAGAAAAGTGACATGCCAAGGTTATTATTGAGTACAGGTCCTTATGTATTCATCTTGTTAATAGATCGCCGGTAGTATCCTTACTTTAGCTTTTTGATTGAGCGTACCGGCCATATTAGTACGCATACAGCTACTGAAATAGCTGTGCCTATGATTACAATAAAGAATGTCTGCTCGATTTTGGTTGTATTGAACTGTGGATTGGACGAGGTTTCTCGAACAAGGACACAAAAGATGATAATAAACGCCAAAGATGATGCTATGGGAGTTCATATCTTTAGTCATCACATCACAACGCCATCGCATAATTTATGACAGCCCAAACCTCATACCTGTTCGTATACTCGGTTTGTTCAGATGCGCTTTGAAGAAGGATATCACAAACGTGCTTCCTGCCAAGAAAACACCCAACGTAACAACGCATGATTCCATATATAAATGATGGTCAATCATCAAATAATCGCTCGTAGCCAGACTCAACAGACACAGTGATAGCGCCAACACAGCATATAGTAATCCAAATCCAGCAGCCTCGACCATGCCTCCTAGCGTCTTTGCCGGATTGAAGAAAACAGTAACTGTACAAACAACATGACTCGATACTGCATAAACAAAAGCATTGCATCATTATTATTACGACAAGCCATCATTGTTTTTAGGAATCGGTGTGTTTTATCACCCTTCTATATCACATTTTCTATACCATAGGAAAGCAACTTACCACTGGTTCCACCAATCCATCGATTTAAAACCGGAACAAACGTAAATAAGGCTCCCAGGGCATATGCAAAACTGCACTTGAGTACCATCTTTTGCTTGTGACTCAAATTATGCCAGGACGCAATACGGGCCCATAGCGCGCGTGGTTTGGATGAAGGTGCCTCGTTCACGGGCTGCTCTCTTTGGTCCTCTGCATCGGAATCCGACGAAGTGTCCTCATAATGATCCTGTGGTGCTGTTGGCGCACTGTTCTTCGGCAGCAAAGCGGTGGTTTCGGTCGGGCTGCAGGCGAAACAAAAAATGTCGTTAATAAATGATACTGCGATGGCAATTACGCTCTACCCAAGCAATGCTTTCTGCTTGCTTTTATACTATATCAAAGTACCACTTGCCTTTCGCCGGTATAGTGAGAATTATAATTAGCCCTAGCTTTACCATTGCCGTTGCCATGGGAGCCATCAAAATAAAGTGGAACTGTTGACAGTGACACAGATCGTTTTTGACGCGTTCCATCGTCCAGGACAACCTCGAAATAATTATAATCGTCACTGAACGTTCCCAAAAAGGATGTGGGAGACTTGGATAGCTGCACGCTACTATCATGCGGGCCATAGCGTTGTGGATGCTGCTGATGGTGGTACGACTGCTGGGGAATCCACCAGCCGTTACTGTGGCCATTGGTAGTAGTGGGGGTGCTGTTCTTGTTGCCAACTGAAGCACCCGTAGCAGTGTGATACGACTGTAAAGATGCTGCTAAGCCGTTGTCTGAGGTTGGTGTTAGGTAGTTTCTTGTGCCATATGTCGCAGGCACAGAAGGTGCAAAGTTCATGGAGTTCGATCGCGACATCTTGGGTTGTTGTTGCTGCTGCTGCTGTTGGCAGCGGGGACAGGACGATTGTGGGCCGTGTTTGCAAGCCATTGAGCCTGACATTGTCGCTCCTGTATAATCGGCTTGATGTTGTTCTGTCAAGTTCCACATTGCACAAGCATGAAGTCCAGAGACAATGAATATGAAAAAAGTAGATTGAGTACGTTAGTGTTTAGGTGTGTAAAAATGGAAGGCAGATTGTGAAAAGCAGAAAGAGGAGAGATCTTGCTTTTATATACTGCTTTCTGTGTTGTTTCGACAATGAGCCGGTACCTATATTTTTGGAACTTTTTGTATATTAACCCCTCGGGGAACACCCCTTTGTGTATGAATTAAAAGAAATCAAAAAAAGAGAGAGAGAGGTCCTTGTTGTGAACCAAACGAGGCAACTTGTTTGCGTAAATCATCACGAGCGTTATGTATGCGCAAAGCCGCGTTTGACGTTGCACACTCTGCGGCATTCAATATCTCATGAAACGTTGTACAGGATCAGACATCGTTACTATCATCTTACTTCTTTCAATAGTTTCAAGTTCCAAGGGGACCATTCACATTTTCTTTCATTTCTTCGAAACTTCCCTAAATTGGAGTATATGTTGTCAATCATTAAGTAGTCATTTATTGCCCCTCCCCCTTGATTGTGCTGTAAGCTATGGCCCAACGTTTGGTCATTAATCAGGCATTTCCAGGAACGCGATGCGACGGCAAGAAGGTCGGATCCCTAAATCATATTAAAAAGCGAACTTCTGCATTACACTGCCGCCCTCCGAAGCCTACAGTCAGCTCACGCAATAGAACTTCAAAAGTGCTAAAACGAGAATTATTGACAGATAACAAAGTATCCAAAAGAGTACGAGCCAAGTACAACGTGGAATGCAATATCAATATTTTTTTCTTCGTGCTCCTTTGATACCTGACTGATGTAGAAAATATTTCCCACTACTGTCATAATACTAAATTTCGATGACCGATGGTACAGTACGGCACACCGGACTACATGGCTCCCGAAGCCCTTACGAATCTCAATGTTACGGCAAGCATTGAGAGCACTGTAGACAGTGACATGATGTTGACCCAGCAAGAAAATACAGCAGACGATGCCAAGAAAGAATTGTATGAGATGCCTTAATAATCTATATTCCACCACCACCTGAATGCCACGTGTCGACCTATAGCATACTCATGAATGTTTTCTTTAATTTTGTTAGTTCGGTCCACCGGCCGATATCTGGGCCTTAGGTATTATTCTGTATCAAATGTTGTACGGTGTCACTCCATTTCATGAGCAATCAAACAAGGATGCGGCCATACGATATTTATCTGTTTATTATTCGAAGACAAATCAGCGCAAAGAAGAGGTGGCGCGTGCGTTACTGGATGTAATGGAACGATGCTTGCAGAAGGCCCTCCAATATCGACCAACTGCTGATCGTCCTCTCCAGCTCCATTTTCTCCGCTTTTAGTGTGCGCGGTCAAAGTGTTCATAACTCATAAGTGACATGCACGTATATACAGTAGTACTCTTACAGTTCACACATAATCAACACATTGCACATCTCCCGCTGCTTTTCCTCCCTTTGCAGATAAAATACCATTCATTAACGAAAAAAAAATGTATCATAAAATCAAATTCGTTTGCTTTGTTTGCTTTTTAAAGCAATTGCTATCACCACACATTTGTTATGGGTACCACAACAAACTCATGCTCTTCATTTCTTCAATTAAACAGAAAGAGAGGAGGGGATATGATAGCAAAACCTTTGTTCAGTCACGCTCGTCTAGGGCATATTTATATAAGCTGAGTACTGTAAAGGATAAGAAAAGAGAGAGGGGGAAGGGATATATTCATTAGAGAAATTACAGTTGCATGGAAAATATGTTGCAGAAATATCGGTGAGTACTACTACTGCCGCCACACTATCACAACCATCGGTGGTATGAATATCACCGTCTCTATCTTAAACCTCGTCTATGTATCCAGTTCCGCTTCTATCCGAAACGACACACCCAGTCGCTAGCTGTGCAGCATCCACTAACTACTCAGGACCAAAGCGGGCCTTGCAGTTTTGCGACTCGTGGTTATACGCACGGACGATTTAGTGCGATCCCTCAGCAAGCATGACATCTGAACTCTTGGGTTTGCTATGTGGGTATGAAGCAGCTGACTCATGCCAAAGATCTTTGAGGCACATTCTGCACTGATATTGACCAGGTTTGTTCAATTACAAGTATTTTAAAAGGGTGATGTTTCGCTTAATTGGTCGGGTGTTGTCGTTTAGATGCGCGGAAGTAACAGGACGCTCAATAACATCAATGTCATCATCGGGTCGGCTTGGACATTCATATTGAAAGAGTCGACGAAGCTCAATTGCGCTTCTAAAGCTTATGTCACAGTGTATACATCAGCTTCGTTCTCAAGCCTGTCCCACTTAAATCATGATAAGCGCGATTATCCTGTTGACCTTGGGCCTCTCAGTGGAAGCAGAGTTGTTGCCTACTTGGTCCTTCCTGCTGTCTTCGTTCTTCTGGTCGAGTTGACTTTTACTGCTAGCTTTTTAGAACTTGTTATGGACTTGATCTGACGTGTGTATCTTGCAATATACTTTTAAAACAATTTTATTGAAAAGCCCACAAAAAAGAAACAAGTAAGGTTAAAGAGGAAACTACCTCGTTTTGGAGACCTAACAAATCATATGCTCCTTAGAACTATGAACGGCTACCTATAGCTAGAAGAGTCTCTCGGCCATGCTCGGAAGGAGCAGAAGATTACAGTATTGTGGCCATTGCGAGGGCCGCTGAATTTTTCAAACTGACTATTCGGTATGTCCGTGGAATGCAGCTTCATCTTCCACGTTGTAGTCTCTTAGCCTACAAATAGGACTTATGCCTTCCTCATAATTTACTAGGTTTCGCTATATGTGCTCTTTTTCTTCCTCGGCCACAGTGTGCAACAGAGGTTTCGACTGGTATACAGTAGCTATATTATAAACTCGGTAATTGGCAGCAGCACGTTTAATAGCATTAAAGCGATTTTATATACCGTATAAAAACTATGAGTGATCTGTCGACCTGCTTCAGATCCAAAATTCTTCTATTAACGACGACGATTGGTTTTCAGTGTCGATAAACTCAGGCTTTTACGTGTCCCTTTCTTTTTAGTCTAGTGTTTTTAACTATAATTTTCCATCATCCCAGTTGACACCCTTAATAAGTTTCTAGCGTGAACTTCCAAAGTTTGTGTGAAAAAAGTGTGAGGGTTTAAAATTAACGGGTGTGAATTTAACGGGGAACGACTGTATTTAATTTATCCGATCGCTGCTTATGCCTATTTCACATCTATTTGTACACCAGCACCGGCATTTCATACTTTATCGGTATTGTTAAATTGTAAATGTTTTGAAGAATTATGTGTGATAGAAAAGAAAAGGTTTATAAAAATAGTGATCAGAAGGCTTCTATGAGTAAGTAGTTTCGTACTATTGTCCCTAATGTATAAAGAAAGGGTTCGTTCGGTGTTTTACTTTTTTCATGGTGCGCATCGGATAACGGCCCGCGCGGCGCGCATGTGGACGGTGAGATCCATTGGTGAATTTAGCTATATGGTAGACGCCACGTGATGTGTCAGCAAAGTAAACAGGCGCTCATAGTGATTGAAGGCTAGACTATAATCTATCTATCAGCCGTGTATCTATAGTGCTCTTAACAAGTGTTCGTGTATCCCAGATAATGCTAAACTAGCTACTACAATATTATGCGCCTTTAATCAATGCTAAAGCCCATACATATCGCAGAGGTGGGGCGGGAATGCATGAGCAAAAAGTATGTGTGTCACCTGGCATGCTGCAAGCAAGATCTAAACTCTCATATAAATTTTGCTGCAGTCGGGCGCCTGCTCTCAATTCTTTTTTCTTGTCATGTTTGAGAAATACAAATCACAATTTCGGCGATTGCTGACACGGAAACCAGAGGAGCATTATGAATCCCAGAGCTTACTAAGTAGCCACAGCATTGAGCGACTCGAAGCTTATGCTGAAGGACACAACGATGCGCATAATCTTGTATATTGGGTAATATACTATTACTACTACTACTTAATACTACTACTACTATTGACCTTTCGTATTATGCAGTCGGCACAAAAAAAAAAGAGGAGAAAGGAAATTACTAAAAATGTGCAATTTAGATTTTTGTCATTTATGGAGTAGCCATGCTGCTACCATGGAATGGTGAGTTGTTCTCTTTTCTCTTACATTACTACTTACTACTTTGAACAAGTGGAGGCTAATACTGACTTTTGTTTTGGTGGGGGGACTGACAGTATTTATCACGGCGTCCGAGTTTTTCGCAAAGCGGTTTGCCGGCTCTTCCTATGATGAAACGTTCCAAAACTATTTCTCGATTTCGTTCACTGCAACGAACCTATTATGTTTCGCATATTTACTAAGGAAACAGAGCGAGGTAACGTAAACCTGCTGATAGAGGAGGAAGAAGATCAGTGTCGGAATCTTGGATTTGCTTTAACACGCACGCACATCCTATTATACCTTTTGCATAAAATTTAGTCATCAACATATCGTGTGGATGTACTATGGCCAGCATTGGCCAATACTGCCGTTTTTGGTATCACGGCAGTAACAGTGGCAGTTTCCATGCAGGGCGCTACGTATTTCGCATTCACCATGGCTCTGCTCGTTTTCACTGGTGCAACAACCAGCTATTTTCAAGTTGCAGTCTTTGCAGAAGCATGTCGATTCCCTCCACGATACGTTCAAGCTGTAATGAGGTATGTAAACATAAGCATAGAAATATTCGCGAGAGATGCGACCTTAATGGGGAGAAATGGGCTTAAATGAAACGCTACGATTCTGTCTGTCAGTGGCCAAGGTGTTGCCGGCGTAGCCGTGGCCGTAGCATCCATTCTTAGCGCCTTTGCAGGATCTGCAACAGAAGCACCGGATGAAGCAGCAGTGACCCGATCAGCGTTCTTATACTTTATGGCAGCATTTGTGATTACGGTGGCGGCACTGGTCGGTCGGATGTTTGTTGTACGGCAACCGTTTTATATCCGACAAATGAATACGGACCAAGCGATCCTGTCTAACTCTGCGCTTGACGACGAAGAAGACGTAGAAGAACAAAACGATGACGAGCAACGATACTTTTCTTCCTCTCCAAGATCGGAACTATCGATTGTGGCGGTGGTTCGCAAGTCAAGCGGACTGGTGTTTGCAGTCAGCTATGTCTTTGTAATTACCTTGATGCTATTCCCCTCCATCACTGCGCTCATCAAATCAGTCTCGCGACATACTCCACAAGCGCAAGGCAATCGATTTTTCGACGACGACGTGTTTGTTGCATTCCACTTTGTGCTGTTCAATGTCGGAGACTGGGTTGGGCGGACCTTGCCCATCTACGACAGTATGCGGACGTTCAAACCCAAGCTGTTGGCGTGGTTCTCGGTCTTGCGTACGATTTTCGTGCCGGCGTTTTTGTTTTGCAATGTTGTGGCCAGCGACCGCTCGCTGCCGGTGGTGATTGACAATGATGTGGTTTATTTCCTTCTCATCTGGATGTTTGCTGTGAGCAACGGCTGGCTAGGCAGCTTAACAATGATGGCCGCACCCCAGCAGGAGTCGATTACGAGTGCAGCCGAAAAATCGTTGGTTGGAAGTGTAATGAGCTTCTCGCTTGTGGCTGGATTGGCCATTGGAGGCGGCATGAGTTTTTTTGTTCGATGGATGATATAGCGAATTCAGTTAGAATATATACATGCACGCATAATTTTGTTCTCTTGTACATACCTAATGACAACCACAGCGTTGCTCTTCTTCCCACAAGTCGACGAATAAATGGAATGTCAGATGAAGAGCCGCTTCGAATCCAATTATGAACAACTTGTAATCTGGTTGGACGATTCATTGTGCGGCGAATTGTCCCAAAAATCTTCGTGTTACCTGCCTCCTAAGTCTACCAGGAGAATTGGGTGTCAAAAGTAGGTTTGAGAACAACTCGGATGTCTTAGTGCCCAATGCTCGCATTTGCTGTACGCCAAATGTGGGAGGGCTGGTGATTTCGTAAATTTTAATTCATGCAATATGATATATAATACAAAGAAAATGACAAACAATAATTACTTCTTTCCCGAACCTCCGCTCTCTGGTTCTCTCTTTCCTCTCTCTCGATGAACTCGCCGTTTTTCACCAGCGGGCTGGCCATGTGGTCACCTGCTCCTATCACTAATAATCGAACCTTCGTCGTCTCGGCAGCAACAACCGTAACACCCACACCTGCATCAACTACCCTTCCCGCCTCATCGTTCCATCATCGGCCCGTATACGATCCACCCGCTTGTCTCGTCTGTGGTCTGCCGCATCCGCCGCAAGACACATCCTCCTCGTACTTGTTGCGAGATCAAAGCACGCTAACGCCACCTGAGCCAAGTCTTATTACACCACCCCGCAGCGACAAGAGTGTTGTGTTTATCCACCACCTTCCATCTCATCGAACATCCTGGTCGTGGCTCGCAGAATGCGTGCATTATATTCGACAGTTTTGGAAACGATATGTGTACCAAAAGCGACTTGTATATCCTTTAAAGCGACGCTATCGCTAGCATAACTCATTGTATATCTCCCCATTCATCTAAATCCTTCGTTGTAAGATAATAAATCCCTCTATTGTGTATGTAAATGCCTAAAGCTTTATTATTACTGTTATATTCAATGAGATTAGTATTATATTTACAGAGACGTCGTATGGGTGGCGCTGCAGGGGGGAGGTAGAGTAGAGATTGGTACAATTATCAGTTCAATGTGGCGGCAGTAGTGGCAATGACGGAATTCTCCTCTTCTGCTAATTCAGTTGCAACGGTTGTAGTTGGAGAAGTAATAATTGCGGTAATGGCTGCATCCGTGGTAGTGGTGGTGATAGTAGCAGTACTAACAGTACCATCATCTCCTGTGGGCGAGGTCGGCTTGGATTTAGGCATGCCGAGTGTACCAGCCTCGAGTTGTTCAAGCAAACGCGCCCGTCGTTCGGGATTATTTCGCAACAACCCTGTATCCCTGCTTTGCACCAAAGGCGCATATGTTCGCCGCGAAACTATGAAATCCGAATCCGTCTCGTCTAATCTGGTTGTTGCAGCTGCAAGCTGCAGTGGCTTGTTGTCATCCTGCTGCTCGTTCTCGCGGTTTCGTTTGGCTTGACGTTCAGCCGCCAACGCTGGCGTGAGTGTATCATAATTTCTCGGCATATATCCGTCCAACATGGCTCGCATCTTCCGTCGTCCTTCTTTGAGCTGCTCATCCTGCAACAGTTTTCTCTTTTTGTTGTTGTTGCTCGCGCTGCTTTTGTGCTTTTGACGAGTATAGGCTGCCAACGGACCCAACCCTTCGTCATTGACCCAATTCTCATTGCCAGGTTGATCATTGAACAGATCATCCAACGTTTCTGCTGGATCTTGTCCGTCCGCGCCACCATTACCGTCTTGCCGTTTTCGCTGCGATCTGAGATCGTCATTATCGTCCTCCAGTGTTTGCTGTGAGTCAAGATCAGTTCCCTTGAGTCTTTGCAGTTCTTTGACCGATACGTCCAACCAGAATGCTTCGTTTCGGATTTCTTCTGGTACATCCTCTTCCTCTTCTTCTGTACTGTCTTGTTTTCGAATTTTGCTCTTTGACAATATCGCATTTTTGATCTTTTCGTCTGTGGGAAATACCAAAGGCCGTGGTCGGTATTCTTTAACGGCCATGCGTTGTTGCTGTACTTGTTGCTGTTGTTTTTGTGTGCGTAATAGTCTATTGTGCGGTGATCGTGGGTGACTGGGGGAATGGACGAATTCCACTCGCCGTGGACTTGGTTGTGTTGCCTGAGCTTCTTTGAGCTTCCTTTTTATTTTGTTATATTTGAGATAATATTTTTCTAACAAAAACACACGCAGGAGTGAGTTTTCGTCAAAGTGTAGCTAAAAAAACACATGCACGCGATTTCTTTGACGACAAAATAAATAAATTTACCAACGTGAGGTCGATTTTGGACATCCTCAATGGTAGGCTTGTGGTTGTGTCGTTCAGCAAAGCCACGTTCCCATTCCAGCAGCTTGCGCTTCATGTCGGTAACTTGCTCTTGTAATTGTTGTACTGTTAAGGTATCGGCCATTTTTGGTATATGTATTTTTGGTGGCTAGTGGTGGTTGAAGAACAAGGAAAGAAGGGGGGCACTTTTTATTTTCATTTACAACTGAACCACCTAGTCATTCTCCGGGGAGATAAACCTATTTGCTGCTTTTGATTTAAATAAGAGTTCAATAAATAGAGCTTTACATTCAGCCATTAAATTAAGCACAACATGCATACAATTGGAAAAAAAAATCGCACAGTGGTGAAGAAAAGTGGTCGAGCCCCCATGCTTTTAGTCACTGCCAGCGGGAAGGCTAAAGTAGTCAAACCCACCAAAAAGTTCAATCGTTTTTCACCTTTGAAAGCAGATCTAATGGCAAAGGGATCTACCGGATCAACACAGTCGTCATCGACTTCGACTATGGTTGCGACTGTGGGCGCAGGTCCAATGACCACCCATAATGCCGAGGATCAGCTGGACGATTACGACGCCGATGATTTGATTACGGCCCTGATCCCGAAGAAGAAACGGCGCACAATTTTTCCACCATCACCGTTTCTTGCAGCTCCAGATGTACTACGTCTCGAGCTAATCATTTAAGCATCACTGCGACTGATTTTGTGCTCCTTTTGCCTTTGCTTAAGAAAGCATATTTTTTGTGGTCTTGGTCGGCATCCTGTCGACTTGACCAAGCTGGAACTTGTGGGATCCAGACGGTGCACATGCTATAGTATGAAAACCGCAAACGTTACCTGCATTTTCAAATGTGGTTAGTTAAAGAGAAAAGTAGTGAAGAGGAGCGAAGAGTTTCAACGTTAAGCATTTTATATATCTAAAATCTACAAGGCATCGACAAAATACGCGTTCCTTTTTGCGATTCCTGCGAGGGTTTCTCATTGCCTCTTGTTCTTATGGAGCAACACATGTTCCCAGGATCACCTGTCAATCCCGAAGTAGCTATATACATATCAATGTAATGAAAAGCTACCTTCGTCAACAATTGGTACAGAGACAGTCAGTAACAGCCATAGCATCGGCTGTGGTGGATGAATATGAATACTCGGTAAAACTAAGGTTTAGTTGACAATGTTCTTGAAAAGCGTTCTAAATGAAAGTTAAATCCACACAGGCACCGAGATCTATCAAAAACATTTTGACTAGAAGCATTCCTGCATTTGCTAAGATGCTTTTAATGGTCGACCATGATCTGGAAAAAGCCCATGGACTTGTTGCTAGTGACATTTGTCCAGCATGCGTCTTTGAGGTACTAGTTTCCTTCGTAGCGACTTCTCCTTGTTCCAATATCTTAAGTATCGTTGTATAAGCGTATGATGATCCAGATACATCATCTCCCTTCCTTGTCGCTCTTGATGGCAATTTTTCTTTACGCAGATTCGCCCACGTAAAAGAAGATTCCAGTGAGCCATATGCTTATCCCTCTTACAAGCATATCAATAAGCATTGGGCCGCTGATCAATCTCCCGTTGAAGTGAGGAAAGCTAACTCGGTATGTTTTTGTAAAGAGCAACTTGAAAAGAGTTGCCGTGCAAATCCGTGCAAATCCGGTGGTTCTTTGAACCAAAAATTGCCGCAAGGTCGTAGTTTTAGGAACACTCCCCGGAGAATGACTAGGTGGCGCAGCTAATTTTCACCCGGTTACAGTCCAAAAATTTTCAGAAATCGGTTTTGAGAACCACCGGAATCCACCGGATGTGCCAGGATCCTGTAACTGAATGCCTTTCGGGATGAAATACAGAGGCCGCGTAGCCTATCGAGTTTTCCACCACTACTCTTTTTCTTCCTACTCGTCATTATGGACAGCCATTTCTCTACTCTCTCTCATACTCATTCCACAACACGTGGTGAAACTAATCAGTTTCGTTTTGCCGAGATCAATGGAATCGCGGAAACTGGCGAGATGGTGTTGTTGAACAACACGGACGTAGACGTTGACCAACATCCACAAGGACTGCATGAGGAACCATCGCGTACCCCAACAGAGGAGGATTCAGCAGAGCAGGCTCGCTTGCTTGTGCTTGAAGCACGATGCGCCGAGCTCATGGCTGAACATGAAGCAAGAAAGGTGGCTCTAGCAAACGAGCTTGGATTTTCTCTGCGCGAGGTGGAGAAGAGGTGTGAGAACAATCTTGCACCGCTTGTCGTCACCACCAAGGCGATAAGCTCATGGAACCTTTTCGTTTCGATGCGTAAGCAAGAGGAGGATCGGCTCCGTCAAGATGGAGTTACTGAAGGTCACTGTCGATATGAATATTAACACTATTATATTGTTTATCATTCTTGTAAATGTCAAACTAACTTTTCAATACAACTCTTCTTATAGAAGAAACGATCCAGCAGCGCAACGTACGCTACGGCGCTGAGTATCAAGCGCGCAGGGATGAACGTCCCATGTTCCAACAATTAGCAACGGAGCATAATCTTGAAGCAGGCTTTGAAGGCTACATAGCGCCAAAAGCTATGACTCAAAAAAGCCAGCAGCTTCGGCTAAACTACGCCGAAGAAGCTCATAAAGCTATCAACAGGCAGCTGAGCTATATCCAGAAAGTAACTGGTATTGAAGGTTTTGTCTGTTTTGGATATCCAAAGGTTCTAGGCAATCAAGCCCGCCGTTTGGATACGGGGAGATCGATTGGCACAGGTATACTCTTTATCAATTATTATTTATTTTTTCAAGACTGGTCGCGTTTAATAAAGAGCATACAGAACTGGGAGTGGAATTCTGGGACCTTTGCCAAGTTTTGAATGAAGGTCCCAAGTACGCAGGGCTTCAGGAAAAGTTTGACTTATTTGTCAAATCACGTTCTCCAGCTACTGGTAAGTCGCAATAAGTGATCGCATCAATAATGTACTTACTATGAGTAAGCAGACTATCTTCAGTACATATATAATCGTGCAAGTGACAATGGGGACGAAAGAGTTCGCCAAGATTGTGGTCCTACCAAGAAACGACGACGTAATAAAGGTACCTCCTCATTCATTATGAGCGCACATATACAGAAATGCTAATTATAACATCGACTTCACAGGACCCAATGACAAAATAAAGGAATATATCCAAACAGAAGTGAATTCCCTTTAAAGCAAGTGTTTCCTGTGCTTCATTTAGATAAAAATGATTCCAAGCATATTATTAGATGCAGTGGCTCCAGAGTTTGGTAAAATCACCACCAGCGTCCCATGGAATGCTCTGCGGAAGGGCGAGGATCGTTATGTCGAACTGGTACTACCACTTCCTGATGGAGTCGAGTTCAAAGAACCAACCAAGGAGTTGAAACGCGATCAAAAGCATGCTTTGGCAAAAGCTTTAGAAACTGGAAGCATTAGATTAGTATCGAAATAATCTAAACACTTATCGAACCTTTCATACTACTAGTTGCTGTACGATATATGGGAGACACGTTGGAAACGACCCAAAAGGATCGCTGATTATTGGATTACTGGAACCTTGCTCAAAATGGGTTGGAAAGTTGGAATTGGATAACAAGAAACATTGCAGCAAGTATGATATGAGTGCAAATAAGAAAGGAAGGACTATTGAGTAAGTATAGGATATCACTTACTGCTTTACACAAGCATACTTTGAGGTCGCTTTTAGTATTGATAATAACAAGCTCATTGATACATTGACCATAAACACAATGCGAAGTATAACCTCATATTGCCACAAGCAACCCGATAACAATGACAAAGTAAATCATTTCTCACAATTGCAGTACATCCGCCGAATTAAATGGAAACTAATTGTGCATGTTTATGATTTAATGCGTGTTCTTATGGCAGAACAGCTGATGATATATCAATGGTATCAAGAGGCTCGTGCAGTACTTTTCACGACATATACACAATTAAAGCAACACATAAGAGATCCCAGTGCTACACAAACATTACACTTTCACAATTCCAACAATGCGTGCACAAGGATTGACATAGAAATGGCGAATGCATTACCTTAGCGCACTTTGGCTCTGACCGCACAGCTTTTGAGCTGCACATTGCTCTACCAGAAACAGAGCAACATTCTATACACGTGAAGAAGATCTTCTACCTATATATTACACCGGTGCAAATAAGTGCAGAAGATCTTCTCCCTACAAAACTAACTGCCCCAAGCTACAAGCAGATATATAGCATGAAGAACTGATCTTGGATCAAAGGTTTTATTATTTCATTCATACAGATTTTGAGTGATTATAGTGTGCTATATCAACGAAAAAAATTATAGAAAACATGTGGATGCAGCAAATACTGTAATAGTGAAAACATCTTGATATTCATATGTTGTACGATATTCTTTACTTTATTTTTTGCTACTAATAGCGAAATATGTCAACTGCAGTACTAATAATAGTAATAGATTCTGTTTAGTTATACATCTATTTTATCACTTTCCTGCTCATATCGATTCGTACTGCTTACAATAAATTTTATATCAGTAGACACCGTTAGATAAGTACCACCAATGACTTTTGCGGCTGTCATTTCGATATTGGTTAAGTTAAAGTGGAGTTAGATATAATCAAGTGGTCTCACTACGTTTAACACTATCAATGTTACATTGACTATAATACTGACAGCAGTTAATGTCATTGCTCGCTCTGCGGTGCTGGTATAAAACCAAGAAGCTGATGCAAACCTGCTAACCCTACGCAAGTAGAAGGAAGGAGTGTTTTACGAAATGAGCGGTTTAGAAAAACCATTGACAAAAGTGTCTTTTTGGAGACCAAAACGATTGAGTATGATGATGTAACTGGTTTTATTGTGTTCGTCTCGTCGTCCTCTATACACTTGGGTAGAAACATAAAATTTGACCAGAGAAAAAGTTTTGTGGAAACGAGCCGTTTTAATGCAAAAAGCACAGGCTGACCCCTTACCTTTTTCGCCAGCATGCAAAAGTAGAAATATCATTCTTGTTTGTCTCATTATTTAATCCAAGCAAGTCCACTATAGAATCACCCGTGGCAACTACGTTGTATGCTCCAGCAAGGGGAAAGCATTAATAAAATTTGCACAGGCAAGAGTTCCTCGAGGCCCGAGGCGGTGACTGCCTCTGCACCCTCCACTAATTTAAGCTGCCGCACTGACTCGGAGCGCTCTATCCATCATCTTCTGGCTAGTGTACGCACCTGCTTTATATACGTTAGTATTCACCACACAAAATTTATAAGATCAAAGCAATATAAGAAATCCTTTTTCTTGAAATAGCTGGGGTGATATAATTTGAGCACTTATCATGACTTCACTCGTACAAAGTCATTAGCCAATGCAGTACTCGATATTTGGATTTATGGAAAATAAGCTCACAGCATGTACACGCCACCTTTTCTGTGTTGAATCTCTTCTGGGGCCTGAAATTTAGCCATGCATGTTTCTACGATTTCCAAGTAAAATAAACAGACGTCAATTCTCGTCATAGCTAAATATAAAAAGCATCAATGTTAATTCTAGCAAATATAAAAAGAAGTTTTGTAGTATTGTATATAAAGTGTAAGTGGACGTAATAGTGATAACTTGATGTAGGCTTTGATTTAAGAGATATGATGTAGTAAAAGGAGAACAGTGCTGTCGACTGATTTTCATCCTAAAAAAGAGTAAACTCTTCTTCTTCTTCGTGTCATTGACAAAGAGCTCGATCTCTTCGTATGATGGCGCGATGAAATGGAGTTCTTCATCATAGTCCTCATCAGATACATTTTCATCCTGAGTATCAGGTAGTGCATTGGACGAGCTGGCATCATTGGCATCAAAAAGATCACGCTAAAGGTGCTGATTGCAAGCTGCTTTTTCGATCGCTTCATAGAAGTCGAGCTGCCCTTCCGAAATTGTTTTGCAGCCCAAACGACCATTGGGACCATTTATCATTCTTTTGAAGGTGGAGACCTTTGCAGCAATGTATGCAACAAGTCGTCCTGCCTTGGCCTAGTTGTAGAACAAAAGTAGTATTAAAACGGATACCTACCTGATGATCGATTTACTAGGACTCTTTACTTCAAGCATGCACAGTTCTTCTATTGCACGTTTCTTGTTGCGCCCGCATACGTTTTTGAGCACGGAGCCAAGAATCACCATAGCATGGTCGTTCTGTCAAGGCCGACCCAACGCCAGTGCCTGCTTGTCTAGCAGCCATAAGAGCATCCCCCTATTTTTCAAAGCCGCCAACATAGCAAGACCATAGAAATGACATGAAATCCCAGCAGACTCGCTATTTTTTGGTCGCCAAATAAAATAATAGCGAGTCCGGGGATCGACGAAAAATTCATTTGCCAGTCCGCAAAATAGCGACAGCAATAGCGAGTCTGTTGGGAAAGCAAACTCGCTAATTTTGTCGCGAAAATAGCTTTTAGCCAGTCTGCTGGGGATGCTCTAATGGGACATATTTCGCGATGCGACACCTTTGGTTTTTTGCCGCTGTGTTTATCAGAGAATTGTAACTGTGCCTGTTCGAACAACAGCGGAATCAAGGCCTCAACTGCTTCGGTATATGTCCGTGTGATTTGTTGTGATGGTAGTCGGTGTAACTGATGATTAAAGCACAAAGTACGAAAAAAGGGATGAAAGTAATTCCTTTCTGTTTACGCGCATCGCTATGCATTACAGCCGCATAATCGCACGTTCTTCTTCCGTCACAACATGAGGTCAAGTAGACTACTACCGCTAGCGTAGCGATTAGTATTCGACGGAATTAGAAAGGTCGCTGATCTTTTGACTAAAGATGCCAATTAGACTACAAACTATGGCCTGCCTAGTGGTACTCATTTTCGCGGGATCGAACATGACTTTATCTTCTCCTGCATCGCTGATCGGTAACGAGCAGACCTAGAGATACTTTGATCTCCAACAGGTCTGCAACAAGAAAGTATAACAGCGCTAATATTACCGTTGCACCTTATTTCAGAGAGTATCACCGGATGGTATGTACAGGTAAATGATCTGATGTACTTCAAATATGTTGATGCTGTTGTGCTTTTATACGCACGTTTCTTTGGTGCTTGAAAGACAAACTATTCAGGCTACGGGTGCGAGTGCTTAGGAGAAACAAACTGAATTTTTTCCCGTTCTTTTTCATTTGGGCATCTCCCGAGATGAAGTTAAGCTTCTCAAGTGTGTAAATATATGGTACTGCCAATATAAAACCATATCACATTAGTTTGCAGTACATATTTGAGGACTAGCGACACACCAGTCTGCTCTAATCATGGAATAATCAAGAGCACCAGGGTGAGCAGTGATAACTGTGGTACCATACGGTTTGAACTTTAAAGTGCGAGACCTGGTAGAACCTCAAAGCCTCGGGTTTCTTTTATTTTTTTTAAGGAAAAAGAAACAAGCATGCATGATGTAAGAGAAAGAAAAGGGTAAAAGAGATAGGTAAATTATATACGAATGTTCTGTATGGGATGTGTTAGTGTGTGTGATGAAGTGAGTATATGTTGTGGTGTTTTTTTGTAACAGGGTAAAGAAGAAGAAAAAGGGCCATTTCGCCATCATCATGCAGCTCCTCTCCGGTTTGAGGTGGGAGATTTGGCTATTGCGCTGGGAGAACGCAATCCTGTTGGCCGGGCTTTGCCTGCTGCAGAAGGGGGTCGACCAATGCGACTGCTGGGATGGCTATTATTACTATTACTACTATTATTATTACTACTATTATAACTCTCTTTCTCTTGCATGCGTCTATCGGACGAAGAAGTAAAGACACTGTTTCGGGGATTGCCGCCACCCGTCGGTGTAGGGCTGCGAATGCCCCCTATGCGTGAACTTGTAAACGGCGAGCGTGGCCGGTTGTTATTGTTGCGCGCTGGACTAAGTGTAGGCGATCGAGGCTCGGGTGAGGCCGCACTCGCCCGTGGCGCTGGAATGTGGCTCGCGCGCGACGGTAGCCGAGTGCTGGACAATCCTGTCGACCGTGATGACGTGACCATTTGCGGCTTGGGTGCGGCTCGCGACGATGGTAAGGGAACATGTGTGGCACGTTTTGCTAATCGCGATCCACTGGTCGTCGATGCCGTTGCTGCTGTTGTTATTACCCCTGAGGTACCTGTAGTGCCATTACCACCACCTATCCTTGATGAAGAGCGAAAACTTCGATCAATGTGGTGATCCGATGGTCGCCGTAATCCGCTACTGTGTTTTCCTCCATGGTTATTGCTGCTGCTATTGTTGCTGGGTATCGAGCTGCTGGCGCGTGAACTTGCTCTGGGAATAGATGTGGCGTTGGATGATGCTTGACTGCTGGATGCGGAGTAGTCACTAAGTCGGCTGTGCGACCGAGATGAGTTTGATGTGGTCGACTCTGAAGGATATATCATGGGTGCCATGCCATATCGTGCATAAGCACCACCACCACCACCACCACCACCACCTGCTCCTCCAGTTGTAATGGTCGATTGAGACGTCAAGCTGTTTTCGCTGCTTAAGCTGTCTGACCGTTGTGTTTTGATACGATGATCGGGCGATGAGAAGCGTGATGGTGGACGAAGGCGGGACTGTGCTGTTCGTGATGATGCGTTTGATAAGGTATCCAATTTCTCCTCTATTGTGTTGTTGTAAACAAATGTATGTGCCCCAACCCCACGCACATTATTTAGCTTCCAAGAATACTACTAATAATAAACCTTCTTCCCTCTTGTGTTTGTAATTACCAGTGCTACTTTCAGGAGACCAGTTCATAAGCTCATCATCTTCATTAGCAGTCTATGTAATATAGTTCAACAAATTAGTTACCAAACGCATTGATCGTCACGCATACACTATTGAGGAGGAAAGGGTGAATGGAGGGAACTACCTTACCATCTTGCCCATTCCAACAAACTCGCTTTCATCAAATGGTCCGTCTACCGAAAGCACTTCGTGACCAGTACGATCATTTGACAGTTTCTCATCCTTATTGACTGTGGAAGGACGAAAGTTCGTCAGTGCCTATACAATTTCACATTTAGACTTCAAATCCTTTTGATACAATAACAAGAACCACTCATTACCATGCCTACTATCCCACCAATCCACGAATCGTACTAAAAAGAATCAAAGAAAAAAAATAAAGTAAAACTTACATCACTCATCTTCCAAAAGTCATCCGCAGAGTCGTCCAAATCCAAATCAGCTAAATTAGGCAAATCCGTCTCGTCGTCCACTTGATTAGTGAAATTATTCTTAATCAAATCATCCAGGTTGACGCTGTCGGCCGAGCTGACTGAAGATATTGACTCTGGGCGCCCATTTGCTAAATGTCGTGATTTAACAGTAGGAATACTACAAAAGCGCACGAGAGAAAAAGATATATATATATATATAGAAAAGAAAGAGTATTTATAAGTTTCTTTAGCAAAAGAACTCTTCTTGGCATGATGTCCCACAATCTTCTTTTTTTTTGTTTGCTTGAATATGCATATGCGGCAAATTCTTTTTTAAAACTCTTTACCCATTGTTGTCCTCATCGACAATCGTGCTGTACTCTTGTTCTTTACGTTCTTCCCTGTAGCCCGGGACATTCATGAGCCACCCGTGTACACTGGTTTGAGAGCCTTGTGGAGCAGGGTCCGTAACGGCGTCAGTGGTGGTGGTGGTGGTAGTCGGAGATCTTGCCGTGGATTGAGCAGTAGCGGATTGATTCTTGCGCTCCTTGTTGAGACCAAAGAAGCGAAGATTCGGAGATTGCGTCATAAGTTATGGAGAAGGGGAAATAACACAAGTCAAGAAAAAGACAAAAGAGTTGGGTGGAGGCGGCGAAGGGAAAGAAAGAAGGGGAGGAGGGAGTGAAAAGCAGAAAGAAGAGAGGTTAAAAAAACTTCAGCGAAAAAAAAGGAGCCAGCAGCAGCAGCAGCAGAGCAGCAGGTATACACGTACACAGCCAAAGCGCTTTCCTGCTTTCTGCTATGTATCGGAAGTGTGCACTCCTGACCCGACTAACGCAATCATTTCGAACCCGAGCTTTTTTTCTTTTTGGCGCTTTTCTGGATATGCTCTAAGATTCACAAATTCGGTAACCGCATAATAGCAACATACAGTGCTTGCTGTTTGCTTAATAATTGTAACGATAACAACCAGTAACATTAGCGACGGTTGCTATAGTTTCAAAAACGCAATATTATGCTGCACAGGTTGACAGGCAAAAATTGCGCAATGGCCACTTTCTCACTCATCTTTATTTAAACTCTCTATGTAGATCCTACTTTTTACGGCCATTACTAAGGAAATATAGGAGACAATGTACATTGGTGTATTTTCTCTCTTCTGGCTTGGTTAATATCCAGGAACCAAAAAGAACAGCTTGCATTTGTGGTTGTTGTTGTTTTCTTTCCAATTTTCTTCCCCCGCCCCGAATAAGGCAACCCTGTACGAATGTACACTTTGAAGCACACGTTATTTTGCACACCATGGCGATGCACACCGATTGGTTTCAAGTTTCCGTGACTTCCGGTGTTCCACACTCACAGAACCCACCTTTCCGTTCCCTTTTTGAAGGTCACACAATAACAACAACAAGCAACATAAAATACAAATTGCCGGCCCCTGCTTGTGTTTCACCAGATCCCCTATCGATTTCTCCTGCTTTCGCGCTTCTGGCCTCTTATTTGCGTGAACAAGAGAGACTATTACATCTTGGGCTGTTTGCCGCACGGCTTACCCGACTGCGTTTCACAAACTGACAAGATGGGTGTGTGTAATTACGAGAAAGGAAGAGAGAAGAAGCACAAAACTAAAACGTGTCAAGCATGCGTTTTTTTCGTGCTAATCTGCTGAGTCAAAGTGTACCATGACCGCTTCAAAAGAGATTCCTCATCTTGTCATATAAAGTCCTACTACAGTACTACATAATATATGTTTATGAAATAGTCACCATGGTATACCGCTGTTTATCAGAAGAGTCTTTTTTTCATTCGTCTTGCTCCCTGCTGCATTCTATAGCGAACCAAACTGGGGTTTGGAAAACCATTCCTCCCTCCGCCTGCAACTTAATACGTGTTTGTTATGCATCAGCATCATAAAAGCAAGATGCCTCCGCTTTCTTACACTTTATAGTTTAGAAAAAGTGATCGTCCTTAACTTGTGTATCGTTCCTTCTAGTATATGCTAGTTCGATAATATGGACGCCGATGAAAAATGACGACATTATGATAGTGTGCACATTTTATGCATAGCAATGCCCTTTAATTGCACACAGGATACTACATAATTTCCCGCCCGATGCATAAGCACACCGTCAGCAACCGATACTACAAATAATCAATAGCTATGTGTAATGTGATGATGAATGGAAAAGAATGTGTAATTAGAACATCCTTTCTCCGATCTTATTTTTTCATTGACCAGCCGTGCGTAAAAGTAACATCCCCATCCACGAGTATTGTTCAACTTACGCACACTCCAACATCAAAAAGGATACAATTAGGGAAGCACATCATGCAGTAATGCTTACCAAGTCAGATTTTATTACTACCCAAGCATAAAACATTAATTTTAACACACTGACTACTCTTATGCAATGTGTGCTTCATGAAAAGCGGAATACATAGCCTTAATTATTGGCGAGATTTGCCTCTATTACGATAATTCAGAGGGTTCCTTTAACTAGGTGTGCATATGATTTATTTACATTCGCTTTTCTTTCCTCCAAAACCTTTTCCTCCCAGGTTGGCGGGAGGGAGAGGTCTCTGTCATGGCAACATCAATGATTTTCTCATGTCATAATTATCGTTCCGTAAGAAAGCGCCTTTGGGCCCAATGGCGCATGTTACCTAGTCTTCAATATAATAAAACCGGAAATTTGAAACTACTACTGTACAATGGCTTAAAGATTATAAGCAAGATCAGATAATACAATGTCTACTGGCAGTGTACCAACTACATATTTTCGCTTGCCAGGAAAAAAGTTACATAGTGCGTGGTGGTACTGCGTGCATTACAGTGGTTCCTCGTTTAATTTCACTCTCAATAAGATAAACCCTCAGTTATTTCAACTTTTTCCTACACCCTCTTTAAGCATATAACACTGCTTGAATCACACTCTTTTTGTGTCAACCTCAGTAGTTTCAAACTTTTTTAGATTCCCTTTGAGGTTGAAATCAAACGGGAAACCACTGTAATACCTGTTTCGACATGCGAAGCAAAATAAGAAAAGTATATATGTTCATAACAACGCTAAACAGTATAAAAGGTTTTATATCATTCATGTGATGCTTCTCGCCGATCAATGGATATTACAGCCATAAGTTTTGTTTAGTATAAAACGAAAATACTGTATAATGGTTTTTTTGTTTCGTACCTGAAATTAATGCACGTATCACATAATATGTACAATATCACGGATTACATCTGTTAAAGTCCCCTCTTCCATAGTTGCTGATGAGGATCAACCTCCAACGCGCGTACAATAACTGTGATCTTCTAATATATAGCCTAGTGAGTCATAATATCGACACCTTTCGAATCGTGATACTCCAATATAACTACCGTGTGTCCCCCCGTCTTTGCAGCTGTTTCGAGTGCATGCACTAACTTGCAACCAACGCCATTGCATCGAGCTTTTGAGAGACCTGGAAATCGACCGAGTATATCCAAACTACTATCATCTTCGGATGAAGCTACTGTAAACGTGTAGATCCGATCCGGGTTTCCTTATCATCATTCCCTACCTTTGATACCTTCGCCAGTATTGATATCGAATTAGCGTCGAGTAATTCAAAAATACGAAGTAGCTTCACTGTATTGCATGAAGAATCTCAGTAGTATAGCTCCATGTAATTCCGAGACTTCGACGCTCACAAAGTTTTTGTACGGACCTCACCACATTTCTGAATGTTTTTTGGAACACTGGCTTGCCGAATGCTGTTATCGGTGTAGTTCGATAAAGCAGTACCGTCAGCGATCATTGGCAAGACAAAGGAGGGGAGTAAATTGAATTGGCGTTTACTTCAAAACTAATAAATAAAAGTAAAGCGCATCATAATTTCGAATCATCGCTAGCACAAAACAACTCGCCTATACAAACCTGGCAAACTTGGCAACATTGGCGCCGGTGAAAGCTATTGGAGATAAGAGGTATTAATAACTTGACGGGATAACTTGGTATAATCTTAAGCAGTGATGGTACATTCCATATTCAATCTATTTATGAGTACTACTAGTATACGTGTATCAGTAGCAGTAATGTTGAGAGACAGTAGCATGAGAGATTGGTGGCAAGACCCAACAAGTTGGATTATGTAACTTCCCTAATGAGCTTATGTACTGGGCCTTTTATACTGCAAAGAAATCAAGGCAAACATCATTTAGTTTGGGTTGGCGATCTGGTTCGTGTATATGTGAATATGGGGATGGTCTGTTTGCTTTGCGATACGGTTATTTATTTTGCCACCAGCAATTTGCAATCATTGTTGGTATAGTCGTGAAGGTAAACCAGCTGTATTGTTTTTGAGAGCACACATGCGAATGCACAGCCTACGGTTTTCTCGACGACTCAAGCACAAAAAGGCTCATTTGCAACTACATAACTGCTCCAGAGAAAGCACCAACAAGTACCAAGCGCAATGGCAGTAGGAAGATGTAAAAATAAAGATCGCGTTTATTACAATCGTCACTCGATCTGCCCAATAGTTACAATTACATTATTTAAGAAAGTACAATAAGAAACCAAGTTTATTTGATGTTGCCTGACAAGTCGACCGACTTTTATGAATCCTTCGTTCCTCAAGGGAGGTTGCCCTCCCTTGTTCCCCGCAAGCCTCAGTTCCCGGCAGAACCTACACCTCTCCCTTTCTTGTCCACAAGCCTCAGTTCCCGACAGAACCTACTCCTCCACAGTTCCTACAAATAAAAGAATATGATAGCACTAAGGTCTGTCAGCGGCGAACATATACGTACCTCCACAAGGGAGGTTGCCCTCCCTTGTTTTCCGCAAGCCTCAGTTCCCGTCGGAACCTACACCTCTCCCTTTCTTGTCCACAAGCCTCAGTTCCCGACAGAACCTACTCCTCCACAGTTCCTACAAATAAAAGAAATATGATAGCATAAAGGTCTGTCAGCGGCGAACATATACGTACCTCCACAAGGGAGGTTTGTTTTCCGCAAGCCTCAGTTCCCGTCGGAACCTACACCTCTCCCTTTCTTGTCCACAAGCCTCAGTTCCCGACAGAACCTACTCCTCCACAGTTCCTACAAATAAAAGAAATATGATAGCACAAAGGTCTGTCAGCGGCGAACATATACGTACCTCTTTGCACACACTCTCGCTTTCAGTTTTTGAGGAAGATAAAAAACCAAGATGAAACTAAGAACTTTGCAACTGTACAAAAGATGAGCAAGAGCCGGTCGTGCACGACTAGCTCCCTTCAACTATGTACACCCACAGGGCCCCTCGTCCTAGATAAAAAAAAAGAAAGGTAAAAAGTGATAATGAAAGAAACACTGCAAATGTACAAAGATGAATAAGAGCCAGTCGTGAACGACTAGCTCCCTTCAACTATGTACACCCACAGGGACATTCGTCCTGGATAAAAAAAAAGAAAGGTAAAAAGTGATAATGAAAGAAACACTGCAAATGCACAAAGATGAATAAGAGCCAGTCGTGCACGACTAGCTCCCTGCATCTTTATACACCCACATTGTAAATGCACAAAGATGAATAAGAGCCAGTCGTGCACGACTAGCTCCCTTCAACTATGTACACCCACAGGGCCCCTCGTCCTAGATAAAAAAAAAGAAAGGTAAAAAGTGATAATGAAAGAAACACTGCAAATGCACAAAGATGAATATGAAGACTAAAGAAAAGAATAAAGGGCAAAACGCGCAGTCGATTCTTTTTTTTTTGTGATCCCGATAAACAAAATGACGGAGCTTAGAAATTTTTTTGACACTACTACCCTAAGGAGCCAGTGAACTGCAGCAATGTGAAGAAGTGTCTTGATGATAATTATCGTCGTAGTCTGACGACTGTCATGCTAGTGTCTTTTTCTTATGGTGCGTATATGTTTGTTTCACTATGCGGCTCCGCTTGCCGTGCTCCGCTCTGATCCCAATCATTGTCGGCGACGGGTCTGTGCGCTTTAGTGGAACAAAGAACCGGCGATATAAAAAGAGTAATTTTTTCATTTACCGTTGGCCAAACTGTGTGTTAAGCTGAAGCACCACAGCAGCTTTATGCTTGTATGGATCGTACAGTTTACGTGCATAGAGCGCTCGTTATTCCTAATGATATCTCAACGGATGCAGCCCTGCGGTCGTCAATTTAATGAGTAAAAGATCCTTTAATCAATATCTGGTAGAATTGGATATCCTGGAAACCAAAAACTAAATAGGAACCGGCGAGTGTGAAGATGCTGAGAAGCATTTGTATAACAGCAGCCAATATGTGAGGTGAACGGATTGCTGGTGTTACTGCTGGCTCAGTTACAGGCGCGATTATTATTGTGTGTGCCCTCGTCAAAACGACGATCGCGTCAAGTCAGTACCCCAGCGCGCGAGTTTGAACAGAGTCGAACAGAAGACGGCAGCAGAGGACGACCTCGAAGCTGTGGGCGTGTGATACGCAACGCCATTCACAGTAACCATAGACTTCAAAGCACAGTATTTGGTAGCGCTCATGACAGGTACAGCTGTGGGTCGCTCGTTGTCACGTTTAGGCAGTATGGAGAGCCAGGATTATTTGCTTGGTGGTTCTCAACCAGGCATGTCTAAGTGATCGCTACAATGACCACCACTGCCTTCATCAGCAACTACAGGTATGACCGGTGCTGCTGGAGCTGGCGAACTGGCTGTTGCTACATACAACAGCATTAGAAACCGGCAACCCAAGATGTAAGAACAGTCTGTGGATCCCGCAACACTTGAAGATCAACAGTACTATGACAACCTGGCTATTGGACATTTTCTCCGACGCATGCTATTGCGCATAACTATGACAACAATGGAGTTCAGACAGGACAACAGCAGCAGCAGCAGGAGCAATATGATCCATGTCGACCCAATCCACATGCTAGCTGGTTGTCTCAAGCATCTGCTATCAATGCTTTCGATACAGCAACTACATACAAGATACAACTACGCCAAGCTTCTGCAGCAATTCCATCAGCCGAACGACCTCGTACTACTGTCATCCGCGAATCCACCTATAACAATCTCCATGCACCCATCTTCCATGTCAGTGCTCTGCCGGATAACAATACGGTACCAGCTGGCGGTGGTGCCTATGTTCCAGAATTTGTACCTACTATCCATGATCAATCACGTCAATCACCTGAGATGGATGCTTTTGGAGGCAACGGCGGCGGCGGTGACGGTAGCAAGCGAGGAAGCTGGCTCGTGAAGGGAATTGCAGTACGATGGCAGCAAGGGTCGGCAACGGGCGCACATGCATCTGACATCACAACAACAACCGATGCAAGCAGTGTCAATAATGATCGTTCTACCTGACGAGTCTAAGCAGCAGAGACCTTAACGCATTCAAACAGATTTTGACGATAACAGCAATATTAGCAAAAAAAATAGAATGTTATGGGACGACGCATTAGCTAGCGCTGGAGGTAGTACAGTAGCGCGCTCAGCTTCAACAGCATCGACCAACCCATTCCGTAGCAGCAAGTCTGATAGTGTCATTTCAGCCTTACGTATACCACCTATTCAAGAGTATGCTTGGTCTTTGGAGGACCATGATACCATGTCCAGTGACGATAACCCTGTCGCCACTATCAAAGGAAACAGCAATATGATACCTCGCCAACAATGCAGCAGCAGCACCATCGATAACCTGTTCATCGCAATAACACAAGCCAAATTTAATTACATAGACAAAGTTTTTAATGCAATGATTTTTCATTTTGTAACAATATTTTTATTATGTACAGTAGAAGCAGGCCCTTCTTTTTTATTTTTGGCAAACGTATCATATAAAATCATTTAATGCTTATTAAAATCTTATTCTTCATAGATTAACTAAGTCTTCTTTACAAATTACTACTGTAACAGTTACAATAATAATGATATGTAATAGTATGGCTAGGTATATGACAGCAAATACATTGCATTCAAGAGATATCGTACCATGAGCTCTCTAGCGGTGTTATTCTTCCAACTTGAACGTTTATGCGACCCCAAGTAGCAAGCATTTTCGAAGCCCTTCCTTGACCCATGGTTAAACAACTATCCAGATCCATGAATGCACATCGATGACGGAGGCAAAAAGTTTCGAGACTAGTCGCATTCTCGATGATAAACGATAGACACTCGATACTAATCGAACAATCAAGCTCCAGCTTTGTTAATTGATCCCCATAAAACCAGATAAATTCTTGCAGTCTTTTGTCGCTAAAATGATAAGATCCTGCAACACGAAATGTAGTCAGCCGAAGGCACGTTTGCATTAATACTTCCAAGAGACGGTCCGATACGTTATGTCGACGCGATTCCTCTTCATCGTCATCATTTTTATATTCTGGCTTTTTTTCTTTTCCTTGAAACTCGATTTCTTGTGTCTGTTTTCGCTTTTTGCTCTCTGTTTCTACTTTACGAGCGACAGCATTTTGAGGAGGAGAACGAGGATGACAGGAAGGTTCTTCTCGCAGGGTGAAATGATCACGTCGATAGGTGAAGCTCTCCAGCATCGTGGAAGAAGAAACGATAAGGTAAATAATCCGATCGATATCGTATGATGATTTGCTCGTCGTTCCTCTGCCCAAATGCATAGCAAAGTAGCGCAAGTCATAAAAACTTGTAAAGCGAGTGTTATAGTCAAAAAATTGTGGCCAGACAACATTCTTGGCTGGGTAAAGACTTTCAAGGAAAATCTTTCGGAATGAGCTTTGTAAATGGGTCACGCCAATGCCATCGGGGGTCCAATGTGGATTACCGGTAGCTCGGCGCCCTTCTTCAATAAGGATCAAGTGTTGTGGCCGCATGTGCATACTATAAAGAGTTCGTCGATGCAAATGATACGATTGCAACTCTGACGAAGACGTTGGCGATGGCGCGGTGGTTGTTGTTATTCCGTTCGTCGTTCCTGGTGGATTACCACAATGGTTGCTACTACCGAGGACCGTATCTGCTCTGCCTCCGTCTGCCATGATCAATACGTGGAGGTATTTAAGGTATCTGACACAATATTTGAGAATATCAGCGTGGCCTAACGTGGTAGTAAGTGGGTTCAGTATTACATGGGTGAGGTTGTGGCTCTTCTGAAGTAAATCCATAACATGATCCGCGGCGGTGTTATCAACGATATGGTATAATCGTAAAGAGGCGAGATGCATGTAGACAGCAGTTGGGTCCAAGTATCGAGGTTCATGTGGATATTGACGTACGATGTTGATATTTGGAGTCAGCGGCCATTGTCTTTTCCGTAATTCTTTCTCGTCGACAGAGATCACCGCAAACTCCAAAAGCTGCCGGCAGTGTTGCAGAATTCTGGTAGTTATTATCGTCAACATTTTCAATGACATGTCGAAAGGATTGACAAGGACGATGCGCTTTAAGCTGTTGGCACTTTGCCGGAGGATATTATCGAGTCGATACCGAAAAAGATCAAAGGTCAGACCATCAATTTCTGATTTGTGCAAAGGCGAAAACATACAACGAGATCTCTCCGTATCAGTCAACCACCACCCAACGGTAATAAAGGAAAAACACGGGTTTGAAGTAAGTACCTAGCTCCTCCAAATGTTGAAATGGTTCTTCGCTGCTGTTGATAAACGTTAAGCAGAGTCGTAGATTATCGTGGTTCAGCCTAGCGTGTCTAAGACTCTGATGAGATAACGGATGGATGACTTGCTGGGCAAAGGTGTCTGGTAGCAGCATATCTCGTATACATGTGTACCATTGTTCTGAGACTTTGATACATTCGATCAAGTCTTCTTCGGCTGTAAGGTGTTCAAAAACTTGTTGCCATATTTTAATTGGCAGCTCGTCGGCTGACAGTACCCTATTTTCACTTGATAGCGTGTTGTTTGACGATAGTTCACTGAGGCTATGTTCGCGGTACTTGTGTATGTGCAAGGCCCTGAGTAAGTTTATGCTGCATATTTTTTTGTTACTTTAACTGTGTATTAACCTCACCGTAATCAAATTTTCTTTCTCGATATTTTTGTTCTTTTGTCGCCTTCTCGAGAAAAACTTCTTCATTGTTGCCACAGTTGAATCACAGTATAATAGTAAGTATTCTTTTACTTTGATGATTGTTACCGAGTGGGTGAGAAAAGAAAGAAGACAAAGCTCGAAAAAAAGAACAACAGGACCTTTCACGAAAGCTTTGCTTTGCAAGATGCATTTCCTTTTTTTTTATCTCATTGTTAAGCACAGCCGCCTCGTGTGCAACCGTGTGATCCACATGATTGTAGATAGAGAAGAATAATGGGCCATTTCCATGCAGTCGTGGCACTGACATGCATAGTTTTGCATAAACAACGCGACAGATGGTGCTCATCCGATAACCTGGCTGAATCTGATAATCAAAACACTTTTAGGCATTAAGGAACTATTTAAACTATCATTATAAGCGAGAAGTGCACTGCTATTATATACCGTCGCAGCGAGAGACAACAGCAATAAATTAGCAATGATTTAGAGAAGTGCTCGCCAATTACCTGAGTAAGTGCATAATGTTCTTTAGTCGTCAATTAGACAAAGGTACGTACTGGACCTTGATAGCTTGTAGTTTGGAGTGAGCAGCAAGGAGCGATTCGATCTGTCCTGCTTGAAACAAAGATTGTGTCACCAGAGATACCCTGCAGGCCCGCACCCACTATTATCAACGAACAATTCCTGCGGAGCCCCAATCCATTTCGACAGCAATACCCAAGTACTTGTGGAGTAAAAAAAAAGATGGAAAAAAATGACACGGTGGAGTTGCCCGGTGAACGCTCCGGCACTGTAAAGGCAGGTAGATCACCTCTAAAGGCAGCAACAGCAACCATAGGCCGAACCTCTTGCATTGCCTCTTTTAGACCATAGTTCAGAAATAAATAAAAATACTCGTTAGTCTCTTTGGCCCCTTCCTTCTCTTTCTTTTTCCATACATCTCTTTCGTCACCTCCATTCCACACACCCCCATTCATACAATGCTTCGATCGGTGATTGCTACTTCCGTCAGACGAGTTACACGTCCTGCTGTGTACCAGGCTTCGGTACGTATACTATCAATGCTCAGTTATCCAGACTTGTTCGTCGTCGTCGATTTGTTCTCTAAATATGTTCAATATATATGATAGCGCTCCTATGTTTTCCCTGCTGGTCAGCGCGAGTTCTTGAACGAGCGTCTGGAAAAGAACGACCCTGAATTGTTCAATATCATTGAAAACGAAAAGAAGCGTCAACGCGAAAGTGTTGACTTGATTCCCTCTGAGGTAAAGATTTGATTGTTGGTGGTCAAAGAAATAAACAAGGCACAATGGAGACGTGAGTAATTAAAAAAAAATTGCGTGTATAATGTATAGAACTTTACCTCCCGTGCTGTCATGGATGCTCTTGGTAGCGTCATGCAAAACAAGTACTCTGAAGGTTACCCTGGTGCGAGGTAAATGTTCTGATGCGATGAGTTGGTTCTTGGACCCTACAATGATAGATGGGGTTAAAAGGAAACAGATGACGGAAAAGGGAGAAGCTCATACGCGATTGCCAATGTTTATTAGATACTATGGTGGCAACGAGTTCATCGATCAATCTGAATTGCTTTGCCAGAAGCGTGCTTTGGAGGCCTTCAGCCTTGAAAACGACAAATGGGGTGTGAACGTGCAGGCACTTTCCGGCGCACCTGCCAATTTGTACGTCTATGGTGCTCTCTTGAAGCCACACGACCGTCTCATGGGTTTGGATCTTCCCCACGGTGGCCAGTAAGTACAATAGTAAAGCGTAATTTTCTCGGGATTCTCTTCTAGTAATTTTTCACATTACTGATTACTGTGACTATTATCATCAAAAGTTTGTCCCATGGTTACCAAACTCCAACCAAGAAGATCTCGGCTGTCTCTTCATACTTTGAAACCTTGCCTTATCGCTTGGACGAAACGACTGGCCACATTGACTATGATGCTCTTGAAAAGAATGCCTTGTTGTACCGCCCCAAGATTATTGTGGCCGGTGCCAGTGCCTACGCCCGTAACATCGATTACGCCAGAATGCGCGACATTGCCGACAAGGCTGGCGCTTACTTGATGGCTGATATGGCTCACATTTCAGGTAAAGTGACACTGAGAAAGGATGTGAACGTTTTGATGATGTGTGACGCGATGGGCTAATTTACGATGAAATGCTATAGGCTTGGTTGCTGCTGGTGTGTTGCCCGGTCCATTCGAGCATGCTGATATTGTTACCACCACCACCCACAAGTCCTTGCGTGGTCCCCGTGGCTCCATGATCTTCTTCCGCAAGGGTCTTCGCAGTGTCGACAAGAAGGGCAAAGGTATAGTGTCGATGGAACGAAAAGAAATGAGAAAATAATATTGATTCGGAACAAACATGGTCAAATTTTTTAGAAATCTACTATGATTTGGAAAACCCCATCAACCAATCCGTATTCCCTGGCCACCAGGGTGGTCCCCATAACCACACCATCTCTGCCTTGGCTGTCGCTTTGAAGCAGGTCCAGAGTCCCTTGTTCAAGGAATACCAGGTGCAAGTTTTGAGCAACAACAAGTCGTTTGCCAAATCCTTCCTGGATCTGGGCTACGACCTTGTTTCCGGCGGCACCGACAACCACTTGTTGTTGGTCAATCTGAAGCCCAAGAAGATCGACGGTGCTCGTGTCGAACGTATTCTGGAATTAGTTAACGTTGCAGCCAACAAGAACACTGTTCCCGGCGACAAGTCGGCCCTGATCCCTGGTGGTTTGCGTATTGGTACGCCTGCCATGACCAGCCGTGGCTTGAAGGAACAAGACTTTGACAAGATTGCCTCGTTCATTGACCGTGCTGTCAAGATTGCCATTGAGGAAAAGGGCAAGGTGGAAGGCAAGAAATTGGCCGATTTCAAGAAGCATATTGGTGACGGTAAGCACATCCAGGCTGTCCAGGATCTCAAGAATGACGTCGTTGCCTTTGCTTCGGAATTTCCCACTGTCGGTTTCCACGAATCTGAAATGAAGTTATAAGCAAAAGCTTTTGATCGTCCGTACCTTTTTATTGCGTTCTTCCCATGATTTTATTATTTAAAACTTAGCATGATTTCAACACCAACATTTACAACATTTCCTATTCCTTCTCCTGTTTCAACACTTTTTATTTTGCATGTACATACTACAAATATATAAACTTTCTTATAATGATGACAAACAAACTTTGTGTATATTACAAATCATATGGGGGCCGTGCTCTCGCCAAAGGCTTGTATATTAATCATTAATGATACATCCTATTGTTCCCTTTCCGCTGGTATTTGTAAGGTTACCCGAGATAGACCGATACTTGATTGCCATGTCGATCATTCAAGTCTTAAAACCTCGTTATTGTCAACCTTCTGAAGAAGTTAATGTGTCTTGATGCTCAAAGTCTCACAGTAGTGATAGTAGGACGTAGCTGCTGTAATCGTGATTAGGGATACATAGCGGCTCATACTTGTATTGATAAAAGCAGCAGCAGAGTTGCGATGCTCTAATTGTGCAAATGGATCTGGAAAATTGTGACTAATATATTGCTTGACATTCGGTTACTGTATGTACTTGTTACATCACAGCGACTCGGAGAGCTAGGGCGCTGTAGCATTATAACACTATCCTGTTTGAAAGGTGGTTCTTTCTTGATTTTGGATATTGCTATGTAGTGAGTTTCTATAAGAAGATATGGTCAAAGAGAGCTGGCCTTTTTCATACAGGACTCACTCAGCCAAGTCCTCACAAGATATGATCAAAGACAAAACGCTTTGGATGGGGCTGAAACATGATGTGTGCGCGAGTGTGCGTGCAAGGAACGGGACTTGCCCGCCAAAAAAAATAGGTTTGAAAAGGGTGAGAGAAAAAGGGCAGCAGGGCGTTTCATCCATTATAGGATAAATCCTGCCGACCAGGGGCTTTCTCTCTCTCTTTCTTCTTCCTTTTCTTTCCCTCCTCCTCCCACTACTTTCATTTATATAATTATTCTCTTCGAACCATGGATTCTAGGACAATCTATGTCTCTGCGTCCTTATTTTGCTTACCAGTACTTGCGTTGTGCTTTGTACTGTGTTTACCACTCATCGTTCTGCTCACAGGTACGTACAAACAACAGCAGTACACATACGACAAAACGTTTCGTACACAGTTTGAAAAAGAAGCTGCGCTGACACATAACTCGTCGACAATCATAACAACGATAATAGCTAATTTGTACGTATGTGCATGGGCGGCTTACTTGTACGAACACAGATCGGAAGCACCATCATGGATGCAACTGCTACGCCACCTACCCTGTCTCCCGTCGACTGTATTCCGCATCAACGCCAGTCTGTTACAACTCGCTATGACCTACATCAAACATATACCCACACTCTTTATCTATCTAAAATGGCGATATTGGACCATGCGATCGCGGATGGCTCGTATTGTAAGGTAACACCATCAATTTTTGATAAACGGACGAGCGAACAATGACATAGGCTTCAAAGCCATCATTGCTGTTATGAAACAGTCTAAGCTCATGCATGCGGTGTACACATTTTTTTCTACACCATGCGCTTACACACAAATGTAAAACTGAAAACAATATGTTTGTATGCAAGGCGTCGCGTGGTGTATTCAAAGGCCGATCCCAAAACATGCCAACTCGATGTGTACTATCCCGATACAACTGCTCCACAAACGCCCATTATTGTCTTTGTTCACGGATCGGCGACATCACTACCGAATCATCGGACATACTATACCTTGTTTGCCAACACCCTCAGAGAACTCGGATATATTGTCGCAGTGCCCAATTTCAAGCACGAAGGGCATATCAAATTAGCCATCAAGTGGGCTTATCGACATGCATGCGAGCGGCAATTGGACCCAGAAATGATTTATGTGCTGGTCAGTGATAGGAGTGTCATTAAGACAGCAAAAGATGGGAGATGCAGCATGATTAAAATAGGATGAACTGCAACTAACAAAATAAAACAGGGTCATGGTACCGGGGCGCACAAGGTTGTCCAGATTGTTTTAAGTGATGCTTTGAAAAAGGCTAAATGCTACACGAACGCCCTTCCTAGTGGCACCGACTCGGACAACAGCGGAAAGCATGACCCGTCAGCTGCTGCTGCTAGTACAATAAGCTCTTTGAATAACGACGATCACCTGTATGACTTTTTACCTCAAGTAGAAGGCCTGCTATTGTAAGTATCAATCATTCATAGTAGTAGTTAGCAGCAGTTAAGATGACTCTAGGGGCTACTAACTCATAAAAAACAAAACACAGATTTGCAGGCATCTATGATCGGAACGGAGAATCCGATAATAGTCATCATAATAACCCGTTACAACTGATCAAGGAGAACAGGCAACTGTTTGAAACATCGCGTGACCTGATTGATTTCTTCCCGCGCATCTTGTTTGTTCATGGTGACAAGGATACGACTGCATTGGTCGAAGAGTCCGTCGAAATGTATAGCTTATTGGGCGATGTGCTGCCCCCGGATCGACGCGAAGAGGTGGATGTGCGTATGCGATTGTACAAAAAGCTCAATCATACTCAGTGTATTACAGGTAAAATAATACTACGACTCCAATAATCTACACTGGTTAACCGCTATAACCCTTTTTTTCACTCCTGGTTAATTAAAATCTGCTTTGGCTTTTTACAGCACTTATGCCAACTCTAGGCTCATACGATCGCATGAACAAATTACTTTGTCGAGATATCAAGGAGTTTATTGATCCGCCTACTTCACAACCACACCAACAACAACAAGATCTACATGAATAAAAAAAAAGTTTCATACATTGTAACGTTTGTACACTAATGAGCGAGAGAAAAAAAAAGTTAAATAAAAGTAGTGGCTTGATAGAGTGGTTTTTAGCCGAGGTTGCTGTGGACTGACCTTCCCTATATACAAAAAGGTAAATTGTCTGATATGATGTATCGAATTCCTCCATCTCCTTACGTGGTAGCTATTGCTATTGAGAGTTGCCATGTACTACTACTACTGCAAGGACTCACTGAATAATTATATAACTTGAAACAATTTGAAACATTTACTTGTGATAATTCCTCACATTTATCTACTATATATGCATAACAGCCAGGAATTTTTTGATGTGGTGCCGTAGTACAAAAGAGGAGCACGTTGCTAAAGAAAAAAAGACAAGAAGGGGAACCAGTATGTACTTGAGCCAGCGACAAGAAGACCAGGTGTACCAAGAGAATAGTCATCCATATGTAGCATTGAAGAATCTATATAAATCATAAGCACGCATGCCTGTACAGGCATAATAACAAACCCACTTCTCCCTCTCGTCTCAACAAAAAGAATAAGCGCATACTTTCCTGTAAACAAGACAATAGACCAGCCAAGTAAGTATGCAGGAACTCTTGTCAACAAAGGAACAAACTCTCGGATTGTCATCACCATCACGTGTCAACATTAACAACAGCAAATTTTCCTTACCGGCAAAGCAGTATTGATTACTGTATAGATAAATATTGGAAAGCATAGTTTGAGACCTGGAAGAGTAGAGAAGTAAAAGAAATCAGAAAAAAAAGTGAATCTTGTGTTATGCGAATAAGCTATATATTGAAAAAATGAAATATACATCATGGAGTGGGAGAACAATGTGACTTTGGGTTTGAGGGAGGTGGGGGGGGGGAGGGGGCGCAGTGGTAAGGGTAGGATCTGGCATGGTGAACGGACTCGAGAGAGCAACCCTGCGTCGCTAGATATAGTCGAGAAACAGAAAGCACCAGCAGAGATATGTACCAGCCTCGAGAATCGGATACATCTACAGCTTAAACATCCTAGCCAGAACAACCCACCCCACCTTTTCAGTACCCAAGTATATATGCCTCTCTCTTGTCTTTTATCTTTCGAGTGGTAGAACGTAAGAGACGAAGGATTTTGCAAGAGTTTCTATAAAGACAAAAGTGGATCGTAAGGCCTGATTCTGATATGATCATGCAAAACGCTCAGTGCTTTTATAAAGACGCACATGTTCCTAGTGACGCATGGAAGACTGACGTCGTCCACCCTCAACCTTTATATTACATCACGCAACATCACCAAAAACAAAAGACTCACCAAAGAAGAACACGGTCTTCCACACCCATCCACACTTTAATACTTGATCTCCCATTCTATCTGAATGTAAATGATGAAAAGGACAAGCAAGTCAAGGCACAGCAATTTTATTCTATTTTTCACGTCGCATATTGGAAGTATCAGATAAACAGACGGCATATAGTGCCACCTTTTTCTTTTGCATTGACAAAAGCCTAACATTACTCGTAAGGGAGGGGAGTGGAAAGGGCGTGTGTTGTAGAAAAAGTAATGCCACTTGTACCCGGGTACGAAGTTTTCTGATGTAGTTCATTTGTCACATCACGTGAGTCTACTACGCAGTAATAGCGGTTGTATGGTGTATAGCATGGCGATCACCGACCATGAAAGAGGATGAGACGCCAAGAAGCGCCTGCTTTGAGGATATTTAAAAGTGCTTCCCTTACACAATTTGTGCTCAATAAGCATGTAAAGACAACAGATGATGCGTGTGCATGTGTGATAGATTCAAGTGGGTGATAAACAGGAAGGTCGCAGGTGCTGGGCCCACTTTTTGTTTTGCTTTTCTTTGACATGGGTTTTTGGAACGTGTATAAATTCGGCATGAATCTTTTCTTATTTTCCATTAACTGTCTTTCTTTCCACACACAGACACACACACACAGACACACATACTCATTACTGTCTATATATCCTCCAATGTCAACTTCACCTAAAGCAGAAGCAGAAGCAGCACCAGCAGCAGCGGCAAAAGAAGACCATCACAAAAGAGATACGTTGGTAGAACAATACAGCCATAATGAAGAGGAGCATGGTCATATCCAGTTGCAACGGGTGGTTGTGGTGTCGATCGATCCAAACTCGGCGGAATACGTTTTGAATTGGGCACTCAACAACTTTATTCAACCTGATCAGGATTTGGTAACAGAAACCACTGTCGCATAATACTAGTTTAGTTTTTGTTACTTTGACCGGAAGCTATATCCCTGACACCTGTTATAATTTCTATAGGTCGTACTCGTACATGTTCGGGTCTTGGACATTCCTATGGCACCCTATGTTGATTCCACTGGTTATATGGACGATATAGCCGAGGAACGGAAGGAGGAAAGCCATGATTTACTCAAGACGTATGCCAGCAGGCTTTGGCACAAGCAGGTAAAAGCAAGGTAGCAGGAGCAGCATATTTTCCCCCGCGCCAAGTCACTAACCCACTTTGGATTTTCCCAATTCAAAAGATCGCGTGCAAGGCCATTTCAATGATTGGCGATCCAAAAGCCGAACTTGTTCGCAAAGTAAAGGATACTCATGCTGATGCTCTAATCATGGGCTCACGCAACTTGGGCACGATCAAAAGGTGAGACAAAGGGAGAAGAGGGCTCCACTCCATTCATGCAAACATTGAACTTGTTACTGATATTTTTTATATATACAAAAACACAGAACGTTGTTGGGAAGTGTGAGTGACCACTGCGTTCACCATGCACCGTGCGCTGTCATTATTGCCAGATCACCTGACGATGAAGACAAGTCGTCTCGTCGTAGATCGATCTTGTCCCGCATTACTTCCTCTTCCTAAATGACACACATTGTTTTTTATTGCTTACACGCTTCACACTCTTGCTTCCTACGTAATAATCATCCCCCACCCCGCACACACATATTGATGTAGTTAGTAAATATACATACTCTCAGTCAATTTTTTTATATATATTAATTCTTTTTCCAATAAAATAAAGGCGTACTCACTTTTTCTCTCGACATGCTTGTTGGAATTCTTGCCATTCTTTCATACACTTGGAACGGTCATTATTATTTTTCAGTAAACATTCCTGCAAAGGTTTGTAGTCGCAGCTGACATTGGGTGTTGTACCGGGCATATTTTTTTTGACAGAGAGAGCGAGCGAGAGAGAGAGAGAGACAAGCAGACGTTTCAGCCTTAACAAAGCTATTAAGCTGAGCAACAAAAATTGTTGTTGTTGTGGCAATGTGTCACCTCGGGTCTAGAAAACATTTCTCTCGTTTCTCTCCTGTACAAGAGAAAAATAGCTGCACAGCAATGCACCTCTTGTACATAACAGATACATGCACATCGCATTCATACATGGTGTGTCGTGTAAGACATTGAGACAACTAAGCTGCATTGCATCGCTTTTTAATAACACTGTGGAATATGTATAAAGTGCGACTGTGCGTTTCTCTCAAGTGGTGATATACATCCACACCTCCGCCTTTCCATCACGATATCTCCCCCACCCGGGCACCAGCTAATATCCACATGCACAGACACTATGTGCATTTTCATTCAAAAGAACAAGAGAAAGACGGTAGATAATTTTTTGGTTTGTTTGTGGATTTTCAAAGGATGAAAAAAAAGAAGCGATTCGCGTTTTTTCTTTATTGGAAAAGGAGGTATGGGGAGGTGTACCGGGCAACAAGGAAGTTCCAGCGGCGATTGAATTAACGGAATTAGAAGCACTTGCGGTGGACGATGGAGGGACCAGATTCGTCGTACTCTTGCTCTATAAAAAGATACAGAAAGAAAAGAAAATTAAATACCGTGCTGTCGTTGCGCATAGACGCATGCCGAGACTTACTGCTGATCCACATCTGTTGGAAAGTGCTATAGTGAATGATAGAAAGTAAATAGTAGTGTTAGCATCCATCTCTTTCCCCATTGTAGTATACACATGGCAACAGCACAAGCATACGTGCTTTTAAAGAAAATACAAAGTCAGAGCCAAGAAAAAAAGAAAGCAAATGTCTTACCTGAGGGATGCCAAGATGGAACCACCGATCCAGACAGAGTACTTTCTCTCTGGAGGAGCGACGATCTTGATCTTCATGGAGCTTGGGGCCAAGGCGGTGATTTCCTTCTGCATACGGTCGGCAATACCAGGGTACATGGTGGTACCACCGGACATGACAATGTTGGAGTACAAGTCCTTACGGATATCGACATCACACTTCATGATGGAGTTGTAAGCGGTCTCGTGGATACCGGAAGATTCCAAGCCGAGCAAGGCAGGCTGGAACAAGGCTTCGGGGGCACGGAAGCGCTCGTTGCCGACGGTGATGACCTGACCATCGGGCAATTCATAGGACTTTTCCAAAGCCGAGGACTGGGCGGCAGTCTGCATCTCCTGCTCAAAGTCGAGGGCGACGTAGCAGAGCTTTTCCTTGATGTCACGGACAATTTCGCGTTCGGCGGTGGTGGTGAACGAGTGACCACGCTCGGCCAAGATGCGCATGAGGTAGTCGGTCAAGTCACGACCGGCCATGTCGAGACGCAGGATGGCGTGGGGAAGGGCGTAACCTTCGTAGATGGGGACGGTGTGGGTGACACCGTCGCCAGAGTCCAATACGATACCGGTGGTACGGCCGGAGGCGTACAATGACAGGACGGCCTGGATGGCAACGTAGAAGGCGGGGGCGTTGAAGGTCTCAAACATGATCTGGGTCATCTTCTCACGGTTGGACTTGGGGTTCAAGGGAGCTTCGGTCAACAAGACGGGGTGCTCCTCGGGGGCAACACGGAGTTCGTTGTAGAAGGTGTGGTGCCAGATCTTCTCCATGTCGTCCCAGTTGGTGACGATACCGTGTTCAATGGGGTAGCGCAGGGTAAGGATACCTCTCTTTGACTGGGCTTCATCACCGACGTACGAGTCCTTCTGACCCATACCAACCATGACGCCCTGGTGACGGGGACGACCGACAATGGAGGGGAAGACCTGTTGAATAGCAATAGCAAAAAAGTTGAGTCGTCTTGTCTCTCCCTTTCTTTCTCTCTCTCTTTCTTTTTGCTCCTCCTGTCAACAACTTCCCAACACAGCACAACCTAAACCCAACTATTTTGTATATAAACTCAGCCCCAGAGCAGCTCGCCCATCATCCCAACCGTCATCATCATCATCATCATCTCAATCCCTCTGGACGTTCTCCAAGTAATGGTGAATGCAAAGAGAGAAACTTACAGCACGGGGGGCGTCATCTCCGGCGAAACCGGCCTTGCACATACCGGAACCGTTGTCAATAACGAGCTATTTCAAAGAGAAAGACAAAGATGAGTGACACTGTTCGCGTAAGATGAAAAGTCTCTTTAATAAAAAAAAAAGGTTCAACGCAACAACAATCATCTCCCGGGTCCATTGCAATGATGTTTCCTCGCACACACATACACAGACAGCTGTGTATGTGATGAGCAAAGGGGAGCAGGCTGTTATTGGAAGAACAAAGAAAAGGCGCACAGGGTTTCTTTCTCTCTCACACACACTCTCTCTTTTCTATTTCACTGTCTAGAAAAAAAGCGCGTAGGGTAGACAAGCAAGTGCAATATAGCGGGGAAGCAATACTTACGGCAGCAACTTCGTCTTCCATGATTATTTAATGTAAATGTGAGTGATGAAGAGAGAAAAGAAAGAGATGTCAGGTAAGAACCAGAGAGAAAATAAGAAGAAAGGAGGAAAAGCTGGGTTGGACGCGAAGGGCTGGAATTTAAAGGAGCCATGACGATACGGTTACAGTGACGCAGGCAACTCAGAGAGCTTATCATTGGGTCCTTTTTTTCAGTTTTGGGATTATAAAAAAAAAAAACTCAGCCCTGTATTTTTTTTTTCTTTTTGAACACCACCCACCACGCGCGCGCCATCTCTCTAGAAAGAAAGAGAGTGTGTGTGATGTGAACCGAGACTGGTGCCTTGCTCTCTTTCATTATTATTTTTTTCTTGGCAAGCCCAGTATAGCGAGAGAACAGGTTGTTTTAAAAAGGGAAAAAACAACAACAACAGCGCTATAACAAACAGACACGTGAAGTACCTCGAGATTGTTCTGTTTCTCGCAGCAGCAATAGGGACTAGGGGTTGCCGCGAAGTGTGTGATGTATTGTATGTGTGTATGTACATGGCATAGCATATACACTCTGCTGCAATAGCGTACACAAGCAAGCAACGCATTGCGATAATAATAATGAATAATTATAGAATGCGACGCGTTTGAACGCTCTTCCCCCAACCCCCTCCAACGGTCTTTTTGAAAGAGATAGAGAGAAAGACACCCTTATTCCTGTCTCTCTGTAAAAAAGGGGAAGAGACAACTTGGATAGACGTGTGCTAAAGGGATCAGGTGTAGTAGTAGTAGTAGTAGTAGTAGTAGTAGTGTATAGTATCCCTCGTGTATGACAATCCCAAAAGGCAAACTAGATCTTTTCAGTTGGTAGCACACAGCGCAACCAACCTCACATAATATAATGCATCCCTCGTGGATAGAAAAGAAATCCACTGTCCGCCGCAGAAATGTGTTAAAATATATGTATATATATTACACAGCTTGACTTAACTGAGTGGTAGTAGTAGTAGTAGTAGTAGTAGTATGTATGATAGTAAGAGTAGAGGTAGTACTAAGTGATTATTAGGTGAAGGGAGTCAAGAGAGAGAGACAGACAGAATAGTTTTGACTTCTTGAACACACACACACACACACAATGATTGACCCCTACACATCGTCTCCTTCCCTTGCTGGGGTCCTTTCAATCCGTCGGATCTCTTTTCAATAACATGCAGAGTGGGGTGTGTATAATAGAGACTCTCAGGGTTTCTTTTTTTTTTCTTTACTCTTGTTGTAAAACCCGACACTTTCCCCAGAATCTATACAAAAGAACCAAAACAGCTAAAGAAACCCCCTTCTTCTCCTCCCAAGATACTACACACACATATACCCCAAAGTACAAAAAGGCTCCATTCTTCTTTCTCCTCTTCTTTGCTGAAAAAGGATTCCTTCTCCCCACCCACCACTCTCTCTTAGTGTGTGTGTGTGTGTGTGTGTCCAAAAGGTTTGTTTTTTTTAAGAAAGAAGAAAGGACTCCTTTTAGACATAGGAAGGTGGTATCTTGAGTTGATCAGCCGGTAGCGGTTCGAAATGATGGACATCAATTCCGCGGTTATACAGCTCTTGTTCATAAAAGGGAGGCACCAGACGATGTATCAGGTCCGGTCGGATCGATAATTCTAAATTGAATGATAGTAATTAGCAAGCATTCAAAACACCAGGATGGTGGGGTGGGCCAAGGAAACGAATGCCAAGAAGAACAAGTAAAGGGTTCATGATAACGGTACCATGTTTGGAGAAATCAAAAAGAGGTGGCAGGGGTTCCCCGTTCGGTAAACGCGCCGTGGGGTCACGAAGAGGATCGAAAAATGGGTGACACAAGGCTTCAATGGCACTGACACGGTGCTGCGGATGATACTGTAGCATTTGTGTGATCAGATCGACAGCTGCCTCGGGTGCACCGACAAAGATCTGCACAGGGGGGACAAAGGTTAATACACTCTTTTTCTTAGGTATTTATATGGGAAGAGAAAGACTAATCTCCCACCTTTGACAAGGGATGGGGTTTGATCTGCGGAAATCGATGCTCAACATAACTGGCGTTCATGGCAGCAATCTCTTGTTTACTTGGCGTGCCTAGAATCTTGATGATTTCCACCAGTTGATCAATGCCACTGTCGCCTGGGAAAAACGGCTGTCCAAGTAACAGTTCGGCCATGACGCACCCTGTCGACCAAATGTCAATGTTCAGTGTGTAGTTCGTTGCACCAAAGATCAGTTCTGGCGCACGATAGTACCGTGAGCAGATATACGACACGTTGGGTTCACCTGCGACCAATATCTTGGCACTGTCAATAATCAACAAACGTCATTGTCATTTGTCAGCAAATAAAAGGCACCCCTTTCCTGGGTGTTGTTTTCATTATTAGACCAGAATGGTTGTCCTTTTTTTTACCTGCCAAAATCGCACATTTTGCACACCCCTGTTGTCGGATCAAGTAGTATGTTTTGTGGTTTAATGTCTCGATGACATATGCCAAGTGAATGGATATAAGCGAGTGACCGAATCACCTGATACATGTACACACGAACCAGCATCGTCGGCATCGTTTGCTTCTGCTTGGCATAGTGTCGTATGGCGCGGTACAGTGTGTCGGGTACATATTCCATCACCAGATTGAGATATACTTCATCTTGCTGCTGATTGAGTGAGCCTCTCTTGTTCTTTGTGCAGAAGAAACACATGCAAATTCAAAACTGACCTTGTTCTCAACTTGGTTGTAAAAGTAGGATTTTAATCGACACACGTTGGGATGATCCACTATCCGCATGATTTGTAATTCACGATTCTAATCATTAAACCGTGAGACACACTTATTATCTTCAGTCTCACTAAACTTAACAACAACAACAACAACATACCTTGAACCGTCTATCCTGAAGCACTTTTTTAATTGCAGCATCCTCGTTGGTTTCCAACAGGCGCGTTTGATACACAACGCCGAAGGATCCATTTCCAGTAACTTTTTTGTTGACATACGATAGTTTGATCTGTTTGCCTGATTTGGCGTCTTTGGCGACAACTCGGACTGTTCTTGCTGCTGCTGCTGCTGCTGCTGATGTATCGGTTGGAGCTATATAAGATATACGTATATATATGTTTTTTTGTGTGTGTGTGTGTGTATGTATAGATATGAAAATGCCATTGTTAGCTTTAAATCAAAGATTCTCCTTTTCTCTCAACTCCATCCGTATTTTAAAACGACATTAATGGAGTATAAATTTTCACGGTCCCGCAATCCGTCCCACCATCTATCTGCATTTATTCTCTTTAACAACACACACGACACCTTGTTCAATAAAAGGCATCAACAGGAAAATTAAAGAGAGAGGAAAAGAAAAAAAAGTGAGTTATTGTTTTTTTTTTCTGTTTTATACATGCCTGACATGGGACAATGGTTATTTTAAAAGGAATTGAGTGCAGATCGCGTCTTTTTGTTTCGTTTATGTGTGGTGTATATAGAGAAAGAGATAATAATTCTTAATGGTGGGGGGGTCTCTCTCTTAGTTGGAAAGGTGTACTATCCCCGATCCACACCACACACAACCCGCCCCCACCACTTTACCCAAATTAGATTAGGAAAGTGACGTATCAAAGGGAAAGTTCCAAACGGTTAAGTTATGAAATATTAATTATCCGTGTCCATGCATTTTAATTGGTGCTTTTTTTTTTGTTGCTAGCTCTTTTCTCTCTCTTTTTATTTTAACTTCCAAGACGTCTTTTCAAAAATTCCAACACTGCGCCTGTCCCTTGATCAAGCACTGCTGGCCGTGGAATACGGAACCTAGAATAAATAGAGAGAGAGAGAGAGAGAGAGAGGGAGAGGAAGAAACAACATGATAGGTCAATAAAAACATAATCATTACTCTCTCTCTCTCTCTCTACAATTGTTTACCTGTTGCCATACAACATGAGTTCTCGGATAGTTCCGATCCGTCCGATTTCCGGTGGCAAATACGCAATATCATTATTACCCAAATCAATGATTTCCAGCCCGTCCAACGTTTGGGGCATGATCTTGTCGATCCTGTTGGTGTTGGCCTTCAATGTGCGTAAGGAGGGAAGATAATCGCGCAGATTTTCGGGTAGGCTTGTCAGTGCATTGATACTGATGTCGAGTTCTACCAATTGCGGAAACACCATCTGTTGCTGCTCCGTGGTATTAGCAACAGAAAGCTGGGAAATTCGACTGTTTGTGATGGATAGCGTTTTTAATGAATGGAACACGTTGTTGTCGGTGGTGGTGGTCAGCGTTAATTCCTTCAGACGGTTGTGGTCTAGCTTGAGCGTGACGAGGGTCGTTGTTAGTTGACAACTGGAGAGTGGCTGTATCGGTATGGTCTCGAGCATGTTGTGCTGTAGTTGCAGTGTTGCTGGGTTATGACCCGATAGCATGGATGGCTCCAAGTCAGAAAGCTGTTTTCGAGACAAATCCAATGTGCCACTTGGGCGTGGTGATTGTGGCGTAGAGGATGCTGCTGCTGCTGCTGCCGATGGCGACGCGGGGGAAGAGGAGACTCCTGTTGACAAGATCTCCTTGTCGCTATTATCACCAGGATTTGCTGCAGGTACTCCTTCTTTTTCCTGGTCCTCGGCAAGCACCAGTTTCGATCGAAGCGATTCGATTAGTTCCGCCATGCTTACATTTCTCGGTGCTGAGCGGAGCGGGTTGCCTTCCCAGCTGAGCACAGCCAAGTGTTCCAATTTTCCCAAATCGGGCCGCAGCATACGCAAATGGTTGGCACTGACGTCAAGACGTCGCAGGCCCTGGAGCGTTAACACAACATCCGGTATTTCGGAAAACAGGTTGGATGACAGGTCCAGTGTTTGTACGCTAGGCGCTTTTGCCATTACTTGCTCTAGTCCATTAGCGTCCTGCGACAGCTGGTTATATGCCAGCAAGAGCTCTTTGAGTTTAGGGAGCGAGATCTCTACTTTTTCTCCTTCAACGATCTGCGTCAGGCTGTTTTGTCGTACATCCAGACGCGACAATAAAGGTAATGCCACTACGATGGATGATCTAGCACTATCACCTGTAAATAATGATAATTTAGATTTTGTGTTCAACGACCTTTTCTTTAAAAAGCTTTGTCGAATTTTACCTCGGAAAAGCACACGCAATTGGTTTTTGAACAAGTGCATTTCCTCCAACTTGGTCCACTTTTGCAAATGATGTAGCGCTGGCAATTCAACTAGTTGATTTTCGTTCAAATACAGCTTGCGTAACTTGACCAGCTGTCCAATACCGTCGGCGACGTTTTCGATCTTGTTGTCGTTCAGATGCAAGATCTCCAACTGTGACAATCGCTCAATGGATTGCGGCACAGCAGTGAGTAAATTGTGGGATAGATCCAAATCGCGTAACCGTGCGCCCAGATCATAAATCTGTTCTGGGAATATCTCGATTTGGTTATGTGACAAGTGTAGCACTGTCAATTGGTGCAGTTGACGTAACGATTCTGGTAGCTTTTCCAATTTGTTGTTCCGAAACTGTTTCATGCATGATAATTACTTTTCATATCAGTTCCTCCCACTCGGCCTACCTTTTTTTTTATATATTCCCCGGGGTATTTTTATCTGCCATCCCCCATCCACTTACATCTACCAAAGTCAAAGCACCAAACTCTTGTCCGATCCGTTCGTCGATTTCGGTGATAGCATTATCTGCAGCGATCAACTTGTTTAATTCGGTCGAGTCATACCATGCATCATCTGTGGAACTAAAATCCACCACGATCTTGTTTGGATCCACATGATACCTAATATTCATCATCATCATCATCATCTCTTATTAGTCATCCTTTTACTGACTATAGGCAAAAGCTCTTGTCGCGCCACCCCCAACCCACGCTTATTGTGCATAAAAAACAACTTACATTGACCAAACCTCATCAGGTACGCGATCGAGATTACGATTAGAAAGATTCAACTTGCCCGAGGATTTCGCTTGATGGATCACCGTTTGCAATTTCAAACTAGCTTTGTCGTTTTGCATACCAAACGGATCGCTGTCGTCATAAGAATACCGTTCTGCACCTGTCATGACTCGGATCTTGGGTCGTTCCTGGTGTTTGTCCATGGAGGAAGAGGAATCACTTGTCTTTTTTCGTTGGGCAGCCACGGCTCGATGAGCTGCCATGAATGCCCGGATTCCTTCAGACGCTTGAGCTTTGCTGTTTCTCTTGTTGACAGTAGGTTGTTGCTGTTGTTGTGGTACAGGAGAAGTGCCAGCTACATTGACAGGTCGAGACTTTGGTTGTTGTTGTTGTTGTTGTTGACCTGTTCCTCCTCCTTGTTGTCTTAGCATAGAAGCTTTGGTGGGTCGAGGTTGGAGCGACGATCGCTTTTGCATATTCTGTCACTTTGAGATTAGCAAAGAAAAGAGAGAGAAAGAAAGGAAGAAAAAGGAATAAAAAAGGTTGGGGGGTGGGTATAAAGGTGAGGGCCGTGAACAGGGAGTCGGGTATGTGTGGTTTATTATAGTTTGAGTGGAAAAAGAGGAGTGAAGGCAAGAACGCGAGAGAGAGAGAGAGAGAGAGAGAGAGGCATCGGGACATCAAAACACAGTTGTTTTATGTGTAACATCAGCACCTAGACATAAAGTTCATTTTAGTCCTTTCACAGTTGCCATTGCAGATTATCCCGTGGAAAGACAAAGGCCCTGTCTATCTGGATGAGTTTAGGAGCAGAAATCCAGTACATGATCGATGGGCACCGTTTTCCAGGCCTTCCGGCACATTCACAAAGAAGGACCGGTGGAAATAGAGCACTGAGAAGAAGAAACGGAGCCATGCCCAGGATAATGTGAAGCGGTTCCAAAGCGTTCATGCAGTATTTTTTTTTGTTTATATATTACACGGCTCATATTTTCATGTGTGTGAAGGGAACTAAAATGCCAGAGTGACTGGTGCTGCTCATATATATACACACCACTCCACCCCACCCCACATCATCGCTTTTATATTCTTGCTTACGTTTTTTCTTCTTTCCCTTTATTTTTGTTTACTTACCTTTTCCTTTTTTTCCTTTTTATTTCTTCCATCCCGTCCGTCAATGCTCACATCATCTGCTCATTATTAAGACAGACGCCAAACACGATTTTTCTCTTGTTTTTTACTTTATATCCTTCCCTAAATGGAGCAGCACCATCTCGCTTCTGCTAGTGCAACAACTTTGCCACTGACCAGTAACTACAGCAACAACAACAACAACAACAACAACGCCGTTCGTACCTCAGGGCCAACCGAACACGACTACTATCCTTCCCCTGACCACTATCGCAAACGAAGCTACAACCCATTGACGATCGACAACCCATATCTGAACGTATTGTCGCTGATCGATGTCACATATCCGCCACTTATCTGCTCGACATGTGATAGGGTTGCTACCAGTGCCAACGAGAACCGAAACCATCACATCATAGCACATCATCAACGCACCCATCGAGGATCATTGTTGGGAAGAGCAGCAGCAGCAGGAGGAGGAGGAGGACGTTGTGGTCGCCGTTATCCATGCCTGCATCCACACTGTGATCGAAGTTTTGATTCGCGTACCGCCCTGAGATTTCATTTAAGTCGCTCGCATTTGGTCAGACAAGCATCACTTAAACATCTTCGGCCAGAACCGCCATTTATGCGCTATCCGTTGCAGCCCCCGCTCGGCTCGTTTACGTCTTCTTTCAAACCTTCCATCCTGTTTCATAACAACCTCCATCATCATCATCATCATCAACATCAACATCACAACCATCGTCAATCAAATTCGTATCTTGATCAACAGCAACAACACACTTGTACAGCTCCGGCTGTTAATGATAATGTCGCTGTTTATTCATCTTCCTGTTTATCCTCGACCGCATCTTCTTCTTATTCTACCGTAATATCCTCTAACGTGTCGTGCTTTAAAGATGCAACCCAAGAACAACAGCAAAACAAAAAATCAACATCGTCTTCGTCATCAACTACAGGCGGATCATCTCTGTCCTTTAAAATCCATACCGCCAAATCATTCGCTACATCTTCTTCTTCTACAGTATCATCCACTGCAGCAGCTGCAGCAGCAACAGTAGGTACACCTACACCTACGAGCACATCAAGTACTTCTACTACAACAACGACGCCACGTCAAACTCTTTCCCGGACTTCCGAAGCATTAATAAATTCCGTCTACCATCCGCTCTACTGTCCTTGCTGTCACGAACATTTCCCAAAGAAAACAAACGTCATAAAGCACGTGGCTGAAGTGCATCACGACCAGGAACCATACAGTTGTGTCTACTCTGATTGCACCGCACATCGTAAACACTATGCCACACGCGATGGATTGGTGTATCACACTTTGCGTGTTCATGATAACAACAACAGCAACAGCAACAGCACTGATCAAGACAGTAAGAAGGATAGCCACGAGATGGATGGCGCGAATGGTCGGGTCAAGCCACAGCAGCAAGAGAATGAAGGAACAGGAGGAGGAGGGTCAAGACAAGGACACCATCATCACCACCATCTCCCCCACCTCCACCATTACCACCATCGTCACCATCACCAGCCAGCAGCAACAGCAGCAGCAGCAGCAGCAGCAACAGCGATCATGCCAAGCAACAGCAATATATCCACTTCTCCACTGCCTGATGTTCGGTGGACAATTCCTCGGTAGTTAGCGACTAATTTATGCACTCACACACGCTGCCACTGAATCTCTATACACACACTAAAAATATACGCACTCTATACAAAACAATCCAATTTTGGTTCAACCCCCCCCCCACCCATTTGTCGTCTCTCTTTCATCAACAACCCATTCTTTTCCGCGAGAATAAAAAAAAAAGGTTTGAAGGAAGCAATTTCTGATACATGTTTACAGTGGTCTGTGATTTACATGGAAATCAACACCAAAAATTGACCAGAATAAAAAGTAGTAAAAGATATATATAGTTATTTAGTACAAGGGAATTGAGGTTATTATAAGTAAATAGAGAGAAGATGATGTACAAATATCATTGAAGTTATCGTCTCTTCTCAGTTGGCTTAGTGGTGGTATTGCTGCTACTCGGGGACTTGGCTACATTGGCCTTCCCTGTCGAGCTAGCAATAATTTTCTATCGCACACAACGAGGTTAGTCTCAAGTCTCTCATCATTCGTTTGGCGTATATAATTTAGTTACCTTGATAATTTCCTCCATAATACCGATCCACTCAGGTTCGTCCTTGTTCCAATCCTACAACTCATAGGTTATTGAGCTTGAAATAGTTTCACTTTAACCTTTTCTTACCTCCACACCACAGTCTTTCACCTGCTTCCGAAAGATTTCCATCCATGTTGACTGCACATTTTTAAAGTGGCTATTGTTGGCAATGAATGTGGGATCAAAGGCGTGGAAATTCTTGAGCGACGCGGTCCCTTTCTCTAAATCAAAGTATTTTTTCAATGCTGTGGAAACAGACTATTAGCGTTTACGAAGCTTTGTAAAAACGAGGGCGACTTATTAATGCGCTAACCTTCTTGAAAAGGATCCTTCTTCGTTGTTACGGGAGTTGTCATGGTAATTGTAGTGAGGAAACCTGCGCGTTTTCACTCTAGAACCATCCATTGTCACCAAATGGAAACATCAGGACATAGTGGAGCGGCATATACGATGCGTGCAAGGAGCTGATACGACGAAGAACATTAGCACGATCACGAATGACAATGTCATGCTCGCGTGCAGTGCCATCCACGGTGCGTTCAACAACCATTGCCACCACTTCAGGGTAGCCCTGCTGATCATAGCGACGGCCCAAATCGCTTTGCCGGATGACAGCTTGAAGGGTTCCAAGTGGTTGGTCGCCAAGAGCTTCAACAGCAGATACGAAGGTGCGTGCCAAAGGATTTTGTGTTTTTCCATGACACCTTGCAGCAATTGGATCGTCTCACGAAGAAGCCCGGAAAACAAACTCGTACGCCTTGCCAGTTGCTCCTGCGTATCCGCGAAATAGATCTGCGAATAATTCGCTTGCGCCTGGTTGTCGGGTCTCAGTGCACCAACAGCATGGTACATTGTACCATTGATACGGTAAGTGGGCACGCCGCCAGCGCCACTTGCTAGGACTGGATCGACGTCACCACCAAGAATGGATGCAAATGCAAACATACTGTTATATGCCCTAATGTTGGTGTGGAAGTTGACACTAACGGAATTATTGCGATCACGATTCGTTAGGAGGTCGCGAAGTGGAGCAGGAGGAGCGCGAGGAAGTGGCAATTGAATTTTCCCGGAAAGACAGCAGAGACCAAAGCGAGGATTGCGTACGGACGATGCCTTGAGCTTTTCATCCAACCACATCAGCGCACCACAAAATGGACAACGGGAATCCATCCGCGGCAACACATGACGATGGAAGGAGTCGCCAACAGCATAGCATACGTTTGGCCCAAAAACGTCTTCTGGATCGAAGGGGACTACGCGCGCAATGCGGTATTGTGCCCCATGCTCGTGCTGGACATTGCTCGGGTTAAAAGGGCAGAGGCGGTGGGTGCGGCGCGTGTGTGTTGGTGCCCAGCAACTGGTGCAACGCGTAACTCGTGCGGTGGTGGTAAGAGTAGGCGTAGTTGTTGAGGGAGGATTGGCAACGGTGGGAGATGGTGGTGGAGGCGAGGCAGCATCGACGGGAGCAGGCGACGGAGGCGAGGCAGCAACAAAGGGGGGTAGTGGTGGTGGCGAGGCGGCGACAACAGGAGAAGTTGGTGGAGACGAACTGTTGATGATAGGTGCAGGTGATGGTGGCGAGGTAGTAGCTATAGGAAGTGTAGGAGGAGGATTGTCAGTAATCTTCAGCGAAAATTGCATTATCACCTAAAATAAGTAAGTAGACAGTACCGCGGTTGATAGGGTTAAGTGGGCATTCTCGATGATTACGCCGACGATGGGTGCTCGAGCCACAGACGCAAAAGGTAGGCGCAGTAGGGTCTACAGAAACAAACTATCCGTAGCTTTCAAAGTAAGCAAACTGCTGCTGCAGTAATATTTAAATATACATGGTTAAAACATACGTTGCCTATTCTACGGCGAACATTGCGAGAATGCACTGGACATGGCACATTGCGATCTGAGCCACAGTGACAGACATGATCGGTTGATTGCTTTGTCGAGAATTGTGCAGAAAAAAATTAGTTAGTAAACTTGAAGCTTATTTAGAGTAGTTTGTCAGAATCCTGGCAAATGGTGAAAGATGCTCAACGATTTTCACAAAAACACCTCAAATGTCATTGATGGCAGATGAAATCAAGTAACACACCTCTTGGGAACTCATATTGAGAAATGCAATATAGTAATAGTCTAAAAAGACGAAGTTTACCCAAGTCTCTCAGGAATGTGTAGCATGGGTGTTGCAAATTGAAGTATTCAAAAAAGGATAGTGCTGGGATTGAATCGTAACGACCTCTCTCTCTTTCAGAGTAGAGATACTGCTGCGCGTTAAATTTTACTACTGGGCAAGGCCGAGTTTCCAAGTATAGCCGCCATGCTTGTGAGAACATCACATGTACATATTATCAGCCATATAGAACGCGCATTGACAATATAGTTTCGTCAACACAGGGCTATGGCCGTAAGTAGTATCATAGTTGCCCGCTCGATACATAATTCTTTATAAGAATAGGGGAAGAGTATCTGGTTTAGCATTTTCGCTCATCTCGCCCTACTACTGTTTACGAGTTTAATGTCATGATCATATCAGCGTGCCAATCGCACATTCCAAAAGCATTGCTCTCTACCATATTTAGTATGAATATCTTCCAATGGTCTATTTGTATCAACATTCTTTAAAAAGTTATAAATAAATATACCAGTGTATATGATACAACAATCATTTGTCTTCTTTTGCTTCCCATATGCCATGTTCTCTTCAGTTCCTCTTGTCTTGTTATTACCTGTTTGAAAAGCGCATATACTTTTTTGCTCCGACTTTGTTCTTGATCTCTTTTCTCTAGTATATCTGTCTGCTACTTCCAAGTATCCGGACCTTACACCTTTACAACGGAGGGTAGAAGCGTCCATCGTAGCTATGACTGCTCCCGTATATCAAAGTATGTATAGGGAAACCCTACTACATACAGTACATGGTTTTTACTTCTATCATATTGCCATTCATCTTCATCAAAACTTCCTCAACACTCATTCAAACATTATAATACCAATAAATAACTTCACCCATCCTGCTTACCACAATTGATGTATCTGAATTTACAAAGACCAGAATAATCGAACATTCTTTTCATTTAAAGGACCATGATCATTCACCATCCCTTTCCTATACATTTGTCTTCTCCTAGAGCTCCTACTCTCCCTTGATTCCACTCGGCCCCGAAGAAAAACTCGCAATCATGGATTATTTTAAATCTTAATGCACTCCAAGCGACACGATAATATGCTTTTTATTAGTCGAAAGGCGATGAAAGCGGTTTGCCAAGGCAAGCAATGGCGTGCGGATGATAAGGAGTAGGATATCCGTTACTGCTTGAATATTCTTTGAGAACTTGCAGCCGACCTGCCAAAGTGGGCTACGAAGAAGAGCGATGCATCCTTCATCATCGACGATAAGTGCTGTACTTTGAATTTTCTCCAGATAAAGCATGATTTGTAAATCCTTCTGTAACATCAAGTACTTTTCTTGGTCACCATTAAGTTTGGATAGCTCATTGTTTATTCGCTTGGGATAACCTACTGTACCCACCATCTTCATCTCAGTCATTCACTGCCGCTGATACAAACATAGCGCATATGCTGCAAGGCTTTGTCGCGTTTGTTAATCCTGTCACATTAACTCATCACGGATTACTTTTTTGTTAAGGATCAAAAAGCAGCTAACCCCGGCAAAAAACATGTATGAAAATTCTTGAAGATTGCTTTGGAGATGCTGGTAATAGCAGGAATAGAAGATGGGGAACTTGTTGGCCTGTTAGGCCAAGGTATGTAAGCACTGATTGAGGGACTGCAATATGATACTTGTGAAAATTTCTGATATGATGAAGTATATTAGCTAAGAGGATATATGCGTGGAAGATGAACCTGCATTCCACGGACAATATACCGAATAATCAGTTTGAAGAATTCAGCGGCCCTCGTAATGACCACAATAACCTTATGCTCCTTCCGAGCACGATCGAGAGACTCTTCTAGCTACACGTAGCCGTTCACAGTTCTAACGAGCATATAATCTGTTAGGTCCCCAAAACGAGGTGGTTTCCTCTTTTACTTTACTTGTTTCTTATTTGTGGGCTTTTCGAATAAACTTGTTTTATTTATATATTGTAAGATACACACGTCAGTTCAAGTCCATAACAAGCTCTAAGCTAGCAGTAATAGTCAGCTCGACGAGAAGAACGAAAACAGCACGAAGGACAAAGTAGGCAACAACCGCTTCCTCTGAGAGGCGCAAGGTCAACTGGATAATCGCGCTTATCAAGATAAAGTGTGACAGGCTCAAGAACGAAGCGGATGTATACACTGTGACATAGGCTTTAGAAGCGCAATTGAGCTTCGTCGACTCTTACAATATGGATGTCCAAGCCGACCCGATGATGACATTGATGTTAATGAGAGTCCTGTTACTTCCGCGCAGCCAAACGACAACACCTCATCAATGAAGCGAAACATCACCCTTTTATAATACTTGTAATTGAACAAACCTGGTCAATATCAGTGCAGAATTTGCCTCAAAGATCTTTGGCACGAGTCAGCTGCTTCATGAGCACATAGCAGACCCAAGAGTTCGATGTCATTGTTGCTGAGCGTATCGCACTAAATCATCCGTGTGTATGATTTGTGGTTAACCATGAGTCGCAAAGCTGCACGGTCCGCTTTGGTCCTGAGTAGTTAGTGGATGCTGCACGTCTAGCGACTGGAAGTGTCGTTTCGGATAGAAGCGGAAATGGAGACATAGACGATGTTTAAGATAGAGACGTTGATATTAATACCGTTGTTGGTTGTGATAGTGTGGCGGCAGTAGTAGTACTCACCGATAGGTCTGCAACATATTTTCCACGCAACTGTAATTTCTGTATGTAATGAATATACAGTAGCCCTTCCCCCTCTCTCTTTTCTTATCCTTAACTCAGCTTATATAGATATGCCCTATCTTGCCCGTTTTCTAGAAGAGCGTGATTGAACAAAAGCTTTGCTATCTATTCCCCTCTCTTTCTGTTTAATTGAAAGAAAAGTAAAGACAAATTACCAAGCGATAATAAACCCATAATGCCAAGCAATAGATAGTTAAATCTATAAGATATTAAGCTCGATAGTTTTAAAGCAATAAAACGATAATATTATATTCTGGTATATTCTACGGTGAGGACGGTGGTAGTGATGTTGTTGCCGCTGTTGCCAATGTCCATGAGGGCGGTGGTAGTGATGTTGTTGCCGCTGTTGCCAGTGTCCATGAGGACGGTGGTAGTGAGGTTGCGACTACCATCTGCGACGGTGAATACGGTAGTGGTAATGTTGCGGCTGTTGTCTGCGACGGTGAGGACGGTGGTAGTCGTTCCTCATATGCAGCTGCAATTGCTCCATTATAGTGACGAAGTTATTGATTTCTGTTCAATTAGGCTTTTTAGCAGCTTGATCTTTAGGACGAGGTATAATGGAAAAATTGTGTGGAATACGCATAAGAAGGCAAAGCAAACATGAACCTAAGTTAGTAGCCAGTCGTAAGTAGCTTTGGACCGCTTAAATATTTTACCCATAAGGCTAAACTTGATTTCTGCTTGCTTAAGTATAATCCTATATGTTTCATTTTGCTATCCCTCAGCCAAAAGTGACTAACTTCAGAAGCCTATAACTTTTTTTAAAGAAGCAAGAACTCAAATCTAATCTACAAATATTGTTTTTAAAGGTCTAAAAAACATAAGTAGCCGCTTCTTTTTCTATTTTAAGGTGATATTAAAAAGTAGTAGGGATTCAAAGATTACCTGAAAATTTGCGGATTATAAGGTGCTTGCACCATATTCAATTCTTAATCTTAAATGTAGGGAAAGTCGCTTGACAATCTGTGGGAAATAGCGGACAGTGCGCGTTTCCATCCTGTAGAAGAATACGACTGTGACTGGGCTAAGAGAAGCATACTAAGCATTTTGTCTGCGTATCGCTGGGATACATGATCTGTGACTGCCAAAACTGGTGGCGAAAGAGACATTGTCATCTTGTGCTGGAGCAACATTGACTCCTGCTTCCAGAACATCCAAGTGCAAACATTGCAGTAGGTTCGATTCATTCTGGCAGATCTTTTTTCCTGAAAGGGACTAGGGCAATTGCTAAATTTTTGATGAATTTTTTCTCATCTATAGTTGGTAATAATTTTTTTTATTATGAAATAATGTATCCCCCCATTGGCCCAGTACCCCCCCTGGCCCAGTAGGGGATAGTCGGGGTATGGCTCTAAGATAGAAAAGATTAAAACTAGAAGTAAAGAATAAATCTCCCACCCTTGCTATAAAATATTTTTAAAAATTTTTTTATCGTAAGAGTGATTTATAACTAAGAGATGAATAACTTAAAATGGTAATTCCTACAGAATCTACAATTTCATTATAGTAATAAATAAATAAGAATAACTATATAATAAGTTAAAAATCAACAAAGTCATAATCTCAAAAATAAGTAATAATTGATGGATAAAAATATATTTAGATCTTAAATTTGATAATGATTTAAGCCATTTAGGTAATTTATCTTAATATTTAATTAATTGTTTTATTAAGAATATATTCCATTAATAAAAACAATAAAGAAAATAATACCATAGAACCAATTAGTAGTTCTACAAATCTAACAAATTGAGTTAGATTTAGATCAGTAGTATTGAATAGATCCCAGTCATAGATTGAATCAACAGTAATATTTTCTGAAGATGAATTAGAATTATTTGATTGGGATGAAATAGCTTAAGTATTTGAAGAAGATTTTGAATCTAATAATTCTTGAAATTGTTTATTCCATTTTTCTTTTTCAAACTCAAATTTATCTCTTTCTAAAAGATGTTTTTATTCTTTAAGAATTAATTCTCTTTCTTTCAATCTTGAAACATTTTTTAATTTCATTTTAGTTAAATGATATATTGAAGTAAGACCGCCTAATGTTCCAATTGCACCTACTGTCTTAAAAAATTGTTTTGAATTAAATTGTGTGAAAATAATATTATAATAAAGGAGAATCTCTTAATCAAGGGGTTGGTTTACATTGTCATCTCCTTACTTTTATAGTTTATAAGAAAGACTAGAACTAAACAAATTTGAGGTGATTAAGATTGGTAGAAGTTCAACTATTAAAAATCTTAAATTAAAATAATCCTCTATGACGCAGTAAATCTATTTAGGTATTAAATATCCTGATCAACCCATATGTTATCCTTGTTTGTGTGAATCTAGGATAAACTCTAGGTAAGAATCTCTTGTATAATTGTGAATAACAAATAATTTATATACATAAAATAATCTATTTATTATTTATCTTGTTAGTGGTAGTCTATTAAAAAGACGAGGGAGGAAAAGGGGAAATCAAAATAAAAGGTAGGTTCTAAGGTTTCTTATCGTCTTAAGACTATACTACTTTTGCCCCCTGGATATCTAGGCAACAAACCAAACCAAGCAAATATTAATGGTATTAGTATTAATTATCTTTATGTGATATAATTATTTAAAAGTATAGAGAGATTCTTTTCATTTACTAAATTATTTTAAAAGTTATCCAATAAAGATATGTAATGTATTAATCTTTAAATCTAATCGATGGATGTTTTACCTTGATTAGATTTTTATTATACCTAAAATCTTATTAACTGCTATCCCCACTATTCTAGGTGGATCTTATCTTTATATTCATAAAGATGAGATTCTTCTATAGGGGATAACTCTTAGTGTTATGATTTTAGTGAAATTATAAATATGTAAAAAATTATAAGTAATATAATTTTTAAGTATTTATAATAAGTGGTGAAATTAATTATTTAAAAAAAAATAATTTCTCAAACACTATAAGATTTTCAACCAATAGGGTTAATCTCAACCATTATGTTTAAAACACTCTAAGTGGCGCAACGGTAGTGAGCAAACCCCCCTCCCCCCTAGGCTAGAACTTTAGTTCGACACCCGGAGTGAATGAAATGAACGGAGCTTAACTAGAATAGAATAATATCATAAAATTTGTTATTTATAACAAAATTTATAGATATTGTTCATTCGCCTATACTTAACTATTATCTATATTCTAACTATTTCAGTTAGGATATTTACTGATCTTAGACAAGCTAGATTACTATCTTCTATTCATGATATGAATTTAAAACAAATTGAATTATTAGATGGTCTTCTTTATAATCAAGTTAAAGATCTTGAGCTTAGATATAAAACTAAAGGTTTAGTTCTAGATCAAAAGGATCCTGAAACTGAATCTGTAATTCAAGATTCTCTTGAAACTGAACCTATAATTCAAGAGAATGCTATTTCTTTAACTAATATTAAGGAAACATTATTAGAATCAGGATTTAGAACTTGGTATGATAATAATGTAGAAAGATCTAATAATTCCTATACTCGATTAGGAAAGAAAGATACCACTTCAGATAAGACTCTGTTTGGAAATTACTTGCAATATTGTAAAGATCATAAATCATAATATTAATGTATAAAAATTTAGTGATTTTACTCATAATATATTTAGAGTCCTGAAGTTATACAAAGATCTTACACACGAAGAGATTAGAATGGGTAGAAGCCCTGCGATTACTAATCTAAAATTAAAAAAATAGTATAGCTTATACTATTTTAATATTTAAAAATAAATCTATGGCATCTTTTAGGCTTTATACAAATTAACTATGTTATTTATTTTTTTATCTTTATTGTTCGAGAATTTGAAAAAGTATCAACCAACTTCAAATTCTGAAACTATTGTTAATCCTATTTTCTCTATATTCGAGGATAACTTTAGTAATTTCTTTTTTTCAAGAGAGATTTCTCAATCAGCTGTATTTAATTCATTAATTGATGATTTTAATCTATTTTCTATTGAATTACCTTCAATTCAATTACTAAGTATTCAATTTCCTAAGTTTGAATATCTTGAGATTAAATTACAAGATAATACACCAAGTAGTAATGGTATTTTTGAATCAATTAAAAATAAAGTTAGTAATATTGATTGGAGTTCAATCCCACAGATTCTTTCAGAAATTGAATGGAATCATTACTTGAATGTTATTTGTGTTTCATGATCTTTAATGATTACTGGTTTCATTTTGTATCAGACTTATACAGCTGTGTCTGCAATTTATACATATACTAGAACTCCTTGTGATTATCTTAATAGATGGATTGATTCAGGGGTTGAAGGATTTAATTCAAGTATTGAATGGATTAATTCTACTACAACTAGTGTTTATTTTTCTATTACTGCTCTATTTAGCTCTAGTATTGAATGGATTAACAATACTACTAGTATTATTAATAATACAGTAAGTACTTCATTATTAGAGAATGAGTTAATTAATTCAGGTATTAATCGATTTAATTCATTAGTAGAATGGTATGATTCATTTTATGATTCAGATGATGATTTAGAATCTGATTCTGAATCTGAGGATTCAATTATTAATATTGAACCAGAATTGAATACTAATTTAAGAGCAAGTTTCCTTAGATTCGCTCAATATTATATGGCTAGGGTTAGACCTGATATTAATATTAATAATATTAGTATTCTTAATTTATTAACTTATTTTATGAATAGAGATAGAGATAGTGATTTTGATCGAATTAGATATTCATCAATGAGGATTGAAGATAATTCATCTCTTCCAATTTCAGAATCATTAGGTGTAAGAATCTATAGAACTATTAGTAATTTAAGATTAAACTATAATTTTCTAACTTATCTCAGAGGTAATAATATTGATCTAAATAATAATAATATTAGTAACACTAATATTGATGAAATGATTATTTCTAATTCAAATATTGGAGGAATCATTTCTTCTGATTCATTTAATCCATGAGAAGAATTTAATAGATTATCTTCTCAAACATTAGAGAATTTTAATTCAAGAAGAACCAATTGATGATTCAATTAGGTTATTTCAAAATATTAATATTTTAATTATGGATCAAGATTATACTACTTCTTCTTGTTTCTAGGAGCGACCAACATATAGTATCTGGATCCGCATGTGTCAACGAAGGTCATTTGTCATTAGATGGCTCCATCCATCCAAAAGTCCATGCCTTGAAGCCAGACCTGATACTGAGAAACGACCAATTGGAGTACGGTGTGGCGGAGAACGGCTTTGTCGATGAAAGCAGTGTCGGAGAGAAAGAGCTCCATGAAACATTCATGAACCTCCCAAAAACACTAAAAGACATCATGCTAAAGTTGATTGCTAAGGTCGAGCACGATGAAGAGAGTGTCCGTTTGTTGCGAGTGGTAGGCATGGTCCATGCATGTAAGTCTTCAGTTCCACTAGGACAACCAATCTGTTTCGCTCTTGTTTGACTAAAGACTACTCGTATTTTCTACCAGATTTGCATATGAAAACATATGTGATGGACGTTCCAGATGGATATATGTGCTGTATCCGGGAAATCAAACAACAGCAAAGTCCAGAAACATTGATCGACTTTTATAAAACCTACATCCCGTATTTAGAAGCTGTCCTTAAGATTAAGGTAACATCGTTATTCATTTTCTCTGCAGTGGATTCACAACTTCCGCTCATAAGAAAACAACAGGGAATCGTAAAATCGACCATGGATGTAGTTGCCAAGCCAAAGAAAAACAGGTCAGATTTCGTATCGAGCGTAACAGAAACAAGCACAGTCATCATCCCATCAGCATTGAACGGACCTGTCAAAATAACCCCACAAAAAAGAAAGGCCGACGACTCTGAGTGTTCATATATGCAAGAAAAATAAGCACGCATTTACCTACCCACAATCACTCTAAACCTTTTCCGACAAAAACGCATCTACATTTCCACCCATCTTTAACATGCTCTTTTCACTGCATTATATTTCCATCTTTGACGCTGTAGGGGTATGTATCCTAGTTGTAATATTTCATAAAAATTAAAAGTACAAATTTTTTAAGAGTTACAAAAATTTCTCATGATTATAAATTACTTTTAATTATTTATAAAATTGAATT